GTTTTTCTTTGAAATTAATTTTATATACTATCTGTTATTTGACTTTTGTGGAGAAAGAACATCTTATATTGCCTTGAAATACTTTGATTTTTCTCTTTTCTCAGTTTTTTTTACAATATACATTAATTAAATCCAAACAGATCAGCTCTTAGATAGTCTTCATAGTCACTGACTACATAAGACTATAATGAATAATAATAATAATAATAAATAACTCTGATTTGTAAAGTAGTTTATATTATAACTTGTTTCTAGTTCAAAAACTTAGTTACTATAAGTATTTAAAAAGCTATTTTACACTAATTAATTCTGATTTCTCAGCTACCAAATAGTATAAAACATACTAGAATTTAGTAGAAATTGATCAGAATTTGCAGTGATAAATTTAGCTTAGCTATATCAAGATTATCAAGTTGATAGAGCTGATTTAATACTGCTGCAAACTCTGAGAAGCAAAGATCAGATAAAAAGAGGTAGAAAGATAAGATAAGAGTAGATAAGATAAGAACCCTAGCTTGCTTAGCACACCTCAACAAAATATAAGTAAGCAAGAGTCTAAATGAGAAAAATCAAAAAAATGTATCTGGTAAGAGATTTTTCAGATAAAAAAAGATGTAATAACACAACAAATACTAGAGATATAATAAAGACAATTTGATAGTTTATTTAAACAGTCTTATTGAGATTGTCTCTCAAAATTCAGATGAAAAAACCATGTGATTGCTGAGTAATAGTGTAAGAAGTATTTCTGATGGATGTGAAGCTGGCACCATTTATTTCCACCTATATCTCAATAACTCACACAGCAATTTACCTGAAAATTGAAGAAATTATTAGATAGAGAAATAGCTTTCAAATAAATGTAGTTTTATCTAGTTTGAACAAGAATTAACTGAGTTGTAAAAAAAGCATGTGAATTTAATTATATCTATAAGAAGAATAAGATTATTTCTCTGTGCATGTCAGTATATTTATTCTATCTCTTGCAGCTTTTCAATATAAGTGTTTTTGCAGTTTTGAAACAAGCATATAATAATCTAATTAAACAGCAAATGCAGCTTGAAATCAACATTATTAAGAAGACAGATTTCTTAAATGCTTATTTTACAGCATATACAGAGGTCTTCAAGACTCAGAACATTTAAAGTAGCTTTATAGCTACTGAAATAGTCTTATTTGACCCAGATCAGGTTTTTCAGCAGCTGAATATTCAACTCCAAATTTTTACTTCTCTAGCTAGTCAATCTAGCAACTCAGTATTATTCTGAATTTTACAAACATCTCACAATCTCCAGCAATTGTATAGACAGACAGATAAGATTAAGAATCTTATAAAGCAAGAGCTTGAGAGCTCACTTCAGAGCTTAATAGAAGAATTTGATTAAATTATCAAGACTTGTAAATATAGAATAGTTAATGCCACTATTATAAAAAAGCAATATCAGAATATATTTACTGCAAATAAGAAAGAGAAGCAAAAATATAAAAGATTTAAGTACTGAATCTAATATAAAAAAATTTAACTAGAGAAGAGATTACTGAGCTTGATATTCTATCTGCTTAATTTATTAAACAGTCAGTTACTTAACTCTTTAAATCTGCAGTCTCAGAGTCTGTATTATATTCACAGACACCACTAAAATATACAAACTGCCATATTTTAGATTATACAAGAAGAAGCTGCTGCAGTCCTATTGCAATGTAATTTAATCTATTTAAGGGTTGTTAAGCATAGATATTTCAGGTTAAATTCTAGTTAGTTGAGATGCCTTAATTTAATCTTTTGCTTGCTTGCAGATTTTGCTTGCTTGTAATGTATTTCACAACTGAGTGAGACAATCAAGCAAGCAGAACATCAAAATACACATACAAATCTCAACTTTTTGCTCTTTATATCTCAACAACATTATTGAATATAGACTTTAGAATTTAGACATGGAGTATATAGACAGTTAATAAACAGTATTATCAATTTGATTTATTTAACTTTATTATTTGTAAAGATACTTTGATACATGCTAGTAAAAAAATAATAAAATACTATAACTTAAAAAATAATTATTATATTTAAATAATTCTTATAATTTACAAAGTTTATTATATCTGTATAGTATCTTCTTCATTTTATAATAATCAGACATAGACTTGTTAAAATATAAGAGAGCAAAAAATTGAGATTTGTATGTGTATTTTGGTGTCCCGCTCGCTTGGTTGTCCTGCTTGGTTGTGGAATACATTAGTTATTAGCTGGATTAAGGTAGTTCACCACTAAGCAAGCCACATCACTAAATGAGCCAAATCTTCCACCACCAAAATTCTTCCAATATTCAACATTCAATATGCAACAACATGGTCAACAACATCTTAATTAGACTTGTAATTAAAGATCTTAAATTATAAGAGACTTTAAATTATACTGCAACTGTGAGAAAATACTTAGTTAATTAAGAGACTCTGTGCTGATAATATAAAGACTTGCAACTTGCTCAGAATGAAGTAATCTTCTGATATAAGAAAAAGCTTTCTGATATACAGAAGACAGAGCTTCTGAATTATATAAACAAGCTCTCTAGCTACAGTCTTGCTATTATATCTCAGATTTTACAAAATATTATATAAGAGATGACAGAAGAAAATATTAAAATTAACTGAATTAATTAATTTCACAAGCAGTATAATAATAAGATCAAATGTATTTATCTTAAAGTAATTAATTAAAATAGACAGATAGTAGATAACTATCAATATTTTAAGCACTTCTATATACTTGTAATTGAATAATTTATTTAATTAGTTATGATTGCAGTTGTTGATACTGGCTAACTATTTAACTACTACTTATAAAGTAGTTGAAGCAGAAAATTAATTAATATAATCTTAAGTTTTCAAATATCTATAACTTTAATAAAAAAGAATTTCTTTTAGACTTCTGCTATATCTTAAAGTAATTAGTCTCTATTAAAGCTCTATAAGCTGGAAAGAATGCTGTTATTCAGAATAATAATTAGAAATTTCTCTTATTGCTCTGCTCAGTCTTTACTGAAGAAATTATACTATCTTCAGCTCTTATTTATAAGAGTAAATTATAAGATCTTCAGAATACATAAGTAGATAATTATAATAGAAGTAAATAGATCTACTTTATAGCTTCAACAAATGATTAAAGCAATAATAAATATAAACTAAAGTAGTTGAAACATGTTTTTAATTAGTATACTAAGAAATAAGCTGATTAAGAAAGATATCTGCTTTTATTAGATAGATATTTCTTCTATATAAATATAAAATTTATTAAATATACTGACTATGAAAAGATTCTTCTTATAATTCTTTTACTACATTCAACTTACTATTTGTAATTTTTTAATATTAGAATTTTTAAACTGCTGGACAAGATATATTCTAACAAGCTGAAAGTACTACTACATTACAGAATGAGCTATATTTAAATAACAAAAAAAAAATTCTGGAGACTATTTAATGTAGCTTGAAAGAAGACTTTAACAGTTAAAAATATACTTGCTAACTTTATAAAGACTAAGGTTAATTTTCTAAATTCTTAACATTAACTATACTGATTTGAAATTGTTCAAATCTCTATACTGCTAGTTAAATCTTCTATTTCTAGTAATATACACTAGCTCTGACAAGAGATCAAGAATATATATCTTTAGTACAGTTTAAATTTGTAGAGTATTAAACAGATTATTCAAGTTAGTAAGTAGTTTGCTTTTTATAATAAACTACTGAAATATAAAAATCAGTATCTAAGATTAACTCTAATAATAAAAAAGTAATACTGCAAGTAAGACAAGTTTCTAGATCTACTTAATAAAGATAATTCTAGTCAAGCACAGTTCTGATCTTTAAGAAAAGTTATTAAGGCATGTAAGTGCTTGAATAAAATAGAGACTGAAAAAGCTGATAAAATTACTTAAATATAAGAAATAAAGCTTTAATAAAAGCTTTAAAAGAAGCAGACTACTAGAAATATTAAAAAAAGATAGATTAAATAAGAGAATATTTATAAAAAGATTCACAAGCAATAAAAGACTAAAAAAATTAAATATACTAGACAAAGAAAGATATAATATATTGCTTGTAAGAAGAAGAAGACTATATAACTAGTAGAGAAGAAAAAACAGATAGTTAAATATACTAATAAATACTGGCAGTCAGAGCTTTAAGCACTGGCTTCAAAGCACTATTAGAAGAACTTCTCTACTAAAGAGTCTCATTATAAAGAGTCTATATAATCTTTCAAAAGAGAAAGTAAGAGCTTTACAAGCATCTCTAGCAAGATATTAGACTCTCTAGCCAAGAGATCTACTGTTGACATTTTTTTGAATTCTTTTCTATCTACCCCCTAAATCTCTCACTCTGGCTATAATATTAGGCTGTCCACCTATTTATTTTCCTAACTATACTAATTTCTATGCTTTAAAGAATACATTCATTTAATATATAATAGCTATTTAATAATAAAGATCTGGTTGTTGAGATATTTAATAAATTCGTTGCATGGAGCATTTGGCAAAATTTGGCTCATTTAGTGGTGTGGCTCGTTTAGTGGTGAACTACCTTACATAACAGACCAGACAATCCTACTTTCTGCTGTGGAATTGATTATATCCTTGCATCTGACCAGGGGTTTAACAATACACTCACATCGCATTCACATTAACTAACAAAAGCCGACCAAATTTGGTAATTTCAAAAGGGGTTTCCTGTCTGCTTGCTACTCTGTTGATAGTTCCCATTTATCTTCTCTCCTCTACGAAGTACAGAATACAAAGTACTCTGTACTTCCTACCCATTCCGTTTTCTTTCTGCGCCTCTCGCAAGGGGAGGGTGGAGGAGCTCATCATGTACCAGCCTCAAGAAGCAGCCCAATGGAGAACTACATGATTATAAGATACTGTGTCCAGTCCATCAACTAAAAAGTTTGCCCCCCCAATCTTCTACCTGTCTTTTCCCGCAAGGCTAATGTATTTTCCAGGATGAAATTCGCGCATAGGTATTCTCATACCTTGGAAAGCGAGGGATTTCCTCTGCACTGGGTGCGTTGTGCTATTTCTTATCGCCAACTCAAAAAATGCATCAAGCGAATTCGTGATGAACTCGCCGAGCTTGGTCTACCGCCGGAAATTCTTAACCACCTTTGGCTTTCCGAAGACGTGAGGGATAGTATTGGTAAATCGGACACGTCAATTGTTGGGTTCTCCTACTCTTTCTTGAGTAAGCTATGGGCAGTCTTTTTGATTTGTTTATCTAGTAATTCTCAACAGCTCCAGGTTGTCCTTCCGGCCTTGCTCCGAAATTGACATTTCTCATTGATCCCAACGAGTCGCACATACCCGAATCTTTGTCCGCCGAAACTCGCGAATATCTTCGTGTCCTCCTCGGCACCTCCGGTAAACAAGCCGCATCATCCACGAGTGAGACGTCTGTCAGCCTTGCCCAACATGTTGTGGTATCGTGTGGATTGGCCAGCGGGGAAATGGGTAAGTCCTTTGTTTCTGCCAGCGAAGCTTGCAAACCAATTCAAGAAGTGGAGATACCGTTACATTCGGACTCCGAATTTTTCCAAATTCTCAAAAAAGAACTATCCATCCTCCATGATTTACAAGAACGAGAGCGAAAGGAATTGGACAGTCAAGTGAAACATTTACGTGACAGCCTCGTTGAGACGATAAGTTCCCATTTAAGTTGGTCAAGGCCTACTCTCTCCACCTGGCGCGAAATATTTCGGCTGTACATAGATTCTCAAGTATTTTTCTCTACCGATGAGCTCGATTCAGGTGAAAGAACATCCACGGTGGCCCACCAACAGTTGGTGAAATTCCAAAGCTCTTTATCAGAAAACAACCGGTATAAAAAACTTGGAAAAAACGGTCGGGTTGTTCTTGAATCATTTTTAAAGATTAATTTCGTCCTCCTGCAAAGCTTGAAGTTTCAGGAGATCAATCGGATAGCACTGCGGAAGATCCTCAAGAAATTTGACAAGCGAACAGCTCTTCGTGCTTATCCAGCAATTCCGCTATTGGAGCCCCTCCTGGCTCGCAATGTCGCAAAGATTCTTTGTCAGACTATCTCTCAGGAGCTTCTGAGTATTGTTCCCCAGATCACTGATTACCTTTGTCCAATATGCTTGAGCATATCCTTCAAGCCTGTTAGACTGCGCTGTAACCATGTTTTCTGTATCCGCTGTCTTGTGATCATGCAACGAGCACAGCAGAACCAATGTGCCTTATGTCGCAGAGAAGTTGTCATGGAAGCCACAAGTGGTGAGTTCCCCAGAGTTCTGGCTTGTCATCAGTTATGATTGACCTCCGTGTAGACAATCTGGACCAGGAGCTTCTTGCATTTCTGAGTACTGTTTTCCCAAAAGAAACCAGGATCAAACAAAAGGAAAATGAAAGAGCTGCAAGGATGGATCTTTATGGCAACACGTATGATGCCTGCACCCTCATGTAACTCTTGTTGGCCTCTTTATTTTGTACTCTTTTACTTTTTACTTTTATTTTTATTCTCCCCCCCACCCCAGACGGGCCAAATAGCTGTCTGTATCTATTCATAGCCATGGAGCATGATTGATTATTTAAAGTCCAATAATAACCTCTAAATATCATCGATCTACGGGGTACCACCTCAAAAGGGCCTTCGGAGTGGGCTCACTATGTGGTCATTGTTACCAATATATTCCTCTTTGCGTCAACCCAGCAATTTAATCCTCACATCATGATTAACTGGTTAGGTATATAGAGAACTCATATTTATAGCCATTTCTGCAAGTCAACTTTAGATCCCGGTCAGGTACGCAAATTTTCCATGGGCCAATCCCAGTCAGCAGATGGTGGGAATGGAAATCCTCACAGGAGAGAACGTGATGAGGCCAACGGCAAGAGGGACTTCTATGAGATCTTAGGGGTAGAACCGCTTGCAACCACAGAACAGTATGCTCATTGCCTCTCATTTACTTGTGAACAATTGTTGGGTGATTTGCTAACAATCTTGATATAGCCTCAAAAAAGCATACCGCAAGAAGGCACTAGAACTTCATCCAGATAAAAACTATGGCAACATTGAACAATGCACTGCGCTCTTTGCTGAAGTTCAGGCAGCATATGAAGTCTTATCGGATCCGCAAGAAAGGGCTTGGTATGACTCAAATAGGGATGCAATTCTCTACAGCAAGGATAATCCACGGGGAGATCAGCATTCCTATAATTCTAAGGTAACTAGGACGGAGGATATTTTGAATGCCATGATAAACTTCAACCCGCGTACGGAATTTTCTGATGACTCTTCTGGGTTTTTCGGTGGAGTCCGGGAAATATTTGAACGGTTAGCCCAGGAAGAATTAAATGCGTGCATCATGGACGGTCTGGAATCAGTTAATTATCCCTCATTCGGCTTCAAAGACGATGATCTCGATAACATTCGACCTTTTTACGGCGTATGGTCTACATTTTCCACCAAGAAATCCTTTGCGTGGAAGGATACCTACAAATACTCCGAGGCACCCGATCGACGAGTTCGGAGGCTGATGGAGAAAGAAAATAAACGCTTAAGGGACGAAGCAATCCGGGAGTTCAATGATGCAGTGAGATCACTGGTGTCTTTCGTGAAAAAACGTGATCCCCGATACAAATCAGTAGTCCAGAATGAACTTGAACGTCAGAGATTGTTACGGGATTCTGCTGCCATGCAGGCTGCTCGCTCGCGAGCAGCAAACGAAGCAAGACTTGGAGAGTACTCGGTGCCTGAGTGGGCGCAAAGGGAACAGCTTGAGGAGGAAATGTTCAGTGCTACATCTGAATCTGAGCAGGATCATTTTGAGTGTGTGGTTTGCCGCAAAACATTTAAAAGTGAAAAGCAATTTGAAGCCCACGAGCGGAGTAAAAAGCATATTAAAGCTGTAAGGCAGCTCCGCTATGAAATGAAGGTTGAGGATGACCACGTTCAGATAAACACATCTGAATCTCAGGAGGGAGTCGTGTGTGGGCCTGAATTTGACACAACCACTGCCAGAGAAACGGATACGGCCGACAATTTGCAGGAAACCCTTCAGTGTGAAGACATTGGTGAAAATGCAACAATGGATAATGAAGGAACTGAATTTTCATGCAACAGTGACACCCCTGAACAGCCTCCCACTATAGAGCATCCATTGGGAGAATCTCACGATAGTGCTGTTGATCAGGTTGGTGCATCCTTTGCAAATTCTTCTATTGCTGATGCTCGGCCAACGGAAAGCACAGTGAGGAAGGTGGGGAAAGCAAAGCAGAAGCGAGCCAAAAAGGCAATCAAAACTGAAGGCCAGAAGGGGAATCTTGCTTGTGGGACCTGTGGACGCTCGTTCATGTCCAGAAACAAGTTGTTCTGCCATCTTAAGGAGGAGAGTCATGGCATTCCTTCCAGTCAGGTAAATGAAAAGCACTAGATGATCTACCAAACCTTCCAAGATTCAATACCAAAGCAAACAAACATGGTGCTTAGGAAGTTCAACCTACAGGGTCAATGTTATTTAAGTAACCAAGCTAACAATCCTTTCACATGATATTTAGACCGTTCTTTAAAAATGTAAGCATCAATCTCTCATTGACCCAGAACATCCGTATAACCCCATGGGAGAGCATATTATCACCCAAGGCATGTTTTGCTTGTTTTCACCACATGGACAACTGGATGCAAAATCCCTTGGGTGTTTATTGCCCCTAAAGTTGAGCCTTTTGTCCATCCCATCTTCTCCAACATCATTCGTCCTCGGTTTTCGGCGCCTAATTCAGGGGCAGATGCTCCAACAACATCTCCATCCATATATGACGCTGCTCTAATGCCGTTCCCTCGGCCCCGGTGGCTTTTACCCATATGCTGTACAGTTGATGCAGAGCCAAACAGAGCTTCAATCTTGCCAATGGACTCGGTGTCGAAACTGCGCGTCCGCGCAGTTTTAGTTAGTATAGGAAAACGAGATCTTCCATGTCCTCTGGATTGTGACTTCAACGACAATATATTTGCCAATTCGTGGACGACTTTACGGGTTTTCTTATCCATCGGCGGAAGTGCCAGTCTAATTTGGGATGTGTGAGCGTTTCTCCATATAAATAGTAGTCCAGGCAGCCATCTAACGAAAGAGATAAACTTACACCTGAGTCTGGGACAACAAAAAAACGCGAATCTCCTGCCGAATGTCATCGAAGTCGATCCCATTCGAATATTTAGCATTTAAATTCACCTGGCCTGGCTTACCACCAAGTAACCCTTGGGCACGTAACTCCTCTCGGTGCTTTTTTGCCTTCTTCTTCTTTTTCCGATCATTCTCCCACGACAGATGCAGCTCCAATTCAAGGTCGCTATCTGACAAGTCAAAAGTTGGCGGCGGTTGTCTGCGGTTGGCTTTAGACTTTTTCAAACTTGGTCGCTCGAAATCCATAATGTCAAATGCCCCATACGACTCTACATCAAGGGCTAAAGTAGACATGGATAATAGCTTTGAGATCCGACGTTGTTGTGCAAAGCGGCCTGTTGAAGGCAAAGGAGACTTTTCCTCAATTTCATTATCATCACCATCATCGTCATCGTCATCGTCATCATCATCATCATCATCATTTGGCCCATCAACATTCGCGCTACCAGGATCTAGGTCCTCAAAACCAGGCGTGGAGGAGCCATGGACATGGCTGGAGGAAATCTTATCGAACGAAAGATTGTGGATGGGCACCGGACTCGCTGTCTTGTGTTTTGTGCCTGAAGAGCATTCCCCATCCGCCGAGTCAGACTCATCTATATGCGCAATATAATCTGCTATTGCGGCATCAGATATATTTATATCCTCATAGTCGGTAGCAATTGCGAGATGGTCCTGGCGATCCCGAAATCCTTCAAGATTTATGTTTTCAAATGAATTGGGTGTCAATTCTCGACTTGTAGTGCTGACCTCATTGTATGTTTGAAGTTGGGACTCTTTTTGAAAGTTATCACAAGGAGTGGCGCGATCCATTTCCGTTTCTCCATGCCAATGATTAAATGTGGATACATGTTTTCTTCCTTTGAAAACTACCTCATCATCGGAATCGGAGGAAGACGCAGCGATAACATGTCCTTGGTGAGCCGAAATATTTTCTTCGAGGGCTGGCTTTAATCCCCCCATATTAAAAGGCGCGGAATTGCCCGGAGACCGATCCAGCCTTGGGGACTCCTCCATATGGTGAGGTTGTGAATCTTGAGACTTGCTTAGAGATATTGGATCATCTGGTGCCATGTTACCAGCACTAACAAACTGTATTCCATGATATCGCAATTGTTTAGTCGACCTCGTTAACGAATGGCGCTCTGTATTCAGAGCCTCCTCGCTCATGGTAAATTTCTGGCTGTTGGCGGGTGCTAAAAAAAGGTTAAAGAAATGTGAAGTCAGCCATACATCAACAAGAAATTCTGGATAATCTGGCTAAATAACCTCACCAGCATTGCCATCTTTGTAATTGTCCATGGTTTCCTGTTAAATAAGTCCATCATATGTGATGCGAACAAGACATACCTGTGTATCTGCTGGATTTATGATGCTGAGAACGTGCTTTTGATCTTCTTGATTTCCCCATCCTTGAAAAGTGAATCCAGAAAGTTACAGAATCAGGATCAAAGTGTTCTCGATGATCACTGGTGCACCTGCTGTGGGTTGGAGGGGTGGCTTTTACAGGTGAAATGTGCACAGTCCTGCGTGGGGAGGAAGTGATGTCACTTTGTAGGTACTTGAGTACTCTGCAGTTTTAATAGCTAGGGAGAAAAAAAAAAAAAAAGAAAAGGGAAATCTAAGTTGTGACATAGGCTCCACAAGGGCCAGCGCACAAGTAAACAAACCAGCAACTTACAATGCACAGACGGATATTAGTAATCAGTTGAACTGGGTACTTGGCGGTTCAGCTGCTGGTTACGCCACAGACCGTGTGGACAAGAGAGCTGGGGAATTTTAAGCAAGCGAGAGTTGATAGCTCTAGGACAGAGAACAGGACCATTATATCCCATGACCAGAATTTCTGCAGTACAGACGACTATCGGTCTATGATGTTTCTTCCAACTTAGCCTACCAAAGCCTCACATAGGCAATTCTATATTAACAAGGGACCTTGGATTTGAATTATGTGATCTTGTGGAATTAGTTACCTCACTGAGTTCATGCGTTCATTCTTCAAAAAGCCCACTTGGGCGAATGCTGACACTGAAGCTCCCCTGACTGAGTTTTACCGTCGTTCACAGCACCTTTATTCGGATATAGTGGCAGAACAGCAGCACAATGCTGAAAGCGATCATGAAGAGGAAAAACAGCCCAATCCGGTGACAGATGAAGAGTTGAGAGGGGAGAGACATGTGAAGAGGCAATGTACCTCATCTAATAATAGAGTGACGGTATCTAGTTGTCCTGGTAAGGCTGCTGTGAGGGACAGATCTCCAACCAAGACCATATGATTCCAATGCATTCCTACTAACTAACCCTGTTTTCATCAATAGTTCCGAAACCAACTTCATTTACCATTAAAGGTCGACAGACAAACCCTGTCGACCTCGATATAGCGACCAAACCACTCGAATGTACCACGACAGTAGAACAGTTACTTCCTGAACCGGTATCCGAGACAAGCAATGATGAGTCACTGTCGGAAGAGGAATTTCCGGAGCTTGCACGAAAGGCCCGCGAAAGGGCACGCCAACATGTAGCACCTTCGAGTGGCCATGCTCCAACGATGCAGAAGCCCGATCTTCATAAACCGCGAAACGAATTTAATGCAGAGTCCCCGGATCCTATCGTCCCTGGGCCCCACTGCAAAACTGGTGAAGCTCCTCTCTGCGACCCAGTTGTACACATTCTTATTACTTCTTCGATTGAAAATACAAAACCACTGCTCGTCCGCCGGCGATTGTCTCAAAATCTAGGGGATGTACGAAAGGCCTGGTGCAACAAGCAGGCATTCAGCCCCAAACTCGCCTTTTCTATTTTTCTCACATGGAAAGGCCGACGAGTGTTCGATGTTACTACCTGTCAGAGCCTAGGGATCCGAGCTCCGGCAGCCAGTGACAGCTCTTTCTTTGCGAATAGCTTTTCAAACGATGACGGGATCTTACGTATTCATATGGAGGCCACTACGCAAGAATTGGTCGAAATGCAGAAACGGCAAGGATATATGAGCCTACATCAGGCAGAGAGATCAAGTATTGCGCGGGAAGAGATTACAGAGCAGGTGATTCGCATTACCCTACGGACTCCAAGCTCCGAAGATTTCAAACTCAAAGTTCGGCCGACATCCAAAATATCTGATGTCATTAAAACCTTTCGCACTGCTCTGGAAATTTCAGAGAAGGTGGTTGACTTTCATTTTGATGGTGAACGTCTTAATCCTGATTCTTCGGTCAGGGATAATGATATTGATGATCTGGATTGTATTGATGTTGTTATAAAGAATTGTAGATGATGACCCACAGTGCGTCTCTCAAAGGGTAGCTATTCATTAAAGGATTGTATGTGATTCATATAGCCGGTAGTTAGCTTTATTCCAATTCAAATGGCAGTTGATGGTAACCACAATCTGGAGAGAAATTAGCCACAAGTATAGAATGTGATAGTGAATGCTTCTATTGCTAGTTAAAGCTGGCGGAAACCACAGCTGCAGAGTGGCAGGAGGAACAGTAGGACCACAAACCAGCAGAGACAAGAGCATTTAGCATGTGTTAGTCTTACTCCAACCTTGTGAAGGCAACCCCCTGCAAGCACACAAGACAAGGCACAAGAATCCATACAGATAGAAGACTTACTAGCTAATATGGAACCACAGTCTTTCCAAGGTTATTACTTATTATGCTAGGAAGGTGCTCATGTACATAAATATATCTTTGTCCTCAACCACCTACTGTAGTTTTAGAGCATCAAGCTTATCATACCTATCATTCTCCAGTATTGCGGTGATCTCTACTCCGTACTCTGTATTTAAACACTTTTCTTCTTCCAGCACTGACTGAAGCCTGGAGAGTGGTATTAAGACACTAGTCTCTATGTAGTTAGTTAGTCTCCATTAGCAGCTCATTATCTTTGATCTGATGCAGAGTTTTCGTCCCAGTTCTCATCCAAATCTCTTACAAAGTTGGTGAGCAAGAGCACAAGATGCATAGAGTTCATGTTCTGTGGTCCCTATAAGTAGCTTCCGCATACGGTTAGTAGCCTTGTAGGCCTTGGAAGACAAAGTCCTGAACTAAGAACTGGAAACCTCAATAGTGGATGCCATCCCAGGTTCCTCAGTAATGCAAAAATGAAGGTTCTAACAGCAAATTTTGTGACATGTGCTGTGAAAAGCTGCAAAGCGTCCCCTACTTCATTCCCACTCCATTTCCATAATGCAGAGCTTGAGCAGCAGGAGATTGAGTTCTCACCCCAATTACTCTACAATATCCTACCTCGCATAGACTGGGATGCACTGCAAACAACAGCAAATGAAGTAAGTTGTCATATGTCTTATCCTTGTGACTATAGCTTCAATAAAAATTTGACCGATGAGTATTTATGCTTCTTGATCATTTTGATATTCCTAGAATCCAAGCTGACGATCCAGATATAGCTAGGTTTTGCGGGTCTAGTTGATTCAAAGCCAGAGAAGGACCAGTTGCAAAACGAACAACTATTACGAGACCTCCACCGGCTTCTACTTGAAACTTCCGTTGTCGAGGGTAAACTCGTTTGCGGCAACTGTGGGCACGAGTACAAGATTAAAGAGGGGATTGCGAACTTTTTGCTCCCGAGTCACTTAGGTATGTCTTTATTCTTCTCCACACCGAATTCCTAATGAGCGAGCACGGTTGTAAGAACTTCCATTTTATCCTTCGATTGAAACCACATGTACCAGTGCTGATCTTCGTCCCACGCATCTAGTCTGAGGGTATAGTAAATTATTGAGCGAGTGGTTGATATACGAGAAAGTTCATCAGGATCCTGGGCATGATGTAAAGCCTTTCGAAGCATCATTTAGTGACGGACGAGGAAGGGTGCACGCATCGCGTATAGAAGTTGCTATGGTCATTATTATAAGCAACAAAGAAGATCTCCCCGCAATTCCATATCGAAAAAGGCAGCATCTATTATCAAGCCTCTTTCTAGGCCCGATTACAGTACCGCCAAGTCAACCAATAGGCCTCTAAACGGTATCCTCGCTTTCATTGGGCCCGCAGGCTTCGATAACTACATTGATATATATGTATGCTTCATACATACTTATTCGCAATACTTAGGCAGCATCTCCCATAGATGTTAGGATGATTGCAAACATGTCATTTTTCTTGCACTGCAGCATTAACTTCCAGGTAAAACTCCAAGTATTTAAACCTAGCCCTAGCCATGAACTTTCGCCTCCGATAACAATTGAAGGTAGAAATTAGACCTATTTGGGACGGTACAAGAATATATGGAGGATACATGACCATTGTAACAGAGACGTGCAAGATCCTAAGAAACAAAGAAAGAAAAAGGGAGGACGCCTAACGCATCGCGGAAAAGGCAATATCGAGTCTCGACGGTTGTCCACAGCCCCAAAATCAAAGCTTGTTAACGCTATGAAGGTTACGAAAATAGATCTTTACAAGGTGTATTCAACTGTGTTTTAAAAGGAGTAAAAACCAGAACACCGAGGGTAGAAGGCTTCAGTATGTCGAAAAGTGAAATCAGTTTAGGAACCCCTTACAGCCGGCCGAGCCGCAAAGGCATGGTATTCTATCATCGCTATCCCATTCCCGCTCAAACTTGTAGTCATAGGTGAGTTCCTCGTCTGTAATAAGCAAGCGTTAGACATGAGAGGACAGCAAAAGATCCAGTGGACAAGTCAACGTACCTCGGTCGATATCTCTCAATGCATAAATAACGATCCGTTTGCTACCATCAACTTTGATTATCTTTGCAGTGCAATTTGGAGTGCAACTATGATTGATAAATCTTGCAATTCCACCTCTTTTTGTAGCATCAATAACAGTGTTTTCGTCAATTCGGAATAGGTAGCTGCTCCCTATACCGCTCTTCAAATATCTCCTTTCACGCATGTCTGCGACTTGTTGACGAACTTTCTCTCCAACATACTCAATAATCATATCGTTGGCGGAGATATTTTCCTCGGCGTACAGTCCCCAATTATGAATAGCCGATCGAGCAAAACGCACTGGCTTTTTCCGCTTTTTCAGTTGATTGAATCGCAGGACGTCGCTGTCCCCATTTTGCATTGGGAGGGCTTGCTTCTGTGCATTGATATCAGCGATCAGACGCCGATTATTTACACGGGTAGACCGAGACGTAGATTTAGAAAGTGATTTAGCCGCAAGAAGTCTCGCCGCTTCGGCGGCTGCTGCATGAGGGTCATTCTTCGCTTTAGCCAACCGTTCTTCGCGAGCTTTCTGGACTTTGATCCGATGAGGCAGGTACTTCGATTTTTCTGATTCCCGAATCCTTTTTCTTCCCTCTGTCCTTGCCGAACCAGAAGGATTTGGAACATAATATCCGTCAACCCTTGTCTCAGAGTGCACTGGGCCTCTGTCGCCGCCGCGATTAATTGCCTTTATTTCTTTATGCTTCCAAGTCCAAGCGGCCAGATTCCCAATATCCGCCGCGAGATGCTCTGACAGAGCCTTTTTAAGGAAATTAATATCCTCGTCATCCTTAATGAGACTCTGCCAGCCGTCCAAGTCGAGGACAATTGTATCATCGTCTTCTGCTGTTGGTCGCGGTTCGTCTGTTGACACTCCCCATTCCACTTCTGGTTTCAGCTCTTCAATGGCCGGTTCAGAAATTTCTATTTCCCCTTTGGGTAGCAACTCGACTGATTCTTCGAACAATAGAGGCTGCGTAGAATCAATTTCTTTCCGTTTCGGGGCTTGCCTTTCCTCAAAGATCTGCTTCCCGGATTGACCCTTCACTTTACGTTTCTTGTCTTTCGGTACCGGTGTTACCGTCCGCAAAGCATCGGTTGAATCTGCAGGCAGAGCCTCTTGTGCTGTTTCCTCAACCAGTGATTCCAAAGGTTTCGCGTCAAGTTCAAATAAATTATCGACTTCTTTTCGCTTTTTGCGTGTTGCAAGCTCTTCAATTAATCGTTTCCTCTTTTTAGACGAAGTTGGAAGTGTGTTGATTCCCCGTTCTAATTCTTCAATGATACTCTTCTCCCTGTCCGGCAGACCGCTCTGCTCAATACCGCCCGCCAGGCTTTCAGACTCCGGCAGGGGTACGTCTAGCGGTTTGGCATCCAACAAGCTTGGGATTTTCCGCATTAAGTCATCCTCATTGTCGGATTCCGCAGACTCCGAACTTAGACGGCTGAGAGGGCGGCTTTCCACCTCTTCCGTGTCTCGAGCGAAGGAAACCTGCTGGTCATCATCTGAATCTTCAATCTCATGAAGTTGCTGAAGGCGGTGATATAAGGGCCTAAACTCTCTTTTCCTCGGTTTGGCTCTTCGCCTTTCATCGATATATACCGCGTTACCTTGCTCAAATCCTTTGACCTTCCTTATACGCGGAAGCGCCAAGACATTCAAACTGGAAACACCACCGGGTCGATGGTGACGAGAATAAGCGTCTGATTGGGAATGGACCACGGTGCCATCAGTCGATGCATCGATCCTAAAGCTGGGTCGCCCCGTACCCTCAGGCGCCGGAATTCCAAGTTGTTGCCGTTTTGCGTTGTGACGGTCAGGCTCAAGGAAATCATACAAAGCTGGAGCCGCCACTCGGGATTTAACATCATCTAGTAGCTTGTCTCTCAATTCAATGATAAGAACGCTGAGGGCTTCCCGCGCGGGATCGAGGTTTTCTACTCGGAGTCGTTTTTCTTCCTCGATATCTAGCTCCATTTCCCGGTGCAACCTCTCCCTTTTCGCCTTCTCCCGCTTCTCTGCTTTAATGCGCTCAGGACTCGGGCTTCTTTCGTAGTTCGGGTTACCATATGGTTGGCATTCCATGTTCATAACATAGGTAAAAAGTGCAGTCATATGACACATTCTGTAGCATCGTTCTGCTTCTAATTCACCACGGCGCGAATTTTCGAAGACAATATAGTATCCGGTCTTATCGCATCTGACCGCCTTCCAATCGTAAAGCTTTAAGCGGCGCTCTAGGTGCGGAACTGTGGTGCTCAAAACCGGAACGTAACAATGGGCAATGAATATGTACGGATCCCGTTTGATTTGCTGCAAAATGGGCGTTTCTTCAATTCTCGAAGGCACCGGCGACTTCAAGACCGCCCGTGGGCCATCGGGAGCCAGAAGAGAAGGGTGAAGAGAAGATCGTCCCGATGGCCCCTTCGGAGCTGTAGAGGGTGGAAGATTGTCTTTTGACTGTTCGTTGTCCTTTTTCGCACCCTCACCTATGGGTAGCCGGTTATCATTATTTCCGACAGACTCCTTCCTACTTTCCTCTAGCGAAGGAAATTCTGATTTCTGGGCTGTAATAAGTTTCGCAACCATTCGGCCGCTGACGACGCCATTTCGATCCAACTCGACCCGAATTCGCCGAGTTCCAATCCTCTGCTCTTTTTTACATTCAAGGTACGCCCTTCTGACGGCCTGGGAAGCGGATAAAGATATACCACCGCGGAACGCTCGACTATCCTTATATTTAATGGAACAAACTCCAAGGAATCTACCAGTCATAGGATCGGTTCGGTTATTGATCTCTCCAATGTCCCCAAAGCTGGAAAATAAGGCACTTATAGCAGCGATCGGTGTTAAGGGATCAAAACCAGTCACCACTATCTGAGTCGGAGGTCCGGGACCGACAGAGGTAGTAGGATCGTACGCCCACGGTCGAAGAATATAAGGCGTTGGTCGATACTTGGTCTTTTGTTTGCAAGCAGCACCGCGGGTATAGTTTGCAATTGCCATGCGAGGGTCGCAAGGGGGAGGGTCCTTTTCATCGTCGACGCCGAATGTCTCGTACTGGGGCTTCCTTCGCCTGTCTTTGGACGGAAATTTCCTATCAAGATCCGGATCATATGTTATTTTGTGGCCTTTAACCTCGCTGTTTGCCGGACGTGCTTGTACGCGAGGAGTCGGAGGGGTGTGCAAGGGCGTAATTGTGACAGGCTCAGGTCCGCCATGAGCTTCGCATGTCGGTGCGAGCTGAGGTGCAGCATCCGTGGAGCCAGATTTGGAACCCAGCGGGCTTTCGATCTTACACGGGGGGGAAGAATCGGTATTTGTCAAGGGGGTGAGGGCACAGGAGCTTATCCCATTCGGTTTCGCTACCCCGGGTGGCGCAGAGGCAGAGAAGAAGCCCGAGGAGCCAGTGCTAAGGGAACTCGAAGATGTTGCTCCATTGGTATCACCGAGCGCAAGAGTCGTCTCCGCGCTTCGCTCACCCACGGCCCTGACAGGATTATCCGCTGACGTGCCCACCCCACCTTTGATGTCGGGAGTCGACGATAGGCCCAGGTTCGGTAGCGGATCGGCCGCCTTTGGCGTGTTGGCCGCGTGCCGGTCCTGGGCAGCTTTGCTACGTTTCTTTTGGAGAACAGATGGAGCGGTCGGAAAAAAATCTGCGAAGCCAGCGGGGGCACGCGACATGGTCACAGAGATGGCTATGAGCCTGATGCCGACCACGTATAGCGTGCAAACACCATCCTTGAATCTTATTCACAAGCTGAGCCGTTCCTATGCAGTGCCACGAAACGGGCTACAACCACGAGATGCGACCGGCTGTTAGGGGGCTGGGGATTAAAAGGTGCTAAAAACGCGATTGTGGCCGGCAAGAGAGCAGATGCGGCGAGTGAAAATCAAGAAGGAACACCAATCGAAGGGGTTGCGGGTACTTGAGTTGGTCAAGAGGCCGGCTTGGTTTGGGAGCAAAAGGGGGTTTCCCACATGGGCATTCACCTTGACAAAGCTTCGCAATCCACAGAAGAATAGTGCAAGATGGGAAAAAACAATTTTGCGGAGGTTTGGATATTGCTCCAGGGCTGGATGTCGAGGGTCCCAAATAGGAATAGTGAGATCACTGGTAAGAGGTCATGGACCGACATTACGGAGTGCAAAGAGTATAGTACTGTAATATGTGAGAATCGACCTGTGACAAGCCAAATACTGCCTTGGCACTAGACCCGGAGGAGCGCTGGAATTACGCCGCTTTACGCACTAATATTATATAATCACACCGCTGCCATGTTTGCGTGGTTTGCTCACCCTAATAACTAGTTGGGTGGTAGTTAGTTTATGTAATCCCAGCAGGGGGGTCGGTTTCGGCCCAAAGAACGGAGCACTCTGGACAGACCACAGGGCTGAAAAGATGTGTGGATGGAGGACTTGTGGGCGAGCTCACTAGCGGATTCTAGGGGAGGGATGATGATGTACGGAGTACTCTCGAGCTTAGGAAAGGAAGCCAGGATAAGCAACTCCTCTGCGGAGGATACAGAGTAACTGCTTTACTGTGCTCCGTACCTTTGAAGGAACCCCTACAGAGTACCTTTGTTGCGCTGAACTGTGTGACCGAGGACAAACAGTCACTTGGAAATGTATTCTAATTGTGAACTCACTACCCCCCCTGGTGCGGCTGTGATCTGGCGGCTACAACAAAACTAGCTGTGTCGTTAACTACTCTGTAACCACAGTACAGAGTACTCCGTACATAGTCAGCTTTATTTCAGGACCGAGTCTGGGTCAAGTGCTCCATACATAAGATGCCATCTTGCTCTACGCAATCCACTAAAACTAGTTCTCCATAGTGCAGACACCCAGAGGCGAAGATCATAGCCTTTAGTTGTTTGGGCGCAAGGGGACCGGGCCGGGTCTGCTGGAAGGCCGGACGCAACCCTGATTGGCCAAATTGCTGGCGAGTTGGGAACCATGGCAAGGTGCTGTCTCACGTCCTTTTTCGGCGCTGTTCCTGGTCCTCGGAAGAAGCCCCCCGTGGCGGTCAAAATTCCGCAAGTTACCATATGCCCTTCCGGCATCGAGCAAACAGGATCTACGCGATCAAGCAATACGTACGGAGGGGTAAATAGGTTACATACAGGCTCGCAAATACTTCAGATGGCAGGCAGTCTCGAATGGCAGCAGGTTCCGACATTCGACGAACTGCTCCGTGCAGCTGGGCGTATAATTATCGGAAATGCCACTTCGATGGCAAAGTGGAGAAAAACTCCCTGTTATGCACGGTGATTAGTTAGTTCTAGCGACGGGGGGGCCACTCTCAAGGACTGTGTGCTGTACTAGTTTCCCCTACAGGCCCGTAAAAGTGGGAAGAATGCCTATATTTAACCACAAGATATGAGACCCGAGGCGGAATTTAACTGGCCGCAGTCGGGCACAGCCCTTTGAAAATTGACCACACCGCATTCCGGCTCCTTTCTCTTACTCCCCCCCTCCCCGAGTCGCCAGCTCCCCGTCAAACACCGTCAGCTTTGGTTGGTATCTCTATCTCTTCTCCCTCCTCTGTCCCTCTATCTCCCTCTCTCTTCTCCTGTGCTTCCTCCCTCTTGCCCACTCCGTCGTCATCCAGGGGTTCAGCCGCTCCGGATCGTCCTCTCCTTCCTTTCCCTGGTACGGAGTATATTTAGCTGCCTGCTCCTCCCTCTTTCCCCGCCTCTCACCTTTCTTCACTTTCGTCGTCCCCCTAACGAACTCCGACTTTCTCACCCATATTCCCTCGCTCAACACAACAGTTCCACGTTCGCTGCAGCTATATCCTCGTTCCCCAAACTTGCCATTCGTCTTTATCGCTCTTTGAACCAAAAACCACCCCGTGTCTGACAGCAGTTGACCCTATTCCACCAGTACATCTGCAACCATGTGGTATGAAACCTTCCCCCTCCCCAACCAAAGCATTCGATCATGCTCGCTGACCATTGCGAATCCAGCGGTATTTTCGGTTACATCAACTACCTCGTTGAGAAGGATCGTGCCTACATCATCGAAACCCTGCTCAATGGTGAGATGTTTCCCGCATCGTTTGCATTCGCTTTAAATGCATATCGGGCGTTTTCGCTAATCTCTCTCTTTATCTGTTTGCCAGGCCTATCAAGACTCGAATATCGTGGCTACGATTCTGCTGGGCTTGCCATCGATGGAAATAAGAAGAACGAAGTCATGGCCTTCAAGGAGGTTGGCAAGGTCGCCAAGCTCCGAGAACTGATTGCCAGTGCCAACCCAGACCTAACCCAGGTCTTTGACTCCCATGCCGGTATTGCCCACACCAGATGGGCCACACATGGGTCGCCATCCCGACTCAACTGTCACCCACACAGGTACGCTTGCTTCCCCGTTTGCTCCATGCTCTACTTGACCATGGTTACAACGAATTGACGATTGCTCGCTCACACGCCCACAGGTCCGATCCAAACTGGGAATTCTCTGTTGTCCACAATGGGATCATCACAAACTACAAGGAGCTCAAAGCGCTTCTTGAAAGTAAAGGCTTCCGTTTCGAAACAGATACAGACACCGAATGTATCGCAAAGCTTGCCAAATACCTCTACGATCTTCATCCAGATATCGACTTCACCGTTTTAGCAAAGGCTGTAATCAAGGAGCTTCAGGGTGCCTTTGGTTTGTTGCTGAAGTCTGTGCATTACCCGCACGAAGTCATCGCTGCACGAAAGGGATCTCCTTTGGTCATCGGTGTTCGCACGTCGAAGAAGATGAGAGTCGATTTTGTAGATGTTGAGTTCTCCGAGGATGGTCCGCTTCCGGCGGAAGAGGCGTCTCAGAACCTCGCCATCAAGAAATCGGCCGCAAGCTTGTTGGCCCCGCCGGACAAGTCGCTCTTGCATCGATCGCAATCTCGCGCGTTCTTATCCGACGACGGCGTTCCCCAGCCCTCCGAATTCTTCCTCTCTTCGGACCCTTCTGCCATCGTCGAGCACACAAAAAAGGTCTTGTATCTCGAAGACGATGACATTGCTCATATCCACGATGGCCAGCTCAACATTCATCGTCTGACCAAGAACGATGGTACTTCAAACGTCCGTGCTATCCAAACCATCGAGTTGGAGCTGCAGGAAATCATGAAAGGAAAGTTTGATCATTTTATGCAGAAAGAAATTTTCGAACAGCCCGAATCTGTTGTCAACACGATGCGCGGTCGTCTAGACGTCGCAAATAAGAAAGTCACATTGGGCGGCCTTCGCCAGTATATCTCAACTATTCGACGCTGCAGACGAATTATTTTCATCGCCTGTGGTACCAGTTATCATTCGTGTATGGCGGTTCGTGGAGTGTTCGAGGAGCTAACAGAAATCCCCATTGCTGTCGAACTAGCATCGGATTTCTTGGATAGAGAGGCCCCCGTTTTCCGCGACGACACTTGTGTTTTCGTGTCACAATCAGGTGAAACTGCTGATTCCCTCATGGCACTGAGATACTGCCTTGAGCGAGGCGCGTTGACGGTTGGCATTGTGAACGTTGTTGGTTCATCTATTTCTTTACTCACTCATTGTGGTGTGCATATCAATGCCGGCCCTGAAATCGGTGTTGCTTCAACCAAGGCCTATACTTCTCAATTTGTGGCCATGGTCATGTTTGCTTTGTCACTTAGTGAGGACCGTATTTCCAAGCAAAAGCGGCGCGAGGAAATTATGGAGGGCCTTTCAAAGGTTTCTGATCAATTCCGGGAAATCCTTAAACTTAACGAACCAATCAAGGAGATGTGCGCGAAATTCTTCAAGGACCAGAAGAGCTTGTTGCTTTTGGGCAGAGGAAGCCAATTTTCTACCGCATTGGAAGGTACACATTCCTCCCCTCCCCGCCCAAAAAAAAAAAAAAAAAAAAGTGTGCAATACCATATTAACCCTCGCTATAGGAGCCCTCAAGATCAAGGAAATATCGTACCTCCACTGCGAGGCGGTAATGTCTGGAGAACTTAAACACGGTGTGTTGGCATTGGTTGACGAAAATCTCCCAATAATTATGATTTTGACCCGGGATAAAATCTTTGCCAAATCTTTGAATGCCTACCAACAGGGTATGATTGTTTCCCCGTGACTAACGTGATACATCACTAACATATTCTTTACAGTGATCGCTCGCGGTGGTCGCCCGATCGTCATTTGCAACACGAACGAAGAGGAGTTCCCACCATCGAGAGTGGAGAGGATCGAGATTCCTCAAACGGTCGATTGCCTCCAAGGCCTTCTCAACGTCATCCCTCTCCAACTTATTGCATACTGGCTTGCCGTTGCTGAGGGGTTGAATGTTGACTTCCCTCGTAATCTTGCAAAGTCGGTGACGGTTGAGTAGATGCTCCGTATTATCTTCAGGCGCCTTAAAATGACTCCAAATGTTGGTATTTTCATGGAAGCAAAGGTCATGTTATCTGATGGTACTCATGGAGCAAGGCCAGGTGTTAGCTAGTTAGTTGCTGCTACGTCCCCGGGTTATGTCTTTATTGCCGCGTAGGGATTGATCAAACATAGATATTATACTTTGTTCATATTCTTAAGTTTATACAGAGTACTACTACGTACAGAGTATTCTTTTGTATGTTTTCGATGGGGATAACCTATGTGGATGATAAGCACATAGGCACATAGTCGTTTGTTTTGGTGTACGGAGTACAAAGCGTCCATCGCTGCGCTACTCCATACCTAGGTTAAGTATAACATGCCGGATCGCGGCCATGGTTTAGCAAGGTTCTAGACAGAATAGGGTTTTGGAGGTCTACAACGAGTCTTCTGCTCTTTGAGGAGTTACAGCTCCACCAACCACAATTACATCCAAAATGGCTGCATTCAAAGGTCCTGGTCACACTGAAGTCTATAACGGTTAGTCTTATGTTTCTTTTTCAAGAAATCGAAGTGGAAAGGCCATGCCCGCGATGTTGGCGGGAGCGGGGCACTCCATCGACCAGATAGTAACGGTTCACAATAGGAGCAAATCTCCGCATCGCCATCGTCCACGCACGATGGAATACCCCGATAATCGAGGCTTTGGTCGGAGGTGCAAAGAAAAAGATGCTCGAGCTGGGGGTCAAGGAAAGCAATATCGTTATTGAAAGCGTACCGGGAAGCTTTGAGTTACCCTTTGCGGTCCGAAGGTGAACTAGTCCTCCCTAGACCCCGTCTTCTACTCCCCTGTTTGATGCCCCCCTCGGGCGAAGTTTGGGGAGTTAACCGATGGTTGGATCATGCATGTGACATTTTACTCATCGAATATGTAGGGTCTATACAGCATCGCACGTCCAAGCAGCTTCCGTTTCCTCAGGAGCTTCTGGAAGTGTAACGACCGATCTTCTGTCCTCGTCCACAGATTTTGCAAAACTTTCCACCACAACGGGCACAGCGTCGGATACGACCACCCCCAAGCCCACGTGTGCTAGCGCCCCCGACGCTACCGCAACGGGGCCATTTGACGCGATAATCGCCATTGGCGCCCTTATCAAGGGGGAGACGATGCATTTTGAATATATTGCCGATGCGGTTTCGCATGGGATTATGCGTGTCCAGCTTGACGCCGGGGTCCCGGTTGTGTTTGGCCTGTTGACCGTTTTGACGGAGGAGCAAGGACTCGTGAGGGCTGGAATGGTGGAAGATAAAAATGGGAAGCGGCACAACCACGGGGAGGATTGGGGTAGTGCCGCGGTGGAGTTGGGAATCAAGAGGAGAGCATGGGAGGAAGGCAAGATAGGGTAGATAAATACATGGGGGATTTTCGCACTGGGTGGCTGGATGGAATGAACGGCTCTCTTAGGGCTGATATCGAATCGTTCGGTGGAGACGATGAGGTCCATCAAATGTAGATTACACATCGAATAAACAACATGCACGGGTAAACGATACATTAGCACCTGAAACCGTAAAATTTCGGATCTAAAGTCTGAAATTTCTAACAACCCCAAGAACCATTGAAAGAAACCGCTCAAAAGAAAATCGAAGCGATCTATCGCAAAGGCTTGTCCGATTATTCTTCCATTTGGTCACCTTCCGCAGGCTTTGACTCGTCCTCTTCCTCTTCTTCCTCAGATATAGCCTTTTTGGCTGCATTTTCAGCTTCTTCGAGCAGCTCTTTTGGTACTTCCATATGTCTACCCTTGGTGGGGCCGTCCAAAGCGCTGATCCACGTCATTTCTAGCTCAAAATCCTTGTCCTTGCTGTCCTCATGGGCGATATAAATGATGCGTGCGGCTTCCTTAATCCCATTCAGGAGGCTAAGATTCTCCGACGGCAAATCTAACTTCTCAAGCTCAGCCTTGGCAGCTTGTCGACCTTTTCCAGTGGCAGCACCATAGTAACCCTATGGCGCGAAGGTTAGCCGGTAGGGGGTTCTACCAGTGAATACCATAAGCTTACCCAGTAAAGTCCGCTGGGCTCTATCATGAATAGGCCCGGCCCTCCAACCTTTGTGCCGTCTACCTTCCCGCCAGAACCCGACTTTGGTCCTGATCCGACTTGTCCATCCACAGGAAGCTCTGCTTCGGAGTCCCAGCCCCCTACTATGGCGGTGACACCGAATGGTCGAACGCTGGAGTATAGGGTATATGCCTGGACGTAACCTCCAAGTCTGTTTGCGAGTACTCCTGTAGGGATGGGTGCCTTGTAAGTGTTTCTCCAAGAGGCAGCTTCGTCTCTAGCTCTCGCCACGAAATGTCGCCCATCAGGAACAAGACCTGCTGATACCTGTAACACTCGTAGCCAAGAAAAGCCAAAGCAGTCAGCAGCAAACTTCGACACAGCTTTCATTGCCATGCCCCGGCAAGGGGTGACTCCGGTTGTTTGTGAGAGAGAGAGAGGGGGAGAGAGAGAGAGAGAGGGGGGGGGAGAGAGAGAGAGAGAGAAGGGGGGGTTGGGGATCAAAGGGCACTGACTATGCCGATATTCCGATCCACCGTCGCTATCCTCTTATTCGCGCCTGGCTTAAGCAGCCTACTCGAAACGATCTTCTCTACGGCAAGGATCACGCCATCTTTACACCTTATTCCAATCGCAGTGCCTCCATTCTCAACAGCCTTTACCGCATACTCGACCTGGATGGAGTCAGTTAGAAGGATTTCATAGTAAGCGGCTGAACGACGGGGATGAATGCTCACTTGAAAATTTCGTCCGTCCGGTGAAAATACAGAGTTGGAAAGATCGTAACCCGTGCCTATGGACGTCTGGGTTCAAATCAAAGATCAGTCTCAACTCCGAAATAGAGCTAGCCCAGGGGTCGGATGACAGACCATTGTGTCGAAATCGGACAAATATGGATTATAGGAAAATGAATGGTAGTGGCCCTGATAATGGTGATAGGTATTTGAAAAGCAATTAGGAATTGAGGATTAGGAAGGAGGAGGAGGAAGTGGGAGGTTGGCGCAGTCGACGATATCGAAGAGCTCGCTCGCTTTGGCGTTGAGCTTCTCCAGGCGCGATGCACACACACACGTCACGGGATGGCAGCCTTCAAGCTCCAGTCACATGACACGCCTTATGCTTATATAATTAATTAGCTAAAAAAAAATGTACTTAACTAACTAATCTTTGATACACTCTATGTGCCGTACATAGTAAGTCCTAAAGTACTCTGTACCTGTAAGTTACGCCTCTAAGATTACACTGTACATGCGGAGTACTTATCGAGTACCTACATCTTACCCATTGTAAGCCTCAGTACGGAGTACGCGGTATCCGAACTTTGTACGGAGTTGCCCGTACAGTACAGGATGGAACTCCTCCGAGAGCTTACTCTGTACTCTGTACGGAGTGGGTGTACAGCGTTTATCTTGGGAATTATTTAATAATTTAACTATTGGAGCAGAGCTCTGTTTGTGCAATCTCATCTGTGGATATCCATTAGCGACAAAGTCCTCTGTGTTCCCCTCACTAATACTGCGCGATGTGTCTATCCATGTACTGCTAGGTACGAAGTAACTACCTAACTTCCAAAACTTACCCCTCCTGGGCTTGCAAGATTTGGGCAGTTGGGGAGGCACATGTGCCCAATTGGTTGGGTTTTAGCAAACTAACTACTCCGTACAGAGTAATTAACTGGAACTCCCAAGAAATGAATGGACGACACAGGAAGAGGTCTTGGTTGGGCAGACACCAGGTGTCCAACCATTATCATCAGTTGACCTGCCCTCCCTCCCCTTGATACCCAATCTTCATTTCTCATCATTAAATTTTTACAGAGTTCTTGAAAGGTTCTCCAGTGTTTGCATATAAGAGTATCTCCACACATTCCCCCGGGCCCGCGCCATAGTGCTGTCGTCCACATTCGCCCAGCTTGGTCTTTGACACACTCATAGCAGTGCCTAACTTGCTGGCCTGGGGTGCCTAATCATTCTGGCTACCTAAAAACATCTCCAATCCCTCTGGCACCTGTGTGTTCTTTGCTTTTCCCTTTGCAGAACATAGGCGATTTTATACCCTATTCTTGTCATCCAATAGCTTTGCACCCTCTATCTTGATCTCTCAACGGCTAGATATGTTAATAGAGAATTACGTGAATTTATAATTGTTTGCAGATCGAAGAATACATCCACTACGGGCCCCTGATTCATCTGTCTCACGCGTGCCTGGTCCAACTTTTCTTTTCCTTTTGTTTTACCAATCCCATAAATTCTGTGCTAGGAGGAGTGCATAAGCTCGCTATGGCTTCCATGCTGCATGCTTGTCCATACTGTGGGTATGAGACTGAAATCGTGAATGTGCTGCCTGCGTTTTCAGAGAATCCGCACTGCCAACGGGTATGGCCTCGAAAATTCTATGCCAACTATGCCAAGTGACTTTTCTGACAACATTTGCTTAGTGTGGGCTATCTGTCACTGAAGGCGATAGCAAGGTAGACAATGACCTTTCTTCTCTTTTCGCTCGTCAAATGACGATGAACCATAGGCCTCAAGGCCTCACACCTATATGCCCAGCAACGCCCCCAACCCCTCGCTTTTCCAACCCGTCTACAGTTCCAGATGGCCCTCCGATCGCGTATAGCATAACTCAGCATTATCATCACTCCTCTCACCAGGCACGTATGGGACTCCAAAAATCGGATTCAGACATCGCAGGACCTTTAGAACAGCAGAAGCCTCCCGCTGGACGATACATGTCTTCCAGGGAAATGCTCTTGCGACATAACATCAACCCTGATACCCTCTTTCCTTCTCAGCTTGCGTTATTCGAACAAGCGGACCGGGAACAAAAGGCCCGGCTTGTTGAATTGTGGCAAATATCGCCCCCCACTTTTGGAAATCCATCGTCTCTTCAGCCTTTCGCCAATAATCTCCCTGCTCTTAGCACCCATGGCGCGGAATGCTCCCAACTCGACTCTTTTGGTAAGGCGCTTGATCCGCATAACGATGTTATGATGGATGAAGATAGTACCAATTCCTGCGATACCCATGCTGCTGAACCATACGTGGTTTCAGGTTATGAAATGCTGGCACAGAGGGAATATAATCTGCCCACGCAGCCTTCACTCCCCTTTCCCCAGGGAAACTCTCCCGCTGAAATTCCATCCAGCGCCACTTATAACCCTTCTACAGACCCTGTCTATAAAAGGGAGGATCGACAAGAAACCCAACCCATTGAGCACCAATACGGCGCGTTTGAAATGAAAAATTACTACATTGGGTGTGGGGTTGCGAGGGCTCATTGGCTTGAGGATCAACACTTCTTTTGAACTGTGGTTCTGGGGCTTTGGAACGCGCCGCTGACACGGTTCTGGGTAATTTAGCGTTTCGAGAGGCTGGGCCGCTTTCTGTCTTCGGGCTCCGCATCTTTGTCAGAGATATATCCATGCAGTTTTCAGTGAGCCGGAATGATGCCTTTATGGTTGACCCGCGTGCCATGTTGGGATTTCTTTGTCAGTTGTTTTGTTTACCCTTTTTTTTTTTTTTTTTTTTTTGTGGAGGGGGGGGGGGGTTGGTGGGGTTTGAAATTGTATTATGAATTATGAGTATGTTCATGTTCACCAATACCCACACGCGGTCCACGTTGTTCTTCTGGATTTATTTTCAACTTCTTTCTGGTTTGAGCGGAAACTGCATCTCTACCGCTTTGAACCCTTATCACTTGATCAACTAAATTAATCATGGAAAGATTTGGCAAGGATTATTTACTATATCCTCTGTCAGAGATGATGATAAACAAAGATGCGCTGTCTTGGTCGCCACTGTCTTGGTTGCGTTCCTGAGTGGCGACTGCGGAGTCTCCAATATGTATTGTATATATCCCATATGGAGGAGCACCCATGTGTTAGATTGTCAATCACCGCTGCGCAGCACCATGCACATTAGAGCCTTGCTATGGAGTCTTTTCCCCAGTCCAGATAAAGTTCACCACCTGTATGCAGTCAAACGCAAGACAGACATACATAACCACAAGGTGCCATGTGACACAATACAGTTCAATACATGGGAGGGGGAATTTCTGGAAGAATGTACTTTCTTCTAAAATCCGTATGTACATATACATATGCAAGACAGATATATTCCACATTATAAGGCGAAATATGGGGAAGAAAAACCAAGAGAGAAAAAGCATATCTCTGTATATGTCAAGGATTTAAATTGGACAGCTCATTAATCTTTAACAAATGAATACATGTCACTCTTTACTTGGCCTCAACATCATGTAGTTAGGCTTTGAGGAACTGGGAGAGTTGTCCCAAATGACTGCACTGTAAATTCTTGGGCCATAGTTGGGAAACTGTAGTAACCCAGGAAGGTCCTTGTAGCCATAGGAACAGTAAACAAAACAAAACCAGTGACAATTATTATAATGGGCTGTTTCCTTCCTTCAATTGTGGCTCACCAGTGGAGTGTGTAAAGGTGTAGCGTCTCCAAGCTAAAGTAAAGGAGCCGTGTCTTAAAACAAATACATAGACCAGAAACGAGCGCGGTCATGACGATGTGACAAAGTTTTCTTCTTCATCACCAGGATATAGGATACCATCCGGGGTATCCCCGCCTGGTGCTGTGGAGGGATGACCATAAAAAGGAATGTCTAACACGGTACACCGACGCGAAGGCACCATCTTTGATGGACTGTTCATTATCAGCAACTCAACCATCCAAAACCAAGACGGATAGGGCATACTAGGGTTTGTGGTTTCATCGCGACTAGTTTCAGCAGCTAGTCTGGTGGCCCCTTCTGTGGGCATGGGTAGAGCGGGCACTATGGCGGATATCGCAGCGACAGTAAAGATGAGAGCCACGAGCTTCATTGCTAGAGTCCCGTTGCTCTTTTATCGGCTCCCTTAAGGAGCGCGATAGGGCGAGGTCACTGGTGGTAGCCGGGGTTCTGAGATAGTCGTATCTTCAAGTAAAACTCCAAAGGGAAATAATGCATTCGCTTATATGGCCGAGTCTAAACAAGGTTGTCTGGAAAATTTGTGACCGTAGATGATATAGAAACCATAGATCAGTTGCAGCAAAGGAACTAGGTTCTGGAATGCATTCTGTGGGAGGGGTTCTGTTGACGCTCGCCTTGATATCACTGAACACCCCGGGTACAAACGAATAAATAATGCTATTCACACCTCAAAAGAGAGTGACGTGCAACGACATATCAAAGATGCTGAGCTTTGGTGAAAGGAGTAGGAATAGCAGTCATTTAGCGCCAATAGCGATTGATGGAATCCTGGAAGTTCCCGATCTCCAGAGGTAATGGGCGAGGGATATCAAGAGTTATAAGCTTAGGTATCAGGGACCCAAAGTGGCTTCTGGAGGGAGCCCTTCCCAGGCCGGTGGCTTTATGCCAGACAAACGCCCTGCTCTCTCCATTTGAACATGCAGAACCTTGCATCTTGGACTCGTACGCATCTTCCAAAACGGTATACAAAGAAGCCTTTCATTGAAGGCGGCATTTAGTATGTTAACCATGAAGAAGACGTGCCTTATTGACGGCTCTCCGAATTTGGGTATCAATAATGCAAGACAGGCAAGCTTTGACATTAGCGAACAATAAAAGTGCCGGCCGGCTTTATGGGGGAGAAGCGACTGGATGAGCATTCGCTTCATGTTGCTTGACCCGGTTCTGTGATTTGCCCAGGCAGCCCATGCACAACCGGCGATGCTGGGCTAGGAGGAAAGCTGGAAGCGGAAGAGGAACGAGGACGGAGACGAGCGACGTGCAGCGTAGTGTTTGACGTGTTTGTCTGGTTAATTAGGTAAGGCTGCGAGTAGAAAGTGGGTCTCAGATCACGTTAAGGTTTTCCGAGCAGTGCATTATGTAATAGCCGGTGGCTGTTACCAGGTAATTACGGGCGAACTTGCAGGTAGCTTCCATGCAGCCTCGATTGCGAGAAATCTTTCTTTGCCGCGAGAAACCGCTCCTGCACACGAACACACACTGGCTGCCGATTTCTTGATATATCCGAGCAATTGCAAAAATGTTTTCCATGAGAGTTGCGCAAAACGCGCAGGTATGAGTCTCGCAGCATTTATTCCCCGCAGCACCGCTCTAACCTATGCTCGACAGTCTGTACTCCGTAACGCTGCAAAGTCTCCGTGTTTCTCTCAATCCAAAATTTCCACAAGATGTCTGTACACTTCAATTCCGCAAATTAACCATGGACCAGGGTTAACTTCCACTTAGGCATCACCACCGTGCAATCTGACATCTTTAAGCCCACCAAATATGGCGGCAAGTATACAGTGACGCTGATCCCGGGTATGAGTGCCTTATCCCCGTTCGATGCTGGGTCGAATTCGACATGGTTGCTGACTTTGGGGGACTAGGTGATGGAATTGGAGCCGAGGTCGCAGAATCCGTGAAAACCATCTTCAAAGCAGACAATGTACCCATCGAATGGGAACAGGTCGACGTGAGCGGTGTGGACGCGGGAACTAAACATTCAGAGGAGCTATTTAAGGAATCCATTGCGTCTCTAAGGCGAAACAAGATAGGTCTCAAGGGCATTTTGCACACACCAGTCGAAAGATCAGGACATCAGTCTTTCAATGTAGCCCTTCGGCAGGAACTCGACATCTACGCCTCGATTGTTTTGATTAAGAATATTCCTGGTTACAAGACCCGGCATGATAACGTTGATTTGTGCATCATCCGTGAGAATACTGAGGGCGAATATTCGGGTTTGGAGCATCAGTCCGTCAGCGGCGTCGTTGAGTCGCTCAAAATTATTACCCGAGCAAAGTCCGAGCGTATTGCGAAATTTGCTTTCAGCTTTGCGCTCGCGAACAACCGCAAGAAAGTCACATGCATACACAAAGCGAATATTATGAAACTCGCCGATGGACTTTTCCGGAGCACCTTCAAAAAGGTCGCCGAGAGCTACCCGACCCTAGAAATCAACGATATGATTGTCGACAATGCATCCATGCAGGCTGTTTCTCGCCCACAACAATTCGACGTAATGGTCATGCCTAATCTTTACGGAGGTATTCTTTCAAACATCGGTGCTGCACTTGTGGGTGGCCCGGGTATCGTGCCGGGATGCAACATGGGTCGTGACGTTGCTGTCTTTGAGCCCGGTTGCCGGCACGTTGGCCTTGACATCAAGGGCAAAGATCAAGCAAATCCAACGGCCTTGATCTTGTCAGGCTCCATGCTTCTCCGTCACCTTGGTCTTGATGAACATGCAAATCGTATTTCCAAGGCAGTCTACGATGTCATTGGCGAAGGGTAAGTTGACCTCCAATCTCCCAACGTTCAAACCCTCCTCGCAAGATTTTTGAATGATGCCGTTTCGTTTAGAAGCTAACTTAATCAGTGTTGTTCGGACTCGGGACATGGGTGGCCAGGCTACTACCCACGAATTCACTAGAGCTGTTTTGGACAAGATGGAAGCGGCCCTCTAAGCATCGGAGTCGAACCACTGTATGGACTAAGGGCAACCGAGCGAATCGGATCCGCTCCGCGCACTTTCGGCCTATTTACAACTGTTCGAAATTCGCGGCAAGATGTATTCGCGAAATCTACGCTCCAAAGGCAAACTAACGGCCCCAAACGAACTCTCCTATCCTCAATACACCATGAAAGGTAAATTATATATATTTACATGAACTGCTGAAAGCTTGATATTGACTCGATTTTCTTTGTTGTCCCAGCATATGTTTGTAGATATTTTAAAGACATGTTTCCAAGCTCACTGCATTTTGTTTAGAGGGTTCCTCGTGAAACATAAAATACTTGTAAAATAGGTGTCGCACAGCCCTCGAAATCCATATTCTTCAATTTTACCCTCCTTTTTTCAACAGAGGTTCTGATTGAAAAGTGTTTCCGAATTGGTTCAAAAGCATTAAGGTGAAAGAGCTGAAATAAAGCCTAAGATAGCTACCGGTACATCACGCCGGCGGAAAAGAATGCATAATGAAAACAAAACTTCTTCGGGGGGAGAAGACATATCAAAATCGCCTTGCCTTCTGGCCCCCCCAGAATCCCATCAGCTCACCCGTTTCAGACACCCAGCCTCGCGCTCCATCCACCAAAGCTTTTGCCATTGCCTTGCTCTTGCTCTTCTTTTCGTTGCCAGAGCCCCCTAGAGGCGAGGTCGAAGACCCGTCTGCGCCGATGGAGGGACCTGAAGCATACCCTGAGCCTGTAGTGGGCAAGACGTTCTCGCCCGCACTCAAGCTCACGAATAGCGAGAAGGGGACGAGCCACACACAAAGGCCAAAATATGAGGCTATCTCTGTAAATGACGGGAGGTCGGAGCCTGCTCCATAGTGCTGTCCGCCTGTTGAAAAGGACGCTGAGTGAGAGGATGACCGACTGTATTTAGTTTGCAAGGTGGCGGGATCAGAAAAGTGGCGGAACCACACCCAGTGATTCAAGCCGACGAGGAGACAGGAGAGGATGAAGAGCGGGTCTGAGAGCTTGACGACTGGGAAGCGTCGGAGATTGCTAGCATATACGAGGTGTGAAACTATACTGAGGAAGGTAAGGGAGATGGGTAGCCCGTCGATAAGCCATAGTAGTACGTGGAGAGCAATGACTGTGTGGATAAGCCGCGACAGAACGCGCCGGGCAAGCACCGTGTGTTCTTCTACAAGCTCGGAGAGATAGTATAATCCGGAGGCTAGGAGAGAGGGGCATTATTAGCGATCGTTCACGGAAGATGTTTGCAATCTTGAGGTATCATACCAATTGCTAGAGTGAGAAAGCAAAAGCCTACTATCACCCCTAAGTAGCCGACAAGGGGTAGCACCCACATTGTGAACTTGAAATCGGCACTGTTGACTTGAAAAGGTCAAGGAGCCTGCTCTCCATACAGGCGTCCCGGCGGAATTGGCTCAGGTAGAGTCAAGGTGGCCGGATTGTCGCCGGAAATGATGTCCTCCCGTCGAAGTAGCTATTTCGCAGACATTGAATGATCCTAACAAATTCCCAGCTTGAAGATCGTGATAACTTTTGTAGCAGCAAAGTAAGAATTCGACACAAACAACCACCAAGGTAATTAGTGATGTCGTTCCTTTTTTCTTTGAAATAATCCAGTTGTTGGAGGGTTAAAATGATGAGTGAGCTGGCCCGAATAGAGCGCCTAACCACGGATAAACTAAACTAGTTAACTAATAACTATTTTCAAAACTAAAAAAGGCTCTCTCACAACTAAATGATCATCATTGGATGCGCTTAGCTCGTTTAACTAGCGGTTATTGAGTGGACAAACTACTCCGTAGGCGATCATCATTTACAGAACTTTTGCCAGCAGAAAAATAATCGGTCTCCAAGAACGCACTGGTAGTTGACGGTTAAGAAGGCCCGACGATTCCCATTTTTCAAACACGCGCTACCAAAATGTCGAGACCCGAAGACTCGTTGTATGTTGACCTTCCCCTTCTATTGGAAAATTGCCATGCAATATTGACCCTGCATCCTACCTTTCCAGGCCCCCCGATCTGTATTACAATGACGCCGAATCACGGAAATACACATCGTCCTCGCGGATTCAAAATATCCAGTCGGAAATGACCCACCGTGCACTAGAACTCTTAGAACTTCACTCTCCTTCGCTCATCCTTGATATCGGATGTGGCTCTGGCCTGTCCGGTGAAATATTATCATCTGTGCCCCCGTCCCAGGGCGGCCCCCACACATGGATCGGAATGGACATCTCACCTAGCATGCTCGACATTGCACTTCAAAGAGAGGTCGATGGAGATCTTTTTCTGGCCGACATGGGACAAGGGATCCCTTTTCGCCCAGGAACGTTTGATGCTGCTATCAGTATTAGCGCCATACAGTGGTTGTGCAACGCCGAAACGACAGATGTCAGTCCTGAAGGTCGCCTGCGTCGATTTTTCGACGGCCTGTATGCTAGCTTGCGCCGTGGAGCCCGTGCTGTTTGTCAGTTTTATCCTAAGAATGATGCGCAACGCAACATGATCAGTGCGGCGGCGATGAAAGCCGGGTTCGGTGCTGGTATTTTGGAAGATGACCCTGGAACGAAAAACGGTAAATTATATCTGGTACTGACAGTTGGAGGCGGCGGGCTACAAGGGGATATTACAGGCGTTGTGAAAGGCATGGACGACGTAGAGGTTGTTGATGCAAGAAGGAAATCTCAAAATCTGCGGAAGGGAGCGAACCCAGCAGATGTCAAAGGGAGCAAGGCATGGATATTGCGAAAGAAGGAACAAATGGCGAGAAAGGGCAAGGTTGTGAAGGCGAGTTCGAAGTATACCGGAAGAAAGAGGCGCCCCGTTTTTTGATACGCGGCTGCGAACATGCTTCTTACGAAGTCATTGCTTCTTTATCGAACAACATCGATAATTACGGTCCATCCCATAAATCCATCTCTGTGCTTGGAACAAATAGCCCGTCGATTTATCACCTCAGCCCGAGTCAGGGAATGGCTTGTCGTCGATGAGAGACCGACGACTGGTTCAAGTACCGTTTCCTGGTGGACAGTTGTTGCCAAACTGGAGCCAGCGCGATAGGGTACGCCCTTGAATGTTGAAAATCCTTTTCTCTGGTTGGCTTGCAATCATTTGCAAGCAAAATCTCTGATTTATCCCCTACGAATGGCTAAGCTGTGGCCATTTCATGGCTCCCCATTCACAGTCAAGGACATGAAATGGCATGAATCAGCTTTCGATCCCCGTTATACCTATCTGAAAGGTCATAGATACCCAATCTCTACAACTTGGAAGGGCTAGAATAAGGGTGCTAATGTACACCGCTCTGCAGCTTAACACTGGGAACGGGTCTTGCTGTCAAAATTCATTTTCGCATACTGAACGTTGGTTGATGCTTTTCCGTGCCCCTTTGTTTCATCTCAGTATGTAATCCTCATATTGCCTTTCCTGATTTCCACCAATGACCTTTGGAGCGTTAGAAGCAGAAAGCAGCTGGAATCATACTAGTCTGTATGTACGCAGATAAAAGAAAAGTTTGCTCACCTTTCCCCTAGCATAGAGCATATATGCAAATAATCATCACTGATGTTCCTGGCGATCATTGATATTTGTGCCACATACAAATGTTTCAGCGTACATATGCATTGTTCTGAGAAGACAATGCTGTTGAAAGCTAGAATAGGAGTGTATATCTGATTCCATTACCAGACAGTAGTCATATACAGAAAAGGGCATCGTAGCTAGAAACATAAAGGTGGAACAAGCCTCAATGAAATGTACATGTAAATAATCCACATCGAGACTGAAAGAAAGGACACAGTCTGCGATTTGCATAAGAGATACAAAGGCGGAATGCAAATGGGGTATAAAGATCTCAGCCCAAGAAAAAAAGGCAAACGTATGGGAACTTCCTCCCCCGGCGGAAATCAGTGCGCCAATAGTACAGACCTTCCGTGCGGACACTAGCCCAATCATGAATACATATAAACAAAGCCCAAAGGGCGGAGAAAATAAGACTTGAAGTGGGAGGGGGGGAAAATAGAAAAAGAGAAGGTGCAAAGGTATATACGATCCCTTCGGAAAACCGATCGCAGAGAGAAAGGAAATATTTCCGAGGTGCCCATTTAGAGGAGAGGAATATTCCTCTTCTAGAGCTACAGTTTAACGGTGTAAGACAATTTCAGCGGATTCATAACAGGCACATTCAAGTAGTCCAAACAAAAGGGTGATGGCATACATTGTTAATTATAGACACAAATGTCTCTCTCTTTATTTTCCGATGTCCATGAAAAGGAGAGAGCTTTCTCTTCGTTTACTTTTTGTGGCATGGGTCCCGGGTGCAAGCAAGCCATTCATGGAATGAAGATGTGATAGCGTCCCCTCATCCTGCTGTTGATGGGGCACCGGAGGAGGGTCATAAGTAGGATGTAGAGGGATAAACCCTGTGGTGTAGTTTCCCCGACGCTTAAGGGCTTCTGCTTCCTCGGCTCTCTGAGGCTCAAACGAATTTTGGTCATATGCAGGGGTCGGTAGATCTGTGAACATCTGATGGCGTGGGGACCGAATATCCTCGGGATTCAAACGTTGATTATTCAACGTCAGCTCAACTGTCCTGGTGCCGTGATCGATAGGTGGATGCTTTCCAAATATTGCATCAAATTCTGTAAGAAACATCGAAAATACAGGAGCAGGTATGTTCAATGTTGGGGCAAACACAATTCCAACATTTCGAACAGTCATTTTGTTCACATCGGCATTTTGGATAATGACAATTAGGAACTGAGAGATGGCTTTCAAAAGATCTAGGTTAGGCCGCGGAAGCCTATGAACTAGGGTATTAAATGCACTGATCTTTTGGTGCTTCTCATCCAGATCTAACCCATACTTTGTTAGTGGCAATAGCCAGTTTATTATGGAACAAGACTTACCAAGCACACGAATAAAATCTAAATGAAGCTCCTTAGTCAATACAGTTGTTGGTAATTCTCTTAGGTATTGCTTGAATAGGGACGCGACCGCATGGACATCGTGATAGTGGTCCCCTTCCAAGAAGTCCAAGTCGCCCTCTGTATTGAATCTTTCTTTAAGGGCCTTTATAACGACGTTTGAGCCACTCAGCCGGAAAATACCCTCTTCCAACTCCGCACGTTGGGCTCGCAAATATTCGAGGCAGCGATAAACAACAGCAGGAAGTCCGCAATCAAATCCTCGAGGACCACAAAATTCCACCGCCTCAGCCAGGGGAAGCCCAAAAACAGGCCGTATCGGTGCTCTTTGGTCGAGGAACACATCATGTACAGAACCAACTGAGTCCTGCCTTGACCCTTGGTTAGCCAAGTCCGCTGCTGTTGCGGCACGAAAACCCCATATGCTCCGCTTCTTTTCCTTCGTAGATGTTACGGTCTTGTTTCCCCAGGCACCCGCATCCTGAATCTTCATTCCGTTGGTAGGACCAGAGATTGTTTTCTGCGTCGGTGATGAATTGTCTTGTTCAAACTGACGGGCTGAGTGATCCGCCATGTGACCGGCGGGAGGAGAAACCTTACCGCCGCTGGGTCCACGGACTGGTGCTTCTGCAGCAACAACATCATCGTAGCTCAGTGCTTGAAGTGCGTTCGAGCCTCCTAATTGGCCACTTTCCAAACCGCCCTTCTTTGAATGAGGAGGTTGAAGACGCGATTTAGGAGTAGGACCGGTGGGCTTTGAGGACTGCGCATGGTGACCATGGTATTCCTCATCTGGCTCTCGTGGTTCCACGTAACAGAGGAGAGTCTCAACCCATACATCTCTTTCGTCGTCGCTTTCAGCACACAAAACGTGTCGAACCAAAGCCGAAGAATCCCTCTTCTTTGGTTCTAGGATTAAGAAAGCATGTCGATATTGACTATCGGGATCATCTTCTGTCCGTGACGGCGACTGGTTCTTTCCAGATGGCGACTGTTTTCCGATCTGTGCGTGATGTATCTTGATGGTTCCAAGATGAGGCCCACCGGGGGATTCATAATATTTCAACTCCGGTCCGTTAAGGACGAAATACCTTGATTTCCACCCGCCAAAATTCTTTCCCCTTTTGGTCAGATATCCCTCCATCCTCGGCTTCCCGTCAGGCCCGAATGATATTGGAGGCTTCCCGTTCCCTGCTCCATGGAGTAAATTGGACTCGTCGTCACGAGGTTCTATAGCATCCGCCGTAAGGAACTGGCATACCACCAGCCCTGCAGCTTCTTCCATCGGGTGGTTGAGCAAAGCTTCAAAGTACGCATTCAGGGCAGCCCTCCTAGCATCAACTTTAGCAGGGGAATGGCCAGTGAACATAGACCTCTCGGGTAGTTTTGTGGAGAAATTGGTGATTTGTTTTATTTGATGGTCTAACTGTGGTAAAGCAATGATTGCCTTCTCCACACGCCAGAGCTCGACCCGTTTTACACGCGAGTAGACACTTAATGTGAATACGGGTTCCTCCTCCATTGGCTTCAGTGCAAGGTAGCTACTACGAGACGGGCGCAGCCTGGATGACGAAACTTTCACATCAATGGAGGACAAGGAGCTGGGAGGAAGAAGCAATTCGGGGTAATCGGCGGCCACCATCCCACGGTATATTGTGTGGGAAGTTTCACGGCCAGAGACCGGACTATTTTCGTTGACCGTGAGTTTATACGTCGGAGCATCGCTATTTGACCTCTCGTTGGCGTTTGGCGCCTGTTGCGTTGTCTTCACTGTACCGTCTCTAGGGGCCTCCTGAGAGCCAGGAGGTGAACTTAACATATTTTGGAATTGGCCCTGCATTGCGTTCCTCGGGGAAATTGGTGGAGAGACCAGAGCATTGGGGTCTTTCGGGAAACGCGGCATTGGGGATCCTAACGGGCGATCTCCAGGTCTCGGGCTCTGGGGTAAACCGGGGCTTAGCGGTGATGTCAAACGAGATTTATCGGAAACGCTGGAGTCGGAAGCTGCAGGGTGCAACATGGCCGATAGTGAGGCGGGGGGAGGGGAATGTAGCCCGACAAGCCTCGGGGACGGTGCCATACCAGAGCGCGGGCTTGCTGGAAGACCAACCCCAAGGAATGCCTGTGCCTGTTCCTTTTGAACGTTCTCAGGCGGTGCGAAATTCTTGAGCTTCTTCTTATTCGATCGGCTTCGAAGTTCTTGTTCCTTCAACATCATAGCTTGCCGTAATTTATCGTCCTCCTCCCGCGTTCTTCTCCGACCACGTTCAATCGTTGGTATTTCATTGTCCTCCAGTATGTCATCATAATCAGATTCAGAATGGTCCTTACGGTGATCCACAATAATGTGAGGCTTGACCTTCTGCGCTTCGTCTAGCTTCAAGGGCGCCGGAGGAGGCTTCCTTGCAGGCGGCGGAATTTTGGTAGTGGTCTGAGCAACCTGGGGCGGCTCTTCTGTGTCGAAGCTACCGTGACTTGTCAGAGGAGTCGCGTCAGGCAGCCCGGTGTATCCTTCACGTGCAACATCTTTGCAGGTGCTCCCACTAGCTTCAAGAGGCGTTCGATATTCAGGTGAATCGGTAGCGTGCGAAGAAGCATCAGGGTTGGGGTCTATCGGAGACTGGGTATCTGGATCCACTGCGAGCATATCAACCGGTGACGATCGAACTTCCTCGTCAAGATCGGGCTGAGTGTTTTCCCCCTCGTGCTTTTTGTGCGAAGCTTCGTTGTGATGGGCATGGCTAGGTAGCACGATTTCAGACCTTTCCCACTTTTTATGGTCATCGTGGCGGGCTGTAGAGCGAGGCGCATCGGACGGAAGAGGTGGGGGAGCGTTTTGGATTTCTTTAAGTCGTTTTCGATACCTCTCTTTCTCCTTCATCGCCCTCTCGAGATCCTTGTTCAGTGCCAGCAGCATTGTTCGTTGTTTGTCGACCAATTTCCAGAGTTGCGCATTTTGAGATGCTGCGTGCTGCTTCTCCTTGAGTAAATGTATGATAACCGCCTCGGGAGATCCCGCAGTCGCTATTAGATTTGCAATATCTGCCGGAGTGACATTGTTGGAGTCCAGAGAAGACTTGTGAGAATGAGATGTCGAAGAGAGCGAGGAGATGGCGGAATCTATTGACGACGTCCTCGGCACCACCCTGTGACCCTTGCCCTCTGCCATTGCGGAGACATTAATGGAGTTTGCGCCTGGGAATTTGTAGAGGCCGGATGCGTAGGCGGAATTGAGCCTGCCTGTAGGAGAGGTGGAACTTGGAGCTGTGTTCTGAAGCGTGGATGCTGGTGTCCGACCGAAAGCGCCGATGCCAGGTACAGGATTCGACGAGACAGACGACAGACTGGAGGTGGGCGAAGTGCAATTTGGTATGCCCGTTGGAGGAACCGGGAATCCCGAGTGGGTTACCAATCTCGTGGGAGATAAGGGCAACTGTGCAGGAGCAGTGTGGTCAGGGCTTGCAGTGGATCGGGACGGCTGCAGCGGTTGATCGCGCTGACGCGAGCGGAGGGTGGACGGAGCTTCAGTTGGGCCCAAGGAACTAGCGACAGGTACTTCAGCATGTGAGATGGGGTAGTTTCTCGGGGTTGAAGCGGTTCCACCAGCGCCAGGGCGCGCGCTCAGAGGGTGATTCGACGGCGGGAGTCTGTCGTGTGCTCTGGCTTTTGCGAATTCGGGGATCGCAGGAGAGGAGGCAGAAGTCGAGAAGTGTAAAGGGGCAGCAGCAGGGACCACGTAAGGTTGTGAAGCAAGAGATTGGATTTCCGCATCACGGTGTTGCCGCCGTGGATGCGACATGGCTCCCTAGCACAACCATGCAGGGGGGTGGGTGGGTGGTTTTGGGCGGGGGGTGGAGAGGTTTGTCACTGGGTCTTGGTGGTTTTGCGGTGGGATTGTTCGAAGGATTGGGAGGGAGAGAGTCAGGTGGACTTCGGCTCTTGGTCAAGGGGCTCTGAATTTAATTAAAGAATCGCAGACTAACTCGACTTCATCGTAGTCTGGACCTCTCTCTTGTCTGGTGATTGGCTGCCCAGAAAATTAAGTCTGCTCTCGCTGCTGTCAAATGCTGAGTGGGCCGAGTTCTCCTGCAAGAATCATCTCCCCGTCTGTCGAATTCGCTGGGCCAACCTGTTTTCTTCCAGTCGAGCTTGGCCGTCCGTCGATGCCTCTGCATCTTTCCCTCAGCGCGTAGGCTGTGCTCGAATTCGGGCACAGCACAACCCCCGCTGCCCGTCTACTTGGCTCGCTAACAGACTTCCAGGAGCGACATTTGGTGTAGCATGAATCCTGGCCCATCATGTAACCGATGTGAGTAGCTAGCAGTCAGATCAGGACTTCATGCTCCGTGCAAAGCTCCGAGAAACCTCCGATGGTTACGTATCTGCCTCGGACTCTCCTCTGTCCACCACGGCCTATGTGTGGATTTGCGGGATATTAGCTGTTGTACGGAGAGGTGATTGGAGTAAATTGAGATTTCATTTTACAGAGGTGTCTAACCTACATGACCATTTCCCTACCTCTGTGGCTGGTTATGGGTGATCATACATAACTAGCCGTTGTACTCCGTACTCCTACAGGATATATAGTATACATCGTGGCCAGGAGCCCGCCCTTGTGCCCCCGTTAAAAACGATAAACCAGATCCAATACGCCTCCTGTCCGGCTTCATGCTCCCGTTTTCTTTTTTCTTTCCTTTGCTTTTCTTTTCTTTTCTTTTCTTTTTTTCCCCACTCTTCTTAGCCTATGCAATATTACCAGCCATTCCCATAAAGATCGCTTGAGCTGCAAGCTGGAGCGACCACAGCCCTACTTTCTTGAGACGTCGTTTTCGCGCCTGCTCGTCTACGACATCTCTTGCGAAGGCTTCGTATGTCTAATCACACGCAACATGTTAACAAAAACAAGATGCTCAGGGTCCAAAACAAAAAGTGGAAGACTCACCTCTGCCGACAGATCATCCATCAGTCCGCTGTCGAATATAGTCCAGCTCCCATCAAAGTCGCTCACTCGTTTGACAAGCCGGCATTGGATGGGAATGAAAGTACGCTTGGAGTTTATATAAGCCACGATCGGCCGGATGAGCGCATTGTTGATATAGGAAAGATCCCGTGTGAAAAGAGGAACAACCGCTCTCACATTGTTTAGATGGATTCTGAGATCGGTGACGACAAATCTCTTGTCATTTTTGCTCGCAGCAGACAGGAGGTTGGCGGTGCCATCCTCCACGTTGGTAGGCAGAGACTCCGCCAGGGACTGGTACCGGTTGGATGTTACCGTTGCCTCCAGGCGGTCATAAAAATCCGCCATTACCTTGGCCAAACTCTCGTCGTTTTCAGCTGGAAACATGATGTCGGCAACAATGTCAACGTTTCCTTCGTGGATCCACGAGAAGGGGCCTTCAACACCTCGGTTGAGATGGTCGATGTTGAGTCCATCAATCCGAATTCGACTATGCTTCTTCCACGGGCTGGGTTTCCCATTCTCTTCCACTCCGTTATTCAATTGCGCCCCAGTGTAGCTGTGTGTCTGTCGGGGGTGTATGGTAAACAACGAGTTGTCAAATGACCCAGACATAATGCTTGCAGATAAAAAGTCGTAAAATAGCCACTGGCGCCTCAGCTGCGGCAGATGGCACGTAAATATGCTCACGGGAAAAGGCCTGAAGTTGTTAGGTTGGTAGACTGTGACTAAAACATCCTCCATCCGGAAAGAATCGATTTCGAAATCCCCTGGATTGTGTTCGTGGCGGTAGGACTTCGGATCTATGGGTTCATCTGGCCAATATACATGGGTCCGATCAACAACGCCCCGTATTCCCTTCACTTCTACATCCCGCAACAGGCCCTTGCCGTTGAACCACTTTGTAAATGAAAGAGTAACGTTCACGGTATCAATCGTGACGTCGAATTGGGTATAGTTTGTATCTTCTTCTTCGCCGCCGTAGTCTTCTCGCTGCTGGACGGATGGAACGACGCTGTGGAGAGCCGCCGCGGCCGCTGTTTTCGACGAACCTTTACTTACATTCCCACCGCCTTGACCAGGCCTTCTCGAAACAAACACATTTTTGAAAGAAATAACGCCGTCCCCCCATTTTGGTACAATTGCTGATTCGAAAACGACCTTAATCCCAGAAGATTTCGTCAAGTAATTGCCGACCCATCTGGCTAAAGTTTCTGCATTGAAAGAGTTAGCAGTTTTACTTAATCCATACGGAAAGGAAAAGGGGGGGGAAGGGTTCTCTAACCTTGTGCAAATACAGTATTAATAGCGAATATAATCAAAGAAAAGAAAGTCGTCGTGCCCAGGAAAATCCACAGCACATGACCTAAAAGGACCCAAGAGAAAAAAGCGCCAATTTCGTCGATATTAAACGGCCGCACGCTCCGTATAGAAAACCACTTGAATCGTATCTTTAACCGCGACCAAAACCCAGTTGCGGCTGCTAGCAGTTCTTCCCTTGTTGGACTCCGGACGTGAGAGAACCGGTCTATCAGGTATATGTGGTGTGAATTCGGAGTATGTTGCTGAGAACCACCCTTGAAAGCTTCAGTGCGATGGGGTTCTGCTTTTGGATCTGACTTTGCGCTGCGCTGGGACGGTTCTTGGGAACGGTTCGTGGCATCGTCTTTGCTCGACTTTTGCGACGCAAAATTCTCTTCTGATGTGTGTAGATTCCGTTTCCAGGCGTAGAGGATTGGGGTGTATATTTTCCGGCTATCTCTAAACTTGGTATGTCTTACTCCTAGCTGTCTTGGGATGAAAAATGCGAAGTGTGCGGGCGACTTGGTATTTGCGCTCATGCCATTGAAGCCAAAAGCCGCATAATTTAGCCTAGAATTTCTGCATCCGACAGGCGTTGGAGTAGCTGTTGTCCCCCGCGAAGAATAATTGCGCCTTGCCAGAGCCGTCCGTTGACTCGATGAGCATGTCGGGCCCGGTTGTCCGGTGCTTGGAAAAAATTGAGCAGTGGATCTCCATGTCGTGCCAAATAGATTGCGTCCTATATGTCTGGACATATCTTTCGTGGCATCCTGGATCACCTGGTTGAGTAGGATATCTCCATAGGTCACTTTGATTAAACGACAACTGGAGAGCACAAGCCTGACAGCTTCCCAGAATCTTGCTGCGTGCAATACGGAGTAGTGATCGTCAATCGGCAAGCTTGGAAGTTTTGAAGCTTAAGTCCGGGCCTGTGCAGGGTGTGCGTTTGCTCGGTTTGCATGTCAATTTTCCCACACCAACAGAAATCCTCGAAAGATAAGATCTAAAAAATCACTGATAAAGGCGTGTTTGCGACCCGGCCGTTAGCTCTCCCTTGAGACTTGTGTTGTTGAATCCGATAAGAGCATATTGCTTCTAAGAAAGAAAACATTTACAAATACCCTGTTGTCAAACCATGCCCGCTCCAACAAGTCGTTTGAGAGTGCCTGAGGAGATTGGGAAGAACGCCGCCGCATCAGCTCCGCAGATAAACCAAAGTACGTTTCCATCCGTCTATACTACAGACCTACCTGGATAGCTGCTTATAATGGCCTAGATGAGGATGATGTGTTAATAGACTCTTCCGCGCCCCTGCCGGAGATAACAACAACCTCCCAAGATGCAGACACCGAGATGCACGTTGATGAGGAAGGACGGCCACTATTCACCCCTATAAAAGCGACAGACGGCGCGTATCGTATAGAGAATCGGAAGGTGCCCGTTCCGCCTCATCGAATGAGCCCGCTGAAAGCTGCATGGCCGAAAATATACCCTCCGCTCGTAGAGCACCTAAAGCTACAAGTCCGAATGAATATTAAAAGCAAGGCCGTTGAATTACGGACCTCGAAACATACTACCGACACCGGCGCATTGCAAAAAGGAGAAGATTTCATCAAGGCGTTTACCCTTGGGTTTGACGTAGATGATGCGATTGCGCTACTCAGATTGGATGACTTGTACATTGAAACATTTGAAATAAAGGACGTCAAGACTTTGAACGGTGAGCATCTGGGGCGAGCAATTGGCCGTATCGCTGGTAAAGATGGAAAAACGAAATTCGCCATCGAGAATGCTAGCAGGACTAGAGTTGTCCTTGCGGACCAAAAAATCCACATTCTCGGGGGATTCCGAAACATTCGCATTGCTCGGGAAGCAATTGTTAGTTTGATTCTGGGCAGCCCCCCGGTAAGTAACTAGGATAACTCTATCTCCGTATTACCCTGTTCTCTTTTTCGACTAATAAGAATGGATTGACAGGGCAAGGTATATGGGAACTTGCGAACTGTGGCCTCACGGATGAAAGAACGGTTCTGAAAAGGTTCGATTTTTTAAACAGATACCAAAGGCGTTTTGGGCTTTTTACTTTTCGAGATGGGATTTTACTTGGCGAACGAATTTGCATGGCATACGGTTTTACAAATAATGAATAGAAACGCACGTTGCGAAATCTTCTAGTGAGGTCCGGAAATAAAAGAAATTCAACTTGATAATCATCTCAAAGAATCTAAGAGCCATCCCAATACCTTGACGCCATAACTCAACTCTAGTCCTGCTTCAGCGGGGTAATCACTTCTTCTATTCCGTCCGCCGTAATAATCATCGTTTGCAGCCCATCGCCAACTTCGATGTGCCTCTCCACAGCGCTGGTAAAGGCATCGCGAACCAGTTCCAGAGCAGTAGCTCGAGACAGAGGCTCCGGTGTCCTCTGAACCAGCTCACCACCGTGTTCAGCACTTTTAACGTACTGGTTCTTAAGGTTCACTTGATTGTCCAGGAAAGGCATAATCAAGCTAGCAGCAGCGCCTGCCGCCCGACAGTACTCTCGTTCATAAGAGCCAACAGGATCATAACTATAGAGAGCACCTTTGCCGTCTTCATCTAGGCCACCTAAGATCGCATGAACGTAGTAAGGAAAGAATCGTTTCGAGTATAAGATGGTCGATAAGCGCTGGGCGCATGCCTTGACGGACATCCGCTTTCCATGGTGGTACTCATACATCTTAACAATCGCATCGAGCCGCTCTTTCAAAGCCTGGCCATCGGCCGAGAATCCGACAACGGAGAGGATGATATGGCCCCCTTCGCCTGTCTCATCCGCACCAATCTTGAATATCTTTGGAGCGAACCGCGTATTGATATTGTATCCGGAAACTGATCTAGTGTCGCCAGCTAGGATCGCGAAATCTGGCCCCGTTATTCCCAACGTGGAGCCACCGTTGTCGGTGTATCTGTGTATTGTCAGGTAACCGCTGAGAAGAGTACCCAACCCAGGAAGCTTACGGGTAAAAGCCATGCTGTTTGTTGGATCCAGACTCCTTCGAAAATGAATAGCCAATGGCTTCTGAGGGTCGCGACGTTTCCAAGAAGGTAGTCATCGTGAAGTAACGACTTCGGTTTGCCTTGGACGACGGTGCTAATGGGGGTTATCTGGAGGATTCAGAAGGGAGGAATAGATGTATTTGAGCAGAATACGGTGGGTTGATAAAAGTTGGGAACAGTGGCCTTCCCGTTAGAGGTAAATATGGATTTTTCTGGCTTCGTTGATGAATGATGAGAGCTCCTCGTTTGACGATGAGGCATCTGAGGATGAACGGCCTCCCAGCAAATGAACGCGAAGCTCCTGCTGCCTCCCAAGCCCAACAAAATAACACGCCGCTAACGAACGACTAGATTACGTAATGACATAGCTCCCACCCACTCTACCTGTCTTGTTCTGCACGCCCCTGCGAGACTGGTTGACGATTAGTGGTTATGTTCAGCCTTTAGGTACTATATATCTGGCTGATACTATGCTCGGTCTTGGGGCATATGGGAGCAGTAGCGAAGATGAAGGCAACGTTCCCCAGCCCTCTCACAAGTCCAAGGTAGGACCTACTGACAACGTCTCGTGGAGAGTACCTTATTCACCGTCTCTCTAAGCAGCATGAGAATGAACATTCTCGACAGATAAAGGGTCAGCGGTCCCGGCTCAAGGTTACACTTCCCCACGAGATTGCTCACTGAAGCAAAAGATCAGGAAAACGAACGCATCCGACCTTCTAGCATTCAGTCCACGGAGGACGTGAGCGGCCCCCTTATGGGTCCCTTTCAGCCGTCTGAGCAGCTAAATTCGACCGAAGAAGCCTCCAGTTTGTCTCACCAGCCGGTTACGTTGGCTGCTCAGCGTTCCCTCATGCGAGATATGACGCTACCGCCATACCCGAATCTTGATATTCCGCCATCACCTCCAGGATCCCCTCCCCCGGCCTCCAGCCAAAAATTTACTCATTTTTTATCCCTGAAAAAGCAAGACATCCATTTCAACGAAAAACTTGCCTCATCCTCATCCTTGAAGAATCCAAGCCTCTTCTCGAGCTTAAGACAACATGCTGGACTTGAGGAGATGTCACAGTATGGAACTTCTCTCGACCACAGTATATGGGATGTCACTTGCCTTCCCCACTGGGGATATAAAGAAGAGTTGCAAAGAGCGCAGCAGGAAATTCGCTCCAAAATTACCGAGAAAAAGGGATTGACGCCACGGGCCAGTGTCGACTTCGTCGGGGCATCTAAAGAGATGAATCGGCATGACAACCCGGCAGGTAGAACGGTGAAAACCAGCGCAGTTGAACGGCTGATGACTGATCTGGACAAGGAGAAATCGGATGTTCTAGGCCAAGGCCGGCGGTGAGTAGAATCACCGCCGAGTCGAATACATACTCCAGGCGCCCAATTGTAGGGAATTCTTACAACGTTGGGGTATTGTTCAAGGAAGTAAGGGATATGGTTAGTACGTGCTGAAACAATGGCCAAGCGCCAAGGGAGACTCCTACTATAATATGTATTCTCCCCGGTGTATGTAATGGATTGTCAGCTTAGTTTCAAATGCATAATACATTTGGTACATACCGAGCAAGTATGAGATACATAACGGCGTAATGAGTTATCATTAGTTAATTTGCAAATTCGCGTGGTTGGTCGAACTAACTAGCTAGTTACATAAGCAGAGAGCTGGAGCTCCCTGCTCGATTGGGTTCCAGGCAGATGGGGATGACACCTCTCTCTGGTGTTCCTGGAATACCTCTTTCGTACCAACTTCACTTCTCATCCAGCTCCATCATTTACACTACCACTTGCTGCCCTAGATATAGCCTTGCTCTTTGGTCGTCATTTCTACTTTTTGACGCAATTACCTTGGCCCGAGTCACCTGGCCAAACAATCTTTTCTCTCAATCATGAACCATTATCCGGAAGCTTGGGGACGGGTTGGTTGCCTCTATCAGCCTCTTTGTTGGGGATATGTCAAGCTGACTGAACTACCGTGGTAGCCAAGGAACGATGTCTACGGGTCTTATGATCATTCATATCTTCAGAGTATGGGGCCTCAAACCCATACACAGTCTCCAATAGTGACAGGAACGTCTGTCGTCGCTGTCAAGTTCGATGGAGGAGTTGCAATAGCCGCTGATAATCTAGGTTCGTATTGTTTACGGCCCCAGTTATTTCGGCTTATTTAAGTTCGTGACTTTTGGATATCTCAACAAGAAATGTTTATCTGACTGCCAATCTCCTGCGCAGCTTCTTACGGCTCACTGGCTCGGTTCCAGGACGTGAAGCGCCTCCGGGCTTTTGACAATTCGTCCGTTGTTGGCTTTGGTGGTGATGTTTCCGACATGCAATACATTGATCGCCTCTTAAACTCTCTTGACATCAGAGAGAATTACTCCTCATATGGCCAGCACACACTTAACGCTAAAAACCTGCATACATACCTCTCGAAAATGCTGTATAGGCGACGCTCCGAGTTCAATCCTCTGTGGAACCACATCCTGGTGGCTGGGTTCGATCAAGATGGGAAACCTTTCTTAAGCTCCGCCGATTTGCTTGGTACAACCTTTTCGGCGCCTTCATTGGCAACCGGATTTGGTGCGCACTTAGCCATACCAATCCTGCGAAGATTATTTCCAGAAGGTACACCGATCGAAAGCATCACCAAGGAGCAGGCAGTAAGTGCCTTGAAGGAGTGTATGAAGGTGCTATACTACCGCGATGCAAGAAGTTTGGACAAATATTCCATTGCAGTTATTACCAAAGATGGTGTAGAGTTGAAGGAAGACGAACAGTTAGAACATCAAAGCTGGGGATTTGCAAGTGGGATAAAGGGTTATGGCGCACAGGTTGAGTGATTGGATGCTACGGCGCCTCGTTGATGTAGCCATTTTTGCTAGGTTTGACATGATATCCATGAATTCATAACAGAATAAGGACTGGCCTAGGCAGATCACTGATCAAGATAATACAACATAAGTAGTTTAACAGTCAGCGGACATAAAATTGGATATCACTTCCAAAAAAAAAAAAAATTTAAAATAAAAAAAAAAATTTAACCCCTCAAGAGCTGGGTGAAGAGGCTTATCAACTCTTCACAACTTGGCTTGAGGTTCGCTAAAGACAACTTTGTTGCTACATGTTCCGACACCTTCAAGCGAAACTTCTACTTGGTCTCCGTCCTTCAGCCAAAGCTGGGGTTTCCTGCCCATACCGACTCCTTCAGGTCTAAAAATGCAATGCTGTTAGCTCCCGAGGGCTAAGATTCAGTAGAGAAGCAAGGGATGAACTCACGTTCCAGTAAAAATCAGATCGCCAGGTAGGAGCGTTGTACCCCGGGACAAGAAAGAGACAGTTTTAGCCACGCCAAATATCATGTCCTTTGTGCTCGAATTCTGCACAACTTCTCCATTGAGTTTGGTGGAAATGTTTAACACATTTGGATCCCGTATCAAGTTTGCAGAGACGATTCCGGGGCCAAACGGAGCCCATCCATCGAATCCTTTTCCAAGCCCCCACTGACCTGCTCCACGTTTAAGCTGCCAGTCTCGATGAGAGACATCGTTGCCAACCGCATAACCTAGAACGTAATCCAGGGCACGAGATTCAGGGACATTGTATGCTTCCTTTCCGATTACAATGACCAATTCGCACTCATAATCTAAACCCACCCCTTCTTGCGCAATTGCTGGAACGGGGATATCTTCTGTCGGCCCAGTTGCGGCAGTGACAGGCTTGAAAAAGAGCACGGGGTATGTAGGAATCGCCATATTTGCTTCTTTGGCATGCCGGGCATAGTTGAGCCCCAAGCAACGTATTGTTTTGATGTCATTGAGAGCAAGGGGGGCTAAGAGCTTCTTTACATCGGCAACCTGTTCGGTGACGTGGTGTTGGCCGAATATGTCCCCTGTGATGACACGGGCTTTGTTTGCTCTGGCAATGTCGGTGACTCCTGTGGGGAGAATAGCATCACCATAGTAGACCTTTCCATCTTTTGCAAGGAAGCGAACCAGGCGCTACACCACATATGGTTTATCAATAAACCATTAGCTTTCTGTTTCTCCCCGAGTTGGATCAAAAAGAAAAAAGAAAAAAGAAAAATCAACGAGGCGTGATGATAATATGCAGATATGTATGCACAGAGTGTGAGCTACAGGAAGATATCACCGACGCATACGCATACTATGAAAAGTATAATGTGCCACTTACAGAGAAAGAAGCCATTTTGATCACTTGGATATTGCGGCACAAAGGAAACTGCTTTTGATCTTGAACGACTAAGAGAAAAAAATGCCAACAAGCTGCAAACCGGCGAGGAGGTCGCCTTTCACACGCTTATGACTCCATTCAGCCTACTATCAAATGTTATTCCGTAAATACTCCTCCGTGCCGATTTTGGTGGACTCGGCCGGGAAATCGGTAACTTGAGACGGGGATGGGGCAGGAGTCAAGCTGCGAATGCTCCACCAAAGAAGCTCAGCTTCGGCGCCATGCATTTTCTTGATTCTGTTCCGGCCAAGCATTACCTCAAGAAACACTCCAGATCGTCATCCTCGACCGAACTAGGGCCATGAGATTGTCTGGTCTACAGCGCCAGGTTCTGGCTTTATATCGTCAATGTTTGAGGGAAATTAGAAAAAAGCCCGTGGTAGGTGATCATATATTGAACTACACCCAAAGAACTCCGTATGCCGCTATTCCGACTAGCTAATCACAAAGCCTCAGGGTTCTCAAGCAAATTTCAAGCGCTATGCCAGGTAATTAATCAATCGACTCTTTACTTCGTACAGATTAGCTATCTCACAGAAGGGTTGACGGGAAAACCCCCAGGCAAGAGTTTCAGAAGAATCGAGACGTGAACAGGAAGGATTTCGCTACCATCGAGTACCTCTTACGCAGAGGGCAAAAACAATTGGAAATGTATGCTTCTCCAGGAATCCGAAATATTACCCCGTGAAACATTGTCGGCTAGGAGGAACCGATGGGCAACATGATTTGGATGGAAATTGAGCTCTGTTGAGCGGATGAAAGCCCGATCGATTAGCTTTCGGTAATAGCGGGAGTGGCTTCTGAGGAAAAGTTCATTCACCCCACGCCTGAATGAAAGCTGTATTCATTCAAGCAGACTGAACAGATCAACTTACGATCGGTCTATATTTGAGGAGCCCTAGGGAATTGCATCGCATAGGCTCAATGAAAGCCTGTGTGGAGGAGAATATGGAGGAGGATAAAACCAATGCTGCTTCACAAGCGCAGGATTTGAGTTCGTCTGGGGACGAAAGATAGTATTTCAAACACCACTTTCATTTGTCCAACAGTTGGTCCGTTTCCCTACAGGTCAATGCAATTTTACTTCTCGAATAAGGGAAAGGAATAAGTGTCCAAAACTCGGAAATTTCCAGCAAATAATAACTAACTATAGACAATTATATTAAATAACAAAATGCTAATTAATCCGAGAAAAAGTATTGCATTTTAATCTTCACCGAAAATACCGGCGCTCAAGCTTCATGGGGGTCAAAGGCCACAATAGCTTCCTAGTTCCACCAAGTCGCCCGACCAACAGGACGCAGAGAGTAAGGACACGATAGTTCGGATGGCCGCATGGCAGCCCAGCGAGCTCGTCGGTTCAAACTTACCCGGCCTGATACAAAGCTGGCCCAGCCACAATGTGTGGATTGATCATAGAGAGGTTAAATGGCGATAGAACAGGATCACTATCTGTAACGGCAATAAACATGGTCCCGTTCACGGCCGGATCGCCAGCATACGTCTCCAAATTGGGTTGAATAGTCGTTCCCATGTTCATCCCCCCGCCTGTTTCATTAGACTGTAGAGTCAAAGGTGAATAGGTAACATTGAGTTGCGTCACCCACACGACGAATTTGGGATCTCCCGCATTTGACGACGTTATATAGCTGTTGTTTGGGCCAACAGGCTTTCCAGGGGTTTCCCACATTAATTGAACCTCACGCCCAGGCCAAGAAAGCGGCATAGACCTATTCTGAGTAATAGCTGGGCCACAGTCATTGGAGTTATCAGTGGCATTGAGGCAGGATTCTGATGGGGAGAGGTGCGAGTTTCTTAGTGTGTTCATGCCGGGGCCAAGTGTTTCGTTAAAGCCGGCCGAACCGTTCAAGCGAGCCGGGTTCGGTTGATTAAGGATATATAGAGCCGGGAAGTTCTGCCAGACGAGTCTTGTCTGACCTTCTGGGCACCAACTAATGAATGGTGCCATCAATGTCCAAGCCCAAGATTGAGGAACTCCAACTTCAAACCAGACCGGCATTGGAAAGAGACCATCAAACTGCCTGAAAATCATCTGCTGGCGGGCTTCTGTAGTGATAGACTGGAGTAGCAAGGTTGCTGCTTCACGGGAATCTAAATGTTCGAGGAAGCCATATACCCCCGATTCTCCAAATCGAGTGAGCTTCTGGCTAAAGTCGACATATTCGCGGACTGTTGTGAAGGGATAATTATAGGCACACAGCTTAGGGGCCTGAGCTCCCAGCATATTGCTGATGAGTGTAGCATGCCCGCGCTCCTGTTCTGCCATAAATTGGATCAGATATCGGTCTTCGGCTGTAAGTCCAGCCGCAACGAAATCTTCATCTGAAAAGGCAGCAAGTCCATAATAGAATAGATCGAGCTCGATCCATTCCTGATACAGTGCAAGGGCCTGGCGGTCGTTAAATCATGCATTTGAGTTAGAATGAATTATTACGCTTACCAGCGACTGGTAATCGAAATCGCTTTTAACATTGTAGACAGGTTCTGTGCCATCAGTTCCTATGCCGCCAGCGGGCGCATAGGGAACCGGCTGAGGGGCATGGAGTTGTCCATCGCTTGGGTAACTCGTCGCATTAGGGTTTGGCGGCTTGTGAGCAATGCTAGACGCGAGCACGCTTGTGCTCAAGGCGCCAGTCGTCGTTGGTGTCCCTGTGAAGGGCCCATGGCTAGAATGGATCGTGTCGGTTCTAACTGGCGGCGGAGCAGCGACAGCAGAATTGAGGTATGCTAGCAGAATAGCAATATATGCGGCGTAGGGCTTCATCCTGAACCTCTTATCAAGTGTATTTCATCAAGTTTCAAGGGACAGAAAAAAGGGGGGATAGGGACAAGCTTAAATATATAGATGAACTCGCCAGAGATCAGGTATCTTTAAGGGTGACGCAAAATGTCATAAAACCTTAAATTTGATTTCTTTCCCTTCCATAAATAGTGGTTCCGTCCTCTCCCACCTGAGCAAGGCACTGAGAAATACAGTTTTTCTCATCGCTGTTGTTTCCATTTCCTCGGGCGGTCTGGATTTATGGCTTGTGGACAATGGCGTCATATGGGTGATCCTAGGTATTGATAGAACCATTTCTCAAATCAGGTCTGACCAGTTTTGATTCCCAAGCGAATGACGAACAGCAGCGAGGGCGGATCCGTCATCCTCCGGCCCATAAATTGGACCAGGCAGGGCGGAGGACGAGAGAGACCAACGAGGCTAAATATCGATAAGTTTTGGGGTAATATTCAGTTTTTCATGAGGTCACCCTCAAAATCTTCATTCAAGCTTTCCTGTATTCTGTACAGAGCACAATGAACTGAGTTCAATGTGATGAATGGGGGATTTGGGACCACTATTCCTCTTGAAGCTAGGTAGTTAGCTCCATGTAAAACTATCAAGGAAAGCTGAAATAGCTCTTAGAGGTCTTCCAGGCTCTGTGTAGATTTATTCACATTTGTGAACTCGAAATGGTGCCACAGTGGATCAATCTGCTATACAAACACATGAGCAGCTGTATGAGAAACTGAATAGATCCCTTATGATGATTGCTAGGATAGCACCCGGAAGAGGCAAGGTCCGTTTGTAAAATGCTTGAAGGTAGATAAGGAACGCTTTTCCGATTGGACATTTGAGCAACGAATGTTGTCCGGATGAAGGGATCCAATCTGGCCTTAGCTGGGGGACTGCTGCACATCGGCAATGGATATTTACTGAGATAAATAGCCTCTGCCAAGCCTGCTTTCGTTTCCATTTCTCAAAGCCGAGCGGCGAATACATCTAACTACAAAGTAAAGGTGTTCGAAATTCCACGGATAAATTAAACCTGGATTGTATTAGTAAACGGTGTTCCTATGAGTGGATGGGGGAGGAAACTGCACTTTTCCCGAATGCCCATTTCATAAGAGGACAACAAAGGCATGTTGTAGCATTAAATTGGGTGGGTTCGCTTTATTCCTGTATACATGAATGGGTGGAAGGGACATGCCACATGGCGTTGGAGAATACCTATGGTTGCTGTTTATAAAGACCCAACAAATTCAAAAACGGCCTTCCGAGTAAGCCCACGAGGAAACCTGCTTCACTGTAGGTATGGCGCGTCCACCCGCTGGTATTCTAAGCCATCCATCCGGTGCCAGCCGATGCTCCTAGTAACCGCCGTGGCTCAATTCTCATTTGCCGTCGGCAATTTTGCGAAATCCTCTCGTTGCTGGCAACGGAGCGATAAGACACGAAGCAATATTTGGCATGTGCCCTGTCGGCCTTGCTCAAACGGCCGACGATGCTGTATAAGTATTGCCATCCGGGGGAATATCATCGATAACGTGGCGGAGTCCAAGAAAAACACTACTCTTCATCTGATGAAGCTTCCATGGGGACATCACTTTCATCTTCTTCCATCGGGGCCTCTCCCTCACTTTCTTCCTCTCTTGGTCTCTTAATTCCGTGTGGTACTTGCTGCTTCGACTCATCCACATTTCGGGCCTCAGTCGTTGCTACTGCTGAAGGGGGCGCGTTAAAGATAGATTTCTGGAGATCGGTAGAGATTCCGGACTGTTCCGGCGCACTTTGAGGTGCATAGGTGCCGCGAAGCTTTGCAATTATATCAGAGTTTCCTTTCGCATAGACGATTTTCTAAAGCTTGGTCGTAAGCTGAATCGTCCATTCTCAATTTGATGAAGGCGAGGTTGTGGTAACTGACCATCTCTTTTCCGAAAAAGTTGAACCCTTGTAGGGCTCGCATGGCTTGTGTGCTGGTTTGGATGTCCCTGAACACAACGTGCGCTTGACCCCGCATCTTCTCTGTTTTCATGGCTACGACGTCGAGGACTGTTCCATAGGTGGAAAATAAAGTGTAAAGGGCGAGCCTTAGGTCAAGCTTTCGCAATTTATCGGGCAGGTTCGTGCAGTATAGACTTCGCACTGTCAGCACTGGTCGTGGGAGAAAGGGGACTGGAATATAGCTTACGTTTGATTTGGAACCCCGACGCCTGTCGACGCGGATTTGGTAGCCATATTGACAATAGAGTCGACGAGCTTGAAAGCCCTAAATCAATGCACGATCTAGCCGTCTGAAGCTGGGCTAAGCACGCAGCTGAAGCACTGAAGCAGCTCCTCTTCGTCGCAACCAGTTTTGTGCTGACTCAGCGGGTGGCCTTGTTGCACGTGACTCATACCCGCCCGACAACCCAACAACTACGTAAGTCAGGGCAAGCTGTGCAGACACGCGGGCACTTTCAACATCCGTTACCGAAACGCATAGGCATTCTGCTGCGGTAGTAGAGAGCTACTCCTATCGCAAATCTTTTCGAAATGACGTCCCCCGAGGTTCATCACCTCTTTCACCGTCCGATTGCAGATCACTCATTTTCTGCCGACAAAGATATCCTCGCTGTCGCCAAGGAGAATGTCGTAGATCTCTACCAGAGATCAGGTTCCAAGTTTGCTTTGACCGACGAATTGAAGGGCCATGACAAGACAGTAACCGGCGTGGACATTGCTCCACGCAGTGGAAGGATCGTTACCTGCTCTCAGGGTAATCCTGATCCCCCACCCTTGTGGGCTGCTTTTGCTACACATTCCCCGTTGGCGGCCTATTACTGACAATGGTCTAGACCGAAATGCGTATGTTTGGGAGCGCACCTCGTCCGGCTGGAGGCCCACGCTTGTACTGCTGCGTATCAACAGGGCAGCCACTTTTGTTCGATGGTCGCCGTCCGAACAGAAGTTTGCTGTTGGGTCCGGCGCACGTGTTATCGCTGTGTGCTACTTCGAAGAGGAAAATGACTGGTGGATTTCGAAGCATTTGAAGAAACCTATTCGTAGTACAATTACTACGTTGGCATGGCATCCCAATTCCGTTCTCTTGGCTGCCGGATCGACCGATTCTCATGCTAGAGTGCTGTCGAGCTACATTAAAGGCGTCGACGAGCGACCGCAACCAACAGCATGGGGAGAACGCTTGCCATTTAACACCGTCTGTGGAGAGTTTTTGAATGATTCTGCTGGTTGGGTTCATGGTTGCGCGTTCTCACCTAGCGGGGATTCCCTGGCGTTTACATGCCACGATAGTAGCGTCACTATTGTCTATCCAAGTGCTCCAGATCAGCCTCCGCGAGCGATGTTAAACGTTAGCACCCGGTTGCTGCCATTCATGTCTTTGATCTGGAATGGAGAAAATGAGATTATAGCGGCGGGCCATGTGAGCTAATTGGACACCCTTGGTCATGGTCGCACACTAACCAGCTTTTAGGACTGCGAAGTGTATCGGCTTAGTGGTGACGAGCGAGGTTGGAAATTAACGGGGTCTGTGGGGACGAAGTCCACCCAGGGTACTGGCGCTGCCCGCGAAGAATCTGCGCTGAATAAGTTCCGGCAGATGGATTTGAAGGGCAGTACTAAAGACGACTCGAGACTTGAGACATTGCATCAGAATACCATAAACACTATACGTGTTTATGAAGAGGCAGGAGAGACTGTGAGAAAGTTTAGCAGTATGTGATTCCGCACCCACTTTGGTTTTTAGAGAGCAAGTTGCTGACCACATTCAACAGCCAGCGGTGTTGACGGACGAGTTGTAATCTGGCAGCTTTAGTCAATGACAGTACATATATCACAATCTACCAAGGCATGCTTTTCAGTAGAACATACAGCTATGCAGGCTATAGTTATTCTGTACTCCGTACTCTTCATGCAGATCCCTCTATTCTTTCCCCTGCAAAACGGTGTCCTCAAAGTCCTCTCGTGGGTGCCGTGAGGCTGAAACAAAGTTTAGGGTTTAGCTTTGTTGGTTGGCTCGCCAGCCAAATTAACTAGTTAACCTTAATCTGACCAGCTCCACAGTTCCCGATGCCTCTTGGCAGTTTCAACGTCACGAGGCCCGTGCTGGGTGATCTTTCTGTCACAGGTTGCTTGTCCGGGTATTTGCATATATGCATGCCCTTGCCATCTTATCCTCTGTAGAGCTAAAGTATCTCCGATGATAATTATTATGACAAGCAGACATTTCATATTTCATCGATAGGATCTAGCCACGTTCCTCTGATGCAGTAGGGTCTCTTCGCCCTAACGTGGGACCCATGACTCGAGCGCGGCCAGGTCATTCAATCTCGATGACCTATTATTTTGTTCTGGCGACGGTTCTATTTCTCTCAGCTCTTGCCCGGCCGTATGACGGTACTAGCAGGCGGGTTTCACAGAAGCTATTTGACTCCCTCGAAGAACTCGCGCGCATTGTCGATATAACTTATTGCGTGGGCACCACCGGAATATACAAGCCATTCCGGTGTGCTGGGAGATGTAAGGAATTCGAAGGGTTTGAGCTGGTCAAAGTACGCATGATCTTGTCCCTGAATGCTGCAGTACCTATCTGATGCCTTAAAATTGCTTTGATAGACCTGGAATACCGGCCCTTTGCTCTCGGACTCATGTGGTTACTTAGCGCTTTCCCATCCTCCCTGGCCGAAACGGATTATTCTTGCTTTCCGCGGAACATATTCGATAACTAACACCATTGTTGATCTATCCGCCGTGCCGCAAGTTTACGTCCCGTATCCGGAACGGCCTGGACGGGATGACGGTGGGGACAGGTGCCTAAACTGTACCGTACACGCCGGCTTTATGACCTCCTGGGTTAATGCCCGTGCTGCAATATTGGGGCCACTCAGTGATACCATTGCCAAATACCCAGACTACCAACTTGTTGTAACTGGACACTCTCTTGGCGGTGCCGTTGCTGCCATTGCAAGTTTGGAACTGCGTGCACGCGGCTGGAACCCGCAGGTTACCACATTTGGAGAGCCAAGGATAGGGAATCGCGCGCTGGCGGAATATTTGAATGATCAGTTTTCGCTGCCCACTGATAGCTTACCTCCGAGTTTCGTGAGGAATGAAGAAAAGAGTTCTCCATCTTTTTGTCGCGTGACCCACGTAGATGACCCCGTTCCCCTCCTCCCTCTCTCAGAATGGGGCTATTATCCACATGCGGGGGAGATATTTATTTCAAAGCCAGACTTGCCTCCTTCCCTGGGTAATCTTCGCTTTTGCATCGGAGACGCCGACCCAAGATGCAGTTCACATCAGCGGCTTTTGGGTCTCGAAGAGGTGGCGCAGTTGTTTAACTCAGATGATAAACTTTACGAACACGAGTCGTGCCTTGAGAGAGTGCACGTCGAGAAGTATCAAGATCAATATTCCATGTCTGTACCAATGGCCTACAAGCCTTGGGATTTGTTCTTCGCCCACAGAGATTATTTCTGGAGAATTGGTGTCTGCCTGCCTAAGCCAGAGAATTGGATTCCCGGGTGGAAAGATCCGAAGTGGCCGTGGAAATGGAAATGGAAGTGGCCATGGCAAAGCAGAATTTAAGGCGTTTTCGATGATAAACCTTTGCTTGCTATTTAAATTTACTGTTTGACATTTAGACAATGGAAATATGGGCTCATGGGGTCAGTTTCTGAGCGGTGATGGGTCTTGGAATTTCTTGGTATGTTGCCTGAGTACATTTAATATGTGGTTAATATGTGTTTTAGCACTGCACTAGCTCTTATAGATGGATACCACGTTCTTGTTAGCTATTATATAATTTTATCATCCTGTGAAATAAATTATGAATCACATCAGAATCAAGCAGCACATGCCAGAATGTAGAAAGATGAACAGAAGCAATGGGTAAAGGAGAACGCAATGGAGTGAACGCTAAATATGGAAACCAAGGCAAGGAAATATGCTTCATTCACATCACATCACTTCATAATGAAGCCCTAAGCAGTAACTTTAGTCTCCTGTTACCTTCCCAGCTCTAAGCTTGGAACAATAACAGGGCCATACTTAATAACATTCCCGAATGCTCCCTCGCCTTGTACCAAAAAGTCCACGGCGAGACTCAACTTAGGGAACGCACCCGGCGGGCTGCCACCATGACCTTGCTGTGGCTGAGGCATGCCAGTATACGCGGCATTCACGGAGTCGGGATCATATCCCACGATGGCAACGTAATTCCTTCGCCCCATTAACTTCCGGTGCTCACGTTGTTGGCCAGCAACATCGGTTTGGAAGAGCTCCATCATGTCTTCTTTGGTGTCAGTAGGTTGGGATGGAGTGGATCGATGGCCATTTGGCGGGACATATAGTGGCTTGTTGTTGCCGTGCAATAATTTCAAAATATATGAAGGTGGCGAAGCGTTAACAACGGAGGAGGAGATGATTTGATACATAGTTTTGTGGTCAGTAGGATGAGAAGGGTCATGAACTAGCCCGGCTCCGCAGAGGTTGACAGAACCGGAGAGGAACGTCATTCGGATGCTACGTTGATGAGCAATGCCTTGGAGGGTGCGAATGAGGTATGTTCTCTCAAGGTCCTGTACCATGGTCAGCAATAGCATGATACTATTTAAATAGCCATGTGACTGAGGACAAACCTTTGAATCATGTGTCCATTGGTCTCTCAACTCGTCGAGGAAGTCGATATCTCCAAATGGACTCAGTACACTACCCATCAAACCAGACTTTCCCACAGCTCGCTTCACTGAATTGAATCCAGAACCGACAGCTCCCTTGGCACCAACAACACCCGCAACAGAGCTAGTCACTTTGCCTAACATATTATACGCACCAGTAACAGCCTTCTTGCCAGTTGCAACGGTTTGTGCGAGGTGTTCAGCAGTGTCGAGGCGCGGATATACGAGGGGCACTGAAATCATCCAGATACAATGCTGAACGCTTGGAGGTAACATGGCAACCTTCGGAAAAATCCCCTGGTATGACGGGCCGGCCAGTACTTGGTGTGGGTTTCTCTCTGATCGACAGTCAATACCAACAACGGCAATTGCCGGACCTAAGTATTTGACAAAGTGCCACCCAGTTCCTGTAATCGTGAAGAGATCAATATCATCGCTGACATGTCGTAAGACTTCCAGTGTAGTGTGATGCTGGAAAAGAAGATACATTTCAATGCCAATTCTGCCAATGTTTTTAAACATATTTGAGAACTGCATATGATCGGGGTAGGAACCAAATCCGTCGAATCTAGTATAATTAGCAATAAAAATGAAAGATAGGGAAATTTTGAAAAAAAAAAAAATAAAATAAAATATAAAAAATAAAACGTACATATCATGGTCATCCACCTGCAATACGTGTGGAATCTGAGCAAACGCTTCCCGCAAATGCGGCTGGTCAAAATGACTGGTATAATAATGGAAATATGCATGGGTTACGTCTTCTTCCAGTGCAGCAGTCCACGCTGCATTTTTCCTCACCTCCTTTCCACTGATAGACAGCCACTGTTTGAGGGATGGGAGTTCCTTCCATAGGCGGTCGGCATTTATTTGGCCGCCCAGCCCTAGATGAGCGTGGAAACCTCCGCATTCGACGTGTTTCTGCATAATATCTTTCCATAGATATCCAACACCACCTAGTTTGGACCGTTCATTGGCGTTGACGTTGATGGAAAAGTCATTCCCAGAGGTAGCAATGAAGCGCCAGTTCGTTTCATGCCGCCCTGCAACAAGGAACTCATACCGCGTGCATCCAAGGTGCGACGTAATTGCATATGTCCACTTTGCAGGCCCGGCGTCATCCATTTGCAAGTCAATGTCGTATCTGTAAAAGGTCCATCGTTGATGAGCTGCTATGCTTACAGGAGACAGCTGCCGTGGGTTGGGAGAAAGATCGATGCTTTTGTGGATATGGATTGTTGGTGGCTGTGGAGCATCGGTCACTAGAAGGATCGAACCCAACCACTGGCCCCGCTCTATGTCCATGTTTTTGTAGCGTAAATATGGACCAAAGTAAACCCCATTTGTAGGGCTGACCTTGTAGAGCTCTATTCCGCTGGTCGGCGGGGGGCCGATGTAACCACTGTTGAAACTCATGACACTAGGTTCATATCCAGGACTCATCGGCATTCCGGGTGAAGGCATAGGATGTCCAAAGGCTGAAAATGCAGGAGATGCTAATGGTTTACCAAATGTGGATAGGCCTGGGGAGGATAGACCATGGCCACCAAAGGTGCTTTGCGACGGAGATATGGGTGCATCGTTAAGATTTAATGGCGTTGGGCCTTTTGGAAATTCCCACTGCGTGGATTGTGTTGGTAAGTGAATATAATAATACTGCCCTGAGTTTGGGTCTAGGTGCGCTATCCAGCCTTCAGGCAACGGTGGAGGTGACGCCGGACCAGGGGTTGGAGTTGGCGCCGGATGTGACTGCACTCCATTCTGAGGAGGATGCTGCGCCGGTGTGCCAGTTTGCTGCTGTCGTGGATCATTCGCGAATGCAGGATGGCCTTGGGCAGACCCTTGAGTGGGAGCAGAGGCACCACTTGACATAGCTGCGCTTAGGGATGTCTGCTGCGCAGCCTGTCCAGCACCGAATTTCTCGGGAGGATACCCATGAGGAGTGACACCTGCCAAACTAGAATATGCTGGAGGAGGAGAAGCTGTCATGTTGAGTCGTTGGAAGTCATCTTCGATACCGGTAGAGGGCTGATTGGCGTATTGCATTTGGTTTCCCGGTGGTGCTTGCTGCGGTAGCTGCTGCGGTGGCTGCTGAGACGGCTGTTGAGGCGGTTGTTGAGCGTTGTTTCCAGGCGGTGCTTGTGCACCTCCAGCAGGGCCCACTACAGTTGAGCCTTGATATACCTGTGGAGGGCCATGCGGCTGGGTGCCCGGTTGTTCAGTCGGTGTCCATGGCCGCTGCTGTGGTTGTGGCGGCGGTTGGACCTGAGCTTGAGCAGGGCTCGGATATCTGTTTGGCTGAGGTGCAGAGTATTGAGTTGCACGTTGTTGTGCGGCAAAGTTATGCGAATTCAAATTGTTCAAGGTAGAAGTTCCCGCGATGCCCGAGGCCGCATATCGGGCTTCGATGCCGGACGCTGGTTGTTGGTTGGGTGGTACTATGGGGGTCTCGGGAGGCGGAGGAGACCCACGTTGGGCCTTTGTAGTGGAAGTGGATGCCGTAGAGCTCAAGCGATTAATGGCAGAATTATTCTCTGGCTGTAAGGTCGAGCTGCTCGTCGGGGGAGGCCAGTACTGCCGGTGGTATTCAGGATACGGATTTACCCCGGTTGAGCCCTTGCGCACGGGTTCAGGCGCTTTCTGGGTGACTCGCTCACGCTGAGGTAGTCGCTGAAATAGGCCTTCTCGGTCTGAGGGCTCAGGGTTGGGCGACTCAGGAAGGGATTTTGGGACAGCACCTCTTCTCTCAGCCAATGTAGGTTGCAACTGTTTCGAGTCTTGACGGGGACGCAGCGCTTCTGGAATTTCGCTAGCGCCAGGCCCAGGCGAGGCCGGTGAGCTATTCTCCGTGGACCGAGCGGACATTGATGCGGACTGCCCAGCATCGGGGTAGGGCGGTCGCGACACTGAGGTATTTCGATCCCTCGCCTGTGCTCGACGAGAGGAGTCGTCTGGGTAAGGAAGAGGAGAGACGGACTCCGCGCGATTCATTGGTCTTGATGAAGCTTGCTGGCCAGCTTCGGAAGCTCGCGAGGGAGAAGGGGAGTCCCTTTTGACAATTCTTAACGGAGAGACCGCGGATGGATGGCGATCGGAGGGCGAGGAGAGGAACATCTCGTCTGTCGCCCTGCCGCCGCGACCATTACTGGTCATGATGGCTATCTAACTGGGTCGTAAAACTCTCGCGCACGAGGTCACCAAATCGCATGCAGTCAGCTGCCTTGCTGGAAACTCGTCGCCAGATTGAAGCCTTCTCGTGGCGACGTTTTCCAGGAGACCCTGGCGGAGAGCTGCCGACAGCTTAGCTCGTAACTGCGGGGCAGCCTGGAGGGTTCAGAGGCAAACAAGATTAATTCCAAGATTCGACAAGGAGCAAAAACGTCAGAGCAGCGAGCAAGAGTTGTGCGAATGAGGCCGCTGAAACTTGACAGCAAGTCCCGAGCAAGCTGGAGGGAAATGGATCGTTAACTCAGGAGCCATGAGATCACCCGGCATGACGATCGATAACTCGTCACAACCATCCCGCCAAGGGTCCTGATCCTTCTCGGCGCCTGCAGACAGAGGACAGGATGCAGGCCTGCTCGCTAAAACACTCCTGCATCCTGCCCATGATTGGACCCATCATGGCGCTTCCACCGCCGGCAGCTGATTTGCCAACGGCCTCATCAGTTCGTGTCACACGATGCCGTGATTGGCCTATTTACGGGGGAGCTGACGGTCTCACGATGCGGTGCCCAGACGCGACGGCGACCCGGATGGCCAAATAAAAACGCGCAAAAAGAAATCTCAGCCACGAGGAATGGCGACAAAGGGGCCGTCAGTGACTTGCATTGGCAGTCCTGTGAAATAACGCCCTGCGTCCATGCGTCCAGTTCGGATGCTCACGAGCTGTTTAATTAACCAACTGTTGCTGCTGATTTGAAGAGTCAACACTTGGCTAAGCACAGAGCGCGGCGTTCGGCCCAAAGTATCCAGTGGCCAAAAAGGAGAAGCTCCCGATCAAAAAGTCGATGTCCTGGACGAAGTAGTTGCATCATGATGGCTTCCGTACATCCATAGCTGAAATACTATTAGCAGTAATTTCTGACAGACTGCATTCTTATGTTCGGAGACACAGCATGTTTTCACATCGGATATTTCAATTCTCTGAATCTGCTCCATTAACACCATCTCACTCTCGTATTCAAACCGTCGCTCCACAGCTGATTGAGCGGCAGCAAACAGTTGTCTTGCAACCCTGACTGAAGTTCGCCACTTGGCTAAACGTGCATGCTAGACTTTTTGAGTCCAAGCCTGGCATTCGGTTGGTCGGTTGAGCTTCCGGATTACCGCCATGCATGGTTGCATACATACAACTTCCTGGGTCTTTTTTCTTTGCACGATATGCTCATTTATTGCTCCTGACCGTACAATAATATGTAATTACATAGAATCGTTACACCTTTGCACCCTCTCCTCTACTTGGACTCCGGGATTTTTCTTTAAATAGTCAGCAGGTGATGAGCTGGCTAGGAGATCCCACGAGATCTTTCATGCTATGCAATGCATAGTCGCTTTGCTCGTTTAAAAAGTACTCTTGTGACTAACTATCTCCATGTTAACCTGATGCCGGTGCTTTTTGCATCTTTCCGGTAACAATGTTCAACAGCACTTTAACTTGTCCCGACCGCTCCGCTGCACTCCACCTCTCGATCATCTGCCTCCACTTTGGCTGTAAATCAATATCGCCGCGTGTGCAGACAACAATGAATGAGTCAATTGCCTGGGCGCGTCCAGCTCTCGCGGTTTCCACCAATGCTTCTACATCGTTGAATAATAACCGATCAACTAAGATTGTGAATGCACCCTGACATTCCTTGATAGAATCAGCTGGCGATGTCGACAATCGGTCGAAGAATGCTTTTAGCCCAATGTACAATACGTTGTGGACGGCTTTTCCACCGTTTACCACTGCCGTTTCGACAAGAGCGACTGACTGAGATATCTGCTCTCCCAAGGCTAGAAACAATTTCGCATCTTTAGCATAAGGTTGAAAATCCATCCGGGAAAGGGAGACTTGCCTGCGTATGGTACTGATGGATCCAGACACTTTAGTAAACATTCAATGGATGCCACAAACGTTTCCTCTTCAACCCTATTTCACGGTTTAGTATACGGACGTCATGATCACTTGGCTGCGACACCTTACTTTGATAATTTGCCGTTTTTTGCAGAGTCGATGTCCATCTTATTTTTAGACAGTTCGGCGCTGTCTTCCATCACCTGGGTGACAATCTTAATTGCATCAGAAGCCAAATCTAACCCACTGAGGACCGCCGAGACTTCTCCCAGGCATTTGAGAGCATGAGGCCGATAAGATACATTGTTCCTTTTCGCTTCTCGAAGAGCAATTGTCTGTTCAATGAGTTTCAGCCAATATCTTTTTACCCTGAGCAAAATGGATAGCTACCCGTATTTGGTCCCTGATGTCGTTCTCCGCATATGATTTTGCGCGGGTTACAAATTGGACCATAGAGTGTAGAACCTGTTCCTTTCCTTCCCAAGACTTCCCGCCAAGCGCTTTTTCGACGCTTGGCCAAACCATCTTTGCCGTCGTTGAATTGACCTGTTTATCCAAGGATGCAACGACCTTCGCGACAGCGAGAGCTGACGCATGTTTGACGGCCCACCGTGGCGAGTCAAGCTGAGTAGAAACTAGGCCCAAGATTTCCTTTAAATAGAGTAAGACCATTCGAGAACCACTGGCATTATCACTCCATGCCTTGCTGAAAAATTCTTTCACCTCGTTATCGGTATCATGCATTCCAATAAATACAAATGGTAGGAACGTGGCTAGAACCCTATTCACCCGGTCGTTCGCGTACTTCGAAATCGAATGCAGGATTTCACCCGCGACAGCCCGCTGCGACGCATCCTCCGAATCAAAGTATAGCTTTTGAGCGTATGCAATGGTTTTCAGCATCTCATCATCGCTTGCCAGCCGCATCATATACCCAATGGCATTGCTATATGATGCGCTCACCGTATCGTTGCGATCGAGAACGTATTTTCTCGTTAGTTGAATAAAACGGTCCGCATACGGCTGGAAGAGCACGGTCTTCGAGCTTAGAATCACCAGGACACGGCTACACCCAACCTTTGAAGGTAGTCCAATGGCCGACTTTGACACATGCTCAATCTTCGCCGCCACCTCCTTCATACTCTCATCATCCAGGGTATCAAGTAGGTGAAGCTCAATGGATTCCATCATCGGGGAGCTCCGGATGGCCGATAGTCGCATTTTATCAATTTGTTGCCCAGTGAGTCCGTACTTATCTGCATTCAAATGAATATAATTCACTGCTTGTGGCTCAACAGAGCTCAGAGATGTAAGAAACTTCTCTAATATATCCGGGACAAATCGCCTTAAAGCTTCAGCAGGGCTCTTCTTAACAATCGTAGTCATCGTCGCGATAGAATATGCTTGGATTTCCTGGACACTGGACTCCATGCCGTTCTGTAGTAGAAAGGGGACGATATGTTGTAGCATTAATTGAGCTTTCTTTGAGTGTGGCGCTCCCTCTTCGAGTGCCCGTAAGAGAATATTGCTTAATACTTGACATAGCTTAAAAGCTTCTTCACGAACGGTCAGCTTAATATCATCGAGGACCTTGAAGGCTTTGTTAAGTATGTCGTTGAGAAATTTGTCGTACTTCTCAATAGGTCGACCCTGAATGAGATCTGCAATCGCAGCGCAGCTTGCTTGCCTGACCCTCCACTCTTTACCGACAAGGATACTCTTCAGCAGGTCTTCCATAATCGCGTCGAAATTAGTGTTGATTACTGCATTGGAATCCTTTACTAGCGCATTCCAAATGTCATTCATCGACCTTTGCACATTCGGATTTGGATCAAACCTGTAGCGGTATAGTTTGGGATAGATCTTTGGATTTTGGGCGAGATATCCGTTCACGCTTGAATCCGATAGAAGATTGCTAAGACCAAACCGGCCAAAAGCGGCACGGCTGGACCAAACGCTGTTGTTTGATGCCAGTGACATGAACCGATACACAAGACTTGGATCTCCGACTTCCGAAGCTAGCCCAACAATATCTTTATAAGTGGTGACAGAGCCGTCTCCAGTTGGTAGTGCGCCAGGCTCAAACAATTCAGTATCACCGGAAACCTTTCCACCCCCCAGATTGGACTGTTCGGTGGTGAAGGATCGTACCAAGTCACGAACCAGGTCATCTTTGAGGCTTTGATTTCCCATTTCATAAACAAGGCTCAACCCACGGGAGGCGGTTTCCTGAACGATTTCTTCGCGATCAGAGAGGAGCCAGATAAAAGCCACTTGACATTCCCGAAGGCGATCTTGCAATGGCTGACAATGACCGCAATACTGAACCAGGCTTAAAAGCCACACAGCGGAGGCTCTTCTTAACGACGGTTTGGAGGCTCTGCAGTCGAGGAGGATTTTTTCTAGCATATTCGAAAGAACATCCGACGGAATATTCGATTGGGGTCGTTCAGCATCTACATCGAACGCAGTGAGTAAGGATTTCGAGGCCCAGCCAACAGCAGTAACGCTTAATGCCTCGCCAACGGTAAGTTGAACTTCGACACCACGGATATCGTGTAAATCATACAATGATTGTAAAAGGCGGTCGAAAACGCCAGATGAACTGTCATTCTCTTTTGGGAGTGCCAAAGAAAGTCGACCCAATGCTAGTATCGCGGACTCCTTTCCCGCCTTAGCGTCCACCAAGATCCTCTCGAACAACTTCTCCAGGCCTATATCTTCACTGAGGAAATCTGGACCTAAAAGCGAGCTCAGACTCAGTTGTCCCAGACATACTATCGCTGTATCTCGAAGGGTTGAGTCTCTTGAATGGGCAAGAATTTCAAACAGAACCACATTGAACTGCCGGACTTGGGTGGCTAGTAACGTTTGCTTGAGTCCTCGGTATGACAACCGTGTCAAAAAGTACATCAACATGAGGATGTGTCCGCGAACCTCATCGGCAGCCGATCCTACAGCGTTACGCCAGGACAAGGTCTTGTCCAAAAGATCTCTCGATACCTTCTCTCGATCCCGGGTTTCCGCATTGGGGAGCGACTCCAAAATGCCGAAACTATGCGCAATCATATCTTGGTTATTCGAGCGAGTAGCCTCTACTCCGGCTCTTAAAAATATCGCAATTGGATCAAGCTGTTGCAGAAGATTGTTTGGCGTCAAAGAGGCAATTTCCACGAAGTGCTCAACCGTCCGCCCAAGCGGCGTACCCAGCTTCCGCACTGTTCCCTTGAGAAAAGCAACCAAGAATTGTTTAATAATAATATTGTCGGATGGGAACTGTCTAAGATACTTTCGCACTGCCTCGCAGGCAGCTTCACTTGTCGAGATTATTGTATCTAGTCGCTCTTCCCAATAAGGCTGCTCAGCGTCAAAAGGAACCTGTGAGAATGACAACGCTTCACATAGGAAAATATTTCGAATGAAAGTCATTGCCGAAGGGTAGGCATTGGCGTAAGAATCACTATAGATAAGGGTCGACTGGAAGTCGGTTTTCACGTTAGGATTTCTGTCATCCGTCCGAAGAAACACAGATTCCACTAGTTCTGAAAACCTTGGAAATCGGTAGAGGTCTTCTGCGTCCGATGATGTGGGAGGATTGGGAGAGTAGTTGACGTTCGGAGGATTCAAGACACGGTACCAGTACGGATCGAGCCCCTTTCGTCCTTCTTCGACGAGTTTAAGGTCTCGATCTGGATCAGCTGCCAGGGCCATCATGTTGATCCAACGTCCCTCGACATCACTAAACGGGAGACATTTATTTGCAAAGCGAACAGCTGCAAATTTCACACTGCGGGCAATTGTATATCTTGATCTTTTATCCACCTCGCCCGGTTCTGCAGTCATGTAGTACATCAACAGAATTCGGAGTCGTCGAGTTATATCGGCGTTTAAATTTCGTGCAGCTGAGTTCATTACATTTCCCAGGGCTTGATCAATGCTGACGAATATCTCGTCGCTCGACGTGTCTGAGGCGAGAGCGATGAATAACCATTTGATAAGACTGTAGCCAGCAGCCCCGCCCTCTTCCGAGGTATGATCAATCTTGGACGATAGCCAACCAATGGTTTCGTAGGTCAGACTTCTCAGCTTCTGTTCGGAAGCGTTGCCTTTGTTTGAAAGAGCCGGCCAGCCGTGTGCTTCGACAGATGCTTTCAGGAGCTTAATGATTCCTGGAGCCAATACTGGGGCCGAGGGAGCCATTCGAGCGAACCACGTAATAAAGTTGAGCAGCTGGGTTCGTAGCTTCGAGCCCTCCAGACCGCCCTGAAGCATCACGGTTGCAAAATTAATTTTGTCTTCAAAAAGCTGCTTGATTCTGTCCGTTTCAGTTGTGGCTTTGACCGATTTGCATAATAGGCTGAATATCTTAATTTGTAGCGCTGGGCGAGTAGTCGATATAGCCTCTGCCTCTTTGGCTCTCGGGTATAAGTCAAAAAGCCGATGTACGACGTCTTCACTTTCCATGTCCGTTCCGGATTGCTTAAGCATCTCCTCGCCGATGGTTGAGATCTTGCGATTGGGGTCTGCACTGGCAATTATGGCTGGAATAAACCGCTCGCTTTCGTTGAATGCACCACTGGCCAGAAAGTTCAGAACAGCGATTTTACTGTCAGTCAGATTTAATCCCCCAGGGCTTGAAGGATTCCACGTTTCGTTGAAGGGGGCATTTTTGTTCAAAAATTTGTATTCTGCTTCCGACAGGCTGGTGCATGTGGCTTTGTTTCCAGCCGGTACGAGCAACACAAGGTTGCCGAACCACTTCGATAGAAAGCGGGCATCTTCGTCGGAGATGCCTAGGTTCCTGCGAAACGACAGGTTTTCGTCACTGCCTTTTTGTGGAAGCTTTAGAGCTATCAAGCACCTCAATATCAAATTAAAAGCACTGGCGGCGTCCGCAGCCTCTTCTTCGAGCTGTGACACGCCCTGGACCAACTCGGGGAAAACTTCTGCCCTACGAACTGGGGTAGAGCGGTCTAACGCCAGTTTAATATAAATTAAATCAAAATGCCTCACAAGTGGCGAGCGTATCTCCTTGAATTGCTTCAGCAAGGCTGGGAGGGGGAGGTCTATTGTGAGGGGTTGGATACGAGTATTCACATGCTGGCAGACTGCGATCACTTTATTGCGCACCGCGACATGTTCGGAAGCCAGCTTCAAGAGCAAGGGAGCTAGGTACTTTTGCAAGAGTTGCTGGAGCTTCTCGTCGGAGTCTGCAAGAGCAATTCGAAACTCCACGTTTGAGACTAAAGACAGCTCACGAGCTTCGGCGCTCTGTTGCTGGTCGGGCATCTTGAAAAGCTGGGAAGAGAAAACGAAAATAAGGGAAGACGTAACCTTCAGATGAATAAAATAAAATTGCAAGAAACCATCATGGCTTGAAAGCGCTCTTCGTGGAATCTGCGAACCGCTCTCCAGGCAGGACAGTGATTGCGCAGACCTCGAGACAACGATGATGTTGCTAGGTTGCGGGGAGGCCAACACAAGCACGAGAAGCTTGCTGAGCTTATCTTATCAGCACAATCTCATTGGCTCGAGCAGATGGGCCAGCCTCCCTCCCTTCTTGGCTCCGGCGGACACGACGCCTGAATCGCCCGAAGATCGCGGCTGCATGTCACCTGTTTCTAGGGACTCTCGGGGCGCTAAGCCTAGTTGACAGCACCCCCCCACCCGCGCGCCAGGGCCCCCGGGGAGTTCCAGATGGGTCTTATGAATTCAATGCTTTCCAATACAATTACTTCGTAGTTAGATGAACACGATGTACAGTATCTCGCTTGAACGCTATCAAAAAATAAAGTCTCTCCAGAATTGAGTGATTACCACCTATCCCCCTATATGGCGGGTTTTTCCACGGCAACTTACCCCAGCGCATATCTACATCGCTAATGCAAGAAGCTGTATTTTGTAGTCTGGATCCTGTCTCTTAGCGACAAAACACCGATCATCGCATCTGCGAGGGGGAATACGGTGCAGCAAGTAATCATATATAAAGACACGCTCCGACGCATTCGGATTTCTCGACGATTAAGTATTCACAGGGATTTGTTCCTGAAACCGGCCCTGGTTATAGGGCATATTTCTTTGGTCTTCTGGCCAGTTAGACGGGCCTCCGTCGTTGATAACAAATCCGCGATGGCGATTGGCCATATCGCCCATCGAGTCTGTGGTTAGAGGCTGCTCATACGCTATATCCAGCTGATCTTGTTGGCCGGCCGGATAAGATACCGAGACCATTTCTGGGAAGCGCTGGCCTTGTGGAATATGGCGTCGTGTGCGGACGGCAGGGGCAAGGTCGATGACAAAAGAAAACACATAAAATGTGAATATGAAAGCAATAACTGCCATAAAATTTCAGTTGCTATTCACAGCAAGATGTTAATGATAGGGACACTATACCCCATTCGATAACGGCTGCCTGGTTTTTGCGGCCTCTTCCTCGACCTGTGACTCCGAATGCAATCGCGAGAGCTAATTCGACAATAATAAATATGAGTTTAATCCAGAAGCTAATCGTAAGGATGCGGTGTTCTCGGTAATGGATACCGAGGCGCAAGTATTCGAGACAAACGAAAACTGCACTGAGAAGATATCCGCCCCTGGGAATATGATCGGATTAGTTCTCTGCTCACAGCCCCGGCTCCCACCTGCAAAAAAGTACTTACATGAACAGGACCAGAAAACCATTGTGCTGATGGCGGTATCGGAGTGTGTCGAATATGGAGAGGAGAATCAAGCCCACAGCGCCGCAGATAGAAAAGATAATAGCCAGCGTTGACAACCCCTTATCTAGCCTTCCTTTATTTCGCAAAAGCCGCCCATTGTGCCGCAGCCAACGCTCTGACACAAATCCGAGGTCGAAGAATACGCCAGTGATTGCACATCCAGTAATGAATAGTGGTTTAAGGCCATGGGCAGCAACGTCGGAGATATACCTGACGAATTTGTCAGCTTAAGGCCCAAATAAGTCCACAGGCGTGGGGGAGGTGCATACGCAATAGTCTGACCCGGCTCCATGCTCGAATATATGGGATATCCATCTGCTGACCAAACTATCAGGAGAGTTAAGATAGTGGCTGGCGTTCATGGATCAGCTGGTACTCGACAGAGGTTGAGATGTAAACGGAAGGGTTTCTACACACCAAGCCACATCCCAGATGCTATTACTGGGAACACCCAGTATGATATAAGCCACATTGCTGCAAGAGTTATGTGATGATAGAAGGGAAGCAAAGTATGTAGATGTCGGCGATCGAGCTGGGAAACTTAAGCATAGGCATCAAAAGTAATCCGCCGGTCCAGCCGGCTGGTTTCGAGCTGGTGAAATCGAAACGCCAATAGGTAAGGAAAAGACTAGAACTCTATAGCAACTACGACATCCGGTCCGTTAGCACCAAACTAACCAGGCCGCTATAGCGATGGTAATTACTCACGACTCGGAAAGAAAGCTGAACGCAAAAAGAAAGGTATCTCGATGCTGTCGAATCGATCAACAAAACCGCACGCTCCAAAAGGTTTCAAGGCAGAGCACGATCAGGCCGAAACAGCCCCGATTCAACAGTCGACATCGGAGCACCAGATGAGAGGGCTGAAGTCACCGGAGACTGGTCTCTCCAAGAGAGCACCATCCAAAAAGAGAAAGGCGACAAGGAGAAGCTGGTGGTCGCCCGCGAACTTGGCAAATCGCAAGCCAGGGAGTAAAAACCACACAAGAGGAAGGATAAGTAACCACGGAATGAACTTTTCAAGGACCATAAAAAGCCCGTGTTGAAGCCATAGGAGACCGGAGAGTATGGATATTTTTCAATATTTGTAGGTGCTTTTGCAGCATGGCTGGAGCTGAGTAAACTGTCAGGAACCCCGGAAGCAACTTCATCGGCAGTCGACGTCATCTGTCATTCCGGATGAGCCACCCAGTCACTTCGTCATTTTCGTCGGCTCAGCAACAATATCCAAACATCAAGCTTATATTCACCATACATGACAGCAAGCATTGAAAAGGCACCAGCGAGCCACTGCTAGGATGGTGGCAGATTAGTAAAGCATGTCATTAGGGTGAATTGAAGTGGTGAAGTTTTCCACTTGACTTGATGCTGGCCGCCATCGCTCAACCCTTAATTCTCGGGAAGAACAATTTCTATATCAATTTATTTCTGCTATGGACCTTTCGAATTTGGCATCACTTACATGCTGGAATGCATGGTTGAAAAACCGAGAACATCTTTGTCCTTTTCTTCAGGAACAAAGCTATCTCTCTTCAGACATTAAATTTCTTGAGCTTACACCGAAGGGTGATCACGCGCTTATCATTAAAGTACAGATCAAAAACATTGCCTATGCTCTAAAATCGGTGCAGCGTCTTGAGTTACTTAAACTCTTTGATACGGATGCTCAAAGGGAACTAAGCTGTTTAATATCTGTTCACTTAGTACACCATTCTAAACCTTTCGCTGGGCCCGCTCGCGGTTTTAGAACACTGCGTTGGTGAACGATCCGTTCATTGTTGAATCTCAAGTATACAATTACTTGATTGGCAAAAATGCTGGTTGGCGTTGTTGGCCCTTACTCTCATGACTGGCTTACCACCGACACAACCCCAAGAACACACGTTAACCTGAAAGCTAGGCAAGAATCTAGAATGAGGGTCGGAACATCGGCCACTACAAGGGACCCCGTTCACGGGTTATTACTTGAATATATTGAAGGTTGTACCGCTTGACCAGGCTTACACGAGTGCCACAGAAGTCAAAAGTTTGCGACACCAACCAAACCATCTCTACTCCCTAGATATCGCCCATGGCTATATGCGCCCGCGGAATGTCACGGTCTCCGAAAAATGGTCAAGCTTTCCTAATCGATTTCAGTTCCGCAAAGCTATGGCCCCATCCCAATGCGGCCGTGCGCGAAAGGGAAGATTTTATTTCTTATATGGACGGGGAAATATCCGCACTCGAGCCGTGTCTATTTCGACTCCAGAATGTAAGGCTTTAATCCTGCAAAATTATTGGCTCGCGCTCATATCTAGAGCCTGAAACGACATCGCAGAATGATCTTCTCGAAAGCTCAAAGCGAAGAGAAGGCATACGGTCGCCGTGTTTCGAGAATGGGCGGACTTTCAATTCAATGCTGCCAACGAGCCGACCCCTTCAGGATTCGGCCTAGCTTGTAGGCCCTTCAGCACAGAGTTTGCCTCCAAGGCTACTGAACCAGTGGCGGATGGAGAGTTGCCTAGTAAGGCACACGTTAGGGAGGAAACCTTGGACGAAGGAACTCTTTCGACTCCTCCGTCTTGGGCAAGGCAATGCTGCAGATACGAGATTGTGATGTAGGAACTCTCAAGGCAATCAAAGAACAATACTACACTGTGAGTCCTATGGCTATTTGGTCTGTGCTTGATATTTATGGAGAAAATGTCCGCATTTTTATTCCCATTTGCTTACGCGATGGAACTCCCATCTGTCAGTGGAAATATGGCCCGTTTCGGGCCCATGTATCTATAGCTGTTGGAAACAACGGACAGAAATAGCTGATTTAATTGGTTGTCCATTACCGCTGGCTTTCTTCGGAGATTCACATAGTAACTGTCCATTATGTATTGCTTGTAAGCATGTGACTTGGAATCTTGCAAGTACACACATCAGTTCCAGTATCTTGTGAGCAAGTCTCTTGTCTTGCAAAGTGCTTGTTCTTTGTTGTAAGAGTGAATCGTTACTCTTAGCATTGGGACTGGGTGGACCAGAAACATGGTGCCGAGTTTTAATAAGAAACACATTTCTTTGACTTTTTGGGAAACACAGCTTCGGACTGCAACTGGCGCTTTTCCTAGCACCCGTGTTTCTAATATGTAAGAGTCAACCACAGGAAATAACATCGAATAGCTAACCTTACATGTTACTTTATGTCAAGTTTGTTGTACTTATTGCTCAATCCCCTTTGGATTGGAGCTGCACAAGGCCTAGAGACCTCCTGCCTTGCATTGTATGCACCTTCTACCATCACCAACCTGTGTGCCTCTAATTAAATATATTCAGTAACCTGTAAGTAATACTGCCTGAAGAATGTAAATGAGAAAAAGAAAAAGGAAATGTTCGAATCAGGCCGACCACGATCTACACCATGCCAGATAGAAAAGCGAACACAAAAAAGAAAAAAAAGAAAGGAAAAGGAAAAGGAAGCGTAAAGGAAAAAAAAAAAAGCCATTCCATAGTCTATTCACTTGCCGAGTAAACTCCCACAGATATCGCCCAAATAATTTAAAAAGAAGTTAACTAAGGTCACAATGGAGATCAAGGAGCACAGTTAATTAAGCATCCAATCATTTGCGTGTTCGTCTGCCACGGGTCGCTTTTCCTCTGGATACGCCGTTTGTCTTGGAGCCGTTGGCTTTGGGGGGCTCTTTGGGCGCCTCAATCTGGACACCGTTATCACTGCTGCTGGCGTTACTGCCGCTGCTAGGATGTCGGACCGGATTAGTCCCAGGGGCTGGCGGCAAGACGACGTGATTGTATGCGGCGGGGTCGATGTACGACTGACGGGACGAAGGTCGATATACCGGCTGATACATGGAATCCGGTGCCGTGCTCATATTATAGCCAGGGCTGGTAGACATGGAATACCGTGGGTCGAAGCCCATGACTTGTGCTGGCGAATATGAAACATAGGTAGAAGTGGACATTGGAATGGCATTTGATGACGATCTTGAGCGTGGCACCCAGTCCGGGTCGTCAGGAAGAGGCCGCGGGAGAGGCTGAGTCTTCCCGGATGACGGGGGACGACCGGACGGATCATCCTGAAAATTATATGCGCCAGGTATTCGAGGTGATGTATTTGGCTGATGCATACGTAGCGTTTGCGTGGGTGTCCTGGGGCGGGCTTGCGGTGCCTGCAAAGTAGGCATATAGTATCCAGACGCAGTATCGGTTGCAGACGAAAAAGCCGCCTCTTGAGACCACCTTCCATTGGATTGCGCAGGTAGGACAACCGGGGGCAACATATTTCTGCCGTTGACGCGGGCGGATTTACTGCCCCGCGATCCGTTTACCATCTCGCTCTGCATCCGCCGCCTCTCCAATGCCTCAAGTTCACGCTGAGAAAGCTTGACTTTAGATTTACCGAATGTTTGTGCGTGCCTGATTCGCTCCAGTGCTCTCTCCACCAGGCGATCGTCCCTGTCCTTCATCGCAAGCTGCATGGCATATGCCAGAGTGCTGTCTTGATAAGCTTCATTAAGTGCATATTCGTCATGTTCATCGTCCGAGCTCTCTCCATCACTTTCCATCGGCAGTCCATTCATCATATCCACAGGCACGGCCAATCGGAGATGATTCATTTGTTGTCGACCGAGAGCAACGCTCGGCTGTAGGGGCACACCGTCTTCACTACCGCTATCATCACCATCACCCTCCAACCGGTCCACACGATTCTGCTTACCCTTTTTGCTCCTCCCCATTCGTGCCCCCGGCGGTCTTCCCCATTGGGGCATATCATAAGGAGTTCGCGGCCGACCACCTAGACCGCCTCCTCGGAAAAAGCATTCTCGATCGGTTTGTCCATGAATGCGGCGTGTCCCAGGACCGTTACGCCGGTAGCGCCAATAAGCCATAAAACCGCACCAATCGGCGAGGCCCAGAGGCCAAGCGGGACAGCAACGATCAACAAGCCGGTGTAGAGCTGAGAGGTTGTCGCTCTGAAGACACCAACGTCAAGATCCCGGCCCTCGAGCTTGCCAATTCCATACGTACCGCCGATTACGAGAAGAATGACGAACAGGAGCAGCAGATTCGTCAGCAAGCTGTAGATGCTGAGCATGATGAACACGACGATGTAGTTGCTGGAGAAGTAGCTGAGGTTGTAGTTCAGGCGGCTTTGCATTTCACTGAAATTAGCAGGCTTCGACACCCTCTTGAAATCGAAGAACTCCGAGATAGGTTTGAGATTGGCAAAGCGCGAGGAGAACGATTGCGCGCGAACAGCACTGAACCTATCGCCGAAGTTGAAGCGTGATGTCAAGGCATCGAGGGGTATCTGGATGGGCGCCATGATGAGATACGGCAAGCTGTGGGCAATTGAGGATGTGGATAAAGAGCGTTTGAGGAAGACCTGTCACCAAGCACGAGGGTCAGCAAAACGAGTATCAAATTTGTGTTGCTTTGGATGCTGGGCTGCTGTCTTGGATAAAGCTCTGGGTGGTGCTTTTGCACATATTGCAATTGTTTCACACAAGTGGAACAAAACTGACCTTTCAGAAAGGCTTTTGCAAGAGATGCACGATTAAGCAGCGGAACACGGCCCTTTTTTGTGATTGAGGACGAGGGTGCAGAGCGAGCGAGCGAGCAAGCGAGAGCCAGGCGTCCAAGCAATTATTTTCGGCTTGACCTCCTGTCTTCAAACTCCAAACTTTCCGATGGGGCCACAGTTTCCCTCTTCCCCTAGCGCTAGCCTAGATACGGAATGGCGCTCTATCTTTAGCGCAAAAACTAGAAAATGCTTATGTAAACCACGACCCCGTTTTCTTTTTTTTTTTAGTTAAGTTAAAAAAAGGCCTGAAGTTGGGAAGTGAAGAGTCAAGACTTCGGGTGGGAAACTTGAGGCCAATCGAAAGGGATCGAGTACACACACACACACACACACACACACACACAAAGTTCACGATGTTGCTGGAATGGGGGAGGCACCTTGAGGAGGATCTCCCGCCTCATGGCACCTCCATCTTTGAAAAAAAAAGAAAATGGAGATATAGTTATGTATCGGTCAGAGATTAGGTTGTAGTTAAAAGACTCTGGCAGACTGCTCTGCGCTGCTTTGGAATTGCTGAAGAAGAAGAGGACGGAAAGTGAGGAAATGGGGCTGGGCAGAGATTTTAAGAGGGGTAAAAACCTACGGCTACATTGAGGTCCTGCAGGACTGGGTTCAAAGGCCTCTTTCGTTATACCCTCTTGCATGCAGTTTCCGCCTCTTGGATTCCCTCCGCCGGCGTGCAGAGCCCCATCACAGGCCTCGGAGCCCAAGCCAGCCCTCGCTTGATGGCGGGCGGTTGACGAGCCTGGGGCATCGAAACAGCCCGTGGAGCCCGGCCCATTTGGGCTGTCGATCCAGTGGCCGTGATTGGGCCACGTTGTGGTACCGTTCAGAAAAAGTTACCCGCAAAGAAACTGCCACTCTCTCCCGCCGCTCACTACATGTATCTACACAAGCTACAGCGTACCTGTCCTTCTCGAGTTAAACTGCCGTACTATCCTCTCTCGTCTCTGAGCTTTAGCCTCCGTTGGCCCATTATCTGTGGGCCGGCCCAAAATGAGGCAAGCTGCGTTGTTCCGAGTCCTCCTTCTGCTCGCTGGCTTCCTTGCCTTTGCGGCTGCTTGGACTAAAGAAGGTGTGTGTGCCTTTTTCTGCCCACACGACCGGCCGTAACTCGATACTGACTGCTGTGCGATTGAACCAGATCACGAAATATTTCGTCTTCGTGAGGAGATCATAGCGACAGAGGGCGTCAATGTCACCTTTTACGGTATGCTGCCGTCCTGCCATCCCAATCCAAACACAGCCATCCAAGGTTCTCACATCTACCAGATTTCCTCGGCGTAAAGCCCAGCGCTAGCCATGTCGAGATAACAAAAGCTTTCCGCAGGAAGTCCAAGCAGCTCCATCCAGACAAGGCGAAGCGCTCCTTTATCGCGTCCCGCGCTAAACCGCCCCGAACATCCTCGGGGAAGAAAAAGGACGGCGTTCATGTCAGCAAGCGGCCTTCCGACCGAGAAATCCAAAAGGTCGTCAAGCATGCGACGGAGCGATATGCGCGACTGGGTATAGTTCACGACGTCCTCAAAGGCCCGGAGAGAGAGCGATACGACCACTTCTTGAATAATGGCTTCCCCATATGGAAGGGTAGTGGGTACTATTATTCGCGATTCCGCCCCGGCTTGGGTACTGTCCTCATAGGTCTCTTTCTTGCCTTCGGCGGAGCTGCCCATTACCTAGCTCTCATCCTCAGCTGGAAGAGACAGGTCGAATTTGTGGACCGATATATCCGACATGCTCGCCGAGCTGCGTGGGGCGACGAACTGGGCATTCAGGGGATCGGAAATCTGAGTAACTATAACGACAATGCGTCCACCACGGCCGCTGCTGAAAATGGCGAAGAGCACGTCGTCCTGAACAGAAAACAGAAACGAATGATGGAGAAAGAAAACCGCAAGGAGAGCAAGAAGGCGAAAAAGGAGGGATCTTCCGGTACGGCCACTCCAACCAATGTTGTTACCTCGGTTGGGGATCGAAAGAGGGTTGTCGCCGAAAATGGCAAGGTTCTTATCGTCGATGCCATCGGAAATGTGTTCTTGGAAGAAGAAACTGAGGATGGGGAAAAGGAAGAATTCTTTCTCGATATCAACGAGATCCACCGGCCGACAATGCGTGATACGTTCGCATATAGACTTCCACAGTGGCTTTCCCGCAAGCTTGTAGGTCGATCCGTTCAGGATACGCCTTCCCAAGCCCAGGATCCTGTTGATGATGAAGTTACCACTTCTGCCGAACCGGAGGCCGATAGCGTATCTACTCCAGACGTATCTTCAAAGAAAGCAAGAAAGAGGAGAGGGAAGAACGCATGAGTTGAAAAATGTACGGTGCTACTTGTGTAAATTACTCTGTATTTCTATATTTGGCAACAAAAAGTTTTCGTTCCATGACGAAGCATTCTGTGTCCGGCATATGTACATGCAGGTAAGCCTGCTTCACGGCTCGGGGATTCATTGCGCTGTCATCGGCCTATCAAGCTCCGCTTGCGTTCTCCTGAGCTGGATCGGGTATCAACGTGGAAACCCATCGGGTATGCATACATGACCAACTATGTATGCACATACAAGCATGTATCTGGACCATGCGAAGTGTGAACTATTCCCTGTTGACTCGGAAGAATGCCAATAATGGCTGTCGGTTTCTTTGAGCTTGTCAAGAAACCTTCATATACCCCAGAAACCCCCCCCCCCCCCCACCCAACCAAAAAAAAAAATTCAGCTTCTGGAGACATACTCTGAATTCTAATTATTTATTCTCAGACTGATGGATGTCTGGATTGATATACCGAAGCCAGAAGAACGTAATCAGATTTTCAGAGGAAGCCAGGATAACAGCTCTATACAAGCTATGCAAGCATGTTTTCGTCCATCTTTTCTATCGTTACTCGCGAAATTCATCTCGCGGTCAATTCGCAAAAAGTTCATCAATTCGTCCCAGGCCGCGGCGTATCGAGTCGGGGTATCTCGCCATTCGTTCGACCGTATCATTAAAAATTTCCCGCATGATCCACATCCTCCAAAAATGGAAAACCCGAACGGAAAAAAACAAGTCCCTCCCCGTTCCTCCAAATCTAACAGAAGAAACCGGAAGCCAAACAAAAGTGAAAAAGAAACGAGCGCAAACATAGGAATGATCACAAGAACATCTTCGCAACAGAGACCAATCCCTTGACACTCTCACCAATGCCATTCCCGCCGCTATCGAACCCGCCAATACTACCTCCCCTCGATCTCCCACCCATCAAACTCTTGGGAAGCCGAACTCCCACGGCGCTCAGCAGCTTCTGCAGCACCCCTCCCGTGATCAGCGGCATGATCACCATCAGGAAAACCTTCACTGGATGCCGCTTCGCATAATGGACTATATGTCTGAACAGGCGTTTGATCTTGTGCACAATGCGTGCCACAAAACCCGAGCGCGGCTTTGCTCGGCGTGAGGAAGAGCCGCCGGCGGAATAGACGGATGAGGCCGAGGAGCGATTGGCGTAGCTCCCCAGGCTGAAAATGGAGGGCGCGCTGGTGGAATGACGCGAGTGGTGGTGGTGGTTTGAGCTGACGGTGGAGTGTCGGTCTTTGGAGCGACGGCGGCGGTGGGAGGTACTGGAGAAGGGGTACAGCCAGCTCATTGTGTTGGAAAAGCGGGGTAAGCTTGCGACTTGCGCACTGAAAAGTGTGTGAGAATCCGAGCGGCGCGTGGTTGGGAACCCGGATCCGTGCAATTGCGGTTCGCGGCCAGGTGGTAACTCTGGCGGTTGGGTTCCTGAGTGCACGAAGCTGAAGCGCCTAGTTAATTGGACGTCCCCTGGCTGCGGCTGTTCCAACGGAAATATAGTTACTGTTGCCAAGCCACATAGTTACCTGGGGTTCCGTTCGGTAAAAACAACACACGGCCTTAATAATCAAACCTAGTGGATTGTACGGAGTAGTTAAGTGGTCAGCCCCACGGAGTACTCCGTAATCAGCTCTCTCTCTCTCACACACACACACAATCCAAAGCAACTCTACTATAATTTGACAGAAATTCTGCAAGAGCTCAAGTTCATGGATCTACTTTAAGACAGGCAGCAGCAACCTATCTCAGTCCATCACTTATCTTAGCTCTTAGCTATTCTATATGTGCTTCTTTTTCTTGCAATATATCTCGCTTCAAACCGCAAGCCTAGAATTATTGAAGAAATCAGACAATTTTTTGAAGTCGTGTGACATAATACAGAGAAGCTAGTTAGTTAACTAGAATCTTTATATTATATCAATTCTGGCGTGTACCGAGTGCCGAATCGCCTTTTCATCCCAAACCTTGGCCTTTGGATTTCCTTTTCGGGCATGCCGTTGCTGAGGTTGACGTCTGATTTTCTGCAGACCTTTGCCTGCTCCATATGCAGTTTCCTCAGTATTGGGCATCAGGACGCGCCAAAGCCTTTTGTCAACCTGGAACACCATGGGATTTCCTGTCACTCTCCCTCGGAATGCCCAGGTGAGTTTACGGGCGCGTAGGAGCCAAACGTGAAAAGGTCGTCTCAGAGAGCTGCTTCTCACGGGCATAGGTCGCAATCTAGGCCCAGACCGTGTGCACGGCTCTTATGCACCTTTGGATCCTGCCAAATCCCGCGATGACGACGACTACCAAGAGAGGGATAAGGGACGATTGAATTCACCAAGCGCCATTTTACCAGCCTGATCCACTGAATGTGCTATGCTACCCATCGATCTTGTTAGGGGATCCTTGAACCTCCGGGCGCAATTGCAGGATATGGACGACTTGGCAAATGTCCTCCATACGGAATTTTTGTTTCAGTTCTAAAATTCGACGTTCAATGGCTCGAGTCAGGCCTAGGCCTGATGATCACAGAAGCCTTTTGGACTCTCTTAGCACGAACTCATCAGCTTTTTGCTTACTATGTCGATATGCTACTCACCTAGCTACACCTAAATGCAATAAGGATTGCTGAAGCCTGGGACGCGACTTAGAATCCCTTTAAGGTCAAAGCATTTACCGTGCTCATTGATCGAGCACAAGCCAAATTGGTTCTCAAAACGAAAGAAATGCCAATTTTCGGTCAGAAGCGCATAGCTCGAGATCTAGGATATTGTGCCTAGATTCTTGATTGAAGGCCTCTCATCAGAGGCTCTGGAGGTCCGGATTTGACAATGGGATGGAGCTTGATCACATGTTTGAGCTTAAGGACTTGTGGCAGAATCGCAATATCGATTGGAATACACTCTTTCGGAGAGCTAGAAATATGCTATTGTCATCAGATGTTGCCCCCCTCAGCAATCGTCGTCGACTTCTCCCGGTGGCTCACTCTATGATTGGATGAGCTTTCAGATGCGACTGACTTCTCTGCCACATAGCCAGATACAAGCCCTGAAAATATTCACTGTTCGGCTCGGGATATGTAAGCGGGTTCCCGCTTAGCAGCAAGCCGAGGAGACTCGGATACTATCATCAAGCCAGACATTCAAGATTGAAACGTGTCAAAGTAGACCCGTCCTCAAGATTGTCTGCAACATTGACCGCATAGGTCTTTGCGGGCGCTCTGTGATCGCAGATCGTGGGTGGAAGGCGGGTCACGGTATAGCTGCAACTACCTACTTTGGCGAGGAAGCTTCCCTCCAGATAATATGACAATGGATGTAGAGCGCCGCGTGTATCACGAAATGCGTGCGTCGGCGTACTCCCTAGAATATCAGATATAACCCAACCCACTACTACACTTCCAGCACACAAGATCCCTGAGTTAGGATCACAGGATACATGGGTTATCTGAACCGGATTCTTCAGGCCCTTGAGTTTCCTTGTTGGAAAATTAACCGTACAAATGGCAAGTTGAGAATATTCTCGACCGGCAAAGCACAAGGGACACCGATGCACCTCCCATTGATGAGCCCACCGGACGTAAAATTGACTACAACATCTGCAAGTGTGCTGGTGCCAACCATCTTCGCTTTCCTGCCCCTTAAATCATGCACCAACCGCATCTAAGAAGGGACCAACCTTTGCCTCACGCACTCCTTGTGCCCGTGCTCCTAATGTATGCCTTGTAGTTTACGCAAGTATTACAGCCTCCGAAAGCGGCACTGGCTCAATAAGGGCACGGTAGCAAGCCCTCCCAGACTCCCCCCGAAGAAACTTAGCCACAGAAAGGTCAAGAAAGAGCTGGCAAGAAGGAGCACTTCGACCAAAGGATGAGCCGCGGCTTTTAATCAACCGCTATGGTTGTTGATTTCTCAAGGGAAGCCCCGACCCACCAAAATGACAGATTTTATGTAACTACGGAGTAGCTGCTGATTAGTTACCCAATTATTTTATTGGCTTAGTTATGATCACGTGGAATAAACTCTAAAATGCTTAAGTAATTTGGCGTATTACATAATTACTGAGTGGATTGACTTTCTGTGATTGGAACAACGTCATCGCCTGCCATAAGAGAACGCGGTTGGGCGAGAGTGCCGTCGACGGGCCAGCTGGCTTTATTCTTGCTTCCGCCTGGATATCCTGAAAGATTTGTTCATTTCACGTATGAATTCAAAGATAAACAACAGTATTCCTGAGGAGTTTTAGGAATTGAGGGGCATTGAAAGATTAGAAAATGGCTGGTAGGGAAGCCAGAGCCTGAGCGTGTTGCTGATATGACCTTAACCCCCGGATGCTAAAAAGACCTCCTCTAGCAGATACCCGTGTAGATTATTGTACGCTTGCGGGCACATACCTATCCTGGTATCCACGAACATCCTCACTGATCCTGGATGTCTAGACAAGATCTTGGAAGTAGATCCCTCCGCCACACAGCAGAAAATCCGTGATGCCTATAAACGGTAAGATTTCCCACCGTCATCGGGCCCCCCCTTTTAGTGCGTGAAACGTTACTGATGGCTCACCATATCCTGGCAGCGCCGCCCTCAAGCACCATCCCGACCGCGTACCCGCAGACTCCCCCGATAGAGCCGCCCGAACGAAGAAATTCCAACAGATAAACGATGCGTATTACGTTCTCTCAGACCCGCACAGGCGCCGTGAGTACGATGCAGCACGTCGCACCTCGTCCTCGGCGGGATCATCCTGGGCCCACGAGCACCCTCCCCCGCAGGCTGAGTCGTTCGCTTCCGACCAGTTTGGATCGATGTTCGAGGAGATGCTTCGAGAGGAAGGTATGTCGGCCAGTGAAGCTGAGGCCGCCGGGGGATATCTATGGTCCATCGTAGGAGGTCTTAGCGGCGGTGCTATAGGGTTCATTGTTGCGAACTTCCCGGGAGCTGTGGCGGGAGCAGTCGCAGGAAATAGGCTTGGAGCGGTGAGAGACAAGAAAGGGAAGAGTGTCTATGAAGTTTTCCAAGAGTTGCCGCAAACGGACAAGGCAAAGATATTGAGTCAGTTAGCCACGAAGGTCTTGCAGTCAGCCGTGTCATAACGGCTCCGCTTATGGAGTTTTGGTTACTATGTTAAACGGGACGGCGTTTGTTAGGATAGTACTCGTTCGTCGAAAGCACCGCGATTACCTTTTTTTTTTTTTTTTTTTTTTTTTTTTTGTTCCCTCTTTTATTTATTTATTTATTTATTTATTAAATCCCTCCTTGTCGATTGCGCTCACGCTGATAGGAGCAAGGCGCGAGGTCTTCGAAAGGGTTCTCTGTTACTACAATTGATATGACGTATGTAGTGAACAAGTCCAGGAAGCAGGGCCAAGATTTCGAACGCCATCGATCTGGTTTGTTTGTCACGGGTCGTGTCTTTTTAAAGGAGGGCCATTACCATAGTGAAGTCGCTGTCGCCAAGTCTGGCTGCTTCGTGATAACAGTCGGCGATTCCCGTCTCGAGGTCGGAGAGAGGAAAGGTGTTTTCCGTCCTTTCGAGTCTCTGTTTCATACCTGGAGATAATTTTTCATGGCACAGCGCAAGGATCGGAGGGTCGGCGTGTACGCGGACGAATGTTCCTCCACAGCCCGAGATCGATAAAGCATCATTGGTCAAGCGCTGCGATCATTTGGAGGTCTTAGCCTTACGATCGGGCGCGTAGCGCCTCGAGCCGGCGGTCGCTCGAGCTTTTGTGGCTACTGTGATTCACGGGCCAAACCCCTATTTTTCCAAGCTTGACGGTTGGCTTCAATATGAGAGCAAGAACACTTTGACAGTAAGCTACGTGTCCCGACTAGGATGGGGCTGTGAATCACTCATGGAGTCCTTCCTTTTTTTTTAAAAAAAAAAAAAAGGCTCTGGCCTTGATCACGCTCGTATTGATTTTCGAAAATTTCGAGTCGGCGACTCGCGAGGCACAGCTTGGCAAACGTGTAATTTTTTGCGTTCCGTGACCCGGGCAGACTGAACTTTGGATTGTTGACCTGCACAGAAGAAGCCGATACAGAGCTTCCCGGTTCCGACGCAAGGACGCGAAGCGGTATCTCCCAGCCTGAACCCTGAAAAATTTGTGCAACATGATCTTCAACGCGCGCAAGCCACATTCCGGGCGGATGACAGGTCTACGCATTCCGGACTGACATCCATGCCAATGGAGACTCGATAACTGACGGATGATGGAACTTCCTGACAACAGGGGCATCTGCATTCGTGGCCGATCTCAACAGGACGATCGGAACGTGCTTGGCTCAAACTCCCAATGTGGCAGTCTGCCCGACACCGATCCGTATCCTCAAGGTTCCATGCTAGCTGAGAACTTTAATTTTCTTTGTTTTGGGCCAGCACAGAATCAAGGGAAGCCCTTGATAGAACGTCGAAAGCCTGGGGGACCAAAATCGCCGTGAAAATTCTCCATCCACGACAAGATAACTCTAGGCAGTCAAATTCCTTAGCGTCTGCTTGATTTTCGTGACGGGGATGGGCTGGACAATCCTGTGGACGATTCTGTCTCGTGGCGCCGAGTAGTTTAAAACTCCCAAACAAGCGGCCAAGCCGCCTTCTTTACCCTGATGCCACAGAAACCGTGAAGAAAAACATCCTCCCGCGGTTTCTTCAGCGATGCAAACAATCTCCTAGGCAAGGGTCAAAATACACCGAGCCCCCGACAGTCGGCAAAACTCAGAGTGGTAATCTTGGGTCATCTGCGAACGGCACGGGGGCTGCTTGCTTGATCCAAGAGCTGCCCCGTACCAGTCTCCTTAAACACGAGCCGGGGCTCAGAACCGAAAAAGCCCTTCGTTTTTTTTTTTTTTTTTTTTTATGCAGCCGTTTGCTCGGAGGTAATTTATATCCTTTCCGAGATTTTTTTTTCTTTTTTTTCTTTTCTTGCAGCCAGGGTGCCTATGACGTTGGCACTATTGAGTCGTCTCGATTCTTATTTATATATACTCCGTATACCTTGCTTTTTTCTCGACCATACAGGAGTCAAATAGTGCACGTTTGAGCTTTCCTTTTACAAAGGTCCTCCGTACATACATACATCGCTGCTTCTTGAGTTACACCGATTGTTCGGATACTTGTTTGCTAAGATCCCCACGGCCGCATTCTTTGATCAACTTTGGGATCGTCGTTTTCTTGTTTTTATTTTTTATTTTTCCATCCAATTACATGTGGATATCACTTTGCACATTTCGATAACTCCCTATCTCGTCCCAAAAAGAGAAAAAAAAAATAAAAAAAAAAAAAAAAAAAGGAAGAAACTATCGTCCTTCGCTGATATGACATCCTGGATCAGAAGATTTCGAAAGGAGTCCAGCGAGCAGGTTGCGACGAAGGAGCCCGGATCAATCACGACCGCATTCAGCGACAATCCGTCCTCTGAAGCAGAAAATGATAAAGAGGCGGCCTCGATGAACTGTTCCATCCCTGGGGAGCCAGTGGCAGTCGCGTCACTTGAACAGCCTAGGGACGCGCAAGAGACAAGCGAAAAAAGTGAAAACGCAAGAGCAGAACCTGAATATGCCTCGGGAATAACTCTATTGATTATCATCATCGGGCTGTCCCTTGCTGTACTCCTCGTTGCATTGGTAAGTTTCGTTCACTTCATTGGTGGGGATGATGGAGCTTGCTGACCGGGCTACCCTTAGGACAACACGATTATCACGACAGCTATTCCAACAATCACTAACCATTTCAAGGCTCTTGATGATGTCGGTTGGTATGGAAGTTCATATCTCCTCACTACCTGTGCCTTTCAGTTGGTGTTTGGGAAGGTGTACACTTTCTTTCCTGTGAAATGGGTGTTTTTGACCGCCATCGGCATTTTTGAAATTGGCTCAGTTGTTTGCGGAGCTGCGCCAAGCTCCGAAGCTCTCATCATTGGCCGTGCTATTGCTGGTATGGGCGCATCGGGGATATTCTCTGGTGCTTTGGTGATTGTCGCTTATACGGTTCCCCTGGAGAAACGACCCATCTGTATGTCATTCATTTCCCTCTCTTCTCTCTTTCTCCCCACCCTAAAACATCATCTTTTTTTTTTAAACCTAAGCTGATTTGTTTTTGTAAATGCTAGATAATGGCCTTTTCGGGGGTATGTACGGTATCGCTTCGGTTGTTGGTCCACTGATGGGCGGTGCTTTTACAGACCATCTCTCCTGGAGGTGGTGCTTCTATATCAATCTCCCAATTGGTGCCGTGACCATCTTCGCCATCCTGGTTTTCCTCAAGGCCCCAAAACAAAATCTCAACACCTCGTTAAGCTGGAAAGCCCGCCTATTGCAGCTTGATCCAATTGGTTCTGCAGCGTTCATGCCCGGTGTCGTCTGTCTTCTCCTCGCTCTCCAGTGGGGTGGCACCAGATATGCCTGGGGCAATTGGCGCATCATCATTCTTTTCATTCTCTTCGCGATATTGATCAGCGTGTTCATTGGAATTCAAATCTACAAAGGTGATGATGCAACTGTTCCTCCACGCATTTTCACACAGAGAAGCATTGCATCCGCAGCTTTCTTTGCACTCACATTAGGATCCTCGTTCTTCATAATTGTCTTCTACCTGCCTATTTGGTTTCAGGCTATCAAAGGCGCCTCGGCCACAAAGTCGGGAATCATGGCTATTCCACTAGTCTTGGCTTTGGTGATTTTCTCCTTGTTGAGTGGAATCGGAACTACCGTTACTGGATACTATACTCCATTTACGTACGTCGCAAGCATCTTATCGACAATTGGGGCAGGTATGCTCACGACCTTCACTACGACCACCGGCCATGAAAAGTGGATTGGGTATCAAGTTATCTTCGGCACTGGGCTTGGGTTTGGGTTCCAGCTACCGCTCATTGCAGCCCAAACCGTACTGCCGCTGGAGGATGTGGCAGTTGGAACTGTGATTGTTATGTTCGCCCAGACGTTTGGTGGAGCGTTGTTCGTGTCTGTTGGCCAGAATGTTTTCGGCAATCGCCTTATGAGCGGCATCAGGGAAGCAGTGCCAGACATCGACCCGTCGCTGGTATTGGAAGTCGGCGCCACCCAGCTCAAGGAGCTGGTACCGCCGGCCCTTCTAGATAACGTTCAGGAGGCATACAACGCGGCTCTTACCAACACCTGGTACGTGTCCGTTGCCATGTCTGCGATAGGCATCATTGGCGCCCTTGGCTTGGAGTGGAAGAGTGTCAAGGGAAAGCAAATCCAGCCAGGTGTAGTCTAAACATGGGTCCTTTCGGCCTGCTTGGTGACCCAAAAATGTCACCCCGCGGCCTCTGATCCCGCAGGAGGGACATGGTATCGACTTCGAGCGTGGTGTTAAGTGATCGCTGTACTTTTATGTTTCCTTGGGAGCATTATCTGGGAAATTTATTTGGCTTTTCGTTTTTCATGACAATGTGTTCGCTACGGGAGAGGATCTCATCTGCTCTGAGAAAAAGAGCTTGGCGTTTGGCGGAAGAAATATCTCATGCATATGTACAGTACAAAGCTCTCTGCTTTGCAAAAAAAAGGGGTGATAGATGCAGAAATCCACATAGCATTATTTAATGGACAGGGCTAGAGAAGCGTTCGGTTTGTGAGCTGTAATCATCTTCTTTTTCCCCCTGGCTGGCTGTGGCAGCTTTCACGGGTTAACTCGTTACACGCTGCTGGGAGAAAGTGTCTGTGCTTGAGTCCGGCTCCACTTGATCTGGATGCTCAAGCCAGGATGCGCGTTCAAATCACAGAGCGTGCTGCGGGCATATGGATGAGGCCAGCATTCGATCTGACCCTCCAGGCTGGTTGGGAATGCTGTCTGGCAGACTTGCTTAGCCAGATCCATCCGTACGAGTTTTGGTCGGGAGGGTCTTTTTTGTGCAAACCATTGACCAAACCCTGGGAGAGTTACGTATGTCCTGCCCACGGATCAACCCCTGGCTCGGGTCCTCGCCGGCTCGTAAACTATGCTGTGAGGGAGAGGGGGGCTCCACAATGGAGATCAGAAGCCAACTCATCTTCGTCTTCTTTCACCGTCTGTGGAAGTGCTTTCTGCCCCTCTCTCATTTTCTTTTGCTCTGAATCGCATAGCTCCCTATTACCGATTTTTCGTTTCTTTTTTCGTTTTTAACTTTCTTCGCAAGTTTTCAATTCGTCTTACTCGGAATTTGTAGCAAGGCGCGGTGCCTCCTTTTCTTCTTCTTCTTCTTTTTTATTCCGTTTAACTTGAGAACGCAGGATACCCCGCATAGTTAGACCGCGATCATGACTGCCGAAGCAGCAAGCGTGTACCCCTCCCTCGAAAACCGTCCTATCAAAAACACAATTTGCCTGTTCGACGTCGATGGTACACTGACCCCAGCGAGGCTGGTGAGTGCATGTCCTTGCCTGTGAAAAAAGGAGCAACACAAGAGAAGAGCAATTCTTTAGCTTGCAGTGGAAGTTGGACTGACCGCCCCTGGCAGGGCGCCTCGCCCGAAATGCTTCAATTGCTGTCGCAGCTCCGGCACAAGTGTGCGATTGGCTATGTACGTTCAGATTACCAGTTATCCCCCCGCGCTGTTCCCTCTCCTTCCTCCCTAGCCAGATGCATAACTTTGCTTGTGCAAAATGCCAGTCCCAGCCCATCCCGGACACTGTGCGACCGTCCGCCGATCATCCCGCCCTTCTTTCAACTGACATGTATGATCTGCCAATTCCCCAGGTCGGTGGCTCGGATCTAGCCAAGCAACAAGAACAGCTCGGCTCCCAGACCACGTCGGTGACATCCCTCTTCGATTTTTGCTTCGCCGAGAATGGCCTGGTCGCGTTCAGAATGGGCCAGCCCCTGAAGAGTAATAGCTTCATCCAGTGGCTCGGAGAGGAGAAATATCAGAAGCTGGTGGATTTTTGCCTGAAGTACATCGCGGATCTGAGGTTACCCAAGAAGAGAGGCACATTCGTGGAGTTCCGAAATGGTATGGTGAACGTCAGCCCGATTGGACGCAATGCAAGCACGCAGGAGAGATTGGACTTTCAAGAGTACGTGTTACATGTTCGACTGATCTTTTTCGGTGTTCCTTTCTTTTTTTTTTTTTTTTTTTTTTTTTTTAATAGGAATGTGGCGTGGAACGCTAACTAATTCGCTGATCGTTTCTCCCCGTTAGGTATGACAAGGTGCATAACATCCGAAAGACCATGGTGGAGGCGTTGAAAAAGGAATTCCCCGACTATGGACTTACGTGAGTCTTACCATACACTTCCGGTTTCGCACTTTCCACCTGACGGGTGGTTTTTCAATAAATGGGTGTTACGGCATTTCTAACAATCCGATTGTGTGTCAGATACTCCATCGGCGGACAAATCTCCTTCGACGTCTTCCCGAACGGCTGGGACAAGACGTACTGCCTCCAACACGTCGAAGCCGAAAAGAACATCTCTGGCGTTGAGTTCTCTACCATCCACTTCTTCGGCGACAAGGCCTTTGAGGGCGGGAATGACTGGGAGATCTACATTGATAAACGTACCACGGGCCATGCCGTTAACACCCCAGAGGACACAATGAAGTTACTGAGGGATATGTTCGATTTGAATTAAAAAAAAAAAAAAGGTTGTTAGCATCCACGACTACACAAGGGGTAAACGAGGTGAATCGCTGAAGAGCTTCTTTCTGCGGCGTGGTACTCCGTACGTCCATAGGATAACTACTTTTAGCCAGAAATGCCAGATATTTGGCCAGAGGTTCTTCTTGGTTATTAAAATGGTGTCACATGTTTTAATTTCCGAATAGTAGGCCCATTGAGGCATGCATGTACTATGTATACAATTTCTTGAAGACCATCCAACTTTGTTTCGAGAATAACTTTGTTGCATTATTCATGTCCGGTTGATGATACGGGGATCATCTTGCCCGTAAAGATTAATGTAAGCTTCGGATCTTAGCCTCACAAAGCCCGGCGGTGTCTTTTCAGTAACTGGTCTTCGAGACAGATATTCCTCGGGCCCTTCTCTCTTTTCTCCATCGAGAAGTCTCACTCCCGCCTGCAGCTCATTCCGCCACAGTGGGCAGGATATATCAGGATACCGCGCCGTCCATTCTTTCAGAGACATAATCGGAAGCTTTTCTTCCACGTACAGTGCTGGAATGAAAGACTTTTCCTTCTGCAGGAGGACCTCCGCGGGGATCCTGCTTCCGCCAACGATAGTCTTCCATACCCCGCCCTCTGCAAAATCTTTCAATGTCCAAACCGTTGAGAAGATCTCCCGGCCATCCGGGGTGCGAAGCATCCAGCCATGATATTGGTTTGTAAAAGCAAAGATACAGAACGGGAGGGTATAAGTAGTTTGAGATACCATTTCCGCGCGTGCAAAAGCGGTGCAGCTCCTCTGATTGGTATTGTTGAGGGGTAGAGAGCTGAGTACGAAGAGCCTGGCTGACGGTGGGTGAGAGCCGTCTTGTTCAACCACTCGCTTTAATGCCTCGGTCACGGAGTCCCAACCAGTAAATGGGTGACGTGCCATCTTAGGGTGCTTGCAGTGTTTTGGAAGATTTGCGTTATCTGCAATGCAATCCACCATGAGGGTCTGTATGTTGGGCAACGAGACAGGTTCAAATGGCAGGCTGGGATCGGAGGGCAGGTTGCCCGGGAGAGGCGGTCCGTCCCCAAAAAGCTGCGAGCACATAAATTTTAGCTGAAGACGAACGTTCCTCATGCGCGGAAGGATGCGGCGCAGTGCATTGCAAAAGTGAGCACCGTCTGCATTGGGTGCAACATCGGAGGAGTTGGTATCAATTTCTAGATTGATACAGCTTTCAGGAAGCGCATCCACAAGAGATATTAACTGGTCCTGGGAGAGGGAGAACGAGGGGACCGGCTGACGTGTGACGCGGAATGCGAAAGTAGTCATTCTCGGCAGCTGGACGAGAGTACTCAGCAGGCCAGGGAGCAATGTAGCCGGTGCATCTTCAATGGGAGCAATGCGGACGGTCAATGATCGAACGAGTGAGCCGTGACTTGCGTTGAGCTTTCCGCAGAAAACACTGACATTCGAGTCGGACAGCACCACATTGCGGTAGAGCAGTGGGAGTCCTAATTGATACCATGACCGGCTGACGAGGATGCAGCTGAAGAGATTCGAAGAATTGACCTTGACTTGAGCAAGGATCTCAACTAAGATCTCGCCCGGGAGGCAGTCAATGCCAGCCATTTTGATATCCCAGGGATAGCAGTGGCTGCGTGAGAGAAGGGGGGGAAGAGGTAGAAAAAGGTGGGAGTGAAGCTTTAACATATAGCATCCGAGGCTTACTCCTCGTTTCAAACGGCTAGTGTGTCAGGCTGGCTTCTTCATAGCTATAATATGTTCAAACTTCTCAGCTTGAGACACAGCTGTCTTTTTAATACGGGGACGCGGAAGCATGCTGCCCGGCGCCGAGAGCGCTGATTTGTGATCTTTTCCCTGATTCTCGCCTCAATGTTCGGAAAGGGAGAGCGCACGTCGAGTACAGTGCAGTCATTTTGGGGTATAGGATGACAAATGCCATTTTTACTTTCGGAATTGCGATAGCTTCAAGGGCCTTTTGCGCGACGAGAGTGACTTTTTGGGTTTTCGACAATCAATAATAATACTAAATGTTCCCCGCAAATCGATTTCCGCGCAATGCAGGGAAACGCTAGCACCAAAATGGACTGGCGCAGGCGTGATGCTGAGTCAGCTGGTCCATCTGATTAGATCGCATTCCCCGCGACTTCCAGACGTTGCAGCACAATCGCTTTCCAATCGGCGACACGGTCTGTGGGAGGTACACGGGCTGGCATACGATGATCACCCGGCTGCAGGTCTGACTTGAGGGCCTCGGCAGGCATTTTACTCCGCCCATATATATTCATCATGGCGACCTCGAAATCCGTCGTCGAGTTGCCGCGCTTTCTGTGCTCCTCACAGACCGGCTCCTCGCGCATCACCCCCTCAAACCTCTTTGGATCGGGTGTTTCGTCCAACCAAACACACAAGCGTCGGTCGTTCCACGCCACTGATGTTCGCCAGCCCGTACAGCTCAGAGGTCTATCTACCTCGCTCTCCCCGTCCTCGGCGGCGCTCGTTCGCTGCTCCAACTTCGCGGCCACCGCCCCATATGCCCTCCGCTACTCCTCGCCCGCTCCCGCTCCTACGGCCCGTCGCGAGACGGACGTCCCTTCTGTTCCTATTAGACATAATGGTGTATATGTCGCGGCATTCAACCCCGCTCGCCGTGCGTTCCATGCCTCCGCAGCAGCACAAAAAGATCACCGTTTCGATACGCTGAAGCTGGTTCAGCGCCTCAAGGGCGAAGGCTTCAGTGAAGAGCAGGCTGTTGCCTTGATGAGAGTGCTTAATGACGTTATTGAAGAATCCATACAGAATTTGACCAGGACGATGGTGCTGAGGGAAGGTCTGTGCTCTATTTTCCTCCTTGCCTTATGCTTCTCCTCCGTGGGGGACTTAGTCAGTCTTAGATGGAGCGAATAAGTCACTGTCTCTTCTTAATCCTAATTTTTGAACAGATGCCGAACGGTCTGCGTACACTCAAAAGGTTGACTTCGCCAAACTCCGCTCCGAGCTTCTAAATTCCGATTCGACAGAAGCACAGCTAACTCGATCCTCACATGATCGGATTGCCGGGGATTTGGCTAAACTAAACTCCCGACTGCGTGACGAGATCAACCGCACACAGGCATCAGTCCGACTGGATCTCAACCTTGAGAAAGGAAGAATAAGGGAGGAAGCGAACGGGCAGGAGATGAGAATAAAAGAGACAGAGACGAGAATAGAGCAAGAGGTAGCCGGGTTAAGGGAGAGGGTGGAAGCTGTCAAGTTCTCAACTCTGCAATGGTTGATGTATGTTGCCCCAAGCACCCTTCCTCCCCTTCTTGCCTCGTTTCCGTCGCTCGAATTGTTATCAGAGCTGTCAGGCATGAGCAAACGTTTTGCTGACCACATTTTGTTTTGTTGAACAGGGGTGTTTGCACTGGTACCGCAGCGCTAATACTGGGTGCCTGGCGCTTGTTGATGTAAGAATAAATGGATTGGCGTTGGGCTTTCTTTTTGCATCGAGATGGCGAAGACTTAGCCATCCTGCACTTCTTTGCACTCCAGGAGTTTCTTTTGTTTAAGATTTGCATGTATGTACCCTCCATTTATCTACAGAGAAAGGAGATCATTGCCCCTCTCGTCAGCACGGAATTAATGGCCTCAAGAACGAGAAAGCATATATACACATCTGGCGGATATCCTGAAATAGCGATGATTAAATCTTGATCCCCGCTTTTGAAATATATTTTTTATTTTTTATTTTTATTTTTATTTTTATTTTTTTTCTGTTTCTTTGCACATTAGATATATCCGTTTGGCACCAGATTTGAAAACAAATCCGGGTTCTGTTCCGTCAGCCGCTGGACCGCGTCGTCTGTGCGGGCGCGGATCATGACCTCCGATCCGTCGTGACGAAGCAATAGGTTGGGAGCATGGGTGAACCAAGAAATCGTACTTCCCGACTCTGGAGAATAGCGGGGGAATGGAAGTGGCGTGAACCTCTTTTCGAGTTCCGATCTACCACATTCTTCAAAGCTGATGTACGTTAGAGCGGTGGGGTCGAACATCGATTCGGTCAGGATGATCTCGACCAGAGCTTCTGAGAAGGTGGCGGTCCACGGGAGCCATTGTTCGGCTTCCTCTTCAGATAGGCCAAGGCGAATGAAGACCGGTGGATCGGGGTTGGAGAAATGGCAGATCTTGATCCCCCAGATTGCAGCGTTTTGGTTTTCGGTGCGGAAGACTAGGGTGCTAATATCGTCGGTGGTGGTGTGTTGGTGAATGTATAGCTCCTCCGGGGCGAGGAACCTGTCGTGGTTGGAGGTGAGATCTGGTCGGTGGCCGAGTAGTTTGTATGCCTCCTTGAGGGCGGGCGGGAGTGTGAGCTTGAGTCGCTGCTCTCCGGCTGCTAAGCCTATTTCCGTAGAATTGGCGTCTGCTGGCGCCTGGGTATTGTTAAGAGTGGCCGTCGAAGCCCAGCTGCGGGTGAATTGGCGAATGAATGCCCATCGTGCAGGAGGACTGTCTTGGCAAGCGGCGAGAGCGGTTTGGAGGTCAAAATCGGTCGTCGGGGTCATCCTAAAATGTATATGTATTATTGTTGGTGGACAAAGAGACTATAATAATAGGTGACGATTTTGGTTCCATTTTCCGGTTAATTATCAAGATGAATAGTTACGCGCTAGTTAACTATAAAGCTACGGAGTCCGGAGTACAGGGGCAGGATCATGCACCGAGGCTGCTTAATCCTTATCCGAATCGTACGTTTTCTCGTCCAAGGAGACCTAGGAGCAGTTAACTTAGTTAGCCAGCTCGCCTCGCCACGAAGCAAAGGCGATGCCACGGCGATATGAACAGGACTAGTTTTGACTGAGGAACAATAATGCTGAAGCGAAGTACGAACAACCCGGGAATGGCTACGATTTCAGCCGTCAGCGGGTTGAATGGAATGCCGACCGGATGTGGAGTTTTACCCCCACGACCTTGCCACCCGCCCTTGTGATTGGTGCTTGGTCGGTGTCAAATTTGACTCCCGAATGTGTCTTTGCACCCGGGCTCAAAATCTCCCTCATGTGGTAGTAATTGGCGTGGCAGGATTTTGCGATGCGTGGTGAAGGGGGGCCACTTGTCCTGTAGCGACCATATCTCGACATCGGATGTGTGGTAGCTTGAGAAACTATACAGAGTAGTTACTCCGTACTCCGTACTACTAAAGGATTTGATGGGGTAAAGTAATTCCGTGCAATATTCTGTCTCAGTGAAAGGGCCGTTTTGCGTGCTCTTTATAGTCATAGTCATAGTCAGTGTCATAGAAGCGCTGCCAGACACTTTTTCAACTAGTCAGTGTCCTGCGCTAATCTATTTCAGGTTAGCCTCCGGCGCCACAGAAGTATGCTTTTGAGCCACTCGGTGACTAACCCAATATAGACTAGCGGGCCACTTCGGCGGCCGTCAGCGACATCATCGGCCCGGCCCAGGGGCTGGTGCTGCCGTTATCGATAAGCTCGCGGCTCAAAAGGCGTCCCGTTTTGTCGTCTTTCTCTTGCTTTGATCTCTCTCTCACTGCCAGCTTGGGGGGAGATATCAATCTGCCATGTCGACCTTCGCATATGAGCTGCATATCCCAGGTAACGTCGCTGTCTATCACTTTGTCCTTTCCAGTCCCGTTCTTTCGTTTTCTTTATTTCTTTCCTCCCCCCCCCCCCCCCCAAAAATCCTAGTTGTCCCGGCTTCACTGACCCCAAGTTCTAGGCCCAGTTTCAGCTGACTTAGTCTCTCTTTGCACGAGGGATAGCAGCAGCATCACTGAGGATCGCCCTTCGAAGCGGCGCAAGATCCAAGGCGGCAAGAGCCGTTTTAACGTTGACAATGCCGCGAAATACCTTCCTCAATACTTGGTAATGTGCCGCCTCTTCTTGAAGCTTGTAAGAATACGTCCCACTCCCCGGGTGCTTGCGCCATCCGCTGACCTGTTGTTTCTAGAGATTCACCGAACAACCGGATGCCAACGTAGGATATGGAACATCTACCCGGGTACCAGTGAATCTACGCCGCCGACGCTCGGGTGTCCACCGCTTGTTTTCCCTAGAGCTCCAAACCCGCGATACCGCCGTCAGTCTTGACGCTCATGACCTAGAGTCCGCTCCCCCTCTACTGAATTTAATTTTTACCATCCCATCGATCTATCGCATTTTCGACAAGGTGCCCACAGCATGCTACCAATCCCTATTACACAGGGACCCTGCCGACAATCTATCCTTCCACCTCGAGGTCAAGGTTCTTTGGAATGACTCCCCGAACTTACCGGGAAGATGTTTCGGTGATGCCAAAGATGCCTTTGCGCAGTGTTTTCCAAGTGAGCACCCCCGGCCCACCGATAGCGAACTCTCAGAGGTAGGTCAATGGACGCCGAACGAGTTTTACTCAAGTGTCCATGTTCCGAAGAAGCAGGTCAACCTCTCCCTAGTCAAAGGATTTGAAGCTATAAAATCTCAGCTATTTCCGTTCCAAGAGAGAGCACTAGGCTGGCTCCTCGAAAGAGAGGGCGTTGAGGTCCTTCCGGACGGTACCCTGCGCCCGGTTGTCGAGGACGAAGGCTTGCCTCTGTCTTTCGAGCGGACGACGGATGCCGAAGGTCGTCCATGTTTTGTCAGCCATGCCTTTTGCATCGCTATCTCCGACCTGTCGAAATGGCCCTACTTTACGCGGGTGAGGGGTGGAGTTCTTGCGGAAGAGATGGGTCTGGGTAAAACCGTCGAGCTGCTGAGCCTTATCTGTATTCACCGACGGCCGCAGTCAGCTATTTCGGCGCCTGACTCCGATTCGGAGCCTGTGGCCTCCGGCGCGACTTTAATCATCGCACCAGCGGCGATTCTAGAGCAGTGGAAGCAAGAAATTACCAAGCAAGCACCGAACCTTCGATTTATGCATTATCAGGGAATTCACCTGAGCAAAGTGTCTGATGATGTCATGGTTCAGCAGCTGGCATCTCATGATATCGTGCTCACAACATACGCTGTCCTCCAAAGAGAAGTCCATTTTGCACAAGACCCTCCCGATCGCCCCCTGCGCAATCAGCGAAGATTGCCAAGGCGCAAGTCCCCGATCGTTCAAATATCTTGGTGGAGGGTCTGTATTGACGAAGCCCAGATGGTGGAAACGGGCGCGAGTAACGCAGCGAGAGTTGCTCGTATCATTCCCCGTTGTAATGCGTGGGCCGTGACTGGCACGCCGCTACGGAAGGATATGAGGGATTTATTTGGCCTTCTGCTCTTCTTGCGCTATGAACCATTTTGCTCCTCACTGGAAACTTGGGTCCGGATCTGCGAGCTCTTCAAGCCTGTGTTCAAATCCTTAATAAACAAGTTCGTCATGCGCCACAGCAAAGACATGATACGGAATGAACTACATCTGCCCCATCAAAAACGTATTGTTATTACCATACCTTTCACTGCGGTTGAAGAGCAGCATTACGAACATCTTTTCCAGCAGATGTGCGATGAATGTGGCCTCGACTCGAGCGGGGCACCCTTGGGAAACTGGGATCCCAATTCGCCTAGAACCGTTGAAAGGATGAGGTTTTGGCTAACCAGGCTGCGCCAGGCATGTCTTCATCCGGAAATAACGGCCACCAATGCTCGGCGTTTATTTGGAAGCGGGCCTCTCCGCTCCGTTGCCGAAGTTCTGGAAGTTATGATTGACCAAAATGAGACGCAAATTCGCTCCGAAGAAAGAAGTCTTCTGCTCTCTCAGCTACGCAGAGGGCAGCTGCTTGAAAACGCAGAGCTTCCCCTGCAGTCCTTGGAACTTTGGATGAAAGCCTTATCTGCCTCGCAAGAGATAGTTTCGGATTGTAGAAATCAGCTCGCTGTAATTCTGAAGGATGTGCAAGCCGAGAATTATGACATCCTAAGTATATCGGATGCCGGCTCTGACGACATAGAGGAGGCAGAAAAGAACCGAATTGGAACCTATCAGCAGCGGCTTCGGGGCGCACTAGAGATTGAGCACATGTGCAAATTTTTTATTGCCAGTGCGTACTATCAAATCAAAAGTGACCAAAAGCTTACGGAGCCCGATTCAGACGATTTTAAAAGGTTAGAAAGGCTTGAAGAAGAGAACTATCAGGCCGCGAAACTCATTCGAAGGGAGATGCTGGCCGAAACAAGTCGCAAGGTCAATAAACATATCAATGTCGTGAGGGTCAAGGCAAAGAAGAACGAACTTGTCCGGATTCCTCTCATGGCAACTGATTTTCGGCCTGGCGGTATAGAGAGCCAGCGTATCTTGGAACGGCTTGAGGACTTTTCCGAGGCTATGAATCAACATACAATCAAATTCAACAAATGGCGTGACCACATGGTCAAGCTCATTTTACGACCACTAGTCGACGAAGAAGACAGTACCAATCCTGAGGGAAACGAATATGAATCTTCAACAAAGGTCCAAGATGAAATGTATGTGTACATGGAAACGCTACGTGCCATGGTCGCAAATCATCATGATGCAATTACGGGTCAGACGAGTGCTTTGGTTAGCCACGAATTGAAGCAGGCCTTAGAAAAAGCGAAGACGGGCAATGGCCCTTCTCCTAATCTTTTCATTTCCTTAATGGAGGCCTGCGAGAAACTGAAGGTTCCCAGGGAGTTAGGCTCCCTGCGTGGCATCTTGAACGAGCTTCGAACATTGGTGACTTCGCTAGAATGGCAGGAGAGCGGAGGTAGCTCTCGGGCTCGCGCTGAACTTGGTATCGTCGAGGACCTCCACAAAACCGTCAGCAAACTGTTCTCTACGCATTCAAAAATCGCAAGTAAGCTGGAGAGGGAGATTCTTCTGTTTCAACGCGTGACGAATAGAAGGTTGGAATATTACCGGCATCTCCAGCAGATATCCGACACAGTCGCACCTTATGCTGAAGAATCTAAGGGGCAACCGTTAGATAAGGAACAATTTGATTCTAAGTTACGCGCTGAGGAGAAAATGAAGGCTAAGCTTTCAGGCTTAAAGGCGAAACGCCGGTATCTTGTCCACCTGCGGGAGGACGCTGGTGGGGAGGAAAGTTCAAGGATTTGCATCATTTGCCAATCCAGTTTCGAAATAGGCATGTATAACTTCCGACATTTGCACCTGTACCTTTTCCTCGGGAGGCAATTAGCTGACATTTCCCACTCATAGGCGTCTTAACGGTGTGTGGTCACAAGTATTGTAAAGACTGTTTGGGTCTTTGGTGGCGTCAACACCGGTCATGTCCTGTGTGCAAAAGCCGTCTGCATGCCAATGAGCTACACCAAATCACCTACAAGCCTGCTGAGCTAGTAGCTCAAGAAGAAAAAGCCCCAGGGAATTTAGAGACACATCACTCAATGAAAAACGCAATCTACTCGGATATCAAGAGCGACGATCTGGAAGAAATTAAAGATATTGAGATCTCTGGCTCCTTTGGCACCAAAATTGACACCCTTGCCAGACATCTGATTTGGCTACGACACCACGACCCAGGCGCGAAGTCTATTGTGTTCTCTCAGTATAAATCGTTCCTGGCTATCTTGGCTAGTGCTTTTTCTCGGTTCAGGATCGAGTTTAGTAGCTTTGACAGCTACAATGGAATTGAGCGTTTCAAGCAAGACCCTTCGGTATGTTATGTGATGTCGGCCTTGATTAAGCGTGCGATGCCTGACGTGTCGGTAGATTGAATGTTTCCTTCTGCATGCCAAAGCGCATTCGTCCGGGCTAAATCTTGTCAACGCCACCCACGTTTTCCTTTGCGAGCCATTAATCAATACAGCCATTGAACTTCAAGCCATTGCTCGAGTGCACCGTATCGGCCAACATCGCGAAACCACGGTTTGGATGTACCTTGTATCCGATTCAGTCGAGGAGTCCATCTACCAACTCTCGGTGTCTCGACGACTAGCTCATATAGCACAGAAGCGAAAAGAACTAGACAAGAGCGGAACAGGCTTCTTGGTTGCGAATGGAGATGACGGACTAGATCTTTCTAATCTGAACGAGAATGTAATCGACGCAGCCAACTCCCTTGAGATGCAAGATGCCGCCTTGGGGAAACTGCTCCGTGGGCGTGCAACCGAGGGTGAAAATGTTGATGATAATGATCTATGGCAATGTCTCTTTGGGAAGGTTAAAAAGAACGGCACCGGCAGCGGGGGAGCCATTGAGCACATGCGGTTGGAAGTTGACCGGATGCTAAGAGCCGATGCTGCGGAGGGGAGGAGAGATGCTAACAATTAAGGAGCATCACCCTTTGCGACCTCCACCACAATGGCATTAGTGGAGCTCTCGAAGTACTCCATGCCCAGCTCACTTATAGAGGGCATCGGCTCAGTTTTCTTATATATGTCTCATCTGCAAGGATGATCACACAAGACCGCCCTACACCCAACGGAAATTTCACCGAGTCTTGACACTGCCTTAGCCCCTCCGCTTCCCCCTGATAAGAGAGGTTCAAATCTTGGAACTTATTTCCTTGTTTGGCCCCGGATAGCATTAATTCTTTGGGTCGAATTGGCTCGCGCTTCTCAACTTAAATGGGTTGCTTGTGTGCTAGAAACTGGCTGATAATGTATTCTGCTATATACAATGCATTACATATGATTTATGATGGAGGAAACATGCAGGGTTGGGGTGCGGGGGCTGCCCGATTTGATATTGAAAAATCTGAGACTCGTTGGTCATAATCGATTGATGTAAGTAGACCGTTCGGCGACGAATCCAAACTACGGAGTGAATGTCTGCCAAGTTTTGGCGCAGCGGAAGGCGGCGGAGCGGAAAGCCAAGGGAGTCTAAGTCATCTGACCTAACCAAGAAACGCCGGAACTCAACCTTATGGGCTTGCCTGGTTGACCGTTTGGTTCGATCTGCGACGTCATCTGTCATTAACGGAGGCAATTGAGAAAACGGTTCAGCCAAACTCTCCAGAACAGGTCTTGCCGTCGCGCTCCGTGGATTGCTGTACTCCCCTCGCTGCTTGGATTCCTTCTCTCTCTCTCTCTCTTTTTTTTCCCCAGCATGCTTGGTCATATTAACCATGCGTTTCGCTTCCCATTTGTGTATGATACTCGTGAAGAATGGATGTTATGTCTAATGCGCCGCTACCCAGGCACGACCCTCGTCAGGGGTCGGTAGAGCGTGGCCCGGACTATGGTGAGTGCCATTCTCTTTCGCACGGCCCCGATTCTGGCGAAACTGCGATGTATTCGTTTGAACTTCTGCAGACTAATTGCTGGTTAGCCACTTCCGCCGCCCACTATGTGACCAGGACCACGTATCGGCCGATAAGAGGGGAAAAGGAGGCACCAAGGAGAGCGGCACGTTCAGAAGGTAATTGAGCACTCGCAACGCAATTGTGGCGGATTAACCAGGCTGATTCCATCAATTGGAAATAGCAGCTTCCCGAGAACAGACCGGAACGCGCCCGCGGGCTGTTAGCGGTTCAGAATATGCGGTTGCCCCTGAATTGGCATCGAAAGGCGCCGCGGCGAGTCTTCGTCATCCGGCGGAATTCCAAGAGGTGGATCCGACCACCGAGAGACTCATCACGGCAGAAGAAGCTAAATTGAGCAGGGCCGGGTCCAAGGCGGCTTTGCGATCGGCTCGTGATCGTGCTAGGACGCTAGAATCCGGGGAGACGGCGCCGGAGGAACTGTTTGAAAGCGAGCAGGGGGCGAGGATGGCTGCAACTGGAGCCATGGCTAGCACCCACAGAAGAACGGAGTCTGCAAGTTTCCAGGAAGGGTTCCCGGACTTGACGCATGCGATTTCAGCAGCGTCCATAAGCCACCGAACAGCTCAAGAAGAGGAGCGAGGCGGGATGGAGCCGTCGCGTCAGGTTGCATTCACCAGCGCGCCACCTCAAAGAGCGCAGGATGAAGCTGCCAAAAAGAATTCGCACGCAGCTGCTGTGATTATGGCGAAGCAAATGTACGCGCTAATGCCGCAGGCCCGGGATATGGCAACTTTTGAAACTTCGGGTTACCCTGGCCCAGTAGACCCGCTCTTAACGGGTTTAGACCCCAGCCGCCCTTCCGTGAATCTGATGTCGGAAGCAGAACGGAGAGTGGCTGCGCGTTTGGCCCAAATGGACGAGGAGCAGAAATCAGTGAAGGCGTACCATAGCGCTCGTGCGTCGCCCAGGCCTCGTTCTGTCAGCTCTGCAAGGAGACGACCGCAATCGGTCGCCGACATGGAGACAAGCAGCTTTACCAGGGGCCGTGCACAGAGAACGGGATTCGCAAGGTACACACTTCGGGAAGAAGAGAATGGCGTTGCCAGCCCGGTGGAGGATGATGCGGTCATGGAAATGGCCCGGAAAAATGCCGACGATACGATCAGTGCCATCGATCGGGATTTGTATACGTACACCGGAAGGCCGTCTCCTGCTGTATTGCGCGAATGGGAACGCAAGGTGAACGAGCGTTCAATGGCCGTCACTGCGCCTCCAACGTCAACGTTTGTTCCAATGACTGGGTCGAAATTCGAGGATAACCCGCAGGTTCGAGCACTAGCTCGATCGAAATTACAGCCAAGACTTGATGAGATCGACGATAGGGTTAATGAAAAGAGAGCACGGGAGATTGAGAAGCAGCTTGATGAAGCACAGCAAAAGCGATATGAGCAAATACAAAAGGAGAGAGATGTGGAGACATTGAAAGTTCACAGCCAATTGCTGAGTGAGTGACTTCCACTACGGATGCGAATAGATATAGTTATGCTGATGATCTTATAGAACTTGAGCAAAAGCAGGCAAAGAAAGACGCAAAATCGGCGAAAAAGAAGAAGAAGGACTCAAAGGGCAAAGGTCGAGATGAAGCGGAAGAGCATCCTCCTGAGCAAGGGAACCCTACGGAGGACGCAGGGTATGCCGGGCTAGACGGCGGCCCGGAGGATAAGAATGCCCCGCCCAAGTCTCTCATTGAGCGGGAGAGGGACGGAGAGTCCTCAACAGCGGCCACTAAGCCCATTAGAAGAGAAGAGGCAGAACAACAGGCCTCGATGGACCCCGCACGGCAGCCGAATGGAACATCACCGGAAGCAGTGCCAGATACAGGGCCGCAACAGGCCCGCCAAGCTGAGGAGCCTGCTCTGGGAGGTATTGTGAGCCAGTGGAGCACCTCGAACTATGGTGAGATGGCCCAGGCCGCCGAGCCGAAGCAACCAGTACAACCAGCGGCGGAACCGTCAAAGCAAAGCCCCAATCGATTCAGTTTGAAGAGCATATTCAGCCGCTCCGGTCCGCGAGATACGGGAAATCAGGGTTCATTTGAAGCCCCAAAACGCCAGAAGGGTTCGACTGCAGGAGATGATATCGGACATGAGCCCAAGGAGGCACCAGAGATTCAACCAGGTCAGCCAGGTCAACCAGCGGACGCAGAACCCCAGCCAGGAATTACTCATCGAAGCTCTAAATTCCAAGAGAATCTGTAACGCTATCCTGTCTTTGCGAGCACCAGGGACGTCTCTTTTCTTTTCTTTTCTTTTCTTTTCATATCGGTGTTGTTGTGCTGAGTACTTTTTTCGATGAGTCTTCATCAGCTCGCTACATACCTTGACATGATTTAATAAGATTGACCAACTTGACTTTCATATCCCAGATGGCTTTATGCACTGTTCTGCCAGATTTTGTATGCTGGATCATTCCCTAGCTCTTCAGGAAGTTGAGACTCACTTGGTATTGCGGCTATGGGAACGTGATGGTTTACCCGTCCTTTTCAAGCAAATTTCTCAGCCAGAGATGCTAATATCCTAATAATTTTATTCCCCGTAGCTTTTGTTCAATAAGGACATGACTTTTCGGTATTTAATCTGTCTTTCTGGAGCGATTCCATGATGGTCAAATCGACTTCGACTGTCCCTCTGTATGGAGGACGGTTAGATAGCCTGTTATATCGTGTCTCTCTCCAAGGTTGCCCAGCAGTACGTATTATACAGGGATGCCGGTGGAGCTACACGATATTGATGACGTTGAGGAAAAATTAACCCTAACCCTATACTCTGTACTCCGTAGACCAATCACCCAGCTGGTAAAAGAAGTCAATATCCCTAACACAAATTCCATCTTGGTTAACTTGTTCAATGATTCTTGGCTCCAAGCATTGTGAGAAATACCAAGTATCATAATTCTGTTGTATGAATTCAACTTTTGAGTTATTGATCATTTTGATGATGACCAACGAGAATAGAGGTAATTTTAGGCGCGGCCTCGACTAGCGAGCTTTTGAAGCTGACAACATTTGCTGGTGTTCCCAGCCTGTATTGTAACGGCCGGGCATTCATCTTCCTTTTTCCTTTTTCCTGCTTCCCATTTCTCAGTAATATCACGCGTGCATCAGGGATAATTCCAATGTTGGTTGGCCATAGGAGCATGGATAAGGGTTTCAACAGATTATTGAAGGGTTAGCCAAACCGACCTATGTACGCACGGATAGGGAGAAGATGATCATTTCGGCAGATTAATCACTATGTTCATGAAGACACAATATGACTACAATCCAGAAAGGAGAATCCAGATAAACAGACCAAGAAAACCATTCCAAGTCATATCAAGTAAGGCATTTTATCGAAAGAAGCTCGGGATCTAAAACGAGGTAATGATGGCAAAACATGGGATATAAAAGGGCTGAAGGGGGGAGAGACTAGGTCTAATATATAATCATCAATAAATCAGAAACGAAAAAGAGAACACAATCCCCAGACAGAAATAAACATAAGCTGTTCTGGATATAAAGCATTCCCATCCCAAAGTTGATATCCTAAGAAGTGTATAGGTGAATAAAACAGGAGCACACGAAAGCAAAAGGTAGAAAAGAAAATCAAGATGCACTACAAGTGATGCTGAGATTTGAGAGAAAACCGTAGGTAGAAAACACCCATGTCCCACCAGAGAGTACCCAAAACAAAAGGTTAGAAAACAACAAAACACCAAAGGGAATAAGACTAAATACAGAACAACAGGCATACTACTCATAGTCAAAAGACCCTGGTCATGTATCGTACATAGATCAGGTTTGTTTAGGACTCAAAGACTCGGTCCCTCGCTCCTCCTGCACAACATCCGGCTTTTCGGCGCTCTCAAAGCGCTCAAGGGCCGCATTACTGCCCGTAGAGCCGGGCTTGTTGTGCTCGCGAAGAGAAGATGACCGTGGAGGCCGTATGGGTTCGGAATCGGACTGCGCACCAGAGGGGTGGAAAGGAGGATACTGCGATGGCTCTTCAATTTCCGCCGCAGGGAGGAGCTGCGGCTCTGGCGACTTTGTGCTGCGGTCAACGGGGCTCAACGCCGATGGATTATTGGTGAGAGCATCTGTACTTGAAGCGGCGATGGGTTGGGAAGCCAGTATATCGAGAGATGTCCGTCCTTGGATAAAAGTCGGGCTCTTCTCATCGACAGGGCTAAAGCCTTCGACCTCCTCAACTTCTTCATCTTCAAAATTATGACCCTCGAATAACTCTTCTTCCTCTTCAATGATTTGGCTTTTTCGAGGACCTAGCGCAGGTGCCTCGGCGGAAGGCGCATCAAAGAGTGCTTCTCTCCTCCGTGGCAGGAGAGGAGTTCCTGCACCACCTGATGCCATGAGGTTAGCAGTATTAAGTGTTGGCCCTTTAAAGGCAGACCGTTTTCGTCGCGCAAATACAAGGCCCGAGGAGGGAGAAGACATAATAGGTGCAGGAGCAGATTCATTGAAAGCACTGTGGAGATGACCGGCGCCAGCGTTGTGAGATCCGCGAACCAGCCGAATGTTATGCGGGAAACGGGTGGATGCACTGGGGGTGGTGGGCAATACTTTGATTGAAGTATGCGGGGAGCGGGAGATGCCTAGCGCTTTGATTGACGAGCCTGTTGGGGTAGAAGCGGTGTCGATACTATTCGAAGAAATAGACGAAGTTTTGGAGTGCGAGTGTGCGTGGTGGATCGTACGAATAGAAGAAACAGATGAAGATGTCGATTTCCGTCCTCGTAGTCCGGCTGACGAGCGGCGATAGGAATTGCGTGGAGTCAGTGGTGCGGGAGACAAAGAGTTACGATGACGTGAGGAGCTGCTATTAAGCGGTCGTGGAGGCTGAGTGATCGAGAGGGGGCGAACGGCTCCCGGGTATGAAGCATTGCTCGGTGCCAAACTGCTGGCATTCGATGATCGCTTTGTCTGGGGAGTGTGCTGGGTTTGGCTGAAATTCGAGCTAGCCGTAGGGGTTGCTATTTGTTGTTTTGATGCATTTTTATTCTTGCCTGGGCCGCTCCTATCAGAAAGAAACTTGAGAGAAACGCTGGAATGACCGAAGCCCTTTGGGTGGGGTGACTTGGCCCGCTTTGTAGATTCCACAAGCCAGTGCTTGAGGGAGGCCAGTTGACTTAGGATAGGATATTGTCGGCGGCGCGTACCAGGCCGTTTTAGTATCCCATGAGGACGCATTAACTCGGGCTGTGATGCACTGAGATGAAGCGTACTGCCTCGGGAAACACGTCTCTCTTTTGGAGGAGGGATCGGTCGAGTGCGCGAAGAGCTAAGAGAACGAACGGAGCCATCTTTCTCAATTGGGGGAGGAGGAATAGATTCACAAGGGGACACAGCGATACCTCCTTCAGGTAGTTTCGGGAGATCGGGGATCAGAAGCTGGGCTAGACTAGGATAAGCTTTGTTGTCCAAAAAGAAAAGAAAAAAGAAAAGAAAAAAAATGGGCAAAGAAAAGGGAAAAGGGATTTGGTGGAATACTCACGAGTTGGGAGGCTTCGCCGGTTTGCTCTCCCTCTGCTTCGAGGTGGCTCTGAACTGTGGTTCTCCTCGTCAACCTCGACAAGGGCCGCAGAGATGCGTTCTAGGCGGCTGCTGGCCGCGCTCAGGCGACGGAGGTTCTTGGCTTCAGCTTCCCGTTCCCGCCGCTTCCTTTCTCTTCTCTTCTCCTTTCTCTCTTCTTTTTCTATCAGGAGAGCCCACCATCCAGCAAGGGCATCGCAACGTTGTGCCAGGACATTTTCTATGACTTGGTCCGTATTGACCCCCGCGCTCCTCATTCGTTCTAATGTCGTCTTCTCCAGAGCGGTTGAAAAAGCTGGCGGACGGGATAGCTTCAGGATGGCTTGCTGCTGGGGAGCATGCTCTGCCAGGAACGGATGCGCTAGTATGTCGCTGAGGGTGGGCCGGATAAGTGGTCTTTTCGATAAGAGAAGGTTGATCAATGATTTTGCATCTTCGGAGAATCGCGCATTGTACTTGGGGTCCTCCGAAAGAATCCTTTTTTTGGTCGCCTGGTCATCATCTTCGTCAAACGGCAGCTCGCCTGAGATCAGGGCGAACAGGATGATCCCCAAACTCCAAACATCGACTTTTTCTCCCGCATACTTTTCGCCTTTTAACATCTCTGGAGCGCTATAGCAAATTGTGCCACAAAATGTCTGCAGATAGCTAGCCTTGCCCTCGTATTCCCTGGTGAAACCGAAATCGCAAAGCTTCACGTTTTCATGCTTATCCAACAGAATATTTTCCAGCTTCAGATCTCGGTGGACGCATGATTTACTATGTACGTATGCCACCGCCCCGACAAGCTGTGTAAATATCTTCTGCACTTTCTCAATCGGCATGGGTCCATTGCGGAGGAGGTAGTTGTAGAGCTCATCCCCTATAAAAGAAAAGGATAGAATCAGTATCCGTGCGGAATCACTGCATGCGGGTCTTGGTGCGCACGCACCTGGGCAGTATTCCAAAACCAGCCAGACCAGTTTCTCCGTAACGACCACTTCATAGAGGCGGGCTATATGGGGATGGATGAATTGACGGTGGTGGTGGATCTCGCGAGCCAGATTGGCATCGTCTCGACTTGACGATTTGAGCACGACCTGTACGTAAAAAAAAAGCCCCAAATTAACTTGCATTCAGAGTATTTTCCGGGAAGGGAGCGCCCAACCTTGGAGCCATTTGTGAGCTTATGGGACGCGAGGTAGACTTTGCCGAACGAGCCTTTTCCAATGAGCTTTCCGAGGCTGTAATTGCCGACATTGCGTAAATCTCTTGACGAAAATTCCCTGACAGCGCGTTAGGTGTTGGTCTAGAAGGCGCGCGCGCTATAAACATGAATCGCTGCTTTTGGGCCGCAGGATGGAGCACGACGGGGGTGGGTAACTATATAACTCACTCTAAAAGCTCATTGTACGAATTTACCAGCTGTGGATGGAAAGGAGAGAGAAGTGTCAGCGCCCCGGCCAAGCGGAATTTGGAAAGCAATCATCATCATCATCATCATCATTTGGTTTGCAAAATCAGGAAGAGGCGGCGTCAGAGATCAAAACCCACGCGTTCATCCCTGCGAAAGCGGAGGAAGAGAAAGAAATATCAGGGGTGGAGGCGGCCAGGACGGAATTTGGTAGAACGCACCTTTTCTTTTTGAAGCTGCGACTCGGCCTTGAACCTGGGTGGCGGCATGTGTTTTTCGACAAACGCAGGTCAACCATGAATTCTGCTGCTTGGGGAAGCTCACGATTCTATTGCGACGGGTATGTGGAAGTTCCATGCAGGACGGGGCACGCGGAAAAAGGGGAGGACGGCGAGCGATCGGGGATGTGATGGGCGTTGTTTGGACCTGAGCGAGGTTGACTCGGACGGGTGGCACGGGGGGATCTAGGCGACGGAAGAGACAGCAGCATGAAGACGACGATTATAACCGACAATGTCGCTGGTTGATGGAGGAGGGCGCGTTGGAAGAAAATCAAGCGACTGTCCTTGGGTTCATGCCGACGCACTTGGGGTTTGGCAGGGGGGCTATTTTTCTATGATCCGGGGGCGTTGACGCTATCTCAGGCTGGCGCTCGACCTAACCGCTGGCCGACGAGTGATCTCTCGTCCCGACCGCACTAGCCTGGAGCTTCTTCCGTCCAGGAATCCCTACGGCTCCGTACATAATATACGTAGTATATATTACCTTCTTCCTCTGGAAAACGGGAGACAGAATGAATAAATATATATATTGTTTTTACTCCAAAAAGTAAACTATCCCACCGAAACTCTTTACCAATCCCGCCAGCAAAATACATATTACCCAACCCAAATGTACTCCATGACTGCGAGAGTGTACTGTACATACGTACGGTCTGATGTACCTCTGAAGTACCTTTCACGTACCTTGAAGTACCTTGAAGTATTCCGTACGAATGGATGGACTCTGTACGGAGTACTGTATGTTTGTACTGTACCCGTTTCCGGTCCCCACTTCTGAAATGCACTAACTGTATCAGGGATGGTGGCCGGTTCGCTACGGCTGAATGATAATCCGAAATCCGACTCCCCGGCCCCCCTCTCGCCTGCCTTAAACGGACAGTCCCTCGTCTGCAACCGCTTTAAGAGTCAACTTCACCCTTCTCCAGACTCGCTCATCGTCAGTCATCATCATCATCATCATCATCATTTCACACCAGTTATCATCTACCACGTCGACTCCGGAGAGGAGACGATCCTTTCGATGGACTGCTGGAGCCCTTGGGCGATCCCGGAAACCTCTCTCTCACTGAGAAAAGTGTCCCAGTATGTGATCTGGGCGCTGATGGTATCTGGAGACACTATAGCGGTTACGATCAAGTCGTACTGCGAACCTCACCGTGTTAGCACACACCATTCACGCTCCAATTGCTCGGGAAAGGGGTTGGGGGGCAGCAGGGAGGGGGCCTATTAGTCTACCTCTGTCTCCTCATGTGTTTCAACTTCCCTGAAGCAGATCCCTGCCTTGCTGGATAGGGGCTGCTCGACCGACAAGCATGTGTTAAACAACGGGCTGTGTCCATCGGAGCATGCCATCGTCACCTCTTTTAAAGAGCAGTGCTGGTGCCTCAACCTCTCTCGAATGGCAAGCTCATTGTCCTCGAGGATGCGGCGAAGAGGCTTGTTTTCAACCATTGAAAACCGACATACAAGGAGGTTGAAGAGGGGTCCGATAATGCTGCTGACGTTGGGAACCGGAGCGTCTCGGCCAGAAACCAGCGTCCCAAAACAGACATCGTCCAAGCCGGTAAGCTTCCTGAGCAAGAGTGCCCAGGCTACTTGGATGACGTTGGTCATGTTGAACCCAACCTTGTCGCAGTATTTGCGCAGCGCACCAGCTTGCGCAAGGGCCGTGGTGTGCACTCGGAGCTCCCTTCCGGATCGCGAGCTGCCATTCACGCCGTTGATCCCATTTACCTGCTGACGTGGGTCGAAAATGCAGGGCCTGATCCCGGCGAGATACCGCCTCCAGAACTTCAAGTGAGAACTGTCCCCGCCCCATTCGTGCAAATAGGAGGCCCATAGTTGGTACAAGGCTTCTGGAGCAGGCGGCACCGTGCCATTGTACGCAGGCCCAAGTTCCTGCAGGATGATCGATACGGACGTGGCATCCAGGAAGGCATGTCTACCCTCGAGCTTGCAGAAGACTCGGCCTGTGGTTGTTTGATACACGGTGAATTTCAGTGGCAACTCATCCCTGCCACAGCTGGATAAAAATGGCTTCCTGACAACGGGCCAGATGTTCTCATCTTCCACGCCCCTTACGATGTCGACATCGACGGGAGCGTCACCCAACACAACCTGGAATATCTTAGACGGACTCGATTTGCTCTGGAGAAGGACGGTCCTAAGTATCGAATGGTGGTCTACAAGTCGACGCCAAGCCCCGGCAAGACGAAATGGGTCGATCATATCACCCAAGCCTGTGAGTTCCCAGATTGTATGTGCCTGCAGGTAGGAATCCTGTGGGAGCAATCCCAAGTGGGTCGAAGTGCATGGGAAAGCATCAATGACCTGTGTAACGTTCGATATTTCATCAAATCCTTTCATGTCGCGCTCAAATAGGCGGAGATCGCCATACATCGACTGCACTGCCGAGAAACTATCTGGTACCAATGCCACAGCTGGGACTGTACTACCGACTTTCAGGGCGAGGCGGGCCACTGAATTGGCGTGAAAAATGTCTGAGACACTCACGGTCATGCTGTCCCGAATGCACATTGCGGCGAACTGCATCGCGATGAGTGAATCACACCCAAGGGTAACGAAATCATCGTGAATGCCAATGTCGTCAGGCTCCAACCGCAAAACAGATGCTAAGGCGCCCTGCAGTTTCGCCTCGGTAGACGTAAGGGATTTATGGGCATGGACTCGGCCAGCTTTCTCCCATGCCCTCAGTGCGCTCCACGTCAACTTGGACGCAGCTTCTTGCCAAAAAGCACGCCCTAATAGAACAATGGATTCCGATGGCACAGACTGGAGCCGAATTGGAATACAGCAGGCAGGCACTAGGCTTCCTAGGGAGCCGTTTCGTAGGTGAATCATCAGCTGGGACAATTGAGCATGGATGTGTGCTTCGAGTCTCGTTAAAATCAATGTATCTACGGTTGCAATTTCAACATCAGGGACGCCGACAAACAAAACCAGCTTCGAAGTGCGCATTCCTTTGGGTGTAATCCATTCTGCGACAACCTGGAACCGGTCTCCAAGGTAAGTGCGGGCTGTCAGTTCAATCTTCGCGAGTGACTTTCGCTCCTGGAAAACGTCGGGCGCTCTTTCGGGTTCGCACTTTTCGCCCAGGATGCTCCCTATTCTTTCTGTAGGGTTATGGACGATAGTGCCTAGGAAATGCTCCATGCACTCCAGCATGGACTGGACCTGTTTCTGGGAGAGCACGGTATCATCGAAAAATGCATTCACCGTTAGTTTATCCGCTTCTGGCTCGCATATCACGTTCAGAATCTGAGTACTGAAATTGGCGTAGGACTGCTGTTTCCAGGAAGTGTCATTCTCCAATTCCCAAAGTAGAGGCGAAGAGAGCTCCATCTGTGTACCCTTTTCGGATTGAGGTTGCACAACAAGCAGACTTTGGAATTCGCAAGCCATGGCTGCCTCGGGACTTGCTTGTTGGATCTCCTGTATCCCCGTTTGTTCGAATGGAATCAATGCAGTGCGATGATCCTGCATACGCTTTAGTGCCTCGTTGATTTCAAGGTTCTCCTGGAGCCGTATCCGTACTGGATGCGTAGCGATAGTCGGACCGGTTATATCGGCGGCTCCGTCAATGCTGCGGCCCATCACGGTCACACCAAATACCGCGTCAAGAGAGCTTGTGTGCTGACACACTACCATGGCCCATGCCAATCGGATCATCGATGATGTTGTCGCCCCCCTTTGGTTGGACAGACGTAGATGGATATCTCTTTGTGTCCACTTGAATGCTTGAGAAGCAGTGCTTGCAGAACGGTGGGCTAAGAATGGAGCTTCCTGAAGACCGCTGAATTCCTGTTTCCAGAACTCTCTGGCCTCACGCTTGCTCAAGTCAGCTATGTACTTGATAAAGGGCGAAAAATATTTCAGGTCGACATATTGTCCCAGGTATGCATTTTTGACAGCGTCGAGGATTTGGTTGTATGACCACCAGTCAAATAATGCATGATGCATCACTAGCGTCAGTGTTGGGTTGGAGCTGTCACGACAAGCCACCAAATAGATCAGAGGTGTGCCGAAGGACATAAGTCTCTCGCACCTGCTGTCGCCATGGCGGTTGGTTTGTTCTGTCTCCAGCCATTCGATATCCTGACCACGCACCACGGCTTGGAGGATGCTATGGGTTGATTGGAGCTGCCCTGCATTGATGATCCGGGTGCGTAGGATAGCAAAAGAATCCGCAACCACGCCCCAAGCGCATCGCAGCCTATTCCAATCAATATTTGTAGGCATGCGGAAGGTAAATCGAGCCTGAAAGGCGCCCGGCTGACGAGCCGTCCGGGCCATGAGGCGTTCCTGAAGAGGGGAGCACGGGTAGATGTCCTCGAGCTGGTAGGGAGGGACCCCACATTGATCAGCTGCTAGCTGCTTGAGCGACTCCGCATTTGCCGAGTCTACCAAAGAAAACCGCAACACGCCGAAGGGAATGCTAGCCGTAGGGGATGCAATTCGTTCTTTTTGTGCTTTTTGACACAGCTGGGAGATGACAGGTGTCTGAAAGATGTCAGTCACCGTTAACATGAGCCCAGGGATTTTTTGAGTTTCTTTAGCCAACTTGATAGCAGAGATTGAATCGCCTCCCAAATGAAAGAAATCGTCGTCCTCCAGGATTTCATCCGGGGATAGAGCTAACACGTGGGCAATAAGTCGAATAAACTCCATGCCCAATCGACCGCTGTGGTTTGAAGTGAGCCGATATGCTTGCAGGTCGTTCTTTGTCAGCTTTGAAATCATGCTACGCAACGACTTTCGGTCAACCTTGGTCGTCTGGGACAGTGGCATTGCTCGCAAAGGAATAAGTAACTCGGGAACCATATATCGAGGGAAAGCACCGTCTAGTCTGGCCTTTACCTTCGGAATATTGATTTCAAATAAGTGGTTGGGCTTGCAAAATGGCAAGGAGCCATCATCAGATCCTTGTATGGTTCCGTCCTTGAATGGCTCCCATTCAACGAACAGGACTAAAGCAGGGCGTCCATGATACAGTTTCCCCATCTCGACGGCAACCGCCGCTCCAGGAAATATGTCCCGAGCAAAGTGTTCGATCTCTCCAAGTTCAATTCGTTGTCCTCGGAGCTTGACCTGGGTGTCCTTCCGCCCCAGATACACCAGTGTGCCGTCTGCTAGTTGCCGCACCAAGTCTCCAGTCTTATAGACTCGCGAGCTCTCGCCTTTACTGGTCATCCATGGTGGGCTTGCGACAAACGCGTCCGTGGTCTGTTGCGGACGATTCAGATACTCTCTACCAACGATCGGTCCTCCGATCAGGAGTTCTCCAGCCGCCCCGATGGGCACCAGCTTGTTATGATTTTCTGCCTCCACGACCCATGTTGTCCCTCCATACCCACGGCCGATATTCAACGGATCCCCATCTACGGCGACATGAGCTTGGACCGTTGAAACCACCGTACATTCTGCTGGGCCATACGCAATCACCAGCCTCATGCGAGCAGCCCACCGAGCAATCTCGGCAGGCGGCATGGACTCACCTCCAACCACCATCGTCTTCACGGCTGGAATCTCTTCTGGAGTTAAAAGGCGAGCAACTGAAGGCGTGAGCTCCATCCAGTTGACACACAGCTCTATAATCGCCTCTTGGAGGTTGTTGACTCGTTGTGAATCCGATGGTATACAAACACAGCCTCCGAGCATGAGAGGCACGAGAGTCTCATGGATGCTCACATCGAATGCATAGGATGCAAACTGCAGCACCCGTGATGAGCCGGTGAGGTTTTGAGCTTCTGAGCTCGATAGGGCATTCGTGCACATTGAAGCATGTTCAATCACAATTCCTTTGGGTTTCCCTGTTGATCCCGAAGTATACGAGACATATGCCGCATTCCTCGAGGTGCTCGAGGTTTTTTTCTCCCGTCTAATAACGGTCGCGGTATCTTCCGGTCCACTTATGTCGGCGATATCGGGCACTACAATCACGGTGTCTGCCAGACCCGAGGAAGTCTGTTTGTACAACGTGGATGTAAGAATGACATTTGCCCCGACGTCCTGACAAATGACTTGGAGTCGCTCGTCGGGATGCGCAGGGTCGAGCAGGACGAATGCTGCTCCAGCCTTCAGGACACCAAACATCGAGACTGCAGTCCATTTGGATTTTTCGAAAAGAAGCGGCACGATAGCTTCTGGGCCGATGGAGTAGCCATGGAGGACATGCATGACGCTGGACGAAAGATCATCCAGCTCAGCGTATGTCAGGGACCCGTCCCAGGCACATATGGCCTCCGCAGCCGGTTGATCGAAGCATTGTCTCTGTATCAAGTGATGTATACACTCATCTACAGCTTCTTTTGGGACTGATTCGTTCCAGTCATGGATCTGCCTTCGGTGGCTTTCCGATGTAAATTCGAGGCTTTGTAACGATCCCTTCGGGTTCTCGGACAGGGAACGGAGAATATGCTGAAGTGCTGATCTTAAAAGTCCGAGCAACCCCTCGTCCAAGAGCGACGATTGGCAGTACAGAGATACGCGCGGCGTTTCCGTCGTTTCCACGAGAAGGATCAGCGCGATAGGATGATCCGACTAAAGGTAGCTGGCGTGAGCATCCCTCTCTTCGGAAAAGACTCCAAAGGAACTGGTATCAACTTACCGATTCGGCCCACTGGTCAATCCAGCTCGTTGAGCATCCGTGAATAACACAGCTGTTGAATCGACCTCGGTATTCGCAGTCATGGAAAAGCCACCCTCGAACCTTTTGCAGGAGGACAGCTTCCCGGACGCAGCGCGTGGGCTCGAAGGAGGCGCTCCATTCTTCAATGATCTGCTGCGGTTGGGACGTGACACCCTCTGGGAAGACCCCGAATTGCGCCGTAGGAGTGTCGGCATATTTCGCAAGGAGTATTGACCAGGCAGTCGTCAAATATGGGAGAATATTGGCTTCCGAGCCTATGTCTTGACACTCAAACACCGGACAGCTGTACACTCCCCGGGGTCTCTGTGTACTCCCTAAGATACTTAACCTGGGAAAGAGGCACGACTCGATATCAGACTCTTGCATCTTTTCCGGTTGTATCATCTCATGTCTAATCTTGAAATTTCATTTATTGTTTTGCTTCTCTCTCGATCCCGCTTCCCAAACTCTCTCTCAGAGAAAATTCGTCGAAGGATGGGGTAACGAAGCGGGTTTTCTACAGAGTACGGAGTACGGAGTACATTTCTATAAAATACCTGGCTTCAGGAGCAAGGTTAGCCGAGAGTATTGTTTAGGTGGCTCTTTGCGTGTCGCTGAATTTCCAAAGTGCATGGGGATCTTGGTCCTGGCTGACTGATTGACAGCTCACTAACGAGTGACTATTAGTTAGTTACTTGTCACTTTTGATTTTCATAAACTTTGGCCTAGAAGACAACCCAGAATCTTAATTTTGACCGGACAATACGATTGCACAACTCCTGAGGTGGCGGTTGACTAATTTGCGGAAAACAGCTGCTGTCGATAAATGCAATTATTTTTCGTCGTGCCATGGGTTTCCGGGCTTTTCCCGGCTGCTACCTACACTGTCGTCACCTTTGCCGGCCTGACGCACGGCGTCTAGATTGTGCCGTGCATGGTTAATTTCGACATCAGCCAGCCACCCAAGCCTGAGAGGCTTGAGGTATTGAATAATCCGGTTGGGAAAGTTTCGCTAATGACTCCGGAGATTTGCTGATCTACGCTGCTGCAGATCACCCGATCGCCGCTCAACGTCCGCCACTTGGACCTTGAGTCTTCGAGGAGCCCCCATTTTGGGAAATTACAGCATTCATCTTGTCAAATGGCAATCGATAGATAGACTAGGGCGAGAGGAATAAGCTTTTCCTAGAAGTTCGGTCGAGAAGACCAGATAATCTCCAGCCTAAATAAAGATATGAGATCTTAACTCGTTGAACCGTGAAGAAGTAGCGAGTGAAACCAGAAGCTAATGCATCGCTGGCGGCTAACTAGTGTATCCCTCACGCCTTGGCTCCCGCCGAAAGATATCCATTCTCAAAATGTGATCGTAGGATTCAGGCATCCGACGCTATACTTCCCCTTCTTTGCACTTCCGCGATGACAACCATCTGCCCGATACCCTGCAATTGCTGTTGATCCCTCTTGGTGAGCTCTTGACGACATGAATTTATGAGGAGCATATTAAAATCTTATCACTAACTATAAAGTGTCGCTTGATTCCTCTGTTTGCTAGGCTCAATAAAAAAAAACATCTCACTACGCATTATTTTGCAGTCCTATCACCCTCACCAGCTTGGTACTCTCCCGCTCTCCCCTCTCCCACACGCCCAGCACACCTTTGCTCTCATATCCACCATGGCTATGCATGAGGACCCTGTAGCCAGCTCAACCGGAATCAAGGTCATCATCGTTGGATTCGGTATAGCTGGCGCTAGTGCTGCAATTGAATGTCATAGAAAAGGGCATAATGTGGTTGTCTATGAAAGACTGCCGGAGCTCACTAAAGTTGGTAAGGCCCCCAATGATTTCTTGACTCAATTACGAGCTACGCAGCCGCTCTGACTGCAGCTTAACTCCGTTAGGAGGGGATGGCATCAGTCTTGGCTCGAACGGGTGTTCTGTCCTATCTAAATGGGATAACGGTGAGTTCAATGAAACGATCAAGCCATTAAAGTTCCGAACGGACAATATGAATATATTTGATTATACCGGGTTTGATCTCGGGAAACATAAATTCCACGGGTACAATGCTGGGAGAGGATACACGCTTAACCGTGGCTCGCTCGTATTCTCCATGTACGACTACGCTCAGAAACTCGGAATCAAAGTGTTCATGGGCTCCACGGTCACAGAGTATTGGGAAACTGAAGACGAAGCGGGCATTGTCGTCAAAGGGGAAAAGGTAGCAGCAGATTGTGTCATTTGCGCTGAGGGAATTCACAGCAAAGGCAGAGCCGCAATTACCGGCCAGGAGATGCAATGCAAGGAGACAGGTTTTGTGTCCACTCGAGGATATTTGGAGGGCAAAGCGGCTATCCAGGGTCCCTCACTGACTCGAATTGTCAGTGGCATGGAAGACGGCAATTGCATGTACGGATGGATGGGGCCTCGCATGCACATCAGCATGGGTATTAAGATCGACGGCGGCGAGCTCTTTTGGTACGCCTGCCACGAGGTAAAACCCCTCCTCAGTCAGCGCTAGAATGAGTCTGACATTGTTCGAGGCTGCGATTGTCCCTCCTAAAAATAACAGTGAGGCAATAGATCATATTCTCGAATGCATGAGTGATTGGGCTATGCGGGATGAGCTCGAGTCAGTCGTCCGGAATGTTTCGGAGGGGAGGTTCATCTCTCAAAAACTCGTCGTGACAACAGCCCTGAAATCTTGGCTCTCTCCTCGCCGAAGGATGATCGTTATTGGTGATGCAGCCCATGCAGCTCTTCCGACCAGTGGCCAAGGAGGCACACAAGCCATTGAAGATGCGGCTGTACTTGCAATTGCCCTAGAGTTAGCAGGGAAGCAAGACATTCCCCTTGCGCTGTCCGTAACAGAAAAGATCAGGTATAGTGGCCCTCCTCGTAATCTAAAAGCTCGGCGTATGTCTACAGAAGAGCTTACTCGATGAATCTAGATTCAAGCGCGCTCAACTGATTCAACAGGGGGGGCTGGCAGTGCTGAAATTTGGCATGAATCGAAGTGATTTTGAATTATTCCGAAAAGATCCAAATCTGGCGAGGCCTCCGCACCCCGCTTGGATCTTTGACCATGACTGCCAAGAATACACCTACAGGGAATTCGCGGCAGCGGCTGAGGCAGTCAGATCTGGGAAGGATTATGTTCCGACCAATATCCCTGCGGACGGGGAATACCGGATAGCATATGATAGCAAGTAAATCTGATGGGACACTCTCCCGTGGCAGATGGCTGCACGGGTCTTCGTGTTGTGGTTCAAAAAAAATAGTTGTGTACGGAGTAGCTAGGTTCGTTTTCAGTAAATGCAAGGATCCGCATCGACCAGGCGGCAGCAACATTAGCGGCCATTTATCAAGAAATTTGAAGGCCGAGCTGAGAAATATGTAAGCATGGATTTTGGTCTCTCATGGAGATGAAACGTGGGATCTGGCACTGTGTTAGTTATCTCTACTGAAGAAATCTCTCTCTCTCTCTGTGTGTGTAGCGGGCGAACTGCAGAGTGCAAAAAGGTTCAGTTTTTACGAAGTTGGTCGCTCCCCCATGGGGTAGTGTCATGTAGTTGGGTGTTCATTGGCTACGTAGTTACTATGTAAACACATACATAGCTACAAAACTTAGCTTATTCGAGTTCAAACTGAGCTCTGTTCCCTGACTACCTCGCTCCTTCAGGCTCCGCTTGGCTTTTCTGTCTCCCACGGGTTGTCCGTCGACGAATGATAGTAAACACTCAGATACACACCGGTTTTTTCCGTGTATGCGAAAGAAACCCAGGAAGTAAAACGCTCGGTTGTACTTAGATCAATGTCCGGACTGCGAGTCTTCGTGTCAGCCATGGGTTCCTAGAAGCATGTCTGAGTCTCGAAGGTCAATGGCCACTTACAAGTAGGATTTGACCGTGTCTACATAGGAGTGGCCCAGGTCCGTCAAACCGATCATGCGGAAGAACTGGGCCACTCCAGTGATGATCTGCATGTCGTTCTCCCCATGAATAGGGAAATAGAGCTTCGTCAAGGGATTTGGGTCACCAGCTCTCATCTCATAGTTCCAAACCAAGGGCGTTGCCTTGGAGGAATGTTTACTATCATCAAATGCTACTTCAACTGGGCGCTCTCCTTCCTCGAGGTTGATGAGATCGAAAAGTAGCTTCAAGTACTCGAGACCTTTGGACACCGTAGGACCTTGAAGCCGCCCGCCGAGGGTCCAAGCCTCCTCCAGTTTGTCCCGAGTGACGTTGTTGGAAGCAGTATATAACTTGAGGCGAGATTTCGATGGCTGCACAAAGTCCCAGGACAAGAATGCTCTGTCGTCGTAGCCCTTGTCCTTCAGGTAGGCGTGTACCATCGAAAACGCGGCTGAGCAGTCAACAAGATGCTCCGTGTTCTTGACGAAGTCGGCCATCATTTCGGCCATGGATTTCCCGGTGACTTTGCATTTTAACGCCGGAAACGCATATCCCTTGACCGAGACACCTCCACCACCGATCAGATCGAAGCCGAATGCAGTTTGGCTCCTGAGATACCCGCCATCGATCTCTGTTCCTTCAATGGAGGTTTGCTCATTCTCGCTTATCGTGAGTTCTTTAACAACATGATCCCAAAGCTGGAGGTCGAAGCCCGATATCTGTAGCTGCGAGAGCGCGGGAAGGAGTTTAGTCACGGGAACTTTGTTGAAAGGATCTTTTGCCGTTCCCGACAAGTCGCCGAGAGGTTCAAAACCAACACGAACCACCGGCGGTTTTCCATTTTGCTGGTAATTGATACTGAACTCGACAGGGAGACCACTCCGTGTGATGGAGCTGTTGAATTTTCGTGGATATGGGCCCAGCTGGGGAAGGACGATCCGCGCGAAGAATTGGAGGTAACCGAGCTGTTCTTCCCAGCTACCATCCGCGGACCCAAGGACCTTGGACATCATCAATCCGACCTTTTGCCACCAGACATGCTGGCTATTGTCGGCGAACTGCAAGCTGCGAGTCAGAGACTCGTAAGGGGTCAGAGCCGGGGCCTCTGGAGCGACAGTCATGGCGTGGGGGGAGGGTAAAAACACGGGATTGGGGCTGTTGTGAAAGACGTGATCGTATTGCAATGTCGATGAAATCAGCTTTCAAATGACATTTCCCATGTATTTCATATGCATGTTTCTCCGTGGACGAGCAGGACAATTATAACCCTCTGCCGTTTTCGTCAACAACGGCATCCCCGGCCGATGGAGACATTCAAAAAGCGGGCGTCGATGAAATGGTGGTGATGACAGATTATCCGCGCCTTGGAAATCTTCGGCAGAGGCTGGCTGGCCGTGGGATGCCCCGCTTGTCACAGCGAGCTTCGTGTTCTTGACTTTGGCGAGTATGGAGATCATGGCTTTCCACCTTCAGCATATCTCGTCCGGCTTTGGAAACTTCGCGGATCATTTCTAGCAGACGATTTTGATCGCCACGACCCGCCCAGCCCGTATTGATCCTTGGACGTGAATAATAGTGTCAGCGATCTGGTGGAACAGAGTCACTGATGATCATTCAACCATGCATTCGGGGCTGGCTAGACCTGCAGCCTAGTTCACAATGTCTATGGATACGGAGGATGGATGGCAATCTGGATGGCTGGCATGTTAAACATGGCCCTGCCGGCTGTCCCTCGCTCGCTCGCCAAGCTTCAGTCAACTCGTCAAAGTTAACTCGTTTGCTAGCGGGATCGCATCCGCAAACTAGGTAACTAGTTAGTAAACCCAGTCTGATGGGTCGAGCAGGGGTCTAAACGGCGATCTGCCAACCCACGTCAGAGCAAGTTCAATTCTCAGTCCGGGCTGCGACACCAAGGTGCGAAAAGTACAGAAAGAGCTCAAGTTCTTGCATTGGCTCCGGCGCAAGTTTAAGCGATGCGAGACGGTTCTTCTCAGGCGCCCTTGTCAGATCACAGGGAGGCTGAAGCGAACATACAGGATCGCCCAAAATAGTCGTGTTCCACAAGCCAATCTTTTGATGTACGGCTCAAATTGGCATTCCGGAGTGCATACTCCGTACGGAGTACTCCGGACATGGGCCCTGAATATCACACTGGCTTGAAATATGCTTTGGGTTCCAAATGGCCTCTGTTGTTTGCCTCTTCGTATCGCTGCGGACCGGTCCCAAATTGCACAAAGCCCTATTTAGAATCCGACTTGGGTGCCCTGGGTGCCTTGCGCCCGCGGAAGGGCCGTATCTCATTTCACCCCCACCGCATTGGCCATCGACCGGGCGGATAGCAGGGTTCCCTTGGGCCGACGGTGCGGCCCATCCCATCGCGACCAGGGTTTGTGTTTCATGGCTTGTTTTCGATGCATGAATTTGCTCGGCAGGACTTCTCCGCTGTCCTTGCTCGGCTCGGCGCACCCCGTGCTCACCCTCCGTTGCTCATAGTGACCTCCAATATTCGATAGACGGATACTCCTCGTTGATGCTCGATTCCAATCTTGGCCCTGCCTTATCAGTGACATGTTGATTCGGGGATATCAAGTCGATTTCCGCCACGCCCTATTCCCTGACGTTGCGAATAGCACTCCGCAAAACCCGATGGCTTCTGGCTCAGCCTGGAAAGAAAAATAGGTCATATCCATAGTATAGCCCCATTCCCCCCTCTTACTTTTATCCTCGATTAAGGTCGGCATAGGAAGCACTAGTGGATGAAGTTGAGGCACAAAGCAAATGATGACCACTCTCTACAGCCTGGATCCGTGCATTAGGAGGGCGGATAGGATCTCTTGTTTGTTCTTTAACATTTGCGATGGATATTTGATCCTCCATACCTTGAAGTAACTTAATAAGACGCGAGGTGTCTTCTCCAAAGCAAATCTGAGGTTCCAAGAATGGAGTATCACTGGCGCATCTACCTGTCCATGATACTTCTCGATACCGAATTTCAAACCCTTTTCCGATTGAAAACGCCAAAGCAATGGCCCATGGCACTTGGGAGGCGGGTTAAGTTCACAGAGTCTGGGGACACGGTAGGACATCTCTTTTACTGGCGGATGTCAACAGCGCCATTCTCACAATGACCTAACGCCTTTGAGCCGCTTCCACTGTGAACAATTTGTGTAATTCAAGGCGCCAATGCGTCAGAAATATAAAGTCAGACACGCAGGAACCAAGAAATTTGAAGTGTCTGTGTGTATTACAGCTTTCTTCCTTCCGCGTCAGTGAGGGGTTGGAGCATAGTGTTGATGTCTCTCTGGAGATCTGAGATTTTGAAGTTGAGATTTGTATCCAGGAGAATCTATGAGGAAGCTTCTTAGGAACACATCACAACGGCTGACATTTTGAGAGCAAAGGCATCTCAGTTCCTCAGCAACTTGTCTGGCCGGCGGTTTGGTCTAGCAAGACTGGCCATTGAAGAAAGGCGGGATCGCAATATAGCGGCTAACATTTGAAGACCGCTGCTTCTCATCGGTGCATGCTTCCACACGACACTCCAAATGGACACACCAATGCAGTTGACGCTGGCTTTCTTGATCCTCGACTTTTGATGGAGAGGTTTCCCGAGTTGCATGTTTCGGGGGCTTGTCTTGTAATGCCGACTCTTCTTGGGCACATCATGCCTTCATATTGTGAATACCCATGGAAGCTGGATTACCAGACACAGCAGATTGAATCCTGAGGGTGATGAGACAAGGCTTATAATTAACAGCCACCGAATAGTATCCATTATTCCTTTGAACGTGAGGTTGCCTTGATTGTGTAACAAGGTACACAAAGCAAAATTTGTATCTGAGTTCCCTGCTTCCGCTTACTCTTCTGAAGCCAAAGTCTGAAAAGGAACTTTCGCAAGCCACCTTATCTCTTTTTATTCATTTCTTAAAAAAATACCGGTTCACTTTGTTTTTTGCATTTACCCTTTCTCTTAACTTGGCTGTGGCCTCCATGAAAAATCTCTTCTCTGCCTTGGACTTCCAGGCCCGGAACAGCGACCTCTGTTAGTTAGGTTATCCGTGACCTATCGGAGTCAATGATTGAAGTGATGCCAGCTTTCCTCTTCTCGGCAGTTAATCTCGATGCCCTTAATCATCCCTTTTATTCACTACTCCTTTTCTCATATAAAAGTGGCGGATGTCCAAATACCACAACCCCCTTCTCCACAAGCTTAGTGAAATATACCGGCTTCGATGAGGACAAAAACTTTGATGTCTGAACCTTTGCCCTTAACGATTTCTTCGATACGAGGAATTGGACTGGACCGACATGACGTTCCGCGAATCCCAGTGATTTCTGTCTCGCCTCTCCAGCACCCACGAGCTTTGAAGGGCTCACAGAGTGAGGTCCAGAGGAGCTCGCTTGTTCATCTCTCCGAGTTCTAAGCCTGGTTTGGCTCTCAAAAGCCGCTCTTCATAAAGTATTTTAAGAGTGGAGACAGAAGTGGCGTGGGAATGGGTTTCCAGAAAGTGCAGGTTAATCTCCTCTTTGCAATGGAGTGCCATGCAACAGGACTCTACAACTTCTGCTGTCGGTGTACTTTCACCTTCCATCCCTATATCGAGATCTTACACTGCTGAGGACCAAGTTACTATCCCTCGTTCTATTGGCAGCAGTCGTAGGACCAAAGCCATCCACCAAATTTGCTCAGCAACGTCGGACATAAAAGCAGGGGCCACAGTGACAGAGATGAAGATGAAAATCGAGGTCGAAAGGCATGTCAGCATTGGTGGTTTAGTGGTAAAATCCGTCGTTGCCATCGACGGGCCCCGGGTTCGATTCCCGGCCGATGCATTTCACGATATCTTTTTGAACTTTTTTTGGTGAAAGTTCGAAAAGCTCTGAGTTGTAGGGTGCCCTTCAGCGTAGGCGATAGGTCCTTTGGGTCAGGACTGCTGGGTCGAGCGGACAGATGCTCCAGCACCTGGTCTGAAAACGGTACCAGCATCTGTGATAGCGAGGTTATTACGGAATAATGAGTACGGAGCGCTCGCAAAAACATTCCTATCATTCTGGGGGAAGCAAAAGCTGCAACAAGTTGACAATAGGCTCCCCTGTTGTCACCTTCGTAGCCCGAGAGTCGTCCCATGAACCCATCAAACAAAGGGTGCCGTGCCGTCTACGGGATCTCACGGCGACGGGGTAAATCCTGCCCCACAGATAGGGTAAAACAGGTTCCAGTCCAAGGTTGAACGTTGTCCTCACTGACAATGATGCTCTTCAACGGCGAATCTTTCGAAGCGCAGCTTGCGTTCTTAATGGGATGTGGATTCTTGCGCCAGTGCTAAACATTAGACTAGGATCGCTAAAGGTCAGCCTGCCGTGCTGGCTGACCTCTGAGAGAAGCCACTGATAGCTGTCTGCTTACCGAATAAAATTTTTGTAGTACGATAATTGAAAAGGCTCTTGCTCCCGGGTGTCGCCGGACATATGTCGACATCTTCATCAAAATCATCTCGGATAGAGGCACCTTCAGTGGGCAGCACCTAGAAGTCAGGTTTGGCACCTCGACCTCCTCCCCGTCGACTCACCTGGAGAGCATACCCCAGGGCTCCTCGAATGGCTGCCGCTTACGTAGCTTATAATCAGTCCCTTTTTCGTAATTGACCCGCTGTGAGCCGCGCCGCTATCGACCTCTTCCAGTTCAGATTTCTTTTGATCAGCCTTCGGCTGCAATAAGTGGACAATTTCACTTTGAAAGCATATCAGTACACCTCTAGTAATAACCTGATATATCACACCTAATTCCGCTTCCGGTGCAGGACGACCGCACGCTTCCCAGAAAATGGAATTGAAGCTTCCTATTAAGTGAACCAAGCAAAGGTCTTCAACATACTGTTGCAGTATTCTTAGGGTATAATGAGATGTGGTGAACCTCACCGGAAACACCTTGATATCCTCGGCGAGGACGGTGACGAAAGCTTTAATATACGGTAATTCCACGTCATCTGGAGAGGAAATCAATAGAGTATGTGGTTTCCCCACCGCAGTCATCACCGAGGGGAGTATACTCCTTGATTTTAACCGCGTGATTGAAAGTGGATGTGGGATGGGGCTTCTGCGTTGTAGCCTTCTGATACCAGCCCGGGCAATTTCGGCCTACTGCATGACGGAACCAACGTATCTGTCTTTGTTTTGACTTGTGAAGTGGCCATTTTCGAGACGTAATTTCCTTTACATTGATCATGTTAATCAAAGATGGACGATTGCAATAGGCACGCAATACTACCGCTCTGATCATAGTCAGCGTCATAATTCCCTTCGGGATCCTCATCGATCGGGAGCTATTGGACTCCCGGTCCGTCAAAGCCATTTCCACCTGACCCTCTCTTTTTTGCATTTGCAAGGTTGATAATACCGATAAGTGAGTCGGAGCGAGCCTTGCACAAAAGCTTCTCGCCGCTAGGATCCTGGAGGATTTTGCCGCCTTTTCTGGCGCGTCAATGATGGAAGGACGGGCGAGGTCTATGTTGTCAATATCTCTAAGGCTCATACCAACACTTAGAACTCTCATCTGTCTGCCTTCAGGGAAGTATTGCCAACCTTCCTCCACAAGGATCTCGCAAGGTTTACTGTAGCAGAAACCAGTATTCACGGATTCCATTGATGTTGTCTGTTGCAATTGCTAAGGTTACCCTATGATTCATAATCAGTATTCTGCTATGATACCGTCGTTGTAACCAGAAAAATACGTATTTATGAAAGCCTTGCCCTAGAAGAGCATAAATACCGCAATGTAGGCATGTCTCAACAGCTGAGTGCCCCTTTGGCGCCAGCGGATTACGCATTCCACTTTCGTGCAGCACTGTCTAATCGCTTCTTGGATGGCATGTCTGGGGGTTTTGGTAAAAAAAGCACCTGAATCTGGTGCGAGAACCGACGAGGTTTATTTCAAGGCCAAAGCCTGCTCTGCAACCATTTTATACGCTTGTATTCATTCCATGATATGTTCGAGGATGAGAAGGCCTGATACGCCGCGAACACCGCTGCCATATCTGAAACTAAGTCAGCGAAATTAGTTACGTGGCCTGGGCCGCTTGGACATACCAAGAGAGAGGATTCTCAACTGCTTGTCTTCAGCTATCATAGCTTTCCTTTGGTCTATGTTCAAGTCTGTCGTTATTTCATATCTTGCAGGACTCACGCAGGCAGGGAGACTATTCTCAGCCCCGAGGGCCGAGCTCGGCCAACCCCGCATGGTCCTACCTATCACATAGTCGCTAGAGCTGTCGCTGCAAGGCGTCCGGAGTACTCCGTACGTGAGTCGTTCCAGGGGACTGGGTAGGTTATCTGGGGTGAACTAGCTTGACTATTGGTCGTATGCAAGACCAGGTGGGACTCTTATACCACTGGTCAAGTTCAAAGGAATTATCAATCATCCTGTCTGGCCTGACGTTTAATAGCATCCTAGTCTGGCTCCATCAGATGGGGGAAGCTGCTCTATATTTGCTGCAAGTACGGAGTACGGAGTACCTCTCTTCTGAAAAGGCCTGTGTGGCTTGTGGATAGTGTTTAACTCTCCGGGACCTGGCTAGAGACATATGCCGTCCGCCCGCCCGACAAGCAGACCCAGAAAATATTACGTTGAATGGATGCAATTGTCTCTCTATGAAAGGATCTTTCGTTCATGCTCGAAGCTGGAAATGAATTTGGGGAGTAAAGCGATATGTACGGCATTCTTACATGGATATGCAAGCAGTCCAACAATTATATCCGATCCCGCTTAAAATGAAACCTCGGACCGTCCAATCGATGTCACCATATAGCAAGAAGCCAATATTAAAATGTGTAACTCCAGGATAACATTTACAAGAGCATCGCTAGCATTCCAAGTGCACCCATCATAGCACCGCCTTCCAACTTACCAGCACCGTTTGGTGACCCTCCTGCTGGCGTTGGTAGAGGGTTGTCGGGTAGTCGGGTGAGCTCGAAATCATCATCGTCGTCATCATCATCATCATCGTCGTCGTCGTCGTTGGTCGGAACAGATGGAAAGGTATCTCGAGTGGTACTGGGAGTGGCCGTGGCAATGGGAGTGACGGTGGGAAGGTTGAGGGTGAATTGAGAGCTGCTCGTGGTAGAGTAGTCATCATCATCGTCATCATCGTCATCGTCGTCGTCGCCAGGCCGGGAAGTAGTAGTAGGTGTTGGGGGGCTGCCTGTGAGAATTTCGGTGGCACCGCATTCTTCTAGAGACCGGTGTGATGGACAACAGCCAGCATCCGTGCAGTAATATCCGGAAGGGCAATATTCTTCATGAAGGTCCCGTTAGCATGCAATGGCAAGGCATTGCCTGGCATTCACTTACTTCCGTTCCGGCAACAAGAGTCACCTCGGCCCGGGTTATAGCAATGAGGAAAGGCGCCACACTCGGTGTAGCCCTCACCGCAAGATCTCTCGCAGGTGTATGGCGGCCTGATCTGCTTGCAAAATCGAACCTGTCTATTTTGCAGCTTCTGTAATACCTCTTCAGGGGTATAAGATCCTGCCATGAGATTTGTCGCTGCGGCAGCAACGCCAGAGAAGAGTACTAAAGAAGAGATATGCATTGTGTCGGTCTTATTATATGATTGGGTTATGGTAGGATGGAGCAGTTTTGGAGCTCAGCGGGTAATCCAAGACAGGAAAGAAAAAGAAAGAAACACCATAGGGAATGCGGTCGATGCTCTGTATATAAATAGGAAGAGTCAACGGCCTTTCCCTCCCGTCCGCTGTCAACATCAGCCTCGTTCGCCAAAGGGTCATCTGCCCTTCGCCTCTGATGCGGCTCAAGAGGCCGCTTTGATTGGCACAAGCGGGCTCCGTAAGTTCAAGCATTATTTTAGCTCGCTCGCTTTGTGGTGAACATGATGTGATAGTGGATCAACTCGCGCTCTGCAATTTGGCACCCTAATTTCCACAATCTCGACAGTCTCTTGACCGATCATTTTGGGTTTGCCAAATGAAACCTGGCACTCAACGGTGCACGCACTCTCCTTCAGTTGAGTGTTCAATTGGTGCCAATGGGCGCGCCGTCTGCAGCCCACGATGTCAAAACGGCCTGCTGAGCGGAACTCGACCGTCAGGCGATGCAGCGAGTTTGCCAAATAACGATGGAATACGGAGTAAAAGTAGCGCAGCCTTGGCAAAAGCGTCAAAGATCCGGGGTCTTGGCAGTCGCATTTTCTCGATTCCTCGCGAAAACGCTGCCGATCGGCACTCGTCGCCCAAACGGAAAAGAGGACCTTCGGTGCAAGCGAGCCTAGAGGCTGGTCGACGAGCTTGGCTGCACTCCGGAGGCCAGGCGGTAGGCATTGTTCTTGCGGAATTTGTCAACGAAATAGGTTGGCTGGTGGGATTCGAGGTTAACGGGAGATGCTCTTGGCGATGTTAGCATGCATCCCCTGGTCCCAAACCCGCTGGATTAAACTCGAATACGGCAGAGGGTCCCCGCAAAGCCGGTGGCTAAGCATTTTTTCAAGGATGCGCTTCGTTTACCTCGTTTTAGCTGGGTAGATGGAATTGTTCGATTGGACAGGGAGCTTCACGTGTCATGCACGACGGAAATTTTGGGGCAGATGGAGCCGCACAGTATTTATTTTTAGCCGCGAGAAGTGCTGGCGCCGGCCACAGGATATTATGTACAAAGCTGAAGCAACGTGCAGCGGTATCGGGAGATGATATGATGCGTTTTCGAGCTACGTACGATCTCTGCTGGTCCTAACTCTCGGATATGATGAGGTTCACCGATCAGACAATCTTGCTGAAATTCTCATGCGGCCTCTCTTCAACGGCAACCCAGAGCAGGACAATGGGTTGAATGGAGACGCAGAAAGGGAAAAACACCATTAGCCAAGGATGGCCAAGGAATTGGACAATTAATACTTCCTAATAATTTTTTTTTTTTTTTCTTTTCTCCAGCGCATTGTTGACCCTTCCTCAAACTGACGTTGACCCTTTCCACCATGAGAGAGATTCAAGGTGTTGTCGCGTTCGCTGACTGGCACAAAGAACGGGGTCGATCGGGTCAATGCCTGGCTCACCCAGCAAACCTAGACTTGCGAGCCCCAGATAAGAATGTAGGACATCTAGGAATGATCTGTCAGTCTCGGTGTCAGCGGGAAACTGCTGCCGAAGGGCTGCATACCGGGAAACTCGTCAACTCCTTTCCCAAAACCGCCAATCAGATGCTGCGTTTTATCCAACAGATATCTTCGATTTGTGTCGGCATTGATGACGTTGAGGCGGTTAAGAATCTGTGATAAAATTCAGTTTGAGCTCTATTGGGGGGGTGTTGTGAGGGAGAAGGATGTCTACCGCCAACGAGCCAGTCACCCAAAAACAATAGCAGGTGTCGGCGATTTTGTTGGTTCTTCCGTTGAAACCTGCGCAATTTTGCTGTTCACTGGGCCAATGGGATGCCGCCAGGAGCACGGGTAAGGATGATATTTGCTCGTCGATGGAGAATGCAGCGCCTTTCGCGAGCGAGGGTCGTCGGGTGGTTGATGCCGGGAGGTCCAGTTCCTCTCTACCAGCGGTTTCGCCATCCTCTTCGTCGTCGGATTCATTATCCTCCTGTATTACGTTGGTCTGTCGAAAGGCGAGCCACTCTATTAGGGATTCAAACTCCGCGGAGCCTGGAGTGCATGCTGCAATATTCAGATCTGGTATGATATCGCCGGTCTTTTCTTTCGGGATGCCGTCAAGAAATGATAATGTACCAAGGGCGCAGTAAGTCAGCCCAGCTATAGTTTTCAAAAGAAAGTATAAGCTGGAGGGCGTTGGAATTTGGGGTAGAGGATCGGTAATGATGATGATGATGATGCATACCGTGGGCCTCCAACCAAGGAGCTTGCGCAAATCCACCGTCATACGACTTATTTCCCCCAAAGCATACACGGTCAACCTCCTATCAACGGTACGTAGGAAAATGAAAGATGGATGGCTTTCTCTTTCTTACCTGACATTTCTCGACATAAGCAGCCAGCCTCAGGATATCAATATCGTCGACGTCCTTCAGGTACTCAGCGTCCTTTCCCCGGAGCATGTATCGAATGCCAGCTGCACAACAGCAAAATCGTAGATCGTTGCCTCCTTCTATCTGCCCGTTAGCGCCCAGTACCTCCCCAAAGCTCCCATCCTCGCGCTGCATTGTGCGTAGCCAACGCAAGCACTCTTTTCTCCTTACACGCGTCAAGTCATCACCAAGGATTAGCAGGGTGACCAGCGCGAAGAAAGTAGCCGGCAAATTAGCTGGATCCCACGCCTCGTTTGCAGCCGTCCTCTGGTCATCGTCCCCAAACTTGGTGCCGGTGAAGCCTCTAAACCCCCCCGAGGAGAGCTGGCAGTGATAGACCCAATTGGCATAGGCCCGTCGCTCAGATTCAGATAGACTTGCGTGCAAGAAGCCAAGGAGATCGAGCCCGGCGACGATAAAGAAGCCCAGGGTCATGCGGTTGGAGTCATTGGGGGTATATTGGTGGGGCAGCAGGGTTTTGAGACAGCGAAGGAAATATTTGATATGGCGATCTTTCCAGAACAGCGGCGAGTCCGCCATTTTTTTCCTTTTTCTTCTTTTTTTTTTTCCCCCTGACGAACCGAAAGCGAAATACCTTGGTGTTTCTCTTATTCCTCTTCTTTTTCTTCTCCCGCGCTTTCTTGCTAGGGAACAACGAACGGCTGTTGGACTATTACCGACAGCCCTTCGCTCTGCCGCTGGATGTTCCGTTGCTGGCAGTTCTTGGCACGGGCGGCATCGGGCCACTTCTAACTCGTTAACTAGTTGGACAGGAGCTGCAGTCGCGTCTTCACCGCGGATTTCTGCGTGATGAAAGTATTGAAGTCGGACATCTCCACCGCGAAAGGGCTGCTATCAATCTGCTGCTGCACGCCGATCTCTCCCCCCCTCTGCGTCACCTCACCGTTTGGGTGCTCGATTCAGTAGAGTTTACCGTCAGAACCAGGGCGTCAGTCGTCGGCCTTCGTAGTACAGCCTACTCCGTACAGAGAAAATTACAACGTGAGTTCGCATCTCATAGGCTTTGTTACCCAAACAATGCAACCTCGTGGAAATGGTCTAATATTCCCTTTTTTCTGTTTTAATATTCCCGGCCTGGAGTGGTGCTACCCAGACGTGTTCGGGTTGTCTAGCCGGAAGGACTTTGCCATTCCGTCCTTTGTCAACCAGCCTCTTGAGGATACGGAAGCATTGAGCTGAATGGGCCCTAGGTATGAAGCACATTGCTTCATCCAATAATGTTCTCTAAAGACCCCCCAATTTTTATTTATATTCTATTTTATATTAATATATATGTATATAATTTTTTTTTTTTTTTTGGGAGAAACACTCCTGTCGGCGCCCGCATAAAATGCCACCCTACACGCGGTCAATCCCCTGCAGCAAACACGCGATTCCGATGGAATATACGACCGTTCTTTGTGCGGATCCCACCAGATTCCCGCAAATAGAAAGGGTGGCAAGCAGACGGGTTCCAGCAGCTCCCGTGTAACAACGGAGTTATAGGGCAGATATCCCAGCCAGTCTTTCCCCTTTTCCCGTATCGCGTGTGCGGATGTTCCCGTTTGCGAAGCCGATGATGACGAGTCATATAGTCTCGCCAATTCTGCCGGGTCAAGTCCCAAGCACGGGTTAGTCGTGGAAACTGCTGTCCTGGAAAGGCTCCAGCAATATCTCGTCTCACCGGCTGTAGAGACCCGAACCTCGGTATTATGAGACTAATTTTGAGTGGCTGGAGGAAAGATAGAAGATATTCCCGGCTGTGTACTTACTCCAAAGACCTTATCCTGGCTTTAAGCATGCGGTGGAGGATTGCTCTACGCTGTTTCTGTGGCTGCTCCATGGGATTCGAGAGTAACCAGCCTGACTCGAATCCTCCTGACCTTGAGCTGGAATTCCTGAGGGGAAATTACTGTATGAGATAATCGGTACCGAAAGGCCCAGGAGAAATGTGCTGTGGTCCTATCAACGCCAGCTGGAAAACAGTAGACGTCGTGTCGTCCTAATTGCGGCTGGAGTGGGATCAAATTCCCCCGAACCCATTTCTTTTGCTAGATCATAATGAAGAATCCTTCCTATTCTGTCCCAAGCTGAGCCAACCGTTGAGAGAAGAGCTCTAAATCCGGATGAACATATATGTACGGTGGTATCAAAGGAAGTCGATATTCCCGGTGGCCTCAGTCGAAACGGCTTAAGGTCATCTCTTTAAATATTGCATACATGCATATACTGTAGCTATTGAGAACGCCTGAACGAGTGGCCCATCGAAACTCACCCGCAGCCTCAACGATATTCCGCCTGTGCCTGGCGGACTTCGCTGCCCAGGAGATGCCAAGAGACAGGCGACCACAGCTGAGCAACTTCTCCGTAGATATTCTCCGGTGATCTACGAACTGTCTGGTTGGACTCGTTAGATTCAAGCCCGCTCCTGCTGGAGTTTTCTCCAGCGTTCTCTCTTTTTCCCGTCTCCTTTCCCTCTCCCTGCCCTCCGCAGAGCCCACGGCTCCGAAATGTGATATGAGCCGCCTGTCTTCCAGAAGCTTCATCAAGCTTCACGCTCTATTTCAGTTTGCCCTCGCAGCGTACCTGACTTGGACACCAGAAGTCATAACGGACTCGGGCCTAGTCTACTACGTTCAAGATGAGCTGAAAATCGTATGCCACTTCTCTTTTTTGAAAACCTCGTCGCCCAAAGTTTGGCGCCTCTTGGGCTTTTTTTTTTTTTTTTTTTTTTTTTTGGTACTAACTGTTCCTCCCAGTCCGACATCCCACCCTTCAGCCGTCCCCGCTCCCCCTTTGCCTTATGCGGCATCCTCCTCCTCGTCTTCGCGCTCGTTGACCTCACCCTGGCCATCAAACTGCCTGCCCTGAACCGCATTCTCACAATTGCCCACTGCATCCGCCGCGACGCCGCCGCTGCACGCCAGCCGCGAACCGAGGGGCAACTCGCGGGGGAGCCGGACCCCAGCGTGACAGATGCGGCAGTCAAGGTCGCGACGGAATTCACATCACTATATGTCCATCTATGCATGCTACTAACCACCCTGCGCTTCTCGATCTTCTTCTTTGTCTCGTTGAAGGTTTACTTCTCGCCAGAGAGCGTGTGGGCGGGGAAGGTCGGGCCTGCTGCGCTCGACTCGATAAGTAACCCTACCGCCGCTGCCGCTGCCGCTCCTGGTGGTGTGAAGATGACGTTGGTGGAGGAATTGAAGAGTAAGATTGTGCTGGGATATGGGGTCATGGAGATAATGTTCTCTTGCTGGGTGAGACGAGTGACTGTGCGCGGATTTGCTCTGTGGAAGCTCCCTTTCTGATTGAAAACCTAGTTCTTCATCGCCCTCAATGACGAGCGCCGTGCGACAGAGTACAAGCATCGATCTCTCGTCTCTGGAATTTTATAACTTTGGCCGGTGCATTGCCAGAGCGACTGGCATGTCCCGACGGATGTCACATACGCCCCGATCTAGAGCGATAAAGAGATCCCGCTGAATACAAGTATCGACGGAATATGTACGACCTACGGATAGTCTTAAAACCTCACCCGCGTACTCCGGAATTCCCAACACGGAGTATTGACCGAGGAACGAAAACCATTCTAAATTTACCAATCGCAGTTTTTATTAACTACCATACTGGTAAATTCTCAATGGTTTGTTGCTTGTGTCGGAAGTAGATCCCGGCGCGTCGTATCTACCAAGATTATTCATTCGGATGACAAGGAACTGACAACGCGGGATATTTCTTGTAATTTCTTGGTAAGGCTAGCGGGCAATTGAAACTATTAAAACAGAGCCTTTGAAAAAAATAATTATATGACACTGGCATTGACCATTTGCTGATCGAAAGTAAAAAAATTGAAACCCTTTCAACCCCCAGCGGCCAGCCTTTCCCATTCACTAGGTACCATTATCACGCGATTGCTATGACAAAGCATGCTCATCATGTCACGTTTGCATTAATTAGGTTATTAATATTGAGGGAAAAAAAAAAATAAAATAAAAGTAAAGGGTCTACAACCGCGTTCCATTTCATATTTCATGACTGTGGAAATGATGGGGGGCGCGTGCTGAGGTGCTTATGCGAAGGCCACGATCAGAGCGGCGACGGCAGCGATGGCACCACCATTGGCATTGCTAAGAGCAGCCGCAGCCCCGTTGGGAGAGGAGGTCTGGGTTTCAGGAGGGTTGTCGCTTGTAGGATTCGGGTTGGGGTTGGATGAAGCGCCTGTGGATGTGGGAGCGCTAGAGCCCGTGGAGCCGCCTGTGGCCTGAGAAGCGGTGTTGGCTGAGGCCGAAGTGCTGCTGCCGCCGCTTGGCTGGGCAGTTCCGGTTGTGCAGACGGCGCTCTGCGGGAGATCGGTGATGCCAACAGTACCACAGATTTTATTTGCGTAACGAACGGATTCTAAGCGGGTGTGAATCAGCCGCAGAGCTAACTACGATGTGCGGATCTGTTTGGGGGGGGATGGAGAGAGAATATAGTCAAGTGGAAAAAAAGGTGGTGGGTGAATGAATAGGCACTAAATACCTTGCTGTTCTGCCGGCGTGCAGTTCTGAGCCACGCAGCAGGTGATTGCTTCAAGGAAAGACGCAGATGTGCAGATGCACTTGGCATCAATGCCGCAGTCCTTGGGAATGCCTTTGGTGGCACATTTTTGCTATATTGCAAGATGTCTGTCAGCAGAGTTTCGCGTTTGATGAGAGACGCGAAATAGGTGTCGGGTGCGACCGTGGAACAATGGATTAATACACAGAAATCACTGAAACACCCTCCACAAAAGACTTCAATGTAAACAAGCTATTGCACTTACAGCGCATTCCGGGAGGTCGCCAAGCCCTTGAGCAGAGGTGACGGCGACCAAGCCAGCCAAAGCAACAATAGCAGCGGAGAGCTTCATGTTCGTAGTGAGGAGATAGAATATAAGTGGAAGTGGATTCTGGAAAATAGACAGAGGCGCGAAGGTGAGAGAAACGTGAAGAAGAGGATAGTGTAGAGGAGAGAGTGTGTGAGGGCGTGGGGGGGGGGAGAAGAGGGAGGGACAGGGGAATGGTGATATATAGTTACTCCAGGGCGAGGAAGTGAACAGAAAAAGCCCAGCTCGGGCGTCAAAAGGGGGGAAAAATATAAATATACCACTAGTAGTGACTTGCTCCGTATAATACATTAATACAGGAGGATATACCCCGTACTGACTGTTGAAAAGCATATTTTATTGAGAGAGAGCCACAGCCAAAACGGCTTCCCTCAACCAGCTAGGTTAGTTAACTCAACAAATGATGATTGGGCTTCCCCCCAGCAACAAATAGTTCATTTGTCGGCTGGCCACTGCAGAGGATCGCCGCATTGGAGATCTGCCCGTTGCACAGGACGGCAGCTCTCTAGTTACATATATGTAGTTACCGGGACGCATCGCAGACCAGCGCCCGCCAGCTGCCTGCCACAAGCTCAGCGAGCACCCGACCATTGGCTTCTCTCCACAGCCACTCGCAGCAGAAGAAGCGGAATTCATTGACGTATTGCTGGGCCGTTGACACGTAACGAACGATCACCGTACCATGGTCTGGCTGCTTCTGTCCGTCGATCGGTTCCTCCAGGCTGCCTGCACCCGATCTCTCTCACAGCTGTGCGATGGTGACTCTTATCTTGCTCGTTCTCTTGTTTCGGGCAGAATGTAACAAGAGGAAACATCTCCGCTTTCCCTGTAACAAGAGGAATCATCTTCGCTTTCCCTCGCCAGGCCAGTCTGCTGCTGCTGGGGCGGGGTTCACTCGGTTGGCCAAGGGCCTGTATCTTGTCTGCTCCCCAGCAAGAGGGGGAATGTAACGGACTCCAACCAGCGGCTTTGCCCCCCCGGGAAAACGCAGGCGTCGGCTGACCTTCAAGTACTAGTTATTGGTTTGTGGTTACTACTCACATGGCTTGCAGCTGCTCGCAGGCCTCTTTTAAAGCAGACACGCCACCACGGGGGAAGAGAGCAACTGAGACAAGTTCAGAGGCAAATGAAGCCGACAGAAGGGTGCTTCTCATCTTATCCATGTATTCTGTAGTTGATACTCTGTTCTCCGCACACGGTACCGTAAACTCGAGCCCCTCCACCCTCTCTTGTAGCAGTCACTCGACGGTTACATATATGTGCGCGCTGCCGATCTGGCAGATCGAACCCTGTCGCGATCGTCGACTTGGCACCGCGTTCCCCCCCCCCGACCTGGCGTTTCTCTGGGGATGCTGCGCTGCTTCAGCATCTGGGCCTAGTTAATAACTACTCCGTAGTCAATTGTTTAATTTAGTTAACCTGCTGCAGGCGAGTCTGTTCTCTGCGTGGTTGTGTAGCTTGCTGACTCTCTCCCGCTATTCTCGCCTGTCCAACCGTCTCGGGCATCGCTGGAATCTCGCTTTTTCATTCACATAAGAAAATACAAAAGGCCCCAGGTACTTCAACACAACCTATAGAATGTCTTTTGCCAGCTTGGGATCTTGATCTTTTTGCCGGAGTAATTAGCCTGGCAAGCAGAAAGAACTGATCCAGAAGCGCGCTCCCATTCACCCCGCGCCCCAAACCTTTCCTGGGACATCGTTCCCGGTCCAACAACTCCCTGTACACTCAAAACCCAACGCCGCAACCATGGGCCTCGGGGTGCTTGACGACCGCAAGCTCGACCACGTACCCGGTTCGCCCCAGGAATCTAACGCTCTCGTTCCTGGATGCCACTGACGCTTGAAACCCTAGGGACAACCTACGTCCTGGACGATGATAGCAGTTCGATCGAACAGATTCCGTCCGAGACCTCTCATCTCAAATACGACCGCAGCGGCCCCGTACCGATCATCCTTGTTCCTCAGCCCAGCGACGACCCGAACGACCCCTTGGTGAGCATGCACTCACTGAATGGCAAGGCCATGCACTCCAGCGTCAGCATCTCACTAACACCCCGTCTCAGAATTGGCCGCTATGGCGCCGCGACTTGATCCTCACCATCCTCTCCCTCATCTCCGTCATCTGCGCAACTACAAGTCCTCTGATGGCCGCAAATACGGTCACCATTGCCGCCGAATTTGAACGTACCTTCACGGACATCGCCTTGCTCACCGGATACCATCTCTGTGCCGTCGGCGTGGCCGGCTTCCTTTTCGTCCCAACCGCCCGTATCTGGGGCAAGCGCCATCTATTCCTGCTCGGAAATGTGATCATAATCTTTAGTTGCGCCTGGGCTGGCGCCAGCGGAACCAATTACAAGAGTCTCCTTGCAGCACGCATATTCCAAGGAATTGGCCTGGCTCCGTTCGAAGCACTGGTGAATGCCGCCGTGGGGGATCTCTATTTCGTCCACGTAAGTGCGCTCCCGGGAGTTCCCCATTCTATGTACGTATGCCTAATGAAAACACCTCCCCCACGGTAGGAACGTGGAAAACGAATGGCTGTCTCGAACGTGGCTCTTTTCGGAGGAGCTTTCTTGACTCCTGTTCTCGTCGGCAAAATTACTGCGTCGATGGGCTGGGCATGGACGTTTAATTTTGTCGCCATATTCGCCGGCCTTTGTTTGCCCTTCGTTTTCTTCTTCGTCCCCGAAACGGCATTCAGACGAGCGACCCACCTCAACACGGACTTTGAAGGTGATGCCGAGAGAAACCGTAACCCCAGGGATGTAAGGTATCAAGAGGAGATGTCAAATCGTACATCGGACCATTCCGGCAGTGGAACGAATGGAGAGCTCCAGACGGACGGAAAGTCAGACTCGGCAAATGAAAAGGAGATGAAAGAGGACACCGCTATCACCGGAACGGCAGGGCGACCTGGCGCTGCAAAAGCAGCATTTTTACAATCCCTGCGATTATTTAATGGCCGGAAGACAGATGAAGACTTTTTCAAGCTGCTTCTGCGGCCGTTGCCGCTTTTCTTCCATCTTGGGATCCTTTGGGTGCGTTTCGTTCTTAAGAGAGCCCAATAATATGGTTTCAACTGACTTTAGTACGTAGGGCTGTCTGATCCAAGGAGTCATCATTGGGTGGACTGTGTTCATCGGTGTAGTCCTGGCTGCACTCTTCATAGGCCCACCCCTATGGTTCAATGAGGTCAAAACAGGTTACCTTTACACAGGCGCCTTTGTCGGCTCGCTCCTGGGTCTGATCCTCTCGGGCCTGCTGTCCGACTGGTCCGCTAGGGTCATGATCAAATTCAATAGAGGCAAATATGAGCCTGAGTTTCGCATTGTCCTCGTTTTTCCCATGCTTATCTTCAGCTGTGCCGGCCTGTATGGGTTTGGGTATATCTCCGGGGACATTACAAGATACGGATGGCTTCCGGCCGATATTTTCTTCGCACTGGTGATTATTGGAATGGTGCTGGGTGCCGTGGCAAGCGCATTGTACCTAGTCGATGCTCATCGTAAGTCTTCCTCCTTTTTGACCAACCTTGTTATAGCCCCATTTCAACCTAACAGATGGGCAATAAAGGCCAAATCGCTGTTGAGGCATTCACCTGCCTTCTCGTGTTTAAGAATATGTTTAGCTTTGTCCTTACATACTTCGCATACGATTGGGTTGTTCATGGTGGTCAAAAGCAGGTATTCATCATTATTGCCAGCATCCAGGTGGGCATCTGCCTCCTGAGTGTTCCAATGTGTAAGTGTGTTTGCGCCCTATCTTGCCCCCCTGACCGAGTTCATGATATTACCTGCAGCTCATGTACTAGTCACTGACCTCTCTCCCCCAATCTTAAGACATTCTAGGGAAACGTAACCGCTCCTTTTTCCACCGGCATGATATCCTTAAGATCCTGCACTTGTGGTAGATCAAGTTAATTCTGAGCCACAGACCACGTCTGTTCGTCTGCTTTCGCTCCAATGGATGATGAACAATATCAGATTAAACCCCACTGCGTTTAAACTGATTTTCATCTTCTTGTCTCGACAGCCCTATTATCATTTTAATATTCGTTTAATCCCCGGCCGTTTAATTAATATCCTTTCAGGTTTCCGGGCTTCTTCGTTTACCCCCCAACCACATCACTTCGTTTACATGGCCGTTATGAGTTCAATGCTTGTCCTCGCAGCTGCTCTTGTACGATTCGGAATTTCGTTTCCTGCTTCCGATGGGCTGTCCTCTTGACTATTCCGGTAGAGTTAAGATGCTTTTTTTGCCCGGCGGAGTATGATTATGGTATACTTATTAAGTTCACTGGTCCTACGACGTCTGATTACTGTCTTCTGGTCCGGCTTAATGTTAATTCAATAATTGATTTCGATGATCATCCTTGAACTGTTATTTTATTTAACTGCCTTTTTTTTTTTTTTTCCTTTCTTTCTTTTTTTCCTTTTCTTTTCTTTTCCTTTTTTTTTCCCCCCTGATTTCCTTCATCTTCAATGTGGTGTATGAGTGCAAGATACCCCTCACAATGCTGTGCATAAAACTCGGCTTTGTTATCTGAACATATGAGTAGATGGTTGGAATTGTTTTCTGAATACATTATCTACGCGATGGTGGAACATTAGCGTCGTTTGCTTTGACACACTTGTCAAATATCTTGGTGTATGGTACCGATATCATTTACCAGCGATATTCCCCGTTCCCTCTACTTCCCTTTTCATGTCTGTCTCACCGCCAGCTTCATGGCCCACACTTGTCAAGGTAACAGACCACAGCGTCGAGACCGCCAACACGAGGGCGTCAATACACAACCCCCAGTCCATAGCAAACTGCGTCATCGGCGGCTTATGCAGCGCATTGATCCTCCATGCCATCGCACCGCCAGCAGCCTGAAAAGTCTTGTACGCGCCTACCAACACCGCCGTGATGGCGGCAGAATTCGACATTGTCCCGATCAACCAGTAGCAGAACGACTGCCACAAGGCGTCGTACGCGCCGTAGAAAAAGTACAGGAATATCGGGCCGACGGCGATATCTGCGTCCATGGCGTAGTCGATGTCTTGCTTGAGTCCCTGAGCCAGGCGCTTGTCTTCCCATTTCTGGAACCCGTACCCTCCGCCCCCAGATCACCATGGCGGTGACCATGAGGATGACCCAGCCCACCCAGGCGCGTTGGCGGCGGTTAAGGAAGCGCACGTCGAGCGCCTAGCCCATGAAGAGGCCTCCGAACATCTGAGACAACCAGGAAAGGGCAGAGTTGAGGGAGCGGGTACGGATGTTGAAGGTAGTGCCGTTGACGTTGTTTTGTTGGTAGGAGTAGAAGACGTTGGCGCAGAAGAAGAGCGGGAGGATGCAGACGATTTTGAAGGTGAAGAGCGTTTTGGCGATGGTTCGAATTTTGTCGAAAAAGGGCTGATGAACGACTTCTTCTTCGGCCATTTTGAGCTGCGCGAGCCGGATGCGAGTTGGTGGGCAGATGAAGACTCCAATCGCCCACCTGAAAAACATGATCACCATGATGGCGATGTGTGTGCTGTTCGAGACGGTGCTGGACTTGGAATGAAAATTCAGGCCGAAGCTAACCAGCGAGCCGATCATACCGCCAAGGTTGAAGATAATCCAGAAGACCGCGATAGCTCGCCCCTTTTGAGATTCGGAGACGTAGGAGGTCATGATCGCTCCCTGCGCGACCTAGAGGAACGAGGCACCGATACCGAGAATCGCACCAGCAGCGATGACAAAGCCGCCATTATTTCGAACTGGAAAGAGATTGAAGTCAGCAAACGATGACATTCAGTCCAGGGTTAACAGTCAAGCGGGTTCTCACTGTTAAAGTTCAGCAAACTTACACTGTAGAGGCCATATGTCCATCCGCCCAAGAGCCAGCACGCCCGCGGGCCGATAATGGAGAAAATGGGACCAACTAAAAACAACGCGGTAGCGGCAGTCGCAGAGAGGAGGGCAACGTTCGCGTTTGCTGCAACGGTTTCGTCCACTTGTCCCGAGCCACCCAGTCCAGTGAGCGCAATGTACATCTCGGAGGAGTAAGCTCGCAATTGCTATAACCTGTGCGGCCGAGAAAGAATAGGGAAAGGGGCAAAAACTCACTCCAGGGCAGCAGAAGCAAATAAAGCTGATCAAGACAACCTGGAACCAGGCATTGCTGTAGGTAATCATGTACCATGAGGCAGGAGAGGTAACTTCACCGCTCACTCCACCGCCCTCGTTGGTGGTTTGGGGGTGATGGGCTTCGTCAGTCATTGTGGAATGTTGGTCATAAGGGATAGCGAGGATCAGAGATCCAGTGGGTGATCGTGTGAGATGTCAACTACTCGCAAGTTGATGAGGTCGTTTTTTATATCAAGGATCGAGATTCAGAACAAAACTCAGGCACGAGACGAACGCGTTGCACGGGGAATGAGGAGCGTGCAGCTAAAGGGGTCAACAACGTCGTTCGGGGGAATGCTCAGAGCAAAGCTAGACCTGATGTCCTCACGTGGAGTATCGTGGCTATCCTTTTAAAAGAAGGCGGCATATTACACCAGCAGGAGGAGGAAGAGAAGTAGTAGTTATCCCGTCTGACGGAAGGGTGAAGACTTCCGGCTTTTGCCAGCCCGATAGCTGCGCATGACGAGCTGTCGATGCGATGTACTCAGTCGGGTTGCACCGGCCGCGGGTTTGGATCTAAACCGTCTCTTCGGGCTTTTTTTTTTTTTTTTTTTTTTTTTTTTGAAGAAGTGTCTCACCCGTGATCAGGCATAGGATATCGATCGGCACAAGCAAGTATCCAGACATGGGAGAGGTATGTAGAGGTCCTTCTTGCAGTCTCAAAGGTCATCTCCGCAACGCCTTGCAGTGATCACTATGAGTTCATTGCATAAGTGTAAGCGAGGACAGCAAAGCTGCAAGATGCTATATATAAGTCCGTTCGAAAGATGGGAGAAAGAAAAGTGGACCGATGTTGCACCTGGAGCTGTTGGTAAACAAGCCAGATGCGCAGCCCACGTATGGGGTGATTTGGCCGTGTGGGCCGTATGGTGAAGCTTGTTATGTGCAGCTCCAGCGTTTTCCAGGCGATTTGCTATTTGCTCTATGGCGATTGGGACCGGCGGGCAGATTATCGCACATTCAGCTGGAGTGTTTGGCTGTGGAATCCAGAGAGCAGGCGATGGCGGCAGAAGTATTCCGGAACTCTGCTCGTCAAACATGTTTGTATCTACATATCGCCATCCCCGGCGCGCTCCGCTGCCGCAGCTCGCCGGCTTGGCGTGGCGGTTGCCCTGAGCTTGTTTGCACCGGAAGACCAAGATCGGCCGTCTTATAAACGCCGAAGATGCAACTGTCGCCGCTGCTGTAGCGGAATGTTTGCCCACTGCTAACTGAAAGGGTGAGAAGGGGGCGGAAGAGTGGTGTATGTGGGTGCTGGGACGAGTAGACGGTAAGTTAACATATCGTATTTCATTTCATGTCGTTGAAGCTTTTTGGAAATTATTTTCTTTTTCTTTTTCTTTTTTATTTTTTTCAATTTTTTTTGGCAGAATCGTTATCCATCTTACGAAACGGGAGCTCAGGCGCTATCCTGGATAACCGTTAGTGGTGATACCTACGGAGGGAAATACGACGTCCAATTTCATTCCTAAATCGAAGCTGGATTGCACCAATTATTCCGATTTAACTCAGAGCTAAACAACTGGGACAACCCTCCGAAGCCAATTCTTATCCTTTAGATTATAGTCTCGGCGTTGTCGGCGCCTCGGAGATCCCGCCCGCATCTTCTCTCCCCCCCCAATGGACAGTTTATCGCGCTTATGGCTGGTGGAGACGCCGTTATGCGCATCGCACAAGAAGGCGCGGAGGATAACATCCACGCCGCTGTGCGGGACCTAGGCCCTCTGGCCATGCGGCCTGAGCTCGACTCACTGATTGGGATCGCTGCACCCGGGCGCACGCCGTAGGCGCTCGTCTGCTTGGAGTATGCGAAGAGGCGCGGCTGTGTGAACGGTGGGGGGGAGGTTGTCCCCGGCAGCACGAGGATGAAGGCGGGTACGGCGACAAAACTGGTATTGAAAATGCTGAGCATAGGGGTGATGATCAGGAGTGGGGAGACGTCTGGGAACATTGTGGGTATTCATGTGTCTTACCTGCAGTCGACCGTCCTTTTGGGCGTGTCTCCATTGGCTTATCTCGGTCTATAGATGGTTGATCTTGAAGCTTCTAATCTCGAACTTGAGCAACGGTCTCTAAATATCATTCGCAAGCTGAGCGCATCCTCGTGCCCGTCTACTGATGCAGAGCTCGACGCTCGATTAGCATGCCGTGAAGGTAGTGTCAAGTTGGCGCTTGCTGCTCTGGCATTGGAAACAACGCCTGAAGAGGCCCGCAGACGGCTAGAAGCTGCCAATGGCTGTCATGCGGGAGTCCTGACCGGCAGGTTAAAACCAGGTGGAATTACGCCGCATGAAAAAGGGCCTCCGTTGGCTATGTATGTTGACGGTGGAGGCACCAAATGCGCGGCGGTGGTGGTTACGCGGGAGGAACGGATGGCAAAAGGATACGCAGGACCGTGTAATGTGTAAGCCGCTGGTCACTTGGACGTACTTGGACGCCGGGGAAAGATATAACCCATGTGGATATGGACAGTGTGGACGGTAGCTCTAGATCCAGCGCTTACTTCTATTGAACTCGCTGCCCAGCGTGCACTCGACTCTTTATCATTCTCAGCTCCCGAGGTGAAATCGCGACGCTAGGTCGGGCGGATGGGGCCGTCTTCTTGGGGAGGATGGCAGCGGCTTCGGCATTGGCCGTCACGTCGATCCGCAGCACACTCTCCGCCCTAGATGCGCTTCGAATGAGGCGCGCTCCGGTACAGATACCTGTAGAGAGTTTGTCGGAGCTAGACGGCCTGTCAAAGGCCGCGTTGAAACTGTTTAATCCCACGCCATCGACAAATTATGACCTTCTCATCAGCGTTCTCGCGGAAAACGATGAGAAAAAGCTCCACGGTAAATTTGAAAATTGCGCAGGCTGCAAGTTTAGTTATTGGATATCTGTAGATCTGACGTCGAAGCGAATGAAGCGCATGCCATTCCCTCAAGGGCTACAGAGGCTCTGCTGCGCGCCATTGCGATCGCTTCTCTGCAAGCGCTTTTGAAGCGCCATCATCGACCCTGGCCCTGAGCGGGGGTCTTCTGGCGAGCGTGAACGATGTTCGTCGCATGATGCTGCTAAGCAGAATAGAGGCAGAGGGGATAGATTTTGCAGCCGTGCAAGCTGTCAGGAAACCGGCATTATACATATTGCCAAAGAGCTGGCGCAGAGAATCCTCGGCTTCAGGTAAATGTAAAGAGAATGACAAATGGCGGAGCACTTAACTAGTTAAAACTACCCTGTGCAGAGCGAAATCCGAAAACCAACGACCGACAGACGAAACGACCAAACTAACTTACGACAAGGGGATTTTGCTAGCCAGCTACGGAATAGTCAGTGCAAACCCGGGTTACTTACAGTAGGACCTTGTCGATCATCCAGACAAACAATGTCGCAGGCCCCCCAGAATATTCTTCCAGCGAAAGATCCTTAAACCACCAGCCCACAACGAGCTGTCAAAGCCTCACTGCCCCCGTTCAACATCATCATTCACTCGAGTGGTCACAGTGGCGGAGCGACAGCGCGGTCACACAGACACAAACACACCCCATGTCTAAAGACCAGGGAAATTCCTGCACGACCGCTGGCGCAGCAAGTATGTGGTCAAATCTCCCTTGGGGCTCGTATTGGCTCGCAAGCTCCGCCCCCATGGGCTTGTGCTGGTCTCATTCTCCCACGACGATAAGCAATCAAGCAGCCGAGCTGGCTCCACACGGTCAAGGCACCAAGACTCTAGCGCGGCTCATGTGCATCCCTGCAGTGCGGCCGTGATTTGTTGTTGCTTGGGAATGTGGCTCGACGGCGGAAGAAATTGGATCGTGTCCCGTATTTAAAAAGACCTTCCGCTCCCCTTTCCGCATTCTGACGACTCTTGATGCCTGTCTTTGCTGGCATTTGCGGGAATCTGCTCCGAGTCCTTTTTATTCGATCAACGACCCATTGATAGAACAGAAATCAGTTCCGATGGCTCCCAGACGCGGAGGCTTTGGCGGAGGCGGCGGTGGCTTCTCAGGAGGCAGCGCCTGTCCCAGCTCCGCCTTTTCGTCAGATTACTCGAGGATCATTCTGGCATTTACCGCCCTCTGGCTGATCGTCGACCTTGTCCTCGCATGCACGGTTGCATCGCGGAAGAAGCGCATTCTCAACGCTGGCCATGCAAAAGAGAGCTTACAGTGGGCCATGATTCATATGTCCATTAATTTCATGCTCCTGTAAGTGTTCATTCCTTTAATTGTCGAGAGCAGAGTCGCCCTGTGCTGCTTTAATTCTCGACTCGCCACTATGCCATATAATTGACTGGTCTTGCAGATGTAACATCCTGTTTCTTGTGAGCCTTGTTCTAAATGAGTGCGGCATATCATACTATGCAGTCACAGGCGTTAATATCTCTGCGATATGGCTTGATGGTCTCGCCATCCTCATTCTCTACGGCCTCATTCTGGTCCCTGTTTGCAGACAATTACACCAGGTTGCTGGGTACATCATGGCCAGGGTCGTCACCGTTGCTCATTTCACACTTATGCTTTTCCTGAGCAGTATCCTCATTTCATATCTCTCTGTTACGACCGCTGTATTGGATGGGATCGGGTCTAGATATAGGACTACTTTTGCTCTGTCTGACGCCCGACGGGGATTGATAATCACCTTTGACGTGTTCGCCGTTATTGGCATGCTCATGGCGGTCTTCAGCATCGCCACTGCGATGACCCGCTCGAAACAACTGCGAAGCGGGGTAAGTTTTCAAAATCAAAAATCTCGGCGATTGTTTCATGATCATGCGCTGACAGTTCCCGTTTCTTTCATATAGAACATGGCAATATGGACCTCGCTCCTTATTGTTGCGAGTCTGGGCCTCGCAACCGCTCGATTGGGCGACAACACCTACAGTTTTTTCCCCTCGAGGTTTACCTCTGATCCTAGGGGTCGCCTCCTTGCCGGAACTTTCGTCACGGACTTCTTTTATGCGATGACATTCCTCTGCGTTTTGTTCGTCGCGTCGAATCCTGCATTAACTACGTCCGATCAGAACACTGCTTCTGCCCCTGTGGAACCTGTCGCACCCCAAACCGACGCTGTTCCTATCCCAGTGGCTGTACCGGCGCCCAATGGCGAAACGAAGGACTACTACACGCCATTGCCAGTGGATCACAGTGCCACACCACCACCACATCAGCAACAGACGCAAATGTATCAGCAGCCTCAGCAACAGCAACAGCAGCAGTACCAAGCGGTGCCGCCTCCGCGACCCTACTATTCTTGAGCACAGAAAATTGAGACATGATTCCACATTGAAGCTAATACTGCTCGAGTAAATGCACAAGCCCTTACTGTCTGACCTCAGTGCCTAGAGGAGCGTATACACGAGATTGTGCCCCTGGTCGAGACCGTGTTTACTGGTGTTTAATGCGGACATTGAAACATGCCACGATGCTTGGATTATTAAGTGTACACCTGCAAAACAAGGAGCTTTGAAGTTATTGGAGAGCAGTTCGTGGTCGCTATTGGTGTTTACCTTCGATGTTTCTTCTTCAGTGCTATGCTTCTTCGGCTGTCCTTATATGCTTCTTTCAGATACCCCCACTTGATTCTTGTACGATCTATTACCTGTGTTCCTACCATGGTTTGCTAGGGATTTAATGATATTTCCTGAGATGAAAACCTGGCTGCCCCGTCTACTTGGAATTAGGTTGATCTGAGTATCCGTATTCCGTTACATATCCGGGCCGAGAATGTTACACAAGGCAACACGCCCTTTGTGCAACCTTTGATGCACGTATCTCTCAGCCTTTACGGAGTATGGGAGACTTTGGGTCAGATTCCAGATTTTCGAGCCGTTAGCGGCGTCATATCATATTATCACCTCAGATAAGGCATGTGTGTTGTTCTTCATATTATTCCTGCATACTATTTACAAAACGGATTATATCTTCCATGCACAATATGCATCCATGTAAGTGCTCTCCTGTTCCAATTCTGTCGTATTCTTACAAATACACATAGCAGAAGGGCCCATTTATCGTACTCATCAGGTCGCGCATTGGAAGCGTCGGGCCACCCGCATACCCCAGATCAACCATCGTGTCGAGTGTCGTGTCAGGGGACGGGGGATCGTTCAAGAATGTGCCTGTCCCGTGGATCGCATTCTGACGATTCTTCAGATCCAAATTCTGCCAGATCCACCACACGCGATCTATCATCGCATGGTGAAAGAAAAAGGCTGGATCACCGGGTGAGACAAAGACATCGCGGCCCGGATCGCCACCCATGGCGTAGTGACCGCCGCCATGAACACCGATGGAACCGCTCCCAGGAATACCTTGCATGTTCATCTGGAAACTTTCAATAGTTTTCCTGCGGAGGATCAAATCCACAACAGCGGTAGCGTTGGCAAACTTTCGAACTATGGCATCTGTGAGGTCACGTTTCAAGCAGCGGGGGTTGTAGTCCAGTGGGTTAGCAACCGCTTCGGTTCTGTCGCCTGGGAGGACGAGCGCAGCGGGGCCAAGGTTCACTTTGAAGTTCTTGAATGGACCGCTAGTGACACATCCGCCACCAGTGCCCGAAGGCAGCCGGATTGAGGGTAGATCTCCGAGATGAAGAAAAATATCACCCTTGTTGGGGATCGGCTCCCCATTACCAGACATGGACGTGTCGCTGCCGTCGAAAAGGGGATGGTTTTCCAGGCCAATTACTGCTGAAAGCGGCCAATCCCAGTACCTAACGATGTGGCCCTATGAGCCGTGGATCTTGTTTTGATCTTTATGGTTGCAAAGTGTTGCTACTTACGGGAAGGCGCCAGTGTAGGAGCATTCATTGCGAAGAGCCTGCTCGTATTGCCAGGTGAAATACCTGTGCCACGCAAGGAATGTGCCCTTTTTGATGGTCAGACAGGGCAAGCTTTCACGTTGGGTACATGAAAAGACTTACGGTATAGTGGATGGTCAAGGTCTGCTGGATATGGACAGCGACGAAATCGTCATAGCGAGTCTTTGCTCCCGCGGCAATGCTGGATGGCGTCCTGGCGGGCAAGCTCTGCAGACAAAGGACAGCATCGATATAACTCTTCCTCTGCCTTGCCGTAAATGTGGACCTAACCTGTTGTGAGCATAGTTCCCTTTGAAAACTCATACACCCCTTGGCCGAGAGAATATATGCGCAGTCTATATAATGTGATCGGTGGAGCACAAGACATAAGTCTGGGAAAAATCTTACCATTCACGACGCACTCTGAGATTTGACAAGCTGCAGCCCCCGCTGCGTTTCGTCTGCGAGCCGGTTTCAAGATTCGACCTGCTCACATTGTACGCGATAGACGACAGCTGTTCGAGTTGGGCCTGGGCCTCTGGGGTGGAGGGAGACGCAGTAGGCGGAGTATCTGAGGGCGAGGTACTGCTTTCCACAGGTGTTGGCACAGCAAGCACCCGAGAGAGGAAAAGCCCGAAGGCTAAGGCTTTCAGGGCAACCATTTTATGATACCCTCTTGTCTCTGGAAGATCAGAGATGTGGAGATCCTGTTCTCAGAAAAACAAAGAGTTCTCCTGAAACACTGGATTGCAAACGATCACTGGGCACAGGTCATGAGTCTCCGAAAAAGCAATCAAGAATTTGAAATTCTGGGGGAACAGGGAAGTCGCCTTTTATCCACAATCATGTATAACCGGCAGTCGGCGCTGCTTTCGCTTCCGCGAAGAAGCCAAGGTGCAACAGCTAATGGCACCGGTGCCGACGCCTCAGGCTCGATTGGGGATGGATTTTATTTCGCTCTCTGGGCGGGGCGGTGGACAGAAAGGAAGTTCTTAATCTCTGCGCAAGCCACGTGGTGATTATGGCCTATCGCAACAGCAATTTCCCCTGCCAGGCCATTCCAGCCGCCCCATTGTGGTTGCGTGGACATATTTGTGCTAGAGTCCCTGAAGGCGGAACGCTCCAGGCGCGCTCTACTGAGCTGTGCAATATGTGCAGCGATAGGACCAACGACGCTGCTGCGAATGAAACAGAAAGACAGGATCCATTTTCACGGACTCCGTACGGAGTACAATCGGACGATTAGCTCAGTGGGCACGGGGGCCTTGGCGACGCACGCAAGGAGCCAGGGAGAAAAAAAATGGGGAACTTAAACGAGAGAAGGAAAAGTCCAATCCACTAGAGCGATGGCACTGGGGAGTTCCTCTTTTCCCATTGGTAGGGTTTTAGCGGAGAGGAAATCCGGTGGGAATGTCACTGTCAAAATTTTTGCCGCGAGTCATTAGCGGAGTTGAGAAGCCTCCTTTAATGGAAGTTATTGAAAGAAGTCCTCAATATAGACTTCTAAAAAAGCATTGCTAATCCGCTTTCCATGATATGCCGCAAAAATAATACTATTGGCCGCGATTACATCGAAGTAGTATCCCCCGCTTTGTGGTGGAAGCTCGACACCAACACCTCCGTCGTGCAGACAATCTCTTCCTGGTGCTGAGCCGGAAGAATCCTTTCCTCACTCGAATTATCGGCCAGAGTTCCGTTTATATTGGCGTAAGCGGAAGAGCTGTATTGGCCCGGGCTAAGATGCGAGGCCCTGCGATCTTGCGCATGAATGATTTCAAAGTTACCGCTTGAAAGCGTGACATTCTTGCTACCTCCCTTTGACATCTTGCTAAGTCTGTAATTGCCCGCCGCTGAAGAGTAACCCTTCGTTTTCTTCGTGCTATAGATATTGAGAGCCCTTTTGAACAGTGGCTTCAGTGTCGGGAGACTTCCGGCAATGATACCCATGTTCGCTTCGACCCTTATATAGACGCGAGCAAAAGTCAGCCTTATTATCGGAGCATGGATCGACGACGATTACGTACACAACCCAAATCGTCAGATCTGTATAATCCCATGTAAAGTCACCGGTTTTTCCGTAATTGGGGAGGATCGAGAGTTTGATAAACGCTGCGACACAGGCGCTATAGCCGTCCGTAATTCTATGTTAATCATACTCGTGCTTCCACAAGGCCGAAGGAGCTATGACTCACAAGACACCAAGACTCAGGATGCAGATGAGGGACACTTTGACGCGGAGATTGACCTGCAGACCACTACAGATTGGTAATATTAGCCCACGTTATTTTATAGCAATGCGGACTACTGCCGGTCGTACCGAAGCATGAGGAATGGGAGGAACGCAAAAATGAGGTCAGTGAGGATATTTAGAGCTGTGATGTGTTAGTTTTGAGATCCGAAAAGCAAGATGGAGATGAAGAATACCGGTATTCGTATAGCTCAGAGCCACAAGCTGCTTGGGGGCAAAGCACTTGGACTTGACATTTATATCCCAGATCGATTCAATTTTATGACATTGAAAGATGAGGGTCTGCGAGCCTATTGGTTAGAACGATCCGTTTCGGGTTGATAATCCTGCACGTACAAAGAAGCAGATAGTTGTATAAATTGCCATCAAAACTAAATACAAAAATATTCGGTCAGCGATACGGCTTCGGGAGTGTAGGGTGAATGGGGACGAGGACGCTTTACCAATGACGATATGGATGAAGAGCTTATATCCCTTTCCGGGTGCAAAGCGTACCAGCATTAAGCCTATTGAGATCTTCACCGTCCCAATTGCCCAGAGGTAGATAACTTGGGTTGCGAAATTCAGCTGCATGGCCGTCTTCACCGTGTCCATTACGTAGGCCATATGCCTGCCGGCGCCATACTTCACCTCGGGGATGATGATTGCCCACCCCGCGAGAGACTGCAAGTAATTCGCTATTAATCTCAAGACATCTTGCGTATGGACAACGGGAAAGGATCAACAGGAAAAACATACCAAGGCCATTGTCAAACCCATGACATAGTCCTATGAATAATGTCCCCCAGTCAATCATGGCGATAAGATTGGACTACGAGCATTCTTTTTTTTTAACGTACATCGAGTCCAACATTTTGAACCACCCATATTCGCACATAGAATCGGGCCAACACGACGAGGAGAGCGATCCCCGTGGTGATCGACGTCGCAATGACGATCCGGGGTCCTTGGTCAACATCTGGCAGACCAGCTCCGCCCTGACGATCAACCAACAACATTTGCAGCAAATCCAGTGTGTGTCGTGCAGTCACACATCATGAGCACGGAGTACAAAAGAGCGGATCGGAACCTTCATATCTTCAGCCTGGGGGGCCACATCATACGGGCGTGCGTTTAATCAATCTTTGACACTCCAGGAAAAGTGCCCACATTCTCCATTTTTTCAGTTCCTTGGTACCTTTTGTTGTCGCTCCAGGATTATTAGACATGTGCAAGTTGATATTTGAGAAACCTGGTGGCTGCCTTCATCACGGCAGCAACGCTTTGTGATTCGCCTTTTTGACATTGGGTGGAATCTTCACGCTGTCAGGGGTACCGGTTTTACGGAGCAAATTTTCCTTTTCAGCCCAGATCCTCCAGATCCACAAGGGTCCATTGCTCACTCCGCTCAACCTTGGCCAAAGCGAGAGGAGAGCCAACCAGCAAGGCATGAGGTGAGATTAAAGTTGGCGCCGCCGATCGGATCGCGCACCCGTCCCGTGCCTAGTGTCCTTTTCTCGGCGAAAAGTTGAGGGGCAAGATGCGATTCGTAACAACCCGAAGTTCTCCGTAACCAAGCGCAAAACGGTATTAACGGTCGAAGCTATCGTCACATCCCTGACCCCCTGGACAAGGGTATGACTTACGGGGACATGGAAATAATATATCCAATATTAAGATGGAGAACATTCACCACCTGGCAGTCGTTTAAGAGTTACCTAGTTAAATCGAGAAGAAAACTTTGTCCAAAATCTGCCTGGCGAAATCTCGTATCGGACGTTGATTTGGTGTTTTTCGCAGTTTATGTCCCGCATATGTACGGAGTACACCCAAACGGAGTTCTCTGTATGGAGGATATTGCCTAGGAGACCCACAGAAATCTCAGTTGTTTGTCACTACTCCCGTTGATTGGCCAGATCTGAAGTTCGTCGCTGTTCAGCCGATGTCCAAGGCGAAATGACGCCCTGCGGAGGCCGTAGCGCTTTACACTGCCAATTGTAGCTATACAGGAACATCGATTGAGAGCTCAAGAGAAACGGACCAGTGAGCATTCTGCAAAGAGGACTTCGCGCACAATCGGATTGAATCTCTCCTAGGCGGACAGCGCCAGGCCGGGGAGACTCTTTGCGTCCAAATTAGGTTTCCCGCCTCGCCGGTTCATGGCACCCGAAGCCGTGGGACGCTTGACCCGAACGGGAATTAGGGCATAATAGGTCCATGCGAGAAGAAATTGGAAGGTTACCTTTAGCCAATTGACATCGCGCCCTGCTGGTAACTTTGCTTCGGTTGATCCAGCCTTTCTCGGAATTCTCGTCTTTTGTTTGTTGGGCTGCTTTCGATCATTCCACCCTTTGACACTTTTAACCTTTCCGTCGGTATGCGGAACGGTACTCTGTACGGAGTACTCCGTACTTTGTCACTAGTTAATGCGAGCAGGGGGAGTCGTTAGCTGCAGCCTTTGTTACACAATATAATCCATTTCCTCAAGGACAACGAACATTTGACGCATAACGAGTGCGGAGTCCACTCTCCACTCCCGTTCATTCATAGCTCTTTGACTGCTACTACTTGTCCTATGCAAACTGTTCGTGTCCCTCGTTGTGGATTCAATCACTCTAAAACCATCCATTGCTGGTGAGAACCTCCGTGACTGAGTTGGCTACGATAAATCCCCGACTTCCGATGCAAAGATATTGATATGAGAAGGGTGGGGTGACGCGAGTGTTGTCGGCCGTGGCTGTCTGTGAGAGCGACCCGTTGCATCGATCCCATCTCTTAGGGAACTATTTCGCGACTGGTTAAAGACTGAATTCATTATACGTAACAGAAATTCTTCTATTCATGAACGCGTATCAGAACTATGTACGGAGTACTACGTATAAAATGATAATAAAACACATTTTTCTGCATATTTTCATCCAATATGCTCTAATGATTAGGCGACCTGGAATATATTGGGATGAGAGGTGTGTAAGGCTCTAGGATAATTTAGGTTTTGTGGCTTCTCCGTTTGTGCAACTCGAAGCTAAGGTCGTACGAGTGTCATATAACTGGCGTTCGAAGAATTTAAGAATTTCGTCGATCACACTATTTCGGAAGAAGCGAGTCCGGTCAGTCATATCCACCCGCCAGCATCTTAAAAGGGACGTGGATGAAAGGAACTTACATAACTGGCGCACTGATTGCCAACACTGCCTTCCACTCGAGCCAGTTCAATGGTAAGATCGAGAAAAGGCCTTGCAGGAATGGAATATACAAAATTGCGAAATGAAGGGACATCGACATTATGATCGCGCCGACAAGCACCATGTTGTTCCACAATGGGAAGGTGAAAAGGGACTCGCTGGACGACAGAGCGTTCATGGCGTTGAACATCTCAATAACGACGAGGATAGAGAGCGAAACCGTGGATGCCGACTTTGACATGTCATTCGTGAACATCTCGCACCCGATCTCGGGGAACTCTCTAGAGCACTTGTGGAAATGCGACTAAATAACGTAGGATCAGCTACAGTCCACGATATTGAAACCCTCTTAAGACAAGGAAAACCTACTAATTGCCAAAATGTTATTTGCGGACCCTGTGGATTATACATAAACCACCAAGCGAAACCAAAAACAGTTGCGACACCGACATATATACCGATCACCATGTACCGGAAGAAAAGCCAGCCACTAACCAGCGCTTCACCACGCTTCCTTGGCGGCCGCTTCATAACATCATGGTCTGCGGGATTGAATGACAGCGCAGTGGCCGGTAGGCCATCAGTGACGAGGTTGACCCAGAGAAGTTGGACAGGGATCAAAGCCTCTGGCATGCCAAGCGCTGCTGTAAGGAAGATAGACACGACTTCGCCGATATTGGAAGAGATCAGATACCGGATGAACTGCTGGGTGTTGCTATAGATGGATCTCCCTTCTTCGACGGCAACTTCAATCGTTGCGAAATTATCGTCGGCCAAAACCATATCCGCCGCAAGTTTGGCGACGTCGGTACCGGAACCCATTGCGACGCCGATGTCAGACTTCTTCAAGGCGGGAGCATCGTTGACACCATCTCCAGTCATTGCAACGACCTGTCCGAGAGACTGAAGTATGTCAACTAGTTTCGATTTATGGGTTGGCTCAACACGGGAGAACAGGGAGGCCTGTCTCGCAGCTTCAATCTTTCCTTGCTCGCTGAGCGCATCAAATTCCCTTCCGGTGAAACTCTTGCCCCGCAAGTCTTCATGCTTTCCAAACACACCGATTTGTCGACAGATGGATTCGGCAGTGTTTTGATTGTCACCCGTGATTACAATAACTCGAATTCCAGCCTCTCGACATTTCTGAATTGATGCAGCCACTTCGGGTCGAGGAGGATCAAGCATACCAACAAGTCCAATAAGGGTCATATTTTGTTCAAGCTTCTCGTACTCATTTGAGGTCTCTGCAGTGTGCAGAAGAGGCGCCTCTGCAACATTTGAAATACTGGCAATGGCGATAACCCGAAGACCCCTGTTTCCATAATCCACGACTTCTTGCGAGATCAGCTTGGCATGATTCAGAGATAGGGGAACCCTAGCGCCGTTGGATCCCAGCAGGGTATGGGAGCAACGCTCGAGGATCGATTCGGGAGCACCTTTCACAAGGAGCATTTGGTTTTTCCCGTTACCCACTAGCACAGACATGCTCTTTCGATCACGAGAGAACTCATAGGTAGCTTTTAGGGGCAGTCGGTTTTCATAGTGCTTGCTAGCTGCATGTAGCCGTTCGGATGCCGGTAGATGCTTCAGCTTTTGGTTCACGTCCATGTCATCTGTGCCAATTTTCTCAACTAGCACTCTGAGGGCTCCTTCAGTGGGTTCTCCGACATTGCTATAAGTTCCGCTCTTCGGATCATACGATAGTGCCGCATCATTGCACATAGCCAAAACTTCAGCCATTTGACAGATCGTGGACGACGTAGCAGCAAGATCTTCCTGAACTTGACCATTTTTCCGTAGTTCGCCGACGGGGGCGAAGGTTGTACCTTCGACGCTGATTTCCTCAAGGCCGGTGCCAGACTCATTGAGGTAAACAATCCTTTCAACGCTCATCTGGTTAGTGGTAAGGGTGCCTGTCTTGTCTGAGCAAATTACACTGCAGCTGCCCAGCGTTTCCACGGATGGCAAAGACCGAACAACGGCATTCTTTGCAGCCATCTTTCGTGTTCCCAAGGCCAAACAAGTGGTGATAACTACAGCCAGGCCTTCTGGAATGGCAGCCACACCAAGCGAGACAGCAATCTTGAGATAATAGATTGCACCCTTTGTCCAACTCCCATGACTCGGATCGCTGAAATGTTGGATATTAATGAGCCAAACGAGGACACAAATAACCGTGATAACCTTAGCCAACATATCACCAAAATCATTGAGTTTTTGTTTCAATGGCGTTGGCTCGGAGATCTGAGCTGTGATACTCTCGTGGATATCACCAATCGCGGTACTCGACCCGGTTAAAACAACGACTGCAGTGGCATGGCCGCTGACAACCGTAGTTCCGGAAAATAGGATATTTGTTTGGTCCTGTTTCACAGCCTGAAAGTCCTTGATTTCTAAAGTACCCTTGGAGACACTTTCACTCTCCCCAGTCAATATAGCCTGGTCGACGCGGAAGCTATTACTCTGGATGGAGACAAGTCTGCAATCCGCAGGAATACGGTCGCCGACAGCCACGTGAACGATATCTCCAGGAACGAGCTCTTCAGCCTTGATGCGTTGCACAGCGCCATCTCGAACAACTTTGGCCTCATTTGCTGAGTATTCTTGAAGAGCAGCAATGGCCTTCTCTGCGCTGTTCTCCTGTGATACGCCGACTATCGCATTCAAGATAAGGATTGTAAGGATCTAAACAAGCTGTGTCAGAAATTCCAATTCCAAGGCCATATATGTTCCTCAGCTTTTCGAAACACGCACCACTGCGGGGTCAACAAAAGCGGTCCAGTCGTCGCCTCCCTCAAAGAGTGCGAGTACAAACGAAACGACAGCCGAACCCAGGAGGATTATAACTAGTTGATCCTTGAATTGTTCCAGTATAAGTTCCCATAGCGGTGTTGGCGGTTCTTCCGGAATGGCTAGATAATAGCGAGGCAAGAGTTTAGCATAAGAGTGGCATGGAGCGAGAGTAATATGTATTGACATGAAATTAAGGCGGGGGGATAATCCATCACTCACCGTTGGAACCATATTTCTCCCTCGATTTCAAAACTTGCGCGCTGGAAAGACCCTCCTGCTCATCGACTTGAAAGTGCTGGAGGACATCGCGTGGAGAATGTAAAAACGAGCGCTCCATCGTCTCGGCGCAAGATTCAGTGGTTCCCGGCAGAGCTCTTTTTGTCTCTTGCTTAGCTACCCGGTGTATATAACCTTTGGAAGGATTTGGCGAGAGAGAGGAAAGGAAAGGAGGGAAGGGGAAAAGTAGAGGTGGCTATAAACTTCGGCGCATACAGAATCGAAGCGGCCGGCTGACGCCGCTGGTACGAGCAAGATTCGTGTGCGGGACTGTGGAGAAACTGTGGTCAAACTCGTGTGTTATCTTTGGGATTGTGCCGTAAGATCTGCGATCTATCGAACCCGGCCGCCAAGCCCTAGATCATCGCAAGGGCACAATGCACGAGCGGTAAAATGAAAATAACAAAGAGCGATTGGGGGTGGAAGTAAGAAAAAGAGTGAAAGGCTGACCGAGCGAGTCTCTAGGTAATATATCCCTCTGTTCCCGAGCGCATCGGCCTGGTGATGAGCTATCGCCGGTTTTTCAACGTGGTCTTTTCGATGGCCGATCGCCGGTGTTGCTTATGTAATCTCATTGGGAGCCGTTATATTATGTAAGGTAAAAAGCTTAATTTAAACGCCAAGACAGCCAGAAGGTTCCGCGGCTCCGGGATAATGATTCCATTGGATGGAGGAGCCACTGTGGCTAGTTAACACCTCTTCAGGACGGAGGAACTATAACCCGAAGTGTTTGCGGCTGACGCAAAGCAAGACTGGCTTTGAAAGGTCGAAAGGCTGGCTGCCTTGCGATGCTCGATCTGCTGGGAGCAACGCCTCGTCAACGGGCAGTGGCTTCGGGCTTCGGCTTGTCGACCATCGACGAAAGCATCGTGATTTACAATCATGGTGGACGCAGGGCGTAAGTCTTCCCAACTACTCTGGATTCTGTATGAAGTATATACGGAGTACGGGGTAGGCTTTCTGTATTTATTGACCGGTGGTAACTTCATCGCCCAGGCATCGCCAAGGGCTCGGTGACTATTGCGTTGGGGGCAAAAAAAGAAAAAATAGGTATTAGGGAAAACTGATAGCATGGGGAAGAGAAGGGGGACGGGGAAAGGGTTCGTAACAAGGGCTACAAGCATCACAGACCCAGAAATGCATAGATGGGTGGGCAGTAGAAAGGAGCAGCATCCCTCCCTGAGGACAAAAGAGGAAGAAGAATAGCAAGAAGATAGCTCTGACTACCTGATGGTATTAACCGCATGATAATCAACTTCTTTCTCCAAAGGAATAAAGGGGGCAGGCCCGCAGCAAGGCGTCGATCAAGGTAAAGGGATTTGGGGGGTGGGGTAATAGAAAGCTGCATTTCCGATCAAGTCTCACTCTCTCCAAACAATAACTAACTCCGCAACCTGAAAGATACACAACCCTTTAAAAAGAACAACAGAAATGACAACTAAAAAGAACATGTGAAGGTGTAAGCAATCCACACTACGAATGGACCGTTTTCAACTCCCATAGGATCGGCGAAGGAGATGGACAAGCAAAGCATGGATTGGGCGACCAGTAAAATTATTACCGGAAAATTACCATCCTTTATGATTCAGCAGCTGTTTCCTTCTTGTCTTCAGTGGAGGCGGGAGCCGCTGGTTCGTCAGTGGTAGCGCTAGCCTCGGCGGGCTTCTCCTCGGAAGCTGCGTCGGTGGTAGTTGGCTCTGCCTCACCGCCGTCAGACGACGTCCAGAGAGTGAGGTTATCACGCAACAGCTGCATGATCAAAGTACTGTCACGATAGGATTCCTCGGACAGAGAGTCGAGCTCCGCAATGGCGTCGTCGAAAGCCTGCTTGGCAAGATGGCAAGCCCGATCAGGAGAGTTGACAATCTCATAGTAGAAGACTGAAAGGTTGAGGGCAAGGCCAAGGCGGATGGGGTGAGTAGGGGTCAACTCGGATTGGGCAACATCGGTAGCATTCTAGGGGGTGCCCAACGCGAGTTTAGTAGAGCATACAAAACGGTGTTGCAGACGACAGAATCAAGCTGTGGAGTAATACCTTGTAGGCCTCGTGGGCATTGGTGGCTGCAACCTTCCGCTTGTTACCAGAGGCGAACTCGGCGAGGTAGCGGTAGTAATCTCCCTTCCTATAGAATCATTGAGCTCAGCGCATTTGCTCACAGTACACTCCAATCAGCATCGAGGTTCGAGCGCAACGCACATCTTGTAGTAGAAGACCTTGGACTCGCCGGTTTCAGCCTTGGGGATCAGGTTGTTGTCCAAGACCTCGAGGACGTCCTGGCAAACACGCTCGAGTTCTTCTTCGATCTTCTCGCGGTATTCCCTGATGGTGGCAACATGTTTATCAGAGCCTTTAGATTCCTCCTTTTGCTCGATAGACGAGATGATACGCCACGAGGCACGGCGGGTGCCGACAACATTCTTGTACGCGACGGAAAGGAGGTTGCGCTCATCGACAGTGAGTTCACCCCCGAGCTAGCGTGAAATTTAGTACAGGGCGTACTCCTCTGCCGGGTCACGCGACATTTTCACAGCGGCAAACATCGAGGGAACTTACGCTGGCGACCTCCTGTAGAAAAAGTCAGCCCCTGAATTATCTCACCATACTAAACATCATATAGAGTGTAACAAACCTTCATGTAGGTGACCATTTCTATAATCCAAGTCAGCGCTCCATTCCTGCACGTTCCCCTGTGGCCTGGATCTGCTTACCATCATAACGCTCGGCCTGCTCGCAGAGGCGGGCGAGAAAGGTCTTGCTGCATTGATGTGAGCAGAGGATAGTTGAAGGACCATGCGCACAGGATTGGAAAAACCTACTTCTCACGCTGGTCAAGACAACATCATTAGTACTGTCAGTGCACAGCAATGCCGAGAGAGAGCAACACAAGAAGAACAAGAGTGGAGGGTCGCTGGTGCTGGGGCCGGAACCTCTGGCAAACCAACCTGAGGAGAGGGGTAAACATACTTCAGAAGTCATTTTTCTGTGAGTGTTGTAATGATTGAAGGGTCAACAACAAATGAGGGGATGCTGGGAATACTGGTGATTGGGAAAGAAGAGGAAAAGAAAATTGTTTGCTAGAAGAGGGGGTGCTGGTAATGGTTGACCGTGCAGGTTGGTTGAAACAGTTGATTGTCCTGCCTGGAGGAGAGGAGTGAGAGGGAGCGAGGGAGCGAGTTGAAGGGGTTTGGATTTAGCGAGTCCTTGTTGAGTGATGCGAGGGAACAACAAAAACACTAACAAACTGGTTAAGGCTGCTGTTGTCCACCAGTGGCTTGCTATGCCGTGCCTCTCCTGTGACAAACCTCTCTCTCATTTAGCAAACATTCTTTTTTTTTTTGCTTTTCACGCCAAAGCGTGAAAAAATTTCATTTGTTAGCCATATTTTCTTTTTCTTCTTCTTTTTTACGCTTTTCCTTTTTTTACCCTTTGAACTCACTCGCTCTGATTCCGGCGGCAAAACCCACCACAACATTTTCATTTCCCGCCCCTCACTTTGGATGGCTGGCGATACGCGCCATTGACCCAGCCTGGGCCGGAGTGACATGATTCTGCTAGAATGGAGCCAAAAAAACAAAAAAAGGTACGGAGTACTCCGTACAGGTCATGATATTTCTGCTTCACTATCTAGATCCTTACAAGCAAACTTTGACAGCCAAAAACAGCGGCAAAGCCAGTGATTGATGCAAAAAAAGCCACAAGGTCCACAACAAAGGCATTGACTGTCCTAATACCCATGATGGTTAAGTAGAATCAGAAATGAGAGAGCACATTTTGGAATTATGATACCTAGAAAATAATTGCATGGTACCAAGTGGATGAAGACTGACAGGTGAACTGCCTGACGCTGAACCTGGCAATCTTGTCCATGTCGCGTCCTACCGTGAATCTGGCTCCATCCGTTCTACGGAACACAAAAATTGAAAAGGACCGGCAGCCAGTGAATCGCCTGTATATCTCCAGACATGAAATCGCAAATCGCCAATGGAGTTTTGATGGCAGAGGCTTCCTTTCTTCCGCAGCACCTAACCCCATCCCAGCTTCGCGCGGTGGAAGGGGGTTTGCTTCTGGAGATCAAATCTTTCCATCATTCGACTTCTCTTTCTCCTCATCGCCAACCTTGTCACGATGCAGCATCTTCAAGTCGATGGACGAGGACAAGAAAGACCTATTTAGAAATACCACGTAGATACTCCTATGTAGGTACGTCCATTTCTGTGTTCATACTACGTAGCCAGCCTAATATAACTGCAAAGGACCCTGGGAAGGGGTATAATGAGCCTCACATATGGTTGAGTGGTGCAAACGATGCCACCCACGACAAGCCATTGTGCAGTGCAGTAACTATCGTCTCGTCCACAGACGAATAAACCGGGAAGTATACTCCGTACATACAAGGGGGAACCTAGCTAGGTCTGATTACAAGGGAAAAACTTGCTTGGTGTCGCTCTAAAACGTTTTATATTAAAGCTCTTCAAATCGTATATACCTGGAGGAATGGGTCATTCCCGCAGACGAGCTAGTGATCTGAATAGTTACCAATTTTTGTTGCGTGCGCGAAATTCTAAATTGCCATGCCATGCCATGCCCATACTACTAGCCTGCTGTAGAATAACGAAACGAAATCTTCGAGATAAACAATAACCCAAGCAAACACGTCTGGAATCGAGTAAGGGTATGGTGGTGGAGGGAAATGGAAATGGGAAAAAGAAAAGAAGAAAAAAAAGAAAAAAAATTAAGGGAGGGGCATCACATAAAGTCATCATCGTCCAGCTCATCGCCATCGTACGCTGTGAGATCCGCGCGGTTCGAGTGAGTGGTGACGAGACTTGTCTTGGTCTTGGCTGCCTTGCTCTTCTTCCCGCCCTTGTCAGCGGCCTTTTCCTCTTTGAGTTTCTCGTTGCTAGCGGCGGTCAAAGCGCTTGCCACCTTCTTGATTTCCGAACTGGGGAGCTCCTTTACAAGCCGCTTCGTAAACTCTTGGACCCAGATAGAGTATTGCGGCTTCTTGGATTGGGCGGCTAGTAGAGGAGCGAGGGTCTCTGTGAGAGTGGTGAACTGCGCCTTGGTTCCCGGCTTGAAGAGCGGCATGGCAGAGATATCGATAGATTTGGTAGGGTCATTCGGGTCAGAAATGACGGTCGCCTTGGGCGCTGACCGGTTCCGGTTGAGATCGATATCGCCGATAAGATCCTGCGCGTGCTTGAGATCGGACTCCTTCTCCGTCCGTCTCAGCCGCGCCCGCTGTTCCGCAGCATCTTCCTCCTCGCTCGATTCTTCCTCGTCAAGGGCGCGCCGGGCTTTATGTTCTGCTATTCTTTGCGCTTTTGATTTCTTCTGCGCGGCGGCTTCAGCTTCAGCCTTGGCTTTAGCTGCAGCTGCTTTTGCTTCCTTCTCTCGCTCGACTTCCGAATCTTCGGCGGCGTCCCAGGAATCTAGAACCTATGTCGCAGAGAACAAAGATATCAACATCATCCCATATGTTTTCGTGAGAAGAAAAAGAATATTGAGATGAAAGGCCGAACACTCCCATACCTCGTCACTATCTTCCTCATCGTCAAACTTGCGTCTTGCCACGAATGGCGGCGGGGTGGAAGGAGGTGTGCTCTCCTCTTCATCGTCTATGAGGGTTCCAAAACATGATCAATTAGATATCTATCTGAAAGTCTGGCCAGCGTCTTCCACGGGCTGTCCTGGTCGTCGACAATCCCTTACTCAAAGGGAGAAAACTTACCCCACTTTGAAGGCGCCATGGTCTGAGAAATTTGCAGGGTAAAGGGTCGACTTAAATTGTAGTGTCAAGACAAAACAGTGTGTATTTATTAAGAGAGCTGTAGGGCTACAGGCTGATGGAACTCCAACGGGGACGACGCGCAAGTCAGTAGAACGAAACCAGTGGCCGCCTTCCCTCCTTTACTGAACTCTTTTTTTTTTCACGGTTTTGTGAAATTACATGGTCAAGGCTGATTGGCGGGGCAAAAATTTCTTTGGAGAGAAACTCGGCAGCGGAAGAATATAAATCCAGTCCTACATACGGGTCAAGGTTGGAACCTTCTGCGCGCAGGATGATGATGGGACATTGCTAAGGATAGGATGGAGGCTATGGAGCAGCAGATGTTAAGAGACATGCTTCAAATGTTGTGAGGCTTCAATTTCCTAATTTAAAGGCAAAACACGTTCCTTATTTTGATACAAATTCTTAGCTATTTCGCGGATGTACTCCGTATTGACTACCGGATTTCGATTCGATTCGTTCTTTTCCGTCCTTCATCTCTTTTATTTTTTATTCATTTTCTTACAGGTTTACTGCAGTGCGGAAGTTCTCTCCAGCATAGACAGCGCTGGAACCAAGCTCTTCCTCGATGCGGAGGATCTGGTTCAGCTTGGCAAGACGCTCGGACCGGGCAGGGGCGCCAGTCTTGATCTGGCCAGAGCGCAGTCCGACGACAATGTCGGCAATGGTGACGTCCTCGGTCTCACCGGAACGGTGAGATACCATCACACCCCAGCCGTCAGCGTACGAGTCCTTAGCGGCCTGGATGGATTCGGTCAAGGTGCCGATCTGGTTCACTTTGAGCAACAGAGCATTGCATGCCTTGAGGTCAATGGCCTTCTTGATGCGGATGGGGTTGGTGACAGTAAGGTCATCCCTAAATTTCTTCTTGTCAGTTGCTAAACACAGTCATGGGGCACGGGCATGATCACATACGCGACGATTTGCATGTTAGAGGTTTTGAAGAAGTAGCTCCACGCCTCCCAGTCGTCTTCGGCGAAGGGATCCTCAATGCTGACGATGTCGTACTTGCTGGCCAACTTCTTATAGAGATCGCTGAGCTCCTCATATGTGACCCACTTGCTCTTATCGCTGTTAGGGTTTTTGAAGTCAAGGTCGTATTTCTTCTCCTCCGGCTTGTAGAACTCGCTGGATGCAACGTCGAGGGCAATTTTTACCTTGCCGGTATAACCTGCCTGCTCGATGGCCTCGGCGATCAAGTCGAGAGCTTCCTCGGGAGTTTGGATATCGGGAGCGACACCACCCTCGTCACCAACATTGCCAGCAGACTGGCCATATTTGGACTTGGCAAGTGCCTTGAGCTTGTGGTAGACTTCGGAGCCCTGGCGAAGGGCCTCAGAGAAAGAAGGGGCGGCACTACTAGGTCAGGATTGCATTCGGAGAGATCGACTGGGTGCCTTTTTTCCTAACTTACGATGGAACAATCATGAATTCCTGGAAGGCGAGGCGGCCACCAGCATGGGAACCCCCGTTAAGGACATTCTGGAATGGTACGGGAAGGACGTATGGCTTCTTGGTCCCGGCAAGATCGGAGACGTGCGCGTAAAGTGGAACGCCCTTCTCAGCAGCACCAGCCTTTGCGATAGCCAGACTGACACCAAGGATGGCGTTGGCACCAAGGTTGGACTTGTTGGCGGTACCATCCAGCTTGTTCAAGAATTCGTCGACCTTGGATTGGTCCTTCACGTCAATGTTCTCCTTGATGACGGCGGGGCCAATGACCTCGTTGACGTTCTTGACAGCCTTCAAGACACCTGGGTTCGAATTGGATGATCGTCAAAATGCAGCTTCCCACATGGATTGCGGGATATACTCACCCTTTCCGAGCCAGTGAGTCTTGTCACCATCACGGAGCTCACAAGCCTCATGCTGGCCTATTGATGGACGTGTCAGCCGATTGTGCGTAGACGTGAGACCGTAATTTTCTTGGGTTCATGGGGGTCTGAAAGCATCAGTCTACTACTCACCAGTGGAGGCGCCGGATGGAACAATGGCACGGTGAAGGCCAGTCTCAGTGACGACGTCGACCTCCACGGTGGGGTTGCCACGGGAGTCGTAGACCGATCTAGCGTGGATCTTTGTGATCGCCATCCTGGGATGAAGGTTAACGTTGGAATTTGACGATGAGAGCAGCCTTGATTAGTGAAATGGTCGTGAGATTCCGAGCACAAGCGAAGAATTGGAAAGTGGTGTGTGTTGTGTTCTGTTGAGGCCTTTTCAGACCCTTCTTCACCGAACGGCCGAAAATGTTCAAGCTTTCAACAACAGCCTCTTGAAGCAAACACCACTCAAGTGACACTTTCTCTTTTTTTGAGACTTTTAAGGATGTACTGGAACAACAATTTGATCGTGGTAATGGTGGCTTCGATTGAGTATATTTGCGCGGGCTACAGAGGAGAGATGTGGGAGAGGCGAGGGCGGGGCTGAGGGGCACAAAACGCAGGAGGTAGGGGAGAGGGAGGTAGGCGTCAACAGTTGTGACTGTTTGAGGAAAAAGAGACTTACTTGAGGTATTACTGTGATGTGGTAGGTGGGAAGGATTTGAGGGTATCAATTGGGGGAGATCTGGTGCCAATTGCAAAGGGAGATGAGGTGAGGGGAACTGAGGGAGAGAGAGACGAGAAGGGAGAAGTTGTTTCTGGATGATGAGCAGATCTATGATGAAAGACGCCCAATTACCTAATGATGTTGTTATGATTTTCGCCGCAAGCCGGGACAAGTCTTTCTCGTCGACAGAATACAGCCCCTCCAAAAGTCCAAGGCGGTTTGGCGGGACATCGCGAGAGGCATTGCCCCGACGCCAGCCAATTAGCTGGCCCGCAAGGTGGCTCCGGGATATTCCAGGTCCCAGTACGGAGTAATTACGGAGCATATCTGCCCTGTAGGATCCAATGTGCCTGTTACGAAGTACGTATGCATGGGTACGGACATTCAACTTCGCGAGCCAAAAAAGGTTTGTGGGCGGGGTGTGTTGGCGGTTGATGGCATCATCGTCGTTTGGATCGCCTTCTCTGGCCGCCCTGAGGTACTCGAAGCTTAACCGTCTTTGGTCTAGGTAGGTACCGTACCGTAGGCACCTTACCGTCACGGAACAATATTGTGCCGCGTTACGGAGTACAAACATAGCAAACAGAACTCATGCTCGAAATTTATTACATAATCTATCACGTGAATGGATATTTTTGAGACCGGTGGTTTGGTTTGCGTGGTTTGCTCTGTTTGCAGGATTTTGGGGCTGGAGCTGGCTGGGGCGCAACTTGAAGCTCCGTGGCGCGAGCAGGCAGTCCCCGTCCCAACGTCAGCATCCCAGAGCTGCCCGGGTGTATGTACGGTCCTGTGTCCAAAGCCGGTAGTTTGACTTTGCTCCCCCGAACACATCCCAAGGATTGACTTCCCCCTTTTGAGAGTGCCTATTCATCGAGCGCACCTCTTCCCACCTCCTGCATCGCCTGTTCAGCTTGAGATCACCATGACCACTGCCAATGACCCAGAGCGCCAGCAGGCCCTTGAAGATTACAAGAAGGCCCTGCTAGAGTCGAGAGAATGGGAGGCTAAGCTGAAAGCCCTTCGGTTGGGTATCAAAGATTTGCAGAAGGAGTTTGACCAGACAGAGGAAAATATCAAGGCGCTACAGAGTGTCGGACAGATCATCGGAGAGGTTCTCAAGCAGCTGGATGAGGAGAGATGTGAGTTGACACCTCTATATGTACCTCGTGCTCGACTGGGCTTTCCGTGTCGCTGACTTTAGTGCAGTTATCGTCAAGGCTTCCTCCGGTCCTAGATACGTCGTCGGATGCCGGTCCAAAGTAGACAAATCAAAGCTCAAGCAAGGAACCCGCGTCGCTCTCGACATGACAACCCTCACCATCATGCGCATGCTGCCTCGCGAAGTCGATCCCCTCGTCTACAACATGTCCTTGGAAGATCCTGGCCAGGTTAACTTTGCTGGTATTGGTGGCTTGAACGACCAGATTCGCGAGCTGAGAGAGGTCATCGAGCTGCCCCTCAAGAACCCGGAGCTTTTCATGCGAGTGGGGATAAAGCCTCCCAAGGGTGTTCTGCTGTATGGGCCCCCGGGCACAGGGAAGACGCTCCTGGCCAGAGCCGTCGCCAGCTCCCTAGAAACCAACTTTTTAAAAGGTGGGCTATCAGGTTTATACTGCTCCTTTTTTGTAAACCGTGCTAAACTCTAGCTCAGTCGTCTCCTCTGCTATCGTTGACAAGTACATTGGCGAGTCTGCCCGATTAATTCGAGAGATGTTCGGTTACGCCAAAGAGCACGAACCATGCATCATCTTTATGGACGAAATCGATGCCATCGGAGGGAGAAGATTCTCGGAGGGAACCTCTGCCGACAGAGAAATTCAACGTACACTGATGGAGCTCCTCAATCAACTGGATGGATTCGACTACCTTGGAAAGACAAAGATCATCATGGCCACAAACAGACCGGACACTCTAGACCCGGCCCTTCTTCGTGCTGGGCGCCTTGATCGAAAGATTGAAATCCCCCTGCCCAATGAAGTCGGTCGATTGGAGATCTTAAAGATTCATTCTAGCGGAGTGGCCATAGAGGGCGAAATTGACTTTGAAACTGTCGTCAAAATGAGCGATGGCTTGAATGGCGCTGACCTACGAAACGTGGTAACAGAAGCGTAAGTCTACATGCCTGCCTCTGCTGTGCTTGCCAGCAAATTCTAAAATTATTCTTTGATTTAGAGGTCTTTTTGCCATCAAAGACTACCGAGATGCAATCAACCAAGACGACTTTAACAAAGCTGTCCGAAAAGTGGCCGAAGCAAAGAAGCTCGAAGGCAAGCTCGAGTACCAGAAACTCTGAAGTAGATACCTTTTCCTTTGGCATAGTTTAGTGTTCTTGATCATACAACGGCGTTGCCTACGGCCCTGCTACGTAGAAAAACTATGATAGAATGTTCTGTGCCGACCATGATGCTGTATTTCATACTCCATAAAAAGTTCCCTGTCGCCATTTACAAGATGCATCGCTGCAGAGCAAACAGAACAAACATGACTTTGCCAACTGGCGATTTTGTGACGAAATGGGCTGACTGTTCACTGTAGCGGAAGCACATAATGCAACAAAATCCTAAGCAGCAACTCTTGCTATATTGTATCTGCATCTTTTAAACTGATAATGTGGTAATCTGCAACATTCATCTACCGGTACAGCATTTATGCTCCAAAGTTCAACGGCGTCCTAGCTTCCCGTAACGGCGCCGCAAACACGCATGACAATTCAATTGACCAGGGCATTGACGACATGAAGATAGAGCAGATAAATAATTTGTAAGATTGACTGAAGAGAGATATTCAAACCCCATTCTAACCTTATTCCACACAAGGACCTAGTAGCTATAGTACCTGCCACCTAATTTTAACCGCTCTGTACGGATCTCCGATTTCATCGACCCTGTGACACTATCTACTGTTCGTCCGTCCTTACTCACCTTTACTCGGGGTACCTACATCATCGGGTACGTCTGGAATGTCCTTTCAACTCCCCAGCCGCGTCCCTTCCTTCAAGTCTCCGCAGCGAGAAATCGAAGATGATTACTGGCGCGCCGCGACCTCCGCGCGCAAGACGTCGCACAACGCCGGCGGTGGGTTCGAGATCGCGGATAGGATTGGCCAGTTTATGAATCCTAATCGCGAACTGCCAATGTACAAAGACAAGCCGTATTCTGCGGCGAGGAGGGGACCGGGTGGGCTCCCAGGCCATGCGAGATCGAGGAGGCGCAAACAGGTTGTTTGGCTGGGGGTGTTGGTGGCGTTTGCGGTGACAGTTTGGTGGTTGTGGTCCGGAGGGAGAGCGGAGAAGATCATTTCTCGCGGAAAAGAGATGAAGGGAATGCATGGTGGTGAGTTGTGGAAATGGGTGCAAGGGTTTGAGAAAGGCGAGGCCAGGAGGAAAGGAAAGACGGTGGATTGGGCAGAGAGAAGGGAGAGAGTTAAAGATGCGTTTATGGTAAGCTGGGATGGATATGAGAGGTATGCGTGGGGTGAGTTCATGGCGACATGATAGTCATGATTTTGGAAGGATGCTAACCACCTTTTGTTGAGGTCGTGATGAGTATTATCCCATTCGGAAATCCGGCAGAAATATGGTCGATGGTGGAATGGGCTGGATAATAGTTGACGCCCTCGATACCCTCATGATCATGAATCTTACCTCTCGTGTGCAGCAAGCTCGAAATTGGATCCACACGTCACTACGTTATGATCAGGATCATGACGTGAACACCTTTGAGACGACTATCCGTATGCTGGGCGGCTTACTTTCGGCGCATTATCTGTCTACTACGTATCCTGAGTTGGCACCTATAGCCGACGATGACCCAGGTGCTCCGGGAGAGGATTTATATATCGAAAAAGCCACCGAATTGGCGGATCGGTTGCTGGGTGCGTTCGAGTCTCCTTCAGGAGTGCCCTATGCCAGTTTGAATCTAAACAAATCTGTTGGGATCCTGTCGCACTCCGACAATGGTGCTTCGTCGACTGCAGAGGCGGGTACCGTTCAACTAGAGTTCAAGTACCTTGCAAAATTGACCGGGGAAGCGAACTACTGGGAGAAAGCTGAGAAAATCATCGAGGTTATTGAAGCAAATGGTAGGGAAGACGGGCTAGTTCCTATATATATCTACGCGGATACTGGCAAATTTATGGGAGAGAACATTCGTTTAGGGAGCCGGGGTGACTCTTACTACGGTATGTCGATTTTTCGCCTATTCATTTGAATTCTTACTGACAGTAGATCCGCAGAATACCTAATAAAACAGTACCTCCAGACATCGAATGAGGAACCGATATATCTAGAGATGTGGGACGAGACGCTGAACGGCATCCGCAAACATTTACTCACGTACACAAAACACGCCTCTCTGACGATCGTCGGGGAGCGTCCAAATGGTCTACGCCAACCCATTTTGCCCAAAATGGACCATCTTGTCTGTTTTTTGCCGGGTACCATCGCTCTAGGTGCAACTGGCGGCTTGCCGCTCTCAGAGGCTCGGAGGTCAGCTGGTTGGGGACGTAAACAGGAGGAAGAGATGCTACTGGCGAAGGAGCTCATGAAAACCTGTTGGGCAACGTATCTTGCCACTGCAACAGGGCTGGCACCTGAGATCACGTATTTCAAGATCGACGATCCTCCCCGAACGATTAAAGACGTCTATCCGGACTTTGATTTTTCCTTTGGTGGCGGGGAGAAGTCCAAAAAGAAAAAGACGGGCTTGAGAGACGATGCTGATTTGTTCATGAAATCGCATCCACTCTACCCCCTCGACCGTGAAAAATCAATTTGGCTCAAGGATATAACCATTCGTGGCCCTGACCAACATAATCTCCAGCGCCCTGAGACCGTGGAATCCTTATTTTACATGTATCGTATCACAGGCGACGAGACGTACCGATTTTGGGGATGGGAAATGTTCAAGTCATTCATCAAGCACACCGCTGTGTTCGAGGATGAGCCATCTCCTGGAGCGCCTAGCGACGACGCTTCGTACATCCGCGGTTTTACGTCGCTCTCGAATGCGAATACTATCCCACCAGTAAAGAGGGATAATATGGAAAGCTTTTGGTTGGCGGAGACGCTCAAGTACTTCTACCTGTTGTTTTCCGAGAGGGACTTCATCCCCTTGGAAACGACTGTGTTCAATACGGAGGCACATATTTTCCCCAGGTTTAAGATGGGCAAGAATTTCAAGACTGGGTGGAGGAGGAAGTTCCCTGTGAATAAAGTTGGCTAAAGGAATTTTGAAGCGGCAAACAGTACCTTCTTGTAAATGTGTCATGGATGATAGCGCATGTATGGATTTTATTATGACTCTTTTCTAATACATGTCCGAAATATAGGCTGTCCAAGCATCCTAGAGCTCACAGAGGCATCAAACCATCCGAAATCATAGACTCGCTCTTTTTCATTTCCGTTCGCTTCTCCCGACAGCGGCTCGAATCAGTCTCGCATATCCCTCGACGGCATCCTCCATATCTCCCACACTCAATCCTTCGTTCTCTCCATGCGCCACGAAGATACTACCCGGACCGTACAAATACCGCTTCACCTTCCCATGGTCCGGCAGATCGTGATCATGAATGTCCCAATTCGGCACATCAGTCCCATAGTTGACCGTCATCACATCGAATCCTTCGACATCCGAATCTAGGTCGACAGGTGGATATGCTCCGCCAGCGGAGAAACTAACATGTACATCCTCGGGGTTTTTAGACGCGGAACGCACGGCAGCAAGGATGGTTTCTTTGGCGTGAGTCACAGTCCCACCGGCTAGCCGCACGGCAACCCTTGCAGAAGCACTGGCAGGAACCACGTTCGTGGCGACCCCGCCTTCCATGACGCCGATGTTCAGCGTCGTCTTGCCGTATTTCTCGCTCGAGGGTAATCCACCCTCGGACTCGGGGATGTCGCCCAGGCTATCGACCTTGGAGAGGATGGGGAGAATCTCTGAGACGGCGCTGCGTCCGAGCCACGGATATCCAGAGTGCGCAGGCTTTCCGCGCACGTGCACGTCGAAGTGCAGCATGCCCTTGTGGCCTGAGACGAGCTTGCTTTCGGTCGGCTCGCCGAAGATTACTGTGTGGAAGGTGGGTGGGGAGGTGTTGAGTGGTGAGTTTGAAAAGTGGTGCATACCCTGGCCACCCGTCTCTTCGCTAACGACGAAGAGCAGGCCAAGGGGAGTGTCAGGGTTGGATTCGAGGTGCGATAGCGTCGCGATGATCTGGCATGCTACGCTTGCTTTGGCATCGACGGTACCGCGGCCGGAGATGTGGATGGCCCTGCGGTCGATTGACGATGAACCTGTGGAGGCGGTTGGAGGGAGTGAGAGCGAGTAGGGTATGTAAGGAGGCACGGTGTCAATGTGGCTCGTGAGAATAATTTCCGGGGACGGCGAGGAGGCAGGATACGCGTAGACATTAAATCTTGACGGCTTCCTTTCTTCCTCGTCGACTTCGTGTCCGTCAAGGGGAACAGCCTGCTTTTGTACGGTAAAGCCATGTCTTTCGAGATATTCAACTAAGAAATCTCCCACGCTCCCTTCGTTGTTGGAGATGGATTCGATCTGCGAGAGTGATCGGTGCAGGGAGAGCAGCTTGGAGCTAGCAATAATTTCATCCAAATTGCTCTTTTCATGCCCCTCGGGTATCATAACGAGATCCCCGTTATCAGCCATGATGGGCTTCTGGGGAGAGGATGACCGCTGGGAGGGCCTGGCCAAAACCAGCGGCAGCAGTGCCAAGGGCGCAAGAGTGAAGACCCTCATCTGTTCAATCTGAATCTATCCAATTCTTTCTCTTGACTCTTGGTCGTCGCTGGGACTGCGTCGCGCCGTTGAGGGAGCTCTCGGGATGACTAAATACATGTAGATCGGCGACGCACCCGCGGCTCGTCGTCGGCGTGTTTGTGGTATCACGGCGAATCAACTAGTGGCATCTCAGGAATCCCTGTCAGAATTCCAAGGCAGTAACTACAGAGGTCCCCATCACGGAGTATCATCCGGCAGATTCGTTTATTATGGGAATATGCCCAGAATTGTTGCAGACAGGATTGTCGAAGTTGATTATTATTCCTATTTATTAAGTTACAGAGCTTGACGGGCTCCCTTCATTGCTCGTCTTGGGAGAAGGGCCCGGCAGTCGCAGTCTCACTGCGAAGTTCTTCGACCTCAAAAGGCGAGACTACATTGATCCGGGTATGGATACTCCGCTGCGGCTTCGGGGAATACTCTCTCTCTCTCTCTCTGTGTGTGTGTGTGAGAGTGTGTGCGTGTTTTCTTTTGGGTGGCCAAAACGGATCAAATTGGCCTCGATATACAACAATAAAAGGTCCCCTAAGAAGCATTCTTAAGCAGAACTGACGGCTACCACACCCCAAACGCCTGTGGTCAAACACTCGGCAGGACCGAAGTCTTTACATTCTTTGATGGGGATGCAAGATGCTAGCAGGCGTCTGTCCGGGATTGAGAGGTCATCCAGTGCTGGATTGATGAACCACTTAAAGCCGGTATGGAAAACACGAATCGCAAAGCATTCAACCGATTGCTCCCCAGAAGGCTAATTTTTACACTATAGTCTTTGCGTTTGTTCTTCGTGGCTACTACTTGGTCAGCTTGCACGTCGGCTTTGATCCCATCTTAGTTCACCGAGATTTGTCATTCGGTAAGGAAGCCGACATTAATGTTGCAGGGAGGGAGATGAAGAGAACATGAGACGCGCTGACCTAGCGCCGAGCTTGACATCGGCGTATAATAGCATGTAGCGGAGGTAGGAAAGAATTAATGTGATGTACAATCTAAAATAAAAGCTATCTTAAGAATACAGGTCTGAAAGTACATTGATATCTTTCGTAATCTGTATGACATCCAGAAACATCACTTTTCTTCCGCTAAATGGATATCCAGAATGGTTTGAGCAGGACATAGCCCCGAATCTCGCCTTTCCCCAGGATCGCGCTCTAACCGACCTTGTCTGATTGCCCTTTTTTATTCTTCCCGCGAAACATCTGGTTTTAATCATCCACAAACAAGAAGATAAGATTATCAATTTCAAGGCTTTTGCCAAATATCTGGTCTATCCCCGGTTCTTTGACCGGCCACTGCCACTTTTGACCTTTCGGGCCTCTGGACGATGGATATGGTGGGCAGGAATCCATTCAGCATCGTACGTCTTCGCGACGGCTGGCGAATCGGAGACCTGGTCACCGGAGTCAACGCCAGCCTGCTGACGGGATGCTTTCTTCGCGCGATCGTGCGACTTGACTGGCTTGCGCTTCTGGGGGAAGTAAGGGGCAATCCAGAGAGTATAGAGGAAATAACTAGCTCCAACGAAAGTTGCCGACACAAAGAAGTAGAGGAAGATCCTGGATATAACGTGTTAATATAACAGAATACTTTGAGAGCGTGGATAAGAGGGGACAAAAAAACTAACACTTGGGGGTCGAAGATGCTCATATCGGGCTCCACAACGGTGATGGTTCCGTTGTAGGCGGGAACTGTGAAAAGGAAACCATCCTTCTTCGCAACCATGGCCGCGATATTCAAGCTAAGTTCTTGGGGAAGCATCTCGGTAGCGAAACCGTACGTGAGAGTCCTCTCCGAGTTTGCGGCCACTTCGACGTTGTACCGTTTCATGGTGAGGTTGCGAACATTCTGGCTGGGCTCCGACAGGGTCCAGAGACTGGCACCGATAACGTCGACGGTAACGGGGTCAGGTTCATTATTTGTAAACTTGACGAGCGCATTGGTAGGCAGTCCGTTGACGAGCTTCACGCCAAAAATTTCAGAGTCGGGAAAAGTGGTCGAAATATCAACGTCAAGACTCGGAGCATCCTTATCCTCAACAATTGCTTCCTTGGGGGTTGTCTTTCAATTCAGCTTTAATTAGCAACCTATCCCGCCGGTTCAGGGTGTCTTTGGCAGCGCAGAATCGGTACTCACAGCAGCAGCGTCTTCAGCCCGAACAAGGAGCGTCTGCAGGGACAGGAGAGCGAGGGAGATCAAACCAAACTTGCCCATCTTGAAGGTAAATCAAGCCTGGAGAGGAGAAAAAGAGGAGGGAACAAACTGAGTCAAAAAGGAAAAGCGGACAAGCGACGGTCAGCGTTCAAGGGGACACACTTTCTCACCTCCCGTCGCCTCTCCCGACTCACTCCACGTATGTCACAACTACGACCATGCTTAGTAATGTATCCACGTGATTTAGCCGCGCCATTATCTAATAGTGGCTGCTAGGCGCGCGTCTCGCGGTATTTACAGGCGCAACCCCGGGCTACTGAGGTATTCACGCGTCGAGGACAACTCACTCTCTTCCAAGACCACCTGGAGACAAGGCTGGCATTTAACTATCATCTATTCGGACACACATATATATCTGCGATTTTGGATGCTAATGACTTTACTCCGACTTCGAGAATGACAGCTGCCGGAATCCCAGACCTGTTCCAGCGCTATGAGCAGCTCAAAGCTGTCGAGCAGACCAAAGATGCACTCATTGAGGTTTCTATGCCTGTTATCAAGATGATATCTTGTTAGATGCCTTCTGATTCTATTCTTAAGGACCTTCTCCATCGAGTGACCGAGCTGGAAAAAGCTTATCAACAGACGAGACTCGATCATGACCGAGAAACTCGGTTTAACCGGGAGGTACAGATGCATGAAATGGAACTCATGGAGCAGATAACGAGGATCAAGGCCGTTATGGTACATCCGTCCGTTCGTCCCCAGGGCGCTCCAAGCTAATATGACCTTGCTGCCGTAGGACCAAGAACCTTTCCTCCTGGTTATGATTGACGGCGACGGTTTGATCTTTCAGGATTCATTTCTAAAGCAAGGTGAACAGGGCGGCAAAGACGCAGCGAACCAACTTTGGGTTGCAATTCGTGATTACTCATCCCGTAATTTTCCGAATCTACAATCCCCAAAAATCGTCACCAGGATATATGCCAACGTCAAGGGATTGGCTGAGGCGTGCTATAAAGCCGGAATTGTTGAACGCCCGGCGCTTATAGAGGATTTTGTTCGAGGGTTTAATGGCAGTAGACTGCTATTTGATTTTGTTGACGTCGGGAGTGGAAAGGACAGAGCAGATGATAAGATTGCAGGTGAGTGGATCAGATCAATATGTACATACATACATACATACTTAATGCCACCCGGTCCATTTTCAATTCAGCTGATCATTTGTCCATCCAAACCAGAATATTTAAAACTGAATTTATACAATTGCCATTGCCATCAGATCTTCCTTGGCTGTTCACACGATAACGGATATGCTCGTATCCTGGAGGATTTGTTGGCAGATCGGGAGCTCGTCGGTCGAATATCTCTGATTGAAGGAGTCCCTTTTGAAAGAGAGCTTGTGTCGATAAAATCTTCCTATCGAGTGACAAAGTTTGATTCGCTTTTTAGAGATTCGAAAATTCCAAACCATGGCTCTTCTCTGGAGACTTGGACTAACGCAGTCAGGTCTCTGCCTACTGCCTCTCACTCTCGTCCAATTTCCCCACATCCTTCTAATAATGGACGGGCGAGGGTGAGCTCTAGTTCCAATGGAGCTCCGAGCCCTCAAACCTGGGCCGCCACCATTGCTGCCGCGGCATCGACTCCAATGACAGATTTAACACCTTCAAAACCCGGCACGCCTTCTCTGCAGGTCGTTGAACGCAATAAATATGGCCAACGCGTTGATCGCCTGGATTTTAAGACAATTCCCAAGGACGAATTGAAGCACATTAAAAAATTGAAATTATGCAATCAATATTTCTTGCTGGGCGAATGTCCCAATTTAAGTTGTCATCATACTCACGATTACAAGCTTACAAAGAATGAGCGTGTAATCTTGCAGGCAGTGGCAAGGATGACCCCTTGCCATTTTGGTACTGATTGCGATGACCCGGGATGTATATATGGCCACCGATGCCCGCAAAGCGAGGTAGGAAGAAAGGAATGTTACTGGGGGCAGAAATGTCGATTTAATGCCTCTCAGCACGGGATTGACACAAATATTGTGAAGGTCACGAAAGTTTAATTCCATGGAAATATCCCTAATTTGGAGTTTTTTGATTTACTGTTTTTTATATAATACGATATACCACGCCGTATAGGCAGCCATTTATTATATACACTTGCTGTTTATTCTCAATGGATTACTGTCCACTGACCGTTTAAGTCATAGAGACGGTGTGCCCCTTTTGTCGGGGTCACGCACACTACATTTGGTTTCGCAATATGGTTCAGAATGACACAATATAAATATGTCAATTTGGATATATATACGAGTTATCTAAGGATGTTTTTGCATCGTTAATGTATACATATACACTCCGTATGTAATCAAGATAATATTCCGGTAAATGGATTACATGACTCTAGTGTCGAACATCCGAAACCGTCTTTCCCAACAAAACGAATTGGAGGTTTCTTGGTGATCTTCATCGTTTTCATCAGCATCATCATTTTCGTCGTTGTCGTCTGCGCATTCGAAGGCGACACGAACGCCGTATTCTTTTATACAACACGTGAATGGTTTAGCGTTTATAGCTGCGGTGTCGTTGGGATTAAATATTTCAGAATTAGAGTTCTTACGCTCCTCAAGGTCGCCCCAGAGTATGAAAAGCTTCTCCCGAAGGCTAGCGAGAACATCTGGATTCTTACGGAGGCTGGAAAGGGGGTTGGGATATATGTCAGTCTCAAGAAGTGCTATCGAGAGAGAGAGAGGGAAAGAGAGCAGAAGAGACGTACTTGACGGGGTCAATGGAAAGTAAAAACACAGCATCAGGGCCGGTTACGAAGAGCTTCAAACGCTCTCGCCTTTGGCCTGGAGGATGGCGTATGCCCGGGCCTCCATCTTCGACCAGCAGGCAGAACCTCCATTCCCAGATTTGCTGGCCAATAATTGGCTCTTCATCGCTGTCGCTCAGGTCGCTACCATCGACTGTGTCCCTGAGCATGGCGTATTCTGGGTTATATGGAACCGCGAAATCTTCTAGATTAGGAGGGAAGAAGTCGACTACTCGCACGGACGCGCGGTACTTTAGATTCTGGAAGGGCATCCGGTATTGGATGCCCCCAGGACCGACATTCCAGTGGGATTCGTTATGGAGAATTTGCTCCACTGTCCTGGTCGGTGTTGCGAGGTAGTTTGACCGGACTACTATGCACTTAGTCCTAAAGCTCACGAGAGGAAAGCTTGGGGTTCTTACCATGTGGGTTGAGTTCATCCCGTTTTGGACGAACGGAAGTCGTTGTGGCTTCAGCCTGGTTATTCACTCTCTGTGGCTTATTTTTTCTCTGTCTTTTATTCTTTTTTGTTTTCTTGCCCGAGCCTTCGCCATCGGACAGCTGACGTTTGCCGTCTTCAATTGCCAAGCGACCTTTCAGCTTCCTCCAGTACTCCAGTTTGCGCCGTACCAGCCCCTTCAGGCGTTCGTCCCCTTCGTTGACATCGAGCAAGCTAACACCAACTTTCGCGTGGAACTGCCGGTCTGTATGCATTGCGCCCTCCATCACTCCGCTGCTGCGTCCGGGCTTTATACGAACGTTACGTAGCAAAACAAAATCATCCTCCTTGATGTTACCTCGTGCGAAATTCGAGTGTGGCTCCCAGAGAGTGACTTGAATAGTCATACGCCCGTAGGGGCCTGGCCATTTCCGCTTTGAGCGGGACGAGTAGTTGAACTCATCACCATCGCGGCCATCATTGTCAAAGGAGTAGTCGAAAAGGTTCTTATTCTGTGTGTAGTCGGTGACGTAAAGAAGAAGCTTTTCGTATTCAGAAAATGTTTTCACGACTTGGCCGACGATATCGACAAAGCTGCCGTATTCAGCATCCTTGACAAGTCTAAATTTATCAGCTTTGCGGGTCGTTGGCTGGATTGAACTTGGCATTGAGACTGATCGTTCAACGGTAATCGCGGGTGTTGCGGGGGCCATAGAGGGTCGGCTCCCGTCTCCCCTGTAGAGACCAAGAAGATAGCCGGCATACTTGGTTTCAGCGGCAGACGGTGGCCTTTCGCCGGGACATAGCACTGTGGATAGCGTTGGCCGTTGAGTGGGGCGTGCCTCAAACACGACCCAAGGGGTTACTCTGCTAGATCTTGAAAGTCCAATGGTCTTGCCATTGTATAGATCGAGCTATGTGGTCGGCCAACCGCGTTAGCACATCACGCAAGTCAACGCCCACGAAACACAGGGAGTCGTACATTTATATGGCGCAGCAGAACCACATCGCCAACCTTTGGACTGGGGAGATATCTATCCACGTCATGAAAGTATCGTATCTTAAGGCCGGTCAAATAGTCGTCGCCCAAATCTGATGCTTTTAGCGTGAATGTGGAGATCCACGACGTGCCTTGAGAAGGGGCCGGAGGCAGGGAATCTATGACCACTCCAATGACATTGACAACGCCACGGCTCATGGAGCGGGCGGTCTGGATATCTGTAAAATTTGGGGGTATGCGTGTGACCATCCTGAGGGTGTTCGAGCAGGGTGGGTTACAGGGAAGAGTATGCTAGAGTCAGGGCTGGCTGTGAATGCCAGTGTCAACACTCTGTCTCTTGAGGCAATCATCAGATTTTGATCAAAGGCAGCCTGAGGAATTTTCCATGATAATGTGCATGCATGCACGCGTCAGGACAGTCAGACGCGTGTCGATTCAGCGTTTGAGGCGAACAGCTCCAGGGAAGATAGGATTCCCAGTTAGCCGTAGTTAACTAAAGCTCCCTAATCGCCCATGGACGAGTCCATCCGCTCCCGTCGCCGTCTCGCGATCCCCCTCCGCGCTGCCGCACAATGCCTCGCCGTCGCTCGTCCCGTCCGCCGTTCCGCCGCCCAGTCGAAGCACCAGCGGGTGGATGACATAAGCGGCATTTTCCCACCCCCAGTCGGCGCTAGTCCAAGAGTGGCCTAGCGTGGCGGAGGGCCAGGGCCGCCAACCCACTTGCCAGAAGGAGGAAACAAAAACATCTTCTCTTCTTTCTTCTTCTTCTTCTCCCTCTCCCTCTCTCCCTCTCTTCTCTCTTTTCCTCTCTCACACACACACACTCTCTCTCTCTATACTGCTACTCTCTGTCGTCTTCTTGATCTGCCTGACATCCTTGTTGGGACATCCCTCTGAGGCCCCATCTTCCACTCTCAGCCCCCTCTCTTCCAAAAAGTACCCTACACAACCCAAGAGTCTTGGGGCTTAAGCTTTTTTCCCACCTCTGAACACCCCTCTCCACCGACTCAACTGCCCCTGCTCACCATGGCGGACCGATACATTCCCGAGCACCGTCGCACCCAATTCAAGGCGAAGAGCTCGTTCAAGCCGGAAGACCTTCGTCGCCGTCGTGGAGAGCAGCAGATCGAGATTCGAAAGCAGCGACGAGAGGAAAATCTCGCCAAGCGTCGAGGCATCCAGACCCGCGATGGACAGGTCGGCGTTGAGCCCGGTATGGGCCTGGACAGCGACGAAGAGGGTGCTCCTATCGAAACTGAGGTATGCATCCTTTGTACTTTTTGCTTTTCATCTCCCGTACTCCCTGCGTCGATGCCTTCGTTCTACTCCTCCTACCCCTCGCTCCATAGCGACCGTTTCAGCGCTGCGGGGTGTGGAGCGGGAAACCTTTCGCCCCGGCAGCCCGTGCGTCACATCTGCTGCAGTCACTGTCGGAGCTGCCTCCTGTTCTTAACGCTTCTTTTTCCGGAGATGGCTGACGTCAGGTCCCTCGTCGTAGCTCGATTCGGAGCTTCCAGAGATGGTCAAGGGTGTCTTCTCAGACAAGATCGAGGAACAGATTCAAGCTACCACCAAGTTCCGGAAACTGCTCTCCAAAGAACGAAATCCTCCCATCGAGCGTGTGATCGAGACCGGTGTCGTATCCCGCTTCGTTGAGTTCCTGCGATCTCCCCACACCTTGGTCCAGTTCGAAGCTGCTTGGGCCTTGACCAACATCGCCTCCGGTTCCGCCCAGCAGACTCAGGTCGTCATCGAAGCCGGTGCTGTCCCCATTTTCGTTGAGCTTCTGAGCAGCCCCGAGCCAGATGTTCGTGAGCAAGCTGTTTGGGCGCTCGGTAACATCGCTGGCGACAGCCCCCAATGCCGTGATTATGTCCTGGGTGCCGGAGCTCTCCGCCCGCTCCTGGCCCTGATCAGCGAAGGCCGGAAAATCAGTATGCTGCGAAACGCCACCTGGACTCTCAGCAACTTCTGTCGTGGAAAGACTCCACAGCCTGACTGGCCAACGGTATGCTGCCCCCCGACCCAACTCTTCATTTTGTGGCCAGACGTGCTCACAGTGATTTTACAGATCTTGCCCGCCCTGCCGGTCCTCGCCAAGCTTGTCTACATGTTTGACGATGAAGTGCTCATCGATGCCTGCTGGGCTATTTCGTACCTCTCCGACGGCTCAAACGATAAGATCCAAGCCGTGATCGAAGCAGGCATCCCCCGTCGCCTGGTAGAGCTTTTGAATCACGCATCCACCTCTGTGCAGACACCCGCACTTCGCTCCGTTGGCAACATTGTCACCGGTGATGATATCCAAACCCAAGTGATCATCAACTGTGGTGCTCTGCCTGCTCTCCTTTCACTGCTCAGCTCTACCAAGGATGGCATTCGAAAAGAGGCCTGCTGGACGATTTCCAATATCACTGCCGGAAATTCAACACAGATTCAAGCCGTTATCGATGCAAATATCATTCCCCCACTGATCAATCTCTTGTCCAACGGAGATTTCAAGACCAGAAAGGAGGCTTGCTGGGCTATCTCGAATGCTACGTCTGGAGGTCTGCAGAAACCCGATCAGATTCGCTATCTTGTGTCCCGTGGATGCATTAAGCCATTGTGTGACCTCCTTGCATGCCCCGATAACAAGATTATTCAGGTCGCTCTCGATGGACTGGAAAACATCCTAAAGGTCGGAGAACTTGACAAAGAATCTGGCGAGATGGGAGAGCCAAACGTTAACCGATATGCTTTGTTCATTGAAGAGGCTGGTGGTATGGAAAAGATCCACGAGTGCCAGAACAACGCGAACGAGGAGATTTATATGAAAGCGTACAACATCATTGAGCGATACTTCTCTGATGAAGATGAAGCTGGAGCCGATATCGACGAGCTGGCTCCTCAGCAGACACAAGCTGGATTCACCCTTGGCACGAACCAACCCCAGACTGGTGCTTTCAACTTTGCCAACGGTGATTCTATGGACATGTAAAGTTCAGAGTCTTCTTTTCATTTTGAATAATTATCTATCACTAGGCGAAGATCTACCCCGATGACACCTATTATTTCACTCGCTGTTGCACACTTTAAACTGATCTAAAGGGCAACATCGACAAGAGATAAACTGAAGGGGGGAGCACTGATACCTCCTCCAAACCTTTAGGGCATGCCCCCGCAGATAAACGTATTTGTGAAGCATTCGCTCAATCCATGTTTTTTTTTTTTTTTGCTTTAATGTTATCTACCTGCCCCAGTTGTTGTGCTATGATGAACTTTCATGATATACAGGATGCACCGTCATGTACTCTCCCCCCCAAAGCATTTACCCATTTTCTTTATACATCAAACACCGGCGTAAATTCCATATCTACCCCTTCTTCCTCCCGGATCTCTTCCTAGCGAGATTTCCTTTTCATTTTTTTTCCCCCCCATCTTTCCAGTGTTGCCGGCAGGTCGGGTGGCCACGGAGGAATCATCAGTTAATGCGGAAAGTCGGCCCCCAGTTTCCCCCTATTGATTTGTGCAGGTCTGCTTGGTTTTATCTCGCGTTTGGGAATTTAGTGCGGTCTCTGGTATGGTTTTTCCTTTACTCCGTACATTTAATGGTTTTATTCAGTTATCCATCTCCCTGCAGCGATTCGTGATTTTCTTTTTTTTTTTTCCCTTCAGAGCCACCCTTGTCTTTCTCGGTCCCCTTCCCCCCACCTTTTTTCCTTCGTAGAAGCTAGTGCAATACACCTGAAAAGTTGATCCCTGAAAATTACTGAGAGTTCCTCCGTACAAGGGTAAAAATACGGACTGGCCCGTGCATCAATTCTAGTCTATGCTAAAATTTATCAAGGATGGTCATGATCGATATATAGGATGTTCAATGGAAGAGAGTTGAAAAATCTATTTAGAGGGCCTTGAGAATGACTTGGCCCATCATGATCACCTTCTCTTCTTCTAATCTCCGGCCAACGAGTTGCAAGCTGACGGGCATGCCATGGATGGCGGATGGGTTATCTGTGCAAGTCCCAAGTTAGATCATCGAATACCCAGGCCATAACCAGGGGAGAACGAGGCGGAACAGGGAGGGAAAAAAAGAAAAGGAAACAGAAAAACGAAAAAAGAAAGAAACGTACACTCTTTCTGGACCTGCTCGTCTACGTCACTTAGTGGCGCCTCGTCCGTCCGGGGGATGTCGATCGCCTGGTCTACGGTCACGTTGCATGGGAAAGAAAGGCACGAGTAGTCGAGGATGTTGTAGACGCCAGTGTAGCCGACGTGCTTGAACTTGCCATGTTCAACGGCTGCGAAGGGGCATACCGGGCCTGGTTTTTTTCCCCCATAACAAGAGAAATTCGTCAGTAAAATCTCTGATTTTATACTTTTTGTCAAAAGTACGGAATATGTGGTTTCGAATAGGTTAGGAAGAACGCACAGAGAATAGCGTCTAGGCCTGCGGTGCTCCACCGGTCAATGTACTCTTTCTGCAGCGTGTTTCGCTCAGCGTGGAGCTGCCAGAGCTCGTAGACCCCGCGGTCGACGGCTCTGCCGTAGCGTTCCATCTCGGGACGGATGGGCTCGTCGGATAAGGAGAGGAGTTTCTGGACGGATTTCCCGCCGTCGGAGAGGAAGAAGCGGTCCTAGAGGGTACGCAGGTAAGTTTTGAGGCCGGGCATAGCGTTTGCTTGACTTGGACTATGGTCTGCTCACCAGAATATCATTAGCCTTGTCGTGCCCCGTTGGAGCCCAGTCGACGATCTCATGGCCTGCTTTTTGGAGTTTCTCTGCGGTTTCCTTTAGTGCTCGGCGTACTGGAGGCGTGGGGCGAACCATGCCGTCATCCCACATGATTCCGATCTTGAGCTTCTTTTTGGGCTCAACATTTCTCCAGGGGATAGGGATACACTTAGGGTCCTTGAGCCAAGGCTGGGAATTTGTTACTGTAGATGCGAAGAGAGAAAGTGAATCAAGGGAAGGTCCCATGGGCCCATTGACGCTGAGTACCGATTCTTGACCAGCGAGTCCGGATTTTGTATGGAAGTTCGGGAATCGTCCAAAGGAGGGACGGAGGGTGAAAATACCGGTGACGGCTGCGGGAATACGGAGAGAACCACCTGCGAACAGGAGATTTTGGTGAGATGAAAGCATGACAGTATCGTGTTCATGATTACTTTCATACCGATATCTGTCCCAACGCCCAGTGGACTTCCGCCAAATGCAATCAGAGCTGATTCACCGCCCGATGAACCTCCGGAGGTAAGGAGTCTGTTCCGTGGATTCGTTGTCCGTCCAAAGACATTGTTCACAGTCTCCGCAATCATCATCGCAGTGGGGACATTTGTCTTAACGTAAAGAACAGCTCCGGCATCACGAAGGAGGTTGGTGAGAACGCTGTTGTAGGTTGCCGGATCATTGACCCAGGCACTGAAACCAAGAGTGGAATCCTTGCCGATGACGTTGAAGTTGTCTTTGAGGGAGATGGGCAGGCCGTGAAGGGGACCGATGGGCTTCCCGGTCGAGGCAAGATGGGCGTCAAGCGCCTTTGCCGTCTCTATGGCCTCCGGGAACAGCGTCTCCGAGAGGCAGTTGGTCTAAGCTGGTTAGCATCGAGACGAAGAACCGGGCCGTAGGAGTCCAAAAGGAAAAACATGATTGGCATTGCGGGAGTGGTTGGGACGAAGGTATCCATTACCAACTGATGTGCCGCTGCGGCTCTCTTGCAAAAGGCACGAGTGACAGCTTCGGCCGTCCAGACACCGGATGTGGTCTTGTCAAGGATCTCGTGGGCAGGTGTGTTTGTGATCTTCAGCTCTTCGGAGGTGAACCAGCCTGAATTCTCAGGAAAAGTAGTAACATCATTCTGTGATTCTGGAGGAATGATATTGGCAGGGATTATCCATTCGGGGGGGATAGAGGAGAGCAGAGCTTCGCGCTTCGCAGCGCTAATGTTCTCCCAGACTCCTTTGGCCATGATTTCCTAGCTTTGAGTGAAGTATCTTTGCAGTTTCTCTTAGAACTTTGGTATTTCTGCAAGAAAAACAAGAGAAGGGAGATATGTCGAGTCGAAACAAAAGACTCGTCGACATCCCTTCGGCACCTTCGGTGCAATCTTTCCACAATGCATAATCTCCAGAGTCAGAACATCCCCACGTGGAGATTATCGGCATTTCATGGTAGGTTTGTCTCCCGGAAACCATATGGAGGGGCAAGAATACTGAATCTGGAGATTCGCTGATATGGGAGAGCTCACCCAGAGCTCCAATCCCCGCAAGTGGGCATGAGCTCCAGCAGGGATACAACATGGACAGCAAGGATTGCTGACCCCGTTTGCCATGCCGAAACCGGCGCTGGGAGACAGAGAGTGGATACCCAGCATTGCTGTTATCCAAGAAATAATTTTTTTTTTCCTTTCTCTCCCTTTCTCGCAAGTGCTAAGTGCTTGTCCGCCGCGTCTAGCCGTGGGCAGCTAGAAAGCGGCGTGAAGAGAAGCGAAGAGACTGTCCTCCAGCCGGTTCGACGTCTTGTTCGTGATCAATACGATATTGACCATTGCCGGCCGCGGGGAAAACCAGTGTAGATAGCAGCGGAAGCAGAATAATATCATTCATATTCTGCTTCCTCTTCATTCCCGGCAAAACTTTTCGAAGTCGGTGAGAAGCTCTGGCTGATTCAGTGGATCCTGGTAGAGTTTAACTCTATACTTTACCCAGGTCCGTGGAAGCAGATTCGCGCTCAGCCTCGAGTCAAGTCTCTGGTAACAATCTCCACACCAAGTCTCAGGTCCTGGGTAGAACGCCTCGCGGCCGGCAGCTAGTCACGCCATCATGCAACGGACAGAAATGCCGAACAAGCTAAAACCGGAGCTCCGAACAAGACGTCCCCTCTGTATGTCTGTATGTACTGTATGCACATAAATATGAAGTTAGAAGGTGAGGCGGGAGTGATCGTTTGTTAACGAAAACTACCTCGGCTGTTGATGGCCCGCGATTTCAGAAGCAAAAACACGGAGGCAAGTACTTGGCTACAGGATCAAAAGGACTTTTTCATATCCCTCGTATCTGGAGCGGCTGCGGATTTCCGGCCACCATGCCGATATCAGGATGGGAATGAGAAAAGTCGCGCTCTGATTTGATATTTCTCGCCGACGGGCAAGCAGAAGAATCGGCCCACAGGCCTTCGACGGGCTCCGCAAAAAAGTATACAGAGTGCGATCGAGAAGGGTCCTTGTTAGTTCGGGTCCCGCGTCCCAAGCCTTGGGTGGCGTTGCTTCTTCGACGCCAACGGGAGGGAAGGGAGCTTTCCAGCAGTGAACGCGGAATTTAACGGCTCTGCATAGCTACTGCACGGGCATCAAGTAACTATTAGTTAACTGACTAAGAACGTAGCTGCATGGCTGGCTCGAGAGGCATCCTCGGGTGCTGGGGATAACTATCCATCGGCCAGCAAGATAGCCGCGCGGAGCGTTCTCGAGAGCTGGTTTTATCTGAAGAAAGCCCTTTTACGAGAGAGCGAAGAAGGAAGAAATCTCGAAACCGTGGCTTTTGAACTAGCTCGACCCACAGGTAGTATCAAGGGCCTCTCTGGTCGAAATTTGATTCGATTCGATTGTGGGATCCGCGATGGCGCTCCCTCATGATGTGAATGTGATATTTCCGCTATACCAGTCCAATCGTGATAGAGGTAGGGGGTTCTCTGTGGACGGAGTAGAGTAGAGAGGAGGACGGAATCAGATGAATTCCACCGCAAGGGACGAGAGCTGCTAGAGAGATGAAGAGCACAAAGCTGCTTCAGCGCCAGGCCGTCTGACTGGTCAACCGGTAATCTATCCTCATCGCGACTGGATCGACTATCACGAACCCGACATCGGCTCTCGTCTCGCGTGCACAAGCTCCCCCACTGCTGCCGGGCTCAAGTGCCAGCTCCACGCGCGAGTCTCGTCTTGTTCCCCGGGTTTTCCCCAGAGCAGCTATCGCCTCTTGTCCCTTTTTTTTTTTTTACCCTCTTTTCTTTTTGCGGAGATACCCAACACTGGGTTAACCAGGTAGACCGCGAAGGCGCTATCTGTGCGCTCCAGCTGGTTAGTTTTAGCAGAAGTTATTTCTCTCCAGCTGTTGCGGCCCACGCCAGCCCACCGTATATTATACCCGCTGCCATCCCTCCTCTTCCGCCTGTCTCTTCTTCTTCCTCCTCTTCCTTTTCTCTTCCTTCTCCTCCCTTCCCGTCTCTTCGTCGACGTCGCAGGGAACTGGGCGGGTGAAAAGGATCCCCTTCTTGCATCGCACACACCATGGGCAACAAGTTTATTGAGTACTTGCGCGGAAAGGAGAGCAGGCCTGGCGAGGCTGCTCTCCTGCGCAAACTCGACTTCTTCATCCTGACCTTCTGCTGTCTCATGTACTTTGCCAACTATGTGAGTATTGGATCCTTGAGAAAAAAAGGAAAAAAGAAAAAAGAAATTAATTAGACGAGGTGGCGATTCTGACGATGGGATAGCTTGACCGATCCAACCTCGCCAATGCCTACGTCTCTGGCATGAAGGAGGACTTGAACTTCCAGGGAAACCAATTTAACATCATCAACACCGTCTTCACTGTCGGGTACATTTAATTCTCTTTTGGGCCTTTTTTTTTTTTTTAATTTTCATCTTGCTCTCCGTTTTCTTCTATATCTAGCTAACATCGCTGCATAGATACATTCTCGGCCAGGTCCCCTCCAACCTGGCCCTCTACTACCTCAAACCAAGAATCTTCTTCCCCAGCATGATGCTCGTCTGGGGCGGCCTGACCATGGTCACCGCCGCTGTCAAGAACCCCCAGGGCATCATGGCCATCCGCTTCTTCCTAGGTCTGGCTGAATCCTCCACTTTCGTCGGAACCCACTACATCCTGGGCTCCTGGTACACGGAGCGAGAGCTGGGCAAGCGCAGCGGTATCTTCACTGCCTCCGGCCTGGCGGGAACCATGTTTGGCGGGTTCATCCAGACCGGTATCAATTCTTCCCTGCACGGCGCACGGGGTATGCCTGGTTGGAGATGGTTGTTCATTGTAAGTCTCACAGGTTCCCAAAAAACAAAAAACCAAAAAAAAAAAAAAAAAAAAAAAAAAAAAAAGAGAGGGCAGAAAGGCAAAGATAAAACAACCCGGGAGAGAGAGCAAGTAGTCTAACTATTCTGTGACTGTTAGATTGACGGCCTCATCACCGTCCCCATCGCTCTCTACGGCCTGTTCCTCTTCCCCGACACCCCGAGCACCACCAGGGCTCCCTACCTGACCGAGGCGGACAAGGCCCTCGCCATCGCCCGTGTCCCCGAACGCAGCGCCGAGCGTACTCGCATCGACTGGGCATTCGCCAAGCGCGTCTTCTCCTCCTGGCACTGGTACGGCTTCGTCATGCTCTGGGTCATCGCCGGTGAGACCGAGTCGTTCTCCACCAACTCCCTCCTCGCCCTGTACATGAAGGCCCACCCCACCCACAAATACACCATCGCGCAGATGAACAACTACCCGTCCGGCGTGCCCGCCGTCGGCATCGTCTCCACGCTCTTCTGGGCCACTTTGACCGATTTCCTCGGCGGGAAGCGATATCTTGTCGGCTTCTGGATCGGCATCACAGGCGTCGCCACGTCCGCTATGATCCTGGCGCCGGGTTCATCCACGGCCACCATCTTCGGGGCGTACTACTGGGCTGGTTCCGTGTACGCCTGCCAGGCTACCTTCTTCGCCTGGGCCAACGACGTGATGCGGTACAAGGACGATGCCCTGCGTAGCGTGGTGATTGCCAGCATGAACATGGGCAGCAACGTGATCAATGCCTGGTGGAGCATTCTCTTCTACCCCGCGGATACCGCTCCGTACTTTACTGTAAGTCGTCCTTTTTGTCTGTTTTTATATTTTTTTTGCTGTTAGTTTTCTGGGAGACGAGTCAGACTAACCTTTCGACCACAGAGAGGTATGTGGGCGATGATTGCGTGCTCGATCGCCATGGCGATCTGGACCGCAGGTCTCCTGTACATGTCCGTCCGGGAAGAGAAGAGAGAGGCTCGTCAAAACGAGATCACTGCCGAGAAGGTTGTAGTTGACGTTGACGAGAAGGTATAGCAGCAAGCCGAAAATGCAGCGTGTGTATGTATATGTATGTACTGTTTTGAGCAAATATCATGATATATGAGATTCCGTAATCCTTTTCCTTTTTTTTTTTTTCTTTTTTCCGTCAACATCATCGTTGTTGTAGTCGTCGTCATCACGATCGCCGACGTATCCCGAAATGTGTCGTTGTAGACCTGGGAAAAAACGAGATGCAAGATGCAAGATGCAATCCTGTTCGAGTGAACGGACCTATGGGGTTATATCTTGTGTCCATGGGCAGAAGGACTGGTTTTCAGGTTTTTGAGAGTACCTCAAAAAAAAAAAAAAAAAAAAAAAGATCAAAAAGAAAAGTAAGCTAACAAAATGTCGAGCTGACAGGGTGCTCAAACCAAGCCACCTCGTCCATCTGAAACGGACGATCATGCAGCTAAAAAAACAAAAGAAGAGAAAAAGCAAGGAAAAAATAGAAAAGAAAAAGAAAAGAAAAGAAAAAGAAAAAAGAGTCTTCATAGCCAGAAGGCAGAGCAGATAAGAAAATTAAAAAAAGAACACGACTTCGTGATCGAGAAAAGACGATCCACATTAAAACGAGCTGTGCGGCAATGCTCAGCTTCGCCAACTTTTCTCATCTTGTTTGATTTATTTTTTATTATTCTTATTATTATTTTTCTTTCTTCGAAGGATTTGCAGCTAGTTGTCGGCCTGCAGCCTTACGAGACGGAGCACACCATCTCGAGGAGCGGTTTTTTAAAAAAAAAAAGAAACACCAGCTTGGCGAGTTGTACAGCTTGGGGATGGTTGGACCGTTCCGAGGCTGCACAGATCGAGAGTCAGTGCGTCAAATTCGACGGCACCCGTCAACTGGACATGAGTTGTTATCGCTTGTTGTGGATGCCTGACAGGGTGAGTAGGTGATAAGCATAGACAAGAAGAAAAAAAGAAATGAAAAAAAAAAAAAAAAAAAAAAAGGATGAGAAGAGGGTACAAGAGAAGATAAGAAAAAAAAGAAAAAGGAGAAGACAAGAAAAAAAAGAAAAGGAAAGGAGAAGACAAGACACACTGGCGTCTCGTGTCCGGGCGGCAGGCGGCGCATCCCGCTCTCTCGTGTGTGTGTGTGTGTGTGTGCATCTCAACTCTGTAACTGCACATCTCACTCACGCGCATTTTCCCTCGTATGTATGGGATGGGGATCAGGGATGGGGGCGCTGGGCGGCATGGCGGAGATGCAGCGTCGACAAACGCGTGCGTGCCTTGCGCCACAGGGATACGGACTTTCGATCTGCACGTCAGCGAAGGGCCAAGTTTTTTCTGTATCTGGCGAATCAAAACTGCATGGCTGAGGAGACGAGAGGGTGATGCCGACGATTTGCGAGGGAGTTTTTGGCCCGACTGGATCTTCGCTGCCATCGTAGCCATCGCCATCGCCATCGCCCCGGTGGGATGAATCAAGTGACTGGACATGTCTCAAGGTCACCGAGCTGATCCGCCGTGGAAGATGGCTGCTCTGCTTCGTCTTCTAGATTAATTGGATTTTAATTTTCTTTTTTTTTTTTTTTTTTTTTTTTTTTTTTCCTTTTCTTTTTGTCTATATTTTCTGCTATTAATGAATTCTCTGCGGCCTTTGGAATCAAACGTGAGTCTTGTCTCTGAATCGAAACACAAGTTTTGCGCCAGCGACAGGCATCTTTTTCACCTTTTCTGTCACGTTTTTCCCTCGGCAGTTGAGGGAGTTCGTACGGAGCACTGAATAGTTAACTAGTTAACTAGTTATGTACATACATAGATGACTAACCGACTAGCCAGCAATCCCTGCGAGATCGAGATTGATTGATCGCTGCTCGCCTCGTGTGGTGATTGTCGTGACTTGACATGGGTATGATGTATGTATGTCTAACTAATGGGGTTTTGTGGAGTTGGTCATGGTTTGTGGGCCGACGGCCGAAAGAAAGAAAAAAAAAAAAAAGGAAGAAGAAAGTAGAAGAACAGGAAAAAGGGTCCCAGCAACCAAGTAACCGACTAACCTAATCGATCCGTAACCCGGACGAACAGAGAGGGAGAAGACAGCGTGGGAGAGAGGGGATAAGAGAGACCGTGCTGATCGCAGAATGGCATGCGGGCTGACGTCGGTCCCTTGTCGTGGGTGGCATCGCGTTATGTAACCGAATGAGCAGCCGATTCAGTTGGCCACCGAGAGAAGAGATGGAGAGAGAGACAGTGTGTGTGTGTGCGGAGTCGACGGGAGGGGGGTTTTGTGGTTCTTGCCGGGCTGGCCGGGCCGGATTGACGAGCAGACCGGCTTCGAGTTCCTGGAAATCCTCGCGTGGCAGCCGGCCGGGAAGCCGCAGATACACAGAGAATACACACAGACACAGAGAGAGAGAGAGAGGAGAGTGACCGGGGGGGTGTGTGCAGAGAAGATACTTCGAGAACAGGGCATGGAAGGGGAGCGAAAGAAAAAAGTAAAAAAAAAAAAAGAAAAAGTCAAAAAATAAAGCCAAAAAAAAAGAAAAGAAAAGAAAAAAGAAAAGAGAAAAAAAAGAAAAACAGGACGCCATCCGAGGAGGTTGACTCCTGAACTGTGTGTATGTGTGTACCTTACGATCTACACGAGCCGGGGGGCTGGCTGTTTTATCATTGACCGGGGGGGGAATGCAGTCTGTGAACAGGGCTCATCCCGGCAGGGCGGCGAAGAAGAAGAAGAAGAACAGAAGAGAAGAGAAGACGGCAAAAAAGACAAGGTTCGAGATGGAAAAAGGGGGCAGCGCAGAGAGGCAGAGAGAGAGAGAGAGCGCATAGCCAGTTTGTTAAGTCTGTATGTATGTAGTTTTTTTGATTTTGACATATTCAGATCAAGACACGCCAGATGACGCTGCGGAGAGCGAAGAAAGTGGCCATTTAAAAATGATAATAGTTAGTTAATAATTATCAAATAAAAAAGACACGAGAATGGAAATGTGGTGATGCTTGACGGTCGACGGCGCGGTGGCTGATCGATCACTCGGCCGACTCAGAGACATCGCCAGCCAGGCCGAACTTCTCTTATTTTTATTTTTTTATTTTTAATTTTTTTTTTTTTTTGGGTCTCTCACAGCCTTCACTGTCTGTCCGCCCTGTCTCTGGCTGTCTAAATCTGGCTAAATCGGTCCAACGGCGCAGGTCGCGATCCTTGCAGGGGGGCTGATTCGGTGATCACGGCCATTTGACTCACTCAACTTTTCGTCTCTCTCTTCTCTCTTTGCTGGGTGCTCTGTAAAAGAAAAAAAATAAAAAAATTAGTTGGTTATTTATTAAATTTTTTTCATCTTCTTTTTCCTTTTTACCTTTTCCCTCCCTTCAAAAAAACCAGCGTCAAACAGGCTGATCCCGCTCGTCGATCTTGGCGACTTTTCCTTCGAGAACACCAAAAGGGAAAAAAAAAGAAAAAAAAAAAAAACGAGGAAATTCAACAATCAAGATCAGATTAAAAAGGATTAACAGAAAAAAAAAAAAAAAAATTCAAAACAAATAGAACAATTCAATTAGTGACAAGCGACACCAACCGAGACCGAAACGGGCAGCGCGGAGAATCCCCGGCCTTCATCACCACCACCACCACTGCCGGCATCGTCATCTTCACCATCATCATCATCATCATCATCATAATTCATCGTCATTGTCACCGTCCCCGTCACGAGCATCATCAATCGTCACCTCGTCCCTGTTGAAGCAGCCGAAGCCGACCGAACCCTCGTCGACCAGAAACGATCCCGTCGCCAGCATCCCCGACCCCGGCCCGCCCGCCTTAGACTCCCTCATCATACATATATATAAGGGTGATTTGCTTGGCTGCGCGCTCCTGGCACGTCCAGCGTGTTGAACCGCCGCCGCCCCCCCCAGTCGCTCAAAGACAGCCTAATCTCCCGCCTTGAAACCCGTCTCATCACTCGTTGCATGGAGAATCGCCTCTGACTGTCTCTCACTCTTCACTCACTCTCCTCTCCTCTCCTCTCTCTCTCTCTCACACACACTCACAGCAAAACCAAACAACATCTCTACATCTTTCTCTCCTTTCCTTCCCCTCCCCCCAGAGAGGGCTGGGTCACCTTTTTCACCTCCCACTCGCAGTGATCTTCCCGGTGATCGCTCTGTCACTCATTAGTTCTTCTCTTCCCTCCCTTTTTTTCGAATCTTCTCGTTCTTCCGTTTTTCCAACGTTCTTTTATATATATATATAAACTTTGTTTCTTCTTCGTGAGAAGAAAAGAAGACAGAGAAAAGAGAGTAATAATGAACCCGCAAGATTCATCCGTTAATGGCGCTGCGCCCAAGGCCCAGTCGCAGTCTACACAGGCAGACCAGAATGCCCGCACAACCATACTTCCCCCGACCTACGACGAGTTTCCAGACGAGAAGAAGGCCAGACGGAGAGATGACTGGATTGCCATCGCAAACTTCCATCCCGGGTAAGACTCCATATCCAATCCGATCCGATCCTTCGGCAGGATGAGTAGGAAAAAGTTCAGCCTGCCGAAGGAGGGAAAAGAATGAAATGAAAAGATCTCGAAGGCTGACTGCGAGATGAACAAAACCAACAGCTGGTTCGCCGCCAACATGGGAACTGGAATCACTGCCATCCTCTTGGAGAGACTGCCGTTCCAATTTCCTGGCCTGCACTACATCGCCGTCGCTATCTTCATCCTCAACATCGCCCTCTTCACCCTCTTCCTCGCCATCTCCATCGTGCGCTATGGCCTCTGGCCAGAGAAGTTCAAGCAGATGCTCGCCCATCCCGCCCACTCCATGATGCTCGGCACCTTTCCCATGGGCTTCGCCACCATCATCAACTTGACCGTCTTCATCTGCGTGCCCATGTGGGGTGACTGGGCCGCAACCATGGCCTGGATAATGTGGTGGATCGACGCTGCCGTTAGCATCTTCACCTGCTATTATGTTCCATTCGTTCTGTATGTCGAAATCTCTTTTTCCCTTTTTTTTTCCCCTCTTCTTTTTTTCCCTCTTCTTTTTTTCCCTCTTCTTTTTTTCCCCCTTGTTCTTTTGCTGACTAGTAATGTTAAGAACAACCGTTCATCCCGCCAAGCTGGAAACGATGACCGCCGCATGGCTTCTTCCCATTGTAGCACCGGTCGTCGCGGCGGCTTCGGGCGGCGTCGTCGCTGAGGTCCTGCCAAACGACTCCCACGCCATGCTGACCGTCATCTTCTGCTATATCATGTGGGGTTCGGCCGTGCCATTCGCCATGGTCATCATCGTCATCTATTTCCAGAGACTGGCTCTGCACAAGGTCGTCCCCTCAGCTGTCATCGTCAGTACTTTGCTTCCCGTTGGTCCCCTTGGCCAAGGAGGATTTGGGTGAGTTCAATTTCCCCCGTCCAAAAAACTTTCTTTTGTCATCGGAAGAATCGCATCTAACCTGTGAGTAGCATCATGCAACTTGGAATCGTGGCAAAGAGAGTCTTCCCAACAGTAAGTGTTTCATTGTTTTCTTATCTTTTTTTTTTTCCAGCCTACCTTGAGTCATCCTGTCTGAGGCGGACACTGATAATTTTTTTTTTTCTCTTTGCTGTGCAGTCCGAGGTCCTGTCGCCTCTTGCCGGTGAGATCTTCTATGCAGTCGGAGTCTTCATCGCCCTGGTGATGTGGGGTTTCGGCCTGGTCTGGCTGTGGTTCGCCGCCGCCTCCTTTGCCCGCGGCCCGTTCCCGTTCAACCTGGGATGGTGGGCGTTTACTTTCCCGATCGGTAAGTCCGGACAATGTCCCTTTCCCTGTGTCTCTTTTGGGCTCCTCGACTGACATGGTGATGCGACAGGTGTGTTCACAACCGCATGCACCCTGTTCGGAAAGGAATTCAACTCGGTGGTCTTCAACATCATCGGAACAGTAAGCTGCTCCCTTTGTCCCCGGTGAAGTTAAGTCTCTCCTCTCTTCAGGCTGCTGACCAGTGCATGCAGATTCTCTCCGTGTGCGTAACCCTGCTCTGGATCATGGTCTTTGGCTTCACCATCTGGAAGTCGTGCACCAAGGAGCTCTTTAGACTATAGACGAAAGGACGATGTAATGCCCCCCAAAAAAAAAAAAAAAAAGAGAAAGGAGAAACCCAAAACTGACGCACATGAAAGAGGCAGCTGGGCAAAAGGCAGAAATGCATTTTTTTGTATACACCGGCGGCATATACACATGCAGTATGTAGATATTCCTTTTGGCTGCTTCAACACAACACACAAACACACGAAAACACACACGCACATATACCACAAACACACTGCAGGATCAGTCTTCTTTGTTGTACATACATCTGGATAAGTTGTGATTTTTTTTTTTTTTTAATTTTTCTTTTTAGAAACAAGAACATGCATTTTTGAGTGGTTTGAAACAGAGTCCCGTAGCGTTCCCTCTGTAGAGGAGCGAGAGGAGGAAAAGAGCAGCAGAAGTGAAGGAGAGAAGTGAAGAAAAAGGTTAAAGGAAAAAAAAAGAGGAAGAAAAAAGAAAAGAAGAAAAGGAGAAGAAGAAGAAGAAGAAGAAGAAGAGCAGCGTGGGACAGAAAGGCGAGAAAGATCCGCGCCCCAGAGCTGCTTTTTAGGCGCCGATTGCGTGATCGTCGGGACTGCTTGGCTCAGCGGCGTCCACTAGTTGACGCCCAGCGAGCGAGAGACTCAACAACAAAGACAAACATGGCGTCGAACCACACAGAATAACTCACAATTTTTACGGGACAGAGATGGTGGGAGGCCTTCCTGGGGTTTAATACCCTCCGAAAAGAAAAAAGGAAACAAAATATCCCCCCTCCCCCCTCCCCAAAAGCCGACTTTGCTTTTTTTCACATCTGGCGGTGAGTCGAGCGAGGTTGCTGATCCCTGGCATTATGAGCATGAACCGCGCTCTTTGTCGCGCTGGACACGTCCGTCCGTCCTTGGGCCACCCAAGGGTTCCTTCAGTCCCAACCACATGATGAACTACATGGATTCACCTCCCAATCACTGGGTGCAATTCTCCGTCGCTCACTCTTGGCTCTTCCCGCGTCGACTGCCCAGGGATTGCGCCCGGGGAAACCAATGACGACCGGATGCCAGCTCGACGGCCAGCGACCTGATGCTTGAAAGACGGCACGACGGCCGCCGAGGCTCGCCGGGGCAGTGCTGTCATTGGCCTGGTAGCTATCCCTCGTCCAGTAGGTTGATGTCGGGAAAGAAGAAAAGAAAAAGAAAAAACCAAGATGACGATGATGATGCTGGCGACTGGCGATGATGAAATTCCCCCCCGTTGACTGGGCGGTTTGAGCTGTCACTGGCTCTTGCATATCGTGTAACGGTGGAAACACACACACATCGTGTCTTGGTTCTCTGTCCAGGCCCAACGGGTTTGGACGGGAGACAGTGGCACATCGAGATTCGCACGCTGCTTTTTTGGATCGGTCAAAAAGGTTGGCTGGGAAGATTCTTTGTTCTGGTAACTATCTACGGAGTACTCCGTAACATACAGACGAAAATCAAGAGACTGAGAAGAGAAATCACCCTTCCATTCCTGATGGGCATAGCAGACATAATAACTTGTGGCAGGGATCGAAAGCCCAGCTTGTATTCCCCATCATCCCGCGTGCCCCCCTAATCTTTCCATCTCCCTTGATAATATCCAGATCCACGGCCAAAAAGGGATACATGCCAGCGAACGCTTTAGCCTGTTGGGAGGTCAGAACCATTCATCTTGTGAATAATACCCGATTTCTTGTTCTGTCAAACTTACCCTCCCTCGGGTCAGGGCCGCTGCCGCACATGCCGCTCAGGGGAGCGTATGGGCCTTTGCATTCACGAAGTGGCCCCTCTGTGATCATGGGGTCATTTGGGTACTGGAGATCGTCCTTGTCAGCTCACAGAAGTCCCTTTTCGAAGCAAACGCTTGGTCGAGCTTGTGTGCAGCTTACCTTGGGGAAGTTTTCCCAATTTCCACCAGTCACCTTGGCGCTAACGCTGGCGGTGAGAGTGAGAGCGATCAGGCTGAAAATCGTGGTGGCTTTCATTCTGGAAGTTGACGCTTGGGTTCTCGGATTCAAGTCAATCTGAGTACGGGCTGAATGGGCTGAATGCACTGTTTGTCCTGTTGCGATGATGATTTCTTCCCTTGATCTCCTTCTCGAGGGGAGACAGGCTCGCAATATTTATACCCTCAAGCTTCCCATCGATCGTGGAGATGAAGCTTGGAGTATCTCTCTGGATAGTGGAACCAAACTTCAGATCTCCCAAGGCGTCATTTTCTCGGCGGGATCCAACTATCGCTGGGATATTTGATCCATCCTCCTGGACCTCGAAGCACATCGTCGGTGAGAAATAGCTCTCCCCACGGGGAAAGGTTAGTGAGGCGCCATTGGCCTGGTGGAGTGATTTCGATGTCATCGACGAGCACAGACATGTTTTTGCTTTTAAAACGTCCAATATAAGGACAGAAAATCCCGCAAGAAGTGAGTCAGGAGATTTGATTTTGAGGGATTAAGGTGAACGAGAGAAGCGTTATAACTATATCACCACGATGCTTCTTGAGAAACACTACCGCTAGAGATGCATAGCATTGCTTGCAACTAACCGCGGCATAGAGGGATAGTGACCGAAAAAAACATATAACAGGCCCTCTACGACCTTTCGTACAGCTTCTGGTGTCTCAGTGCAGCTGGTGAGGAGATGAAGTGACGATAGCGTTATCGCCCTTTGTCCTCGACGGCCGAGGATCTCGCCAATGACCGTCTGAGTCCGGAGTGCTGGGCTGTTGGACTCCATACCATTCCGCAACGTTTCATAGCTCAGTAGCATTTGGCCGTTGAGCCAGACTTCTCGAGGGGTTGTTGATAGTCGCTAAATATCCAATTGTGATGTAGCATATCTTAGACCTTTGATTGCAGCGGACATTCACTTGTATGTATGTACAGTACATGCGGTTAATTCTGCGCCATTAAGGGTTCTTCCAAAGCACTGGTCTGGTTTTCCGGGCCAGCCCACCGTGAGATTTGTATTTGTGACTGGCCTCTCGGTGAGTAAATAGCATTTCGTATTGAAAGAGAGGCAATTGGAAAGCATCAAAAACGCCCGGCTTTAACGGTTCAACCCCGCGATGTCATTACATCATTCCTCGATGTTCTCGCCGCATCTCCCCGCTGCCGTTCGCGACTCTCATCAAAGAAATCATTCAATGACGCTGCTCAATCACCCTTAGTTACCAGTCGCTCGATTCAATTGCTCTCCAGATGTCAACCCTGCCATCCACAGACCCTCCTCATCTCCCCGCCTCCACATCCTCACAGCAACCAGCCGTCCATATCCCGCCGCCCTCCTACCTTGATCCCACCACCTACCCACAGACCCTCTACCTCGACCCCGAGAGAATATTCATCGAACTCACCTACCATCCCCTCTCCCCATCCACCTACCTCGCCCACACCCGCTCCCCTGCCGCCGGTGCAAACGTCCTCTTCCTCGGCACCACCCGCGACACCTTTGAAGACAAACCCGTCGCCCGACTCGCTTACACCAGCTACGCCCCCCTGGCGCTGCGCACACTATCTTCCATCGCACGCGACGCCGTGGCCAAGCATGGCCTTTGCGGCGTGAGTATCGCCCACCGCCTAGGAGACGTGGCTGTTGGCGAGGAATCAATCGCGATCGCAATTAGCGCCCCGCATAGGGGTGCTGCGTGGAGAGCCGGAGAGGAGGTTCTGGAAGAGTGTAAGCGGAGAGTGGAGATCTGGAAGCGGGAGGAGTTTGTCGGGGAGCCGCCGGGACAGGGCGAGTGGAGGGCAAATAGGGACACGGATCCGGAGGGGAAATCGACATCGTGACCATGTTCCTCGATGCTATCAGCAGAGGATGATCTTTTGACAAACCCTTTCTTTGGGTATATGGCCGCGCAAATCTAAAAAAGAAGAAAAGCAATAATCCAAATGAAGAATCGAGATGAGCTTCATTCGCGGAATAACGTACACGTCTACTGTACATACATAAGCTATATATCAACCTCAAATAAGACGCGCAAAATCCCCAAACGCCGTTCTATGTACAGTCATGCATTATAAGTTGGGTTATCTAGAGAGGAGAATCGATTGAACGAGAAACAACCTTCTTTTCTTTTCTTTTTCCCGCTCTCTTGTTACGCTCAGGGCTTGCTGGTATCCAACTCTCTGCCCTGTCTCTTCCAGTCCTTGATATGATCGAGGATAATATTTGCTGCGCTTTCGGGGGTATCCTGACGGCCGATACACTCCACGAAATCTCCTTCGGGGTCTATGGATAACACGTAATTAGCGACGTATCAAAAAGAGAATTGCCGTCAAGTAACACCTACCCATTAAGTAAAAGTAAATGCTGTGATCCACCAAATAATCCTCGCCCGGTTTGATATTCTCTGGCGTACTAAAGTAGACTCGGTACTGCTTGCACATGTTCTTCACTTGCTCATAGGTTCCAGTTAAGCCCAGGATGTCGCCGTGGAATTCTTTCAAGTAAGCTCGTAGTACTTCCGGTGTATCTCTCGCCGGGTCGCACGTCACGAAGATAGAGCGAAGTGGAGAGTTGCCTTTGGACTTCTCCTTGATGATGTCGATGATGGCAGCCATCTTGTCCAACTCGTCAGGGCAGATATCGGGGCAATGAGTAAATCCAAAGTAGATCTAAACCGTCGCGGTCAGAATATCGAGACACGGCCACACCAGGGAAAGCCCTGCGTCCAACTTACGAAATTATATTTCCCCTTCAACTGCTCCTCCGTAAACACGTTCCCATCCAGATCCTTCAAAATGAACGGTCCTCCGACCTTGGGTTTACCCACTCCCTTGCTCATCTGCACAATGCGCTCTCGCTCCAGTCGCGCCTTTTCATACTGGAAGTACACGATCATACCCGCACCCGTGAGCACGAACAGCAGGGCCGCTTTCCATGAGAACGGACCCGTGGACGACCGGGCTTTGAGCTGCTGGATCGTCTTTGCGGGGAGAGCGGGGGTTGTTGAAAAAGCGCGATTGCCGCCTGGGCGAAGGATTGGGCTTGACCGGAGGGTTCGAGACTGCGATCTGGATGGCGCAAGTGATCTGAGCTGCGGTTGGCAAGCCAGGCGTGATGCGGGAGAGGACCGGGAAAGGCGGAAGGCCTGCCGGAGAGAATGGGAGATCGTCGTGGGAGTGAACGAAGATGCCATTGTTCTCTGTTATTCCGGCCTTTTTTTTTGTATTATCTATCAGTATTTACACCAGCACGGTAGCTTTTCCTCTCCTCCAGCTTCGGCACCGATGAAGAGCAACGTTCTTGTCTTTCTGTCTTTCTTTTTTGCCCGCGAAGCGGATGATTATGTAAGACAATCACCACTGTTCCCGGGATAGCCTCATGCAGCGCGCTCCAGTGTCATCTTGGAACTATATCGATTCATCAATGAGAAAGGGGGAATCTACAAGTTGGGCGTCTAGCAGGGACAAGATGCTTCTCGCTATTTTGTCTTGTATATATGTTTCCTCCACCTTTTGCTCCTGATCTCATGATCTTTACATATAGTCAAACTCGAAATATTCCCCATCACCGCCACAGGCACCATATTCTACATCTCTGCTCTGCTGCCATATTTGTAACGAGTCCAATGACCTTGTAGGGGATATAAAGCGTTGCTGCCATTTTCGTGCCGCAGCCATTATTTTCTTAGCGGAGAAAGCAAGCTACCCCTCCTCATCTTCCAGAATTACGGTCGGAATGCTGATCGGTTCCGTATCGCCAGACGGTTTGCTGCTCACGGAATCTGGCACCCGAAGCGCAGCCACTGTCCTGTAAGGTCGTGATACATCATGTTCTCCTTCTTTTTCACTGGCCAATTTCTTCTCCAATTGCCTCCTCTCTTCGGCAATAATTTCGTTCACCCTTTGACGGGCATCTGTTTCAGCCCGGCCGAGTCTTGTCCGGTCAGAATAGGCGGCAGATTCCATCGTCGTCGACTTCGCACTTTTTCAAAATAAACTCCAGCGGGACAACTTCATTGGCCAAAAATCGAAGGTATAGGGGTAAAAGCACTTGGAGTGTTTTGTTTGGACGGTGCTGCTCGGGTTTCTTCGCTTCGAACAAATTTTCTTGCATCTCTCGAGGATTCTTCGATCTGGGCTCGCTTCCCGATTACTGTCTCCTTGAAGTTTTCCAAGCGTTGCATAGATGCGGAAATCTTTCCATATTGAAGACCGAACCGATCTGCAAGCGCCATATGTGCCATTTCTGGAAACTTGTCAATGAGCTGCTGGAGGCTCACTGAGGCGTATGGAACTTCCTGCCCCTCGCTATCACTGTCATCTATATCGGGCTCAATAAGTTCCTCGCGAGTAACGTTGTAAAATAACGACAAAGACGTAAGCTGGGGCACTGTGTGGTTTGAACATTAGCACTAGCGAAGATACTTCGAAGGATAGGAGAGCCGATAATGAGAAGCGATTACATTTGCTGTGCTTTCTTAATTTCCAAAACTCGGACACGGTTTTTGGGAAGTTATCCGGAATACAATATGCGCCGTTACGATATACACCAACCGGCTCGAGGAGTTTTCCACCTCTAGTTCCGTTTTGATTGATCATCATGGCACGTAGTTGACGTGCCGACGCATAGACAGAGCCGAATTGATCGTCCATGTACTCCCGTTGACATTTGAGCTCATGGCCGAGATCGTCAAGCCGACCGTTTATCGCATCGAGCTGCCCATCGACTGCCTCGAACCGGCCACCGACAGCTTCAAAACGGTCATCGATCCCCTCGAGCCAGCGATATATGCTTTCAAACTTGCCATAGAGTGTTGTTAACTGATCGCTCATATCTTGAATTGGAATATCCATATAGTCACGTTGCACCTGAAATCTCCGATCAACTCTCGCTCCTGAAAAGACCCTGTGCTCTTCGAAGGCCCCAACAATAATGGCATATCCAGTGGCTCTCAACCCTTCCTTAAATAGCTCAAGGCCTGGAGGAATACAAATGTCATGATGACCATTGTCATCAACCCTGTGGTTATCGCATCACCTTGGGTTACGGGAAAGGCGGCCAGAGCGACAAGAGTGCAGCCTGATCGAATAAAACAAGGCGAACCGAATTGTCCCTCGTTTGGCCACGTAGCCCACGAAGGTCCCTGGGCATAGGACGGCGCAGCGAATCCAAACGCCTTGTTATTTGAGGATATCCAGATCTCCTCTGTCCATTGATTTGCAGGCATGAAGATCTTTTGATTTTAGAGTAAGGATATCGGGCTTGCAACATATACAAACTAACGAACTCTGTCGTAAGCAGGGGGCATAGGCGCATTATGCATTTAGGGTTAAACTGTACATACATGCATTGCTCTGTGCATATTCATGTACTCTTCGTGAGTCCAGACCGCACAGCTGTAACGCTGATGCTGCAGAAAACTGAACCATGAAGCTCGAGCTATTAAACGTGAGCTTGCTGTCAGTGATTCAAAAAAAAAAAAGAAAAAAAAAGAAGGGAGTACCAGTAACATCGAGAGCGGATCTCAGAAACTGAACTGGCGGATGCTGTGTCCTTCATCCGCACCTGCATGGCACTGAAAAGAGGTTTGGCATTTTCGACACAGCGGACAGCGCAGGAGACAGCAAAGATAAAAAGATGTTGAAAATGGATACCCTTTGATTCAGATAATACGGAGCGCACAGGAAGATTAACTATTACAGTGATCTACAGTGCGAATAGGAGTCATTGTGTTGTCTTTTGTAATTCCTCCAAATAGAGGCTTCCAACAAACATGCAATTAAAATGTGAAATACTTTATTGTCACAACCAATTGAAAGAACGTTTATTATCAAGAATGCTACCACCAGAGTATGGGCCAAACAGCCACATCCATTTCTTAATTGGAATATCATTTTAAGTTAAGATGATGAAATCAAACACCAAGAAATGCTTTCTAGAACATAAGGGGGTACTAGGGAAGTAAAGCAGAAAAATGAGGATTAAACAGGATAATGTATTTCTGCCTCCAAAAACACGACTGGTCCACTGTGCCAGAGGTCGGGGTTTCAGACACGCCAGGTTAAACTCAAAAAAAAAAGAAAAAAAAAGAAAACAATTCAAGTTGGTGGTTGAAGGGTGCTCAGGGCAAAAATTCAAATTGTTCTTATGGTCAAAAGATTCAGTGCCAGAGGCTTCTGGACTCGTCCCGTATCCGGCAACGGGACATGTTAGTTCGTGAAAAGACATGAAAAGACATGGGCAAAAGAAAAGAAACCCGCAAAAATTTTCAAAGTCAGTTACAGTCGCAAGGCGTCAGGGTCCCGGAACTTTCACTGGTCGACGTTTATTTGCCATTGGGTTTCGAAAAAGGTTGCTGCTAGACCTAGACCAGAATGTGCATGGTATTTGTTGCGATAGAGAGGGCTCTAGGGTAGCTCCTTGAATTTAGATGAACGATAAGGCGGGACATATTGTTTCTGCGGGGGGGGAAGATCTATCAGGGCATTCCACGGCTTGCTTGACTCGCACGACTCGCGCTCGCTCGGCTCCGCTCATCCTCTTCCATGACGTCGCTCAACCTTGTCGGGTGCCGATGTCTTGATGTTACAGAATCCCAGGTTGGTCCCCAGCCGGATCCGCTGTAATCCGCAGGGGCGGGTCTATATACACTGTGCATATTCCCTGCAGTTGTGCTGTGAGGATACTGTTGACCGTATTGCTGCCCGTAATGCTCATCTTGCTCCAGCAGCTCTTCCTTGTCGTAATCGTCGCTATCCTCGGAGATCGTACGCGGATAGGAAAGTTCTCGACCGGGGAAATCAGGATGGTCTGTGATCTTAGGCTCGTAGTCGTCCGAGACTTCGCTCGTTCCCACCTCACTGGAGGGAATGTAATCACCGGCACCAGTGCCTGATCGAGGTTGGCCATGGAGCGCAGGTCCCTCGTGTTGGTAAAATCCTCTGGTTGGAGCCTGCGTGGTACTTGGTTTGGAACTCGGTGCAGAAGAAGTAGGTGCCGGAGGGAAGGTGTCAAATTTCGCAGCGTCAGGCTCGTGGTGAAGGTGAGACTGTTCCATACCGGTCTCTGGAGGAGCCTCGATTGCCTTTGGGGTAGAGACTTGGCTGTCGTAGGAATATTGGTCGGCTTGACCTGCCGGGTCGTGGGGGGTTTGGCCACCCATCGATGTTGCCCCTGGACCGCCTGGATATGGGCCTTCCCTGGTTTGAGGGCGGTGTGTGCTGGCTTGTCTGCTAGGGTAAGGCTGGACCATTGGCACGACCTGGACGCCGCCAACAACGGTAGGTTCTCCATTACGCAGCGACGCCGTACGCTCGCGTTCCTCTTGTTCACGGCGTCCGAGCTCTTCCCAAGCGCGCCGAGCTTCGTCTCGGGAAATCAACAATTCTCGACGCATTTCCCTCACGAGCTCTTCAGCTTTAGCCTTGTCCACCTCTGCTTGCTTCGCTGTCGTGATCGCTTCTTCTCGTCCTTGTCGCTCCGCTTCGAGAAGTCGACGTAGCTCTGCTTGCATTTCTTGGGATCTCTCCTGCTCAGCACGGGTATCAAAGAACCAGCGCTGGAATTTTCTTTCTGAGGAGGCCCGTAGTCGTTGTAATTCGACGACGGCATGAAATAAATTAGCTCCGGCGGCGGACAGATCTGTAATCTGGCGAGACATCTGCTGACTGAGCGGGTCCTTGTTCAGGTCTTCGTTGTTTTGTTCCAAGCGACGGATCCAGTAGCTGGTGAGACCCTCCCAGTGCGAAGAGAGCATCTCCCAGCGCTCAAATGCATGCGGAAAGGGTCTACGTGGTTGTTGCTGCTGTTGTTGCGAGGCGGTTTGGGGCTGTGAAGCACTGGTGGCGGCTTGGCCAGCCTGCATCTTTGGCGCCTGGGTGCTGGGAAAGCTTCCTTGCGGAGCAGTTCGAGCAGAGCTATCGGGTGCCCTAGACTGCGACTGTCGAGATTGATGCGACGTCCCCGTTGAAGCGCGTTGCCTCGTGGACCGTTCTTGAGCGGCGCCCTCTCCGGCACGCCGGGGATTAGGATTGTCTCCAGAGGTTGGATGTACACCTTGGGATGTGTCTGCAGTACCTGGATCTTGGGGGAGAGGCACGTCCGGCGGACAAGACGCCGATCCCATGGCTGGTCGCCTGGTGGATGAAACCGGGGCCTCTCCAGCAACGCCAGCAGCTTGTTTCCGGCGTTCTTCTTGTGCAAGTCGATCTAGTTCTTGCTGCTCCAGTTCGTGTTTCCTTTTGATTCTGTCTAGTTCCTGTTGTTCTCGCTCTCGTTCTCGAGCTTCCAGTTCTGCCCTTTTCCTCGCCTCGCGATCGTTCCTCCGTCGCATGATTTCAATGGGGGTGCGCAAACCGCTGGGGTTGGGCTGCGATGAAGCGGAGCCCCGCGCGGGCCCGTGGACCCCATTGTGGTGTGGTCTCCCATTACCGGTCGGCGCAGCGGTGGATATGCCTCCTTCCGCCATAAGCTCTGACATCGAGGCGTCGATTTCACCTGGAACCGGGGTGAAGGGGTAAGGCTTTCGAAGGGCCTCCTCGAGAACCCAGAGAATGGCAGAGGAAGTGCGGGAGGAAACGCGATTGCTCCTTGTTGGCCAGAAGGACTGGCTGGTAGGGTAATCGGTGGCAGAGCTGTCACCTTCTGCTGCAGGTGGGCGGGCGTCGGGATCTCGCAGGGAAGAGCTGCGGTGGCGGGAGTTGTGTAACTCGGCGAACCTCACCGGGGCAACGGCGGCGGCGGCGGCAGCAGTAGCAGCAGCACGAGATTGTGCGGTGGCTGAGAGAGATCTAAAGTGTGCACGTCGTCTGAGGGAGGCGCGGGAGCTATCGGAGTTCGGAGATGTTGCATCAGAGGAGAACCGAGGGTGCAAAGGCGCGGAGGGAGGGATGGAGAGCGAAGAGTGCCTATGGTGCCGCTGGCGTTGCGGTGAAGGGTTGGAGGTCGTGGTGATCGTAGCTGGGTCGTAAACGTCGTGGGGCTCGTGAGGGCGCGGAGGGAGTTGCCGTGACACGTTGAGAGTCGCGGATGGGGAGGACGGGGTGGATGTAGAGGCAGGGTGAGAGAGAGATTGAGAGGGAAGCGAGCGACTTAGGAGGCCCTATGAGGCGGGAGGAGCGGCTGGCGGGATCCAATTGCTCTGTGTATGTGTGAAGAGAAGAGTCAGTCTCAGCGGGAGGTGGACGGGCAACCAAGCTCAGGGATTGTGACACCGACCTGGAGTTACATGAACTGACGTAAAGCATTGGACTGCCCGCTCCACAGAGGGCAGCAGGATGTGGTTTGATGGGCAGGTGGGAAAGTCAATAAATCAAGGATGACAAGATGCAAGAGAAGGAGAAAAGAAGGGGAAAAAAAAAAAAAAAAAAAGAAGAAACGGAAGAATGAAACGGGGGTGGCAGACGGGCGCTGTGAGGAGGTAAGTTGGGTGGCTGGTCGAATGGAGGTTGAAGGAAGACGACGAAAACGAAGCCGGAGAGAATTGCGATGGCTGGAGGAGAAGAAGAAGAAGAGAGAGAGAAGACGAACAGGAAGAGAACAACAAGTCGCAACCTGATAAAACTTGCTGGCTGGCTGGTTATTATTCTTTTTTCCCTCCTTTATTTTTTTATTTTTTTATTTTTTTATTTATTTTATTTTATTGTTTTTCTTCTTCTTCTTTTCTTTTTTCTCTTTCTTCCTCGTTTCTCTCCACTTCCCCCCCCCCCTTTTTTTTCCCACTCTTCTCGGTGCAGCGCGTCGTTTCGACCTCGAATGTCTCTCTTCTCTTGCAGCAGCAGCAGCAGTCGAGATGGCTGCCGTTTCACCCTCTCACCTCTCTGACTGTGCAGCTGCAATTCTATTCGAGGCGGCTATTTGCCCTGCGTCATGGCCTTCACGCACCACCAGCTCAGATCGCGATATTCTGGCACAGCGTCCGGCAGCTCCCTGCTGAAACGGCGCCCTGGTGTGTGTGTGTATGTGTGTGTCTGTGTGTGTGAGCCTGGAAGAAACCTGCAGAAGCATCTAAACATTTTCAACATGGGTCACCATCAGGCCTCAAAAGCAGGCCGGCCGGGCCTTGGTCGTCGAGGCCACGGAGCAGCACTCTCGGCGATTGGGCAGCACGTCCAAGCTGCTGCTGGCCTTGCCGGGCTCCACCAATGTCTCGACAACACGCAGACAGTCGTCTCTCTTCGCTCCTGGGGGCGCGTCAATCCCACGACGACGACGACGGCACTCACTTTGATGCCTTCCACGGCGGTTTAAAGTCCCCGTCACAGACCGCGGGATGCTCCGCGTGGGGGGAACACAGCTTCGTTCTCCGTAAACGTGCAAACGTTCCCCTGAGCCGGATTTTAGGCATGTTCCTTTTTTTTCTTTTACTTTTTATTTTTTATTTTTATTTTTATTTAGTTTCTTGTTTGCTCCAGTATGGGCAGCTTTGTTTGCTTTTTCAAGAGAAAGTCAGACAAGCAGCGGAGATCGTGTCCGCCATGGGACAGAACAAAGTGCACGGCTGGTCGCCCAGCAACTCTCTTCATATGCACAAACTCCTGCCTGAAAAGCTCATCCAGAGGCACATGAGCTGGTCCAGATCAAGATATTAAAAGATCCATTGCTCTCTTTGACAGCCTAGCAGTAGGACTGCGAGTTATGCACTCATGCTGGCAGGCACGCTTGGGTATTCTTAACAGACATGTTACTTCGAGGGGCCATGTTCATTTTACTGCCATTCTGTCGTGGAGAAATCCTGTGCCCTCTCATGGTAGAAAATCTGTGGATTTGAAAAAAAAAAAAAAAAAAAAAAAAAAAAAAAAAAAATCTTTGGATAAATCTAAATATGCGGCAGCTTGATCAGGACTCGGTACAAATGACTATCCACCCAAGTTCCTAGAACTGGGGAAATTCAATTCTCAAGCAACGCTCAACTCGAGCTGTCGATGGCCGAGATGGTGCAATGCTTTTGGCTCAACGGGCTAAGACGTGGCGGTCGAAAACCAAATTTCCAGAGGCTTTAAAGAGACAGGACACCATATTTTATTTGGATTCCAGAACCACCTTCCATGGTTCCAGGCTTGAAAGGAAATGCTAAATTCTTCCACCAGAAATTCAAAAAGGGCCCACTCTAGATGCCAACAAAGTAGTTCAAGCATCTGCATAAGAAAATGATCCATAGCATCGCCACGATAGTGGCTGGGAGAAGCACATTCTCATGCTTGTAAAGCTATATTTTGCGACCAAACTGATCTCCTGACCACCGGTGTTAGAGAGCAGGATTTCTATGGATGTAGAGAGGTGAAAATAACTTGGAACCAGTACTCACCCCAGAGAAGGTGTATAAACATGTTTCGACTATCGCTGTATGGGAGCTGGGGCTATTGAAAACAGCTCAAGCCTACCATAAAGCACTGGCGGCGGCGTACAGGCCCCCATTTTGGCGCTCTGTACTCTGCACATCCCATGTAGCGAATATGCGGGAGATTCTCGACAAAAAAGCCCCGCACTTCGACACGGACCACGGCGTAAAAAGGTGGTGGTTTGTTCAGATGCGACTGTGTTTCAGCTTCGATTCCCAAGCAGTCTCATGACCGTCTCCTCCCATTTTGAGACCACCTCTTCGCCCGCCTTCTCCAGCTTCAGGCACGAATCTTGTTCGGGCTTGACTTCACTGTCAATCTCAGCCACGCCGCCAAAAACTTTCTGGACCGCCAGTTCAGACTTTGCCAGATCGTACAGCTGCAAGATATCCACCGAAGGTGCTGCGGTGGTTCCGCTCTCTGACCGCTTCCCGGGCGCGGAAGAAGACGCAGATGGAGAACAGCGAACAAGGCCCTCCAGCACACCCAGCACGACCCCAACCCTCATTCCCAGCTGCGCGCCGACGGGGAAGCCGGCATCGAAACCGCGCTGCACGTGTTCGTGCTTTGCGGCGGAGATACCATCACGATACCCTGCGGTGACGTGCTGGCGGCGGAGGGAGGGGAGGTCAGACGGCTCACAGTGGGACGAAGAGGCAGTGTGGGGTGGTTCGGCGGAAAGTCCCGCAGTGGGAGGGGGAGAAGAGCCGAAGATGTCATCCAACCCTGTGCTTTCAGCGGGCGGGGGATGTTGTGGTGGCGGTGATGAGCGGGCGGGTGAGCTGAGGGCGGTGGACGGCGATGGAGGGGCGGAGTTCGGGATGTCACTGCATAACGACGCGCTGTCGACGGAGCTGGGAGCCATCCTGGGCTATTTTAATATATATATATATATTTTATTCTTTTTTGAGAGAGATTAATTACGACAGCGGGTTGGTAAGGGAACAGTTTCTTTTTCATCTATGATGCAATGGGTGGAAGCCTGGTCTTCTCGATAAAAAAAAGATATTATAGTTGGATTACGGAGTACTTGAAGCAAAAAAAAGGTAAAAATATTTTAACGGTATCAACTCACTAGTTAACTATGTATGGAGCAACGGAGTACGGAGCAGTTTAAGCCACCAACGCGACTCTTCCACCCTCTCGAAGAAGCTTTTCAGCATCCATTTCCACGAAGGAAATAAGCCCAGACGAAGATTGTCTGATTGACCGCAAAATATGCCGGCTTTCTTTAAACCTACTTGCAGGCTCAGCTTCAACCTAGCTACTACGTAGTGCGTCAAAATTCAGGACGTACAGGGTTACATACATGGCCATTCCCGGTCTTCTCAGCCAGAGCTGATAAAGGTACGATGTACTTCCGTTTCCCTTCCATCCTCCCCACCCCACCGGCTCTTCGAAATGGTGGGACAGCAGATTATTCCCCATGACATACCGTCATAGCAACCTTATCCTCCGTCGAATGATGCCGGCTCCTTTGGAGGAGCCGTGATAGAGAACCGGCGAGAAGGATGGCGCTGTGAAACATCGTCCGCCCAACTCAAGCCACCAATATCCCGTCCAAACGGGCGCGCAGAAATAAATAAACTCCCTCTACGGAGTAGCTCCCGAGTGATATAGTTACATACAGGCTTGCCCCCCCTCACCCTGGGGCTACATACCGTAGGTTGTGTGGCGATTTTGCTTCAGCCAAGTGGCGGGGATCTGGGTCTCCCGCCTTTCCGGCGGCTGGCGGGGCTACAGGAGGAATTAACACGACATTTACGGAGTACGGAGTACAGAGTATTAGCAATTTCTGCTCTTCAGGGAATTTTCCAGCCCTGTCCACGCGGATCAAGGAGCCGTCAGCCCTCTGGTGGCGTGCCAATCCTCCCCCCTAGCGGGTTGGGTCGCTGCGTTGGCGGTGCCAAACGGGAATTCTGGCCCAAAGGAAAGGCCTGTTTGGGCGATCGACGCCAGAACGGTCAGAGTTCCAGGCTCTCAACCCATCCGCCTTTTCTCAGCCTTGTGGGATTGTGGGATTGGTCATTTTTGTTCTCTTCTCCCTTTGGCTTTCCCTTTGCCAGCGAACCTCCCCATTCCACGGTATCGGGCGAAGTTAAATGGCTTTCGAGGTCGTATCGTCAATCCATGGAGACCTCCGTGCGGATGGACGGTCCCATGCTTTCGATATTGCTCCTTGGATCCCCATCCACGGTCCCGGCTCAAGCCTTGCATGTAAAATCTCCCGGCTAATGACTTCGTGCCTCGCTCTAAACACCCGGCTTTGGCATTGGATCGGTCTTAGCGCCTGTTTGCTGCTTATTGCAACCGAGCTTGCAGTGTCCCTTTAATCGCTCTCACAACCTCTCTCTCTCTCTCTCTTTTTTTTTTTTTTTTTCTTTTTTCTCTCCCTCCCTCCCTCCTCCCCGCCCTGTATTATCCCATACGCTACACATACCGTACCCTTCTACGCGTCCGCTCTCACGTCTGCTACATGGTATACCTCTAGCATGGAACAATGCCGCCATGGCTGTTTCCAGATCCTTTCCCTCTTACAAAATTCGGGGGGGATGACCTCGCCTCGGCGGGGGCCAAAATGATCTCGCGATCTGTACAGAGAATGTCGACGAAGATGTTCAAATCAGCTGCTGCCCCTCCTGCCGAAAATCAAAGGAGTAATAGGTCGAAGTCGACCAAGTCCGTTCACTTTGAAGCTCAGCTCGAGTCAGTTTGCTACTTTATGAAGGACGACGAACCTTGTTTGATAGCTGCTCGGATATCGGCCGTGACACGCACCAACGGCGCATGTGACCCGCTCAAGGAGCTTAAAAGCGAGTCGTCTCTGCTGCTGCACGACTCGACATGTGTTTTGGATATGATATCCCAGTCCGCAGATCGAAAAGACGATGCGCCCGTCCGAGTAGAGCAAGTCTACCTCTCTAATCGGAAGAACGTCACTGGAACGTTGGCGGTTGCGAACGTCTCCTTTGCAGAGCATGTAAAGGTGCGGTTCACACTTGATGGATGGAAAACAGTGTCCGAAACGGCGGCAGAGTATTTTGGGAACCACCGTCATAAAGGATTCGACACGTTTGGCTTTACTATCAGTCTTGAAGATCAAAAGGCATTGAAGGACAAAACTATGTCCTTCTACGTTTGCTACGTCGCCAATGGCATGGAAATCATGGACAATAACAACTCGATGAACTATCAAGTCGAGCTGTCGAAGTTCGCCCATCAAACGGGCAAATCTAGCCCGGTTGAAAATGCCAATGCCACTGCCACCTCCAAATCTCTCCCTCAGTCTCCAGCTACTGTGGAGCGAGCGTCAGCCCAGGCCTCTCCTCCTGGCATCCTTCGACTGACATCATCAAGCCAGAAAGTCAGCAAAGCTTCAAAATACTCTGCTGGTAACCAATTATTCGCCCCTTTATCGCGGCAGCTTAAAGCGGAGGTAGGAAGTTTCGAAGGGAAGAAGCATCATGCGGAAGTCGATCAAGGCGTAGGTTTCCTTTTTTGTTTGCTTTTTTGAAATGGATAGCATTAACACTGATGGATATAGAATGTGCCCTTATTCAAATATATGGATCGCCTGAGCAGCAACGCAAACGTACTGTCGTCTTCGCAAATAAGACTTCTATAATGATACCCTCACGGCCTCTAAATAATGACATAGCCCTCTCCTTAATCACTCCTATCGCTTGAAACCCCGTTTTGTCGACCAATCGCACTAATGTACATGCCACCGTATTTCGCTCTCCAACCTGCCGGGCAGGCTACGGGGTCACCGATTAATCTTAATACTGCTGGCTTTAGACTGCGGTGTCCCAGACGGCCGAAGCGGTGGCTCACCTAAGCATAATGCCAGCCGGCGTTTTTGACTTATATAGGCGCAGAAAAGCATTATTTCCATATACTTTAACTTCTCTCTCGATACCATAGTCTTTCAATATTTCCTTCTTTTTTCTAAGGAAAGGCCCTCTTCCCCCCGCTCATCCTAGTACCTTTTACATATTACAACCAGTTTGTCGGCATCATCTTTGGGCCAACCTTTCCAAGGATGGAGAAATGGATCTTGGATGGCATTTTGCTTCCTGACGCACTTGTACAGTAGCTACGCTGAAGGCTTTTATCCGCACAGATATATTTCGTCAACCATTACCTTTTTTTTTTTTTTTCCCTTTCCAGGTTCTGACCCGTTGCAGAGCACATTCGCGAATCCAATGGAATATCCACCAGGCTCCACGTACCGGTGACACGAGCTTGGTGACATTTAGCGTTGCAATATAAATACCAAGGTTGCAGAGACGGCTTCACACTGCGCCCATAATCGTACCAGTATTTTTCGGACCCATCCTCATACGGTTCGTGCTAAATATGGGAACAATCCAAATCAAATTTGCTCGTCCGATGCCAGGACGGTATCCTGGTTGGAATGGTAACGTTGGTCAAGCTTTCGCTCACCCTGGACATGAGCCTTGACTTTTCGGCAACATATGGGTATTATTGCTTGGCCTATGCAGAAAGCAAAGCCCGGGAGCTTGTCTGAGCCGGGTACGCCCGTGAGCAAAAACCCGGAAAATAATCGTTTTGTAATCTCGGGTAGTGGTCAAAATTATGCTTATTTTATTCCTCTCATCGCCGTTTCTACTACTGTACGTACGCCGTAGGGCGCCCCCGGTTTTTACCTTTCTTCAGAATGCGCCCTGATCGACCCGATAAGCTCTTGTTGTGTTACCGAAGCTTTTGTTCTGGAAGTGAAGATCTGGGCTCAACCTCGTATTTCGCAGACGTCAACTTGGCCGCCGGATGCCATATCCCGCCCGTGGGAGAATGCGTTCGCGAGTCTCCTTGCTTGATTCGACCATATTCCGCTGCGAGAGGGCACTTTGCAAGTGGACCACTCGTCCAATACGAGCCGTTGCCTCTGACTAGTGCCATGGTCCGCATTCGTCAATTAATTGGCCAAGTTGGCGTGGAATATGGCCCATGTCAACCGCCGGTCTCTTTGTGTTTTTTGGTTTTACAATCTTCTCGTGGCGTCCGGAAGACTCACAGATCCTTATCGCTTAATTGGACCCTGAAAAACGGGATAGGAGGGGTCGTTGGACCCTTTGTAAGGGAGAAAAAGGGGGAAAAAAAAAAAGGAGCAGAAGAAGAAAAGGAAAAGGAAAGTAATGCCGAGCCAGTTATACGAGCCTTGAGAGCGTGAGTCCAGTATATTTGGTTGCTCTCATACTTTTTGACACCGTTTGGCCAGTCAAACACGATTGGTGTTTACGTGACTGCCATGAAAAACTTTCCCTCCGTCTCCATACGGAAACAAATGCGGAGAGAGTCGAGCTACCTTTGATTTCCGTTCTGCATTGCCGATAGAATAAAGGATCGGCCATGGGAACAATTGTGGGAGCATTCATGGGGACCAATTCGTGCGGTCCAATAACCCATAACTGGTGAGGGCGAATTTCACCGCATAATTGACAGCTGACGGCGCTACCTCCCGCTGTCAAATAAAGACTTGAACATACTTTATGCATGACCATTGCCGAGCTGATTCCAATTCCAATCTGGTTGCATCTATTCCATCCGAGCGAAAAAAAGCCAGATAGATACCCCAGATACAAGGCTGTTGTCAGCACCAATGCGGGTTATGCTGAAAGGACCTCTTGGACGCCCGCAAATGCAAACTCCCACCATTCGATTCCACCAGCTGTGTGATTTTAGAAATCTTTGTTTTGATATCCTTGTCGTCACAGATTCTTGGCGTCTGGCCGGTTAGTTAAAGTTTACTAGCGTGGCTTTTTCGCGTTTGGCGTCGGGCGATCTCCACGCGTGACGGATGATATTGGCCCGCGTCTTCCGTGCCAGGCCTCTTGAAGCCCAAATCGCCCCTCCAGCGCTCAATGATGGTTCTTGAAATACGAGAGGCATATGCAGAGAATGTTTCATTTTCGACTCTCATGTGAGTCAATAGCTCCGATGGATCCGAATTCAAATTCCCACGAGCACCTGTGGCTCCAAATGCCTGGGGATTTTCTCTCGAGCAATTTGATCCGTCCATGTTCTTCCTCTCCTTTTCTTCCTGATACGGTCTTGCTAGAAGAGCCAGGGTAAAGTCGGCTTGCACGGAGAAATGGGAGACATCTTGCCTGAAGTGCACTTCATCAACAAGAAGGGCCCCGAAATCCGGACGCCCCGGTTGATCCTCCGACCTCTACGTGATTCCGATGTTGGAGATATGTTTGCGATAAGATCCCGCGAAGATGTCATGGTCTGGAGGTATCATCCTTCCCGATCGCACTCCCCCAAACTCAACGAAGTAGCTTGGTTTCCTAATCTTACTTTGGTTTTAAATATATAACAGCCTCACAAAACTGCCCGACAAAGACATCTCAGCGACGAAGAAAATAATGTCCCGCTGGAACGACGAAACCAATGTGGGTCTTGCCGTGCTGGAGGTTTCGAACCCAGATCGTGTCTGTGGGGTCATCGGATATAACGCAGTCGGTAACAAGATGGAAGTCGGATACCTTATGCATCCCGACGTGTGGGGCAAGGGATATGCCACCGAGGCCCTCCAGGCCTCAATCGAAGCGTGGTGGAATGGTTATGAGGCAGTGAAGCCAAAGAAGAGCATGATGCATGAGCTGCTTGCCTTCACGCACGAGGGAAACGAGCGGAGCTACAGAGTTCTCAGGAAATGTGGATTTGAAATGGTTGAGGAACTTGACGATGAGTATGGAAGAGGAAATGTTTGGAGGCTAAAAAGGGCCAATAGCGGCTGATTTTTCGCCCAAATAATGGGCGATTCACAGCGTAACTGCCAAAGATCTTGTGGTTTGGATCTTCGCTGTGCAGTGTCAGTTTTGCTATGAACCTGACTTCACCACTGTCTTCGCCCAATGTAACTATTTCTATGTAAGAAGAGATCTTCTCAATAACCCCCTCTCTGCTTGATTTCTTGATTTTCTTTCACAAGTCTTCCTTCACAGTTATCACACTAAAAATTGTCAACCAAAACATCAGCAAGCCTTCCTGCTGACATGTTGATTGGCCTTGCGGAATTTTGCAAGAAGTACAGAGCAGCTTCAGCTGTGAACGCAACCTATTCACATTTAACCGTGCTACCACCTGGCTGCGGCCTATATAAGGGCCAACTTTCGTCGCTTTCCAATTCGTACAGATCATCGATCTCACCCATTTATCTTGCAATTGCAAATGAAGCTCCCAAATAATCAAATGAGTACCTTACTCGAATCGACATGACGTCTGCAATGGAAGGCTTGCTGATTGTTTAACCACGCCCATAATAGGAAAAGAACATGTCTTTTCATACTGCTAGTCACACACATTATTTAACAAGGTGTCAAACAAATAAGCATGCGCAGCAGCCCTATATTTGTTTTAAGACGCTATGAATGAAGTAGCCATTGTGTTTGAAAGTCGAATCAAAAGCTTCGAAACAAAACTTCAATCCTGATTCACCGACTTCCAAGACTGGCTTGGGGGGGATATGAAGATCAACTTGGGGCGCTCGACTCGATTTCTCTTGAAGAGCGGCTCGTTGTGTTGGAATGCAGGGTTGCGGTCGGTTTCATGGCTCTCGAAACCCGATTCATGGTTTTAAAATAGGAACCTTGAAACTCTCGCAAAAGATCCCGAGTCTCTTGAGTAGTTACTTATAGGGGACGGTCAATTTGGAGATCCGGAGTCCAGAGAGCGTATGTCTCCGCAGGAGCTGCATGCATCATTTCGGTAAAGATGTCCCTTTTCTCACCGTCGGCATTTAGACCACACAGCGGATCCTGGTATATTCCATGCGATTCACCTGCGGGTCGCCTGGTGAAGGTATTTCCATGCGGACGAGGCGACTACTAGACTTGTTTACGGCCACGGGTGGAGCAGGGGAAGAGTGTCGCTACATTTCACGCGCGAGGACAGTCAAAGACACATAAATTAGCAGCAGCAGCAGCAGGAGGAGGAAAAGGAGGTTCAAATGCACAAGTTCGAACCACCTGACACCCTTCATCAAACATACGTCCTCTCGTAGTTCAGCTGCAGCATGCACCAGGCACAAAGTCTGCTGTCGAGAGAGCGTGGGTGAGGAGCTCAGCAGCGGAAGGCCTTGATCACGTGATACAAACTCTTGGTTCCGACTTTGCGGCGGATTTTCCGGCGCTGTGAAGGTTCAAGCTTGAAGTGGTCTCTTGCCATGCGCAACAGAACGCTCAGCAGCAATAACAGCCTGTAGCTGCTGGTGCTTGCGTTATCGGAAACATCTGTGATGTCCTCGAGTTGAACTCGAGTTCCAATTCCTTCACCATGTCGAACGAGACATCGACGAATTTTTCGCCGCCGGCAGACAACCCTCCGCCGCAGTCTCTGACACAGCAGCAATCCTCCCGCATATCCAACTCTACAAAGCTCCTCGTCGGCGGCTCGCTCTTCTTTGTCCTTTCTACGCTCATCACTCGCCGCTCTCTTGCCCGCCGCCGTCTTGCCTCCATACCCCCTTACTACACTAGCGCCACGAACCACAAACCACCGGTCAATGGAGCCATGGAAGCCCTTGAAGCGCTCAATATCGCTACAATCAACGTCGCCAGCTTAGCAATGATTGGAGTTGGCGGCGCAATGCATGCATTCGATATCAATGGGATGGACGACCTAAGGAGGAAAATACGCGGTGGCCTAGGCGTGGACGGCACTGGGAGGAGTGAAAAAGAGGTGGAGGAGGAACTGGAGGAGTGGGTTGTCAGTGTTTTGAACAGAAAGACTGAAAAGGAGAAGAAGGCCGGCACTGATGGTGCGGATAAGCTGTGGCTTAATGAAAGGGGAAAGGAGAGATAATAGTGACCCTCTCTCGTCCTCCTTTCCTTGTTCAGCTCCCGTGGGTTGGATCTTCGGTGTGCCGTCTGTCCTAGTTGTCTGTAGCGCGACAAGCCTTGCTATACGCTACCTGTCTGCCCCGGATGCGAAGGGCTGTGACATTGGACCATAATGGTTTACGATGAACCTTTATGGATCGGCCTTTTAACATTTACATCTTCCGATCCACCACGGCTTTTCTTAGCCTGTTGTAACACCACGACAACTTAGCCTTGAGTGCACATCATAATTCATGAGCTACTCTCAAATCTTTAAACCCCTTTTTTTTAAGGAAAAGCATTGGGTTGCCTCTTTTTGTGAGGCGTTAATAGTGCCATCAAGAGTGCCATGTCTGTGAATGAAATGCATATATTTCACGAAAGCTTTAGGGAGTTGGAATGGCCTTCTTCGTCAACGCTTCTTAAAATCGGATCGTATATTCTGTACATTGTCTGGTGTAAAAACTCAGTCAGATATGTTTTACATGGCAGATCCCCTTTTAGGCTGACAGACAATCCCAATCATCATTGCGCTGTGAATGTTAACAAATCAATATCAGTTGTTCCCAAAATTAGCTTCCCCTTTCAAAACTCTTGGTTAGTTTTCCCAAACCCTAAAACCTTTGTTTTCCTGAAACTGTACGGAGTACTTGTATAATACTGGCCAATTGTATGACCGAAGCTTTGGTATTGAGTATGTCCCAATTTTGCTCCCAGAACATCTTCCACAACCTGCGAGCGCCCAACGCGGTTATCCAGATGGCACCAAAACTTGCATTAACAACACTTCAACTGATTTGTGACATGATAAATAGTGATGAGAAACTGACTACATCTCAGATAGAAGATGCTGCTGGCTGCAGCGAGCGGTCCGTCAAGACTATCCGCTTGAATCCACGACTCTTTGGGAGTGCCAGAGCTCCACAGGTTCGCGTCGGCCGGCGACGAAGCATCACACCTCCTATGCTAGAAGCCCTTTGCGACCATCTGCTTGAAAAACCAGGTTTATACTTAGATGAGATGGTCGTCTTTCTATGGGATGAATTCCATGTACGAGCGACAACCTCCAGCATCAGGAGGGCTCTTGCCTTTAGTGGGTGGTCTAAAAAGACAGCTCAACAGAGGGCAAGAGAATGCAATGCAGATTTACAAGATTCCTAGCTTCATAACATTTCTGATTTCTGATTGTACCATCTGGTTTTTGTGGATGAGTCTGGGTGTGATAAACAGATAGGGTTCAGACAGACTGGCTGGTCATCGCTGGGTGTAGCATCTGTTCAAGTGTCTCAATTTCATTGTGATCAGCATTATCAGATACTGCCCGCATATGCCCAAGACAGTATTATCCTTTCCTGTGTTTTTTGAGGCTCAACAGATGCTGTTGTCTTTGAGGATTTTATTGAGGAGCTTCTCCAGAATTGTGGGAAGTGGCCTGAGCCTAAATCTGTTATTGTCACGGACAATGCATCCTTCCATCACTCTGAGAAAATTCGGCGAATGTGCATGGATGCGGGTGTCAAGTTGGTCTATTTGCCACCATACTCATCAGACCTCAATCCAATTGAAGAGTTCTTTGCTGAGCTGAAGGCCTTTATTAGGCGGAATTGGGGGAAGTATGAGCAGAACACCGAACAGGGTTTTGATATATTTCTTGACTGGTGTGTTGATGTTGTGTGCGCAAGAGAGCGAAGTGCGAAAGGTCACTTCCGCAATGCAGGTTTAACAGTTGAGAGATATATTAGGCATGTCTATAAGGCACCTAACACTTTGCAATCTATTTCGAACTATGTTCCTCAGCTTCACTGTCGGAGACAGCGCGTAAAACAATGGCAACTAATATCACAGCAACATTTCTCATGTCCTTCAGCTCACTTGTATCCCATGGACCAATTCATGCATCGTCAGGTACACGTCGGATGAAGTGTCTTTCTCCAAATAGTCTATATAGTCACCGTTGTATTCGGCAATAGTGATATATATTTCGTGACGGTCTTGGGATACATGCACGCGCCTATCCCTCTTAGCCACATGGGTATCAACTAGGAGTAATCGCCAAAGACCTACCGTCCAGGAAGATTCAAACATCCACCTCGATCTGGGTGGCTTCGAATCCATGCTACCATTTGAGCTGCTTCTTGCATGCAAATTGCTTTTCTTTTTCTCTCCCTAGCAACTGCCTTTACTTCAATAAGTGCCCGGACCTTTCCGTCGGGTTTTGTGTCTTCGAGGTATCCATCGGTACGAGCTTCGAACGATGCATGTGTGAAATAGGCCTTAAACGACTTTCGATGTAAGGTCCAGTGATTGGATAATCCAGAATGAAGTGTAAGTGCACTCAAGAAGTTAACAAGTGCGGTATTCACAATCTGCTCGTCCTTTGTCTGGTGATTCACCAGATTTCGAATTTCCTCGGGGCTAGGACTTTTTGACATAGGAGGACTTTAAGTATCATCAAGCTCTTCTGACTCAGAGTCGTCAGGTAAAAGTCCGGTGGACTTTGTAGGCGTCTGAAGATGCATCTGATGCAGCCGCCTTTGGAGGTCCGTCTTGTTGCGAGTGCGAAATGCAATTGGAGTAATGACAACATTAGGAGCCAACGTTGCATCTGAAGTATTCGCGGCCTGAAGTTGGAAATGATGAGCCAAGGCAAATGTCGATTCAAAAACGGTGCCCGCAGCGAGGCCATCGCAATAAGCTTTCCACGACGAATAGTTGGCAAGAAGTTCATTCGCTTTGGTTCCCCACTTATCTAAGTTGAACCGCTTCCAGTCAAACTGATTGCCTTCACCAGCCCTCTTAAGGTTCAGCGGCAATGCTTGTGGGGTTGGGCGGGAGTAACCAATCACAAGCTGCCTTACCCAACGGTTCGGTCCGTCTTGTTGCCCCGCAACGACTCACGCTACCTCCACATGTCGCCTCATGGCACCGCACGTCGCTTCATGTCGCTTCATATCAACCTTCTCTCATCAAACACTATGGATGCTGCTAGTAAGCTCCGAGAGCGGGATTCGCGTCGCACGGCCCTGCGAGCTATCGCAAGATCCCTCGAGCAATTAGAGGGTCCTTTTCTCTCGAGGCGCGACCTGAACAATTTGCGAATACAGCAACTGTCAATGTCACTAGGAGAAGAGCAAAAGTCGCTCTTCTTTAAACCTTACAAGGCTCCAATCCGGGCCCCAGAAATCGACACGCTTGCCTATTATTACCCCGAGTTCGATGAGTCACCTTTTCGAAATGCGAAAGCTCTGTGTTGATATCTCTATCAATATTTTCAGAACTGCATCTTGCCAGACGAGGATCTCTACCCCCCTGGCTCATCCTATGTCGAGTTCGTTTTCCTTGTTCTTTGTTCTTAGATGATATAGCTACTCACCGCTCTGCTTCTACTGCTTATAGTTTCGGAAACTTCAATTTCGGACAGTTGATGGATATATCCAAGAACGCCCGGTGGCAGGTGCACGCAGCCTGGAATATGCCACAAGCGAAAGTTCCCCATATGAAAGTCCTGATGTACAGCGGCATAATTGGAAACGAGCATGAACTCTTTCGGGGAGAGCTGCTCGCTATTATTGATGTCATGTGTGGGAGGCTAAACACGAGGTCGCTCCGATCGCATATCATTGCTCCTGTAAGCGTCCTCTCCCACGAACATCCAGCAAAGAAGAAATGAAATACCAACATCTGTTTTTTCAGGTTTTGTTGTTTTCTGTGGTAGGAATGCACCATGTCCGAATCCTTGAGGCATATTTCAATGGCAAACAGCTCATGGTTCATTCCACCAAACTTTACGACTTGGAACAGCAGAATCACGAACTCTTAATTCAGCTATCAAGGTGGTGGCTGGGTGATGCGAGCAGTTGACGCAGGGGAATTAAGTTTTTATATTGCACTAGTCCTGGTCGTGCGTGGATAACAGATACAGTACGGAGTACGGAGTACGGAGTAATCAATTGTTCTTTATAACCAAAATCAGTAGTGGCTTGGCCCATGTGGCTGAAATCAAAGACCATTTAAATGGAACCTGATTTTGCAGCAACCAAGCACTTTAAGTACATTCATATTGTTTGACCCGTTCGCTTATATCGGAGACAAAGCGGCGCGCAACACCAAGTCTCACACCATGATTGACAAAGAAGTCTGGATCTTGGTCTTGATAGATCTGCTTGAGGTCAAGACCATTTGCTAACGCCATATCGCACGCTTTCCTGATATCAAGAGCTATATTCCTCCACTGCTACATCCAAGAGCCCAGGGATATTGATGTGTTCGGTCTGGGTGGCACTTGAAGATGGAAACGTTTCGGGAGTTCCGACGGGTGATGTCACCATAGATGGGTGAGGCTGTGTTGGGAGGACATTGATATTGATTGGAGGGCATGTTGATCCCATCACAGGTAGTTTGGTTGCTGTCTTTCAACTGACTGCTGCTCCTCTGCATACAGCTGTTCCCGAATCGTATCTGGGACATCATCATGAGTCTCTAGGACTCCACCTTGCTCCACATACCTAACGAGACTCCTCAGATGGTGCGTCCTAAGCCTGTAATGCTTTTTTCCCACTGAATCCTGCCAGCAGTACTGAGCTTCTTGACGGCATGGTGGCCCAGGGCAACGCATCATCCTATATATCTCCCGCCAAACTGAAGATTGCCCAGAAGTGTGTTCAGCATCAATCTGAGCCTCACGCCAGCATCCTTCGTGTCACTGATGATGCTCCCCTTTTGTCTGCTTTTCTGGGGTAGCTTTCCTCTATATAGTTAAAGGATATGCCTAGTCTGAGCTTCTTCCCCACTCGAAAAAGGCTGCCCACTTGAGAAGCTGCTCCTCTATAGCTGCCCAGTTAATATTAGCATTGTCAAACCGCTTGGTTAGATCACACTGGGAACGGTTGTTTACTGATACCACAATGGTAGCATCATCTAGTCTAACCCGCCGGTCATGAGATATTTTTCGTCGCAGTACATTGTCCAGCTTTTCCTTCAAAAACTGTTGCCAGTAAGAGCTTGGTGCTAAAACCAGATCCAGCTCAGTGTCCTTTACCACAACCCGGTTGTTAAGCGTAACTTTCCACTCAATTGAATAAGCAACTCGGTGGTTGCTCGTTGTATGATGTCCCTTCCTTCTAATCGGCTAGGCGGATGAGCCCAAGTCGATCCGGCTGCGGTTGCTGGGAGGCGGAGGAACACTCATCCGCGATGGATTCGGAGTAAGGACTAGCTGCTCCCGACGTAGGGCCAAAGTAACCAGGCGTGTGGGCATCTTGTAGGTTTGGGTTCCATGGATAGAGGGTCTGGATTTGGGAATCGTTCGTGGCGTAAGGACTGTCCGCTATCGTCTTGAACCAAAGTCGTGGAAGACGGCCTGTACTGGTACACGCCGTGTAAATGACAGCGGGGAATCAGTTTTGCATGAACCAGTCTCACAAACCTCAACTGTCCTGCTTGAGAGGATTGTTTCGAAATAGAAGACCCTCCAATCTGCCTGATTGTTTGCTTAGTCTGCATAGAAACTTCCAGCGATATTGTAATGCTCATACTCATTTTATACAGGCCATTGTTTTCAGGCTAGGTAAAATTACAGTAGTGAAATTTCAAGAACTAGAGTAATTACGGGCCTAACCAAGTTTGGGTTGGCTTTAGGGTTTGGGAAACAAACTGGGAGTCTTTCATTGGGAAGCTAAATTTGGGAACGACTGTCATAGGGGAAGACTTTAGAGAGATGTATCGAAGACTGTAGCAGCTCATATATAGAGCTTGGAGTGTCTCTCATGCTCTGTATACATCTGCCATCACTTCTTCCCACAGGAGCTTCTTATCCGTCATAATGCAACTCTCCCCAAAGTCTATTAACAACGGGAACTGTGCTATGAATGGAATTTTCCGGGCCGTATAGACGACACGATCATCCAGGACCTTCGTAGGCGCTGGTTGTTGTAACTCAGCCTTCTCAAATGTCGAGAACACCACGGAGAAGCATATCCCTTGCTACTAAGCGTATTGTATATGGGCAACAGTCATACATGCATCTGCGCATTTTTCATTCCATGAGCAAAAAGCTCGGCAGATATCAACTCGCCCTATATGCACAACAACCTTGGCATGGTGTGAATCTAATATCCCTTCGTAAGGAGGTCCTCCAAGTCCATTATTGGAAGCTCAAGCATTTGCATAAACCTCATCCCAAGAGATTGGTCGACGAGACAAACATGTTTCCCATGTGGCCCAAATGAATTTTGTATAGCTTTCAATATAGGTCTCTTCTTCCATGTTTGGTGATCCAATAAACATAGTCCAGATACTTATAGACATCAAACTCACGGTTTAACTTGGTTGAATTGTTGACATAAAGCTCTAAAATAGTATGTTAATCACTTTCTGGTTAGAATGAGATCATATTAGATGAATGGCGTCATCTGATGGGAGCAGCAATTGATCAGAAAGTGAGCTGAGAAAGCAGCAGAAATGGTGATGCTATCTTGGAAATGCGAAGCTAATCTCTGTGTGCAAGAGTCTTTTTATTGCTCCATCTCGAAGTGCTATGTATATAGTAGTATGGGGCTCTTAGGCGTGTCGGCATTCATGAAGTTGACTCCTCCGTGCGGTAAAGAGTATGGCCCAGGGAGATTTTGAGCCGAGAATGCATTCACCTCCTAGCCAGGGGCAACGCCAACAAGTTGGCAGCAGTTTTTAATCAACTATGCGTGCTCTTGCTCGACCGGCGGTTACCGAGTCCATTACACCACGAGCTCTAATACGGCCAATCAATGACGTTAAATAACTAGTTGACAACTGAACGGCAATAGGGGAAAAGTCGAGTTGGTACTGGTTAACGAGTTCAACCGGGATAGATCCATAGGGAACATTTACACACTCCAGGCACTGACGACTACAAATACAGGATGCCTACTGCTCCCCTTGCTGCATCTTCTCATACCTCTCCCTCGCAAGGTCCTTCGTTTTCTCCAAAAATTCATCGTATCTTCCTCGAGTGTTCCGGCTCGCTTCTTGCACTGCATCTCCCACTTTGGAGCCCTGAGCGCCTAACCCAACGCCTTGGACATAGAGCTCTGTAGCAACGGGCGCTGTCATTCCTGTGCCTTGTGCTCCAAGGCCCTTGCCGGCAGACCAACCCATTTTACCGAGAAGAGAGGCTCCTTTTGACATAGTCGGAAGAGCAGACTGCTCTTCCTCCTCCTCTACTTCCTTTTCTATTTTCTTGTCTTTCGGTTTGCTGGATGAGCCGAATACCTTACGCCTCTCCTTCGCTCGATCACGGTATTCAGCAGCCGGCTGCTGTTCTGACTGGCCATCTCTCTTCTTTGCCAGTTTCGCCACTGCCTTCGCCTTCAACTCTTCGTTTTGGAGGTTGTCACGGTGGAGCTGGCTCAATCTTTCGTGACGATGGACCTCGGCTTCAGTCTTGAACTGTCTCATGCAAAGATAACAACACTTGCGATTCAAGTCGGCATAAGACTGTGTTGGTGGAGAGGAAGCGGATGAAGGCTCGGTATTACCGCTACCGTTTTCCATGTTAGCGGAGCCGATCTCACCTTCTCGGGCTTCACCTTCGGGATTGTTGCGTTGGATGCCGTGCAACTCTGCATGTCTATCGCTCCAGAACTGTAAATGTGAAGGCATTGCCAGCTTCTTGCTGCCGGAAGCGGCCCCTACTTCTGCTTTTCGCTTCTTCATTTTGTCGCCATCCTTAGATCCCTTGGTGGTCTTGCTAGCTGCACCGGTGTCCTTTGGCTTTTCTTTCGACTCTACAATTTCAGTTGAGAGCTTTAACTCGGTTACATATGCTCCCTCATCCCAGTAGGCCAACTTCACTGACGGGTTTCCCAAAGGACTGAACGTAAAACGCTCCGTACTTGCGGTGGGATTCAAGACTGGGACGAAGACTCCAGCGTGGATATAGCTTGCTAGTACCGGTTTCGAGGATATAGTGAACGTCTCAAAGGAGTTATGGCGGGTCAAGGCGGATTGGGCATCCTGCTCAAAGTCAACACGGCTCATCTCGAGCAACGAATAATGTCTTACCTCAACTGTTGCAAACTCGGCGAAACCATATCTCCAGCTTTCGTTGCTTCGTCTGTCTCTCACCAGCAAAATTCGTCGTATGGATCCTTCCCGGGCACCCAAGTTGGTATCACCGGTGGTCGAGGCAATCTTCGCACCTTTCTTTGCTGCAGCAGCGGCTGCTTGAGACTGAGAGCCGGAGGACGGCTTGTAGAGCTTAGCAACGCCTTTGGCTAATATCTCCTCAGTAACACTTGGCTCTAAACCCCGAAAGAGCAGGAACTGGGAAGGGGTGCCATCCGGTGAGACATCATTATCACCGGTGTTGATAACACGCTGAAGTGGTTCTGCAGCAGCAGCTGGAACTTGTGTAAAATCTACAGCAGTTAGGGAGACTGGGATAGTGGAAAAATCAAAGGCCGGTGTGTAGCTTACCGGTGCGGACTGCTTGGCAGCGAAAGCACCTCTGACGGGTTGCATAATTCACTAATGTGCACTAGAAAAGAATGAGCCCACGGCTCCAATGAGAAGAACAGTCGAGCATCGACTTACGATCTTACAAGTCCATTCTCCTTCAGCCCTGGCGCGATTGCGATCTTCCCTCTCTCGACTGTAAGCAATTCTAACCTTCACACCACGACCATCAGTATGCGAAGAGCTATCCCCATATAAGTAGATAGCGGGGTAATTGCGTTCTAAAAAATCTCGAGACGCATCTAATGACGGAAAACGAAGGAAGCCCAGCTGCCGCGATATCTCTGTGCGGATTGCGTTAGCGTCTGGGTGTAGGGGAGGGCGGCGGGAAGTGGAGAGCTCACTTGTCTGGCGATCTCTGATAACCCGCACATCTTCAAGATCCTCGACATGATAGTATTGTCTGAGCTCATTGGAGATCTATTTTTGAAGAGCATCGACCGGAAATAAGCCCGGTGACATGCACATCTCAGCATATTGTCACATCCAGGGGAAGTAATGAAAAACAAAAAGGAAGTCGGTGATTTAAGCAGCGGCGAGTGAATGTTTGAGGGCGAATATTGGACTCAAAAGCGCGAGTGGAATGCTGGAAAAGAGGGAGGGGAGGTCGAACGTCTTCTTCATTCATCTCAACGGGCAAGCCCTCCATCATGACTTCCCGGCTCTCTATACCATAGTGCGGGGGCCGCCGACGGTGGCTTCGGCTTTGGGAACGAGTGTGACTGCGGGCACGGCTGCGGCTGCGGCTGCGGCTCCTGCTACGACTGTGGTATGTCGGAGAGCGGTAGCCTTCACGATCGCGGTCTCTGTAGCCCGAACGGCCGCGCCATGAAGGTGGCGAGCGACGGAAATCTTCACGGTTCCTTCCACGATAGTCGGGACGCTGGTCTCTAGCAGCTGAGAGCGCGTCATCGAGGTTATTGTTATATCTTCTGTCAGCGGCAGGCCATCGTGGGGCCGCGATCCGATTCATATCTTTTTAAGAGAGCAAGATTGAGACATCAGCACAAGCTCCACAGGGTAACGTTGACTGTCCACTTGGGGGATCTGGTGCGTAAAGTTAGCTTTTACCATGCGGAGGAGAGCGTGGACCGCCTGGTGAATGGTGCTTCTGGTCTCGGTCTCGGGCGCGTGCAGAAGGCGAGCGAGAGCGCGAGCGGGAACGAGACGGACGATCGTCGTACATGCGGCCATTGCTATCGTCATTGCGGTAGGGAGGCCGGTGGCTAGGGGCGTAATGAGACATGACGAGGTATCATCTGCGAATGAAAGGGTACGGTCAAGAAATTTTAAGGGAGACGGAGGGTGAAAAGGAAAGGAGATCGTGGGTGCATTGATGATGGTTGTGATGGTGATTCGCGATATTCTCGGGATGCGACATCACCTCATGTGACGGGCGGGATATTATTATTCCGATTAACCGGTTACGGATTAATATTGATACGGATTATCCTGAGGGAATCCATGAGTAATTGAAAACCACTCATCCCAATCTCTAGGTGCAGCAAGCATACTCATATTGACTATCATCATCTCAGGTGCTCTTGTTCAAAAAAAGGATGTTGAAAAAGTAGGGATAAAATCATCCCCTCATATGTAGGGTGCCTCAATGCATATAAGTCGCTACGGCGCACAAACGTGCTGAAATTCACGATCAATTCGGTAGCTAATCACTAGCAAAGGAAAGGAGCAGCATCCAGGGCAGTTAGGGCTACCGGGCTCATAACTGTTGAACTATCCATTCAATAAATGACATGATATGATGGATCTATTGATATAGAAGATGATATCAATGTAGATACTGTAATAATGAGCTCTCACTGATTTTCCATTCTAGCTCTGCCAGAGCTAATAAAACTTTCAAAGACACCTGGGAGATGTCCTCCTTGTGAAGCCCTGTAACTACACCGCGGAACCTTCATGTTTTTTTAAACCATGTGAGAGGCGGCTGATGGAGTAGCCAATGAATGAAGATGTTGGTGTCTCAAGGAAAGTCAAACTCGTAAGAACCTTCACAAGAGCACCAGGTTGTGCGCGATCACATTTGAAATCGCATATCTCTTTCGGGCGTGGGTAGAATGACAATTGTGGTCTTGTATACTTCAGCCTTTCTTGAACCAGAGTTGATATCAATGATATGGTCCCCTCTCTCTGCTTGTTTATCGCATCTTCAAAGTGTTAGTCGACAGCAACCTCAGTCCGGCCCTGCAACAGGTTTGGACTTACCAATATAAGAAGATGGAATTGGGAGGTCATTAACTTCAAGATTAGTACACAGGATACCTATGGCTTCTTGAGTAATTTCCCTAAGTTTATCAGGCCTGTTGAAGCAGCAATAAATTGCCATCAATTCAACAAGTCCCTGAGGGAAGAGGCACTCAATATTATCAGGTTTCACACTGTCAACCCAAACATCAGAAAATGGTAAAACAACTTCATTGAAATAGAACTGGTCGACAAGACAGGAAATCTGAACCATTATCCTCTGAGAGACTGTACACAGCACATTACTCATCCGAACCTGACATATATCAAGTAAGATGGTCAGGGCTTCTGGGTCATCATTAGGCAAGAGGATCTCTACACAAGCAGTTGATTGAAGAGTAGTGCTTTCCCGGAACTTCCCTTGCAGCGTCTGCTTGAAGACTATAGAAGCTAGGTTTAGATGTTTGGAAGAAACCTGCATGTGAGTTTCTTGATGGGGAGCCTGTCAGATATGTACACTTAGCCCAAGTCCCCATTCAGTGTAATGCCTCTGAGATGTGAGGTGTGGTACCTGGTTTTCGACGTAGTCCCCTATTCAGAAATTGTTAGCTCCCAGTTCCAACAATGGAATGCAGAAACAGACCAGCCTGTGGTATAATGAGAATCACATCTCCATCAGGATCAAAACCCTCTTTTCTGCCTGTTCCATTTGGGCAGGGCTGTTGTCTTTAAGAAAGCAGTCTATGACGGCTTTGACGTCCCATAGATGACATATTGCAGGATTCTAACGTTCCACTCATCTGAGGGGCGTTACGTTCCCGGGCACTAACTAGTTAGTTTAACTAACTAATACGCGCGTGGCCGGATGTCGATGTGTAAAGTGCGCAACATATGTTTGAAGGTTCAAGGCCTTCTAGCTGCCGTAACTGCTCTAGGGACTGTTCCCAGCCCCTGCATTTTTACAGCTTTCTCTTATCGCGTATTAATTTTGTTGCTTGTCTGGGGCCTGCTCAGGGACTGCTAACTCTCTCAGCTGTGAGATTGCATTGAGTTGGGGATCTAGTCTACTACGGAAGCTCTCAGGTGTATCTTTCATGAAACTACCCTCCTGTATAATAGTTTGAGACATGGCATAATTTTTAGGTGAATGGACATAGATCCAAGAACACTCTCTTGGGTCAGATGTTCTATTGAGGGCATCTGTCTCAAGAAAATCCTCTTGTGAAGAAATACCTGGCCTGGGCCAATGTTACAAACTAGTTACGAAATAACCACTGGATCGCCACTGGCCAGAAGCTTCATGGAACACAGCAGAAGGTGACATTGTATATGTGAGGTCTATATAATAGAGGTTAATTGCTTGGATTCTGGAGAGAGGCAAGCAATCAGTCTTCCGTTCTTTAAATATACTGTGAAAGTAGCTAGTTAAGAATCTATATGGTCGCAGCATCAGAGAAATTGACACCAAGGTCATATGCCTACTTCATACAACGCAAGATGCGCTCTAAGCAAGATATTGTGTCATTATACAATTCCCGGGATCAGCCCGATGGGACTCTTGCACTGACCCTCATCGACTTCCCCCGCTGAGTCTGCCATGAGTTAGTGACTGCGGCTCGTGACGAGTAACTAGACGAGAAACTTACGCGAGGCATTCTCCAAGGCCGATGACCGAAACGTAGTTAAAGACCAGAGTCTCCAGCTGTACAGTATAGCATCACCGGCTTTGTTTCCGCTCCCTCGACGGGATGATATTTGTGGAATAGCGATGTAAACCGGGCGATGCCGCCAAAGCTTTAAATGAGCATCGAACCCTGGAATGACTGGTTCACTTTTGTCAGAACCACTCGACACGGGTAAATCCGTGGCGGCCGCCGTGGACTGGTCCACAAGGACCCAGATCTAAGCGCCGTGAGGCTCGTTCTGGACTGCCAGCTTCAACCACCCATGTCTTCCCAGAACTCTATCCGGGCTGGATCTATATCAGCTTCACTCTTCAACGGCACGGCGTAAACTGCCAATAAGCCTTGATTTCATCCGTCATAAAGCATTAACGCTTCAATATTAGGGCATATAAAGATGAAGCGAATGATGCTTTGTTTCACCAAAGCCGGAACGAGATTGCTACCCTTTCTTGCGAATCAAACGTCGCCACGGTGAGGTTTGGTGGCTGGGATGTTCTCTCGTTGGCGCGATCATCTTCATAGCTCCATCCTCAGTCCCAGCCTCCCCCCTCTCGCTAAGGAAAACTTCACCCAACCACCTCAAATAATACCTTTCAGAGGAGCCAGGGCCATGAAATGTGACGAGGTAATCATGGCTCTTGTCATTAATAATGGGCCTCCCCACTCCGGCTCTGCGAGTTTCTTTCTTTCCCCTGCGCTCCCTTCACTTCGCCTTTCTTTCACCCCCGGCGCCCATTGAATGAATGACGCAGAATGGTCTCCAGTGGAACTGCTACCTTGAAAACTGTTGACAGTAAGTTTGAAAGTAGTCGCTCCTGGTTCTGTGTACTCGCAAAACATTCCAAAGAGCACACACAGCACTGTTTTTTTGCGCTCGCTAACGGTGATTCGCGATGGCTCCAGGAAGCAGGCCGCAGTTGGTTCACACTCCCTCGCAGCAATCCGTTGCTGCGTCCTCTGACTACTATTCGTTGTCCGATGCCACTGTCAGCTCCGGACAAAGCAGGATCACGGTAGTTCGATACCAGACACCTCCGTCACGGACGGTAACTCCCGCGGAGAATATGATAAACAGTGCCCCGAGGGATCAAGCTGGCAGGCTGTCGGATCCTCAACTGGCCGGTTCCGCTTTTCGGGCTGGCGCACGAACAGATACAGCAACTCCCACTCCGGCCGTCGATGATACTCCGTACATTCGTTTTGCAATCGATCAACTGACCCGCGATGAAGAACTGCGTGGTCAGGGTCGCCAGGGAACCATTGTCAGCACGGAAGACTATCCCATTGAACGAATCATCCCCGATGAAGGCTTAGGATATTATACACCTCCTTTAATACGGCGGGCGGATGAGCCAGAGCAGCCGGAACAGCCACAACAACCGCAACAGGAGCCCGAAAATCCTCCCCAACATGACCCGGCTGGTGAGCAAGATAGCATCCGTTTTTACAGCCAGTTCTAACAACTTTATTCTAGCATTTTTTATTCCAGTGGATCCCCCACGAGACAGATATCAATATCCTCCGCTTACCGCTGCTCCGTGCATCCTCCGTCCATTGCTACTTTGCCCTCTCATCTTTTCATGTCTCTGTATGATTGCTGCACTGGTTTTCTGCAGCGTATGGTGCCAAAAGTACGACTGGTTATGGGAATATAACGGTTTCGGGGGTTCGAGGTATTTCGTTTTCGAATTTCTGCCCCAATTGCTGGCGATTTTGATCGTTATTTGCGTCTTTGTCGTTCAAGCCGCTGTCTATCGGGTGATCCCCTTCTCCATCATTGCTCGAACGATCAACCGGCAACGTGCCCTTCAGAACTTGCCCATGTTTCCACGGAACTTCCTCTTACCCGATCTGTCCCACTTCCAACATGGCGAACCATTGATTGGGGCTTGTCTTCTTGTTATCTGGGCGACGAACTTCATTACCGTTCCACTTCAGAGCTGCCTTTTCCAGCCAAAATGGTACGCTGGTGGCGGTGAGGCCGGGTTTAAGTGGACCACCGTTCAGCCCATTGCCTGGTTGCTGGTCGCAGTATACGCGCTTCTTGCAGCAGCCCTTGTTGCAATAGCGCTCCGGTTTAACTTGGGAGTCACCGGACTACAGTGGGACCCGATCTCCCTCGCCGATATCATTCCAATGATTCAGAAATCCAATATTTTGCATGACTTTGATCAGGCTGAAATCGCCGATAGAGTGGAGGAATTCCTTCCTCCGCGCCCGGTTCGTCTAGGATACTGGAAAACCTCAATGCACCAGGAAATTTTCTACGCGATAGGAGAAGAAAATGCACCATTGCATCGCCTGCCAGAACGGAGCGAGGTTCGTAATGAAAAATCTCGTGCGAAAGAAATGGAAACCGAAGAGGTTGATGTAGAACGGCAGCAACTTAACGACAAAAACTCTTTCGAAAGAAACCTGCACTCTCCATTTATTCGATTCCGATGGGCTCCTTGGTTCCTGCGGGATACTTTTGTAGTAGCTTGGATCGTGATTGCGGTCGTCCTTCTCATCGCTTTTATGGTTGTTAGCTTCGTCAATCAACCCATACGGAACGGGTTCGCCCCTCTTCTTTCGACGGTTGTGTCATCCTCAGGTTTCTCTCCGTCTAATTTTCTTTACAGCTTTATTCCGGCGCTGATTGGAAACTTCTTTTTTCTGGCCTGGCAACCTCTGGATGTTTATTTCCGCGCTATCCAGCCTTTTGCATCTCTCTCCTCTCCCTCCGGAACCTCCGCTGAATCAAGCCTCCTCCTGAGCTATAATTCGTGCTTTCCTGTGGAGATCACTTTTGTTGCTCTGGCTAATCGTCACTACAAAGTCGCATACATCTCCTTTGTTGCGTTGGTATCTCTAGCAATCCCAGTCCTTGCCGGCGGCATGTTCATGGCTGAATGGTATTCTGGGGAAAGCGAGCTCCGAGTTTCGACGCACCTACCCGCATTTTATGCCCTCATCGCATTTGTTATGCTCTACGCCCTGTCTTATTCTATCCTCTGGCCCCGCCGAAAGAGATACCTCCCGCATAAGCTCTCCACCTACACGGATCTGATCAGCTTTTTGTACCAAAGCCCCCTTCTCTCGGATAAAACGTTCCGTGAACCGAAGACCAAAGTAGATTTGGTCACTCGGACAATCATCCCGCCTCCAGGAGAGGGCGGGACGGCGCTCTATGCCTTTGGAGTCTACCATGGACTAGATGGCAAGGAACACCTAGGAATCGATAGGCTAAGACGTCCGGAAAGGGGCGAAATGTTGGTTTCTCCACCACCGGGTGGTCGACCATTTTCGATGTAGCGATATTTTCTTTCTGCATTTTCTGTTGCATCCATGGAGTCTAAATTTCGGAATGTTCGCGCATACAGTGGTGGCTCTTTGGGGTTTATTTGGTTTCTGTGAATTTTTTATGAATGCCTAATGATAATGATTGATGTCGATGAGATAGACTATTCAGAAGCCTTACAAAAAACGAAAGTGAAATGAATATGAATACGAGAGGACGCATCTAGATGCCAGGCTTATGAAGTTTCCGAATCGCTTCGTTTTCGTGATTGCTTCTATTTTCCTTTTTTTTTTTTTTTTTTTTTTTTTAAAAAAAACCCTCGTTTGCTCGCATACAAGCTTCCAAAGTCCTGACTTAAGTTAACCACGAACAACCTGTGTATTTAAACCAGAAGATGTGTATAGATACGAAATTAGATATAATCAAAAATAGCTCGATTAAATCCACCAAGTAGAAAGTCAATAAAGAAATTTCCTCACTAGATTATGCAACCGACTCTGTCGTTTTTTTTTTCTCCTGCTATCCCCTCGATTCCCCGCAGCGCTTGTACCTGATGAGCTCGACAATGAGCCCTCAAGAACATCACTACTATCCGGCGACAAGTCATTACCACTCCGGCCTTGGCTCGAGCTTGCTGCTTGTACATCTTGGGTGGGTTCGATATCGGAAGCTGGAGGTCTCCGTTTCTCCTCCCATTCAAAATTCGCGCTTTCACGGGGCGGTGCAAGGCCCAGATGGACAGATTCCAGAACTTCTCTCGCTTGCTTATGTATAAACGGATAGGAGCCATTGGTAGAATCCCTGAATTCGATTTGTTCGTTGGGAGTGACTGCAGGTGACAAGGGATTTGATGATCCTGGGCTCTGATCGCTTATCGTAGAGGTTGCCTGTAACGGGAAGCGAATCGTTTTTTCGTCGACATTGCCCTCGGAAGGGGTGTTTTTGACTTGCAAATATTCCAGAATAGCGGCTTTTTGGAGGCTGATTTCTTGTCCTGTATACGGGGATCTCCGGGGAAAGTCCTGATTTGATAATATATGCTCCCGATTCTTAGAACTGCCGGGCCTGTCAGTATTTGACGAATTTGATATATTGAAATATGCGACATTGCCTCGTTCTGCTGGTCTCCCCCTAGTCTGAGGCCCAATTTGCAAGAATCCTCCGTATCCCCCGGTCCTTTCAGGTCGTCCCCTACCGTTAGAACTAGAGCTCAAAACCCGTGGAGTGTCTTCCGTAGTCGCCATAGGTGCCGAGGGCATTTTGCGAATTGATAGCGGAGGGACCTGCATCGAATCTTGGCGCATAGGGAATTTTCCTTTGTGAAGCGCGCATGACGCTGGTAATGAAGTTTGGTGAGTATGGTGAGTATGGTTCGTGGAATCAATGCCCAGGTGTTCATCGGGCTCATTTCTATTCGCTGTGAAGTTCGGCAACGTTTCATGAGAACCTAGTCTCTCTTGATGGCGAGTCTGGGGTGACATAGGTCGGGCTAAATTCAGCCTTACTGGCGAATGTAACCGATTCCCTGGTGCCGGTGATTCTGTGTGTCTCTGCCCTGGAGTATCGTCCCAGGTATAATTAAACATCGTGTATGGACTATCCCCTGTATTGGGGCTCCTGTGGTAATTTCTTGCATTAACCTGTTTTCGCCGCGGCCGGGCTGTTCTAGCGCTATCTTCGGAGTCGTAGACGCTGTCCTCGGGCATGTGCCTATATTTTTCAATGATTGACGAAACAGAAGACGTTACGGCTGATGCGAGCGACTGCGATGCACTGTCATCTATTGACTCGTTGCCGATTGTCACCACGTCTAGATCAAGGTTTTGTATGTGAGACCGTGGAAACGGGGAATGAGAGGATATCACGGCATGATCGGTGACTTCTGGCGGGGGTCGGGGAAAGTGTTCCGGGTTCACTTGCATAGGGGGGTATCCATTCATATGACCTGGTGCGTGAGGACCCTCTAGAAGGGGGGGACCAGTCCTGGATCTCAGGTTTTCAACTGGGGTCGGAATCGTAGCACGAGTCCCAAGGCCCCTTTCTAGTTTCTCAGGGCCAGCGTTATGGCTGTCGCGGGTGCGCTTGTGACGTCGACCTATCCGGAAGAGACCGACAAAAAGGCCGAAAACCATGAAAGCGGCGAGGATGATCAGGGCCACCAGAGCTGCAGAAACAGGCTCAGATTCTGTTCTGGCTAACACTGGGAAGGATCGCCTAGTCCTTTTGGCTTCGGGTGTAACATGCCCAAACAAGGGTCCGACGGGGAGAACAGCAATCATCATCCAAGTGCACTGGGGCTGTTGCTTTCTGATAAACCCTGAAATCCAATATGCATGTTGCCATTGATATGAATGTGCCACAAGAAGAAAGAGACAGCTTGAAAGATGCTAGAAAGTGAAAGGAAAGGTGGTATCCAACAAAGCAAACGAATGCTAGATACTGTGGTGACCTTTGTGCAGAGATTTAGATGGGGAACTCCCAAATTTCATATGATATAAGCCCTTGAAGCCATCAATTCTAAGTGTGAATTGAACTTGGGACATGGCAAGTTAATGAAAAAAGTGAATGTAAACCTTTTTTATTGGTAAAGTTAAGACTCCATCATCTGTGAAACATTCTGTTTTCTCAAGGTGCTGTTATTTCCAGGATCGTCACGGCGGGAGTTCAATTCTAGCCCAAAGGTCAATAAGGCAATGGGGGGATTTGCGGGGGCAAGTTTGCATTGTCTCTATGTTAACACCAGTGCCTATTACATACTGTTAGGATGTTCGGTCCACCGGCGAATTTTATCCGGGCGTGCCTCAACCCCGAGCGATTGTGAAGATGTGCTTTTCCCAGGAGCTATGACCTTGCCACGGGTAGAAGGATAGGGGTAAAGACAATGTTATTTTGTAGCATGGTGTGGTAGTTGTGTTTTGAAGGCGACGTACTTTCGATAAGATTTCCTCGTCCGCTGGGCCTTAAATCATCGAGTAAAACGTCAATACTCCTTCACAGATATGGGTTTTATGTGGCAACAGTATGCACAGGCCGCTCTGGCTGCAGTTAGGGTCAATGCGAGCCTGCAAATGATCTGATGAACCGCAACTTTGAAGTTTCTGGAATAGAGGATTCGTTCTTCGAAAATTGGGCTTTTACTCCTTGACCCCGGCCCGTAGTACGCTAGTGAGAGTGTAATAGGGACGATAACGTAGCACACAGGTAACCATTATGGCCACAGAGGATGGCTTGTCGCAACTGGGTCAGCAATCGACCCGGACGGGGCGTTGTGACATAGAGCTAGGGATTGAGAGACGATGATCCGCGATTGTAGTGGGCGAGAAGTGACAGAAAAACGAGTTACTTTCTGCCAAAAACCAGAAAGCCACAAGGGCCTTCAAACTATTTCTCAGGGAAGTTGGACAATTTGTGAGTATCATGGCTGAGAGATGTGTCTGTCCACAGCCCCAATAGGCTGGGGTGAAGTCGTCGCAGATTAGGATGTGAATTTCGCAATTATGCAATTGTTTCTTCCAGGTCTCACTCAGCACATGCTTCAGTGGCAAGCACTGGCATTCATCCCGGCTGCAATGATGAAAAGGACCGAGCCCTTCCATTGTGCAATTGGTGATTAAGACCTATGACAATTTGATGAATGTTTCTTGACTTGTTGATCGATTCGGAGTGGATTATTTATTATCCAGACAACACAAGTTATAACAACCTCCTCCCCTTGTTCACTGGATGTAACTAAATTACTTCTCCAGGTGGCTGATATATACAAGTGTAATGGATGTATGTATGTACATACAACAAGCTAAACAACTGGATGAGCCATTGGCATCTGGGTTCTTCTCCATCCGAATCTGCATCCGGCAAAACCCGAGTTCAAGGCGCCCTTGACAGTCTCGATGAAGTTGCCGTTGGCATACGCTTGGCTGGCGTCCCACAACATCACGCCGCCGAAGCTGGAGAACTTCCTGGAGTACTTGACAATTTCTGCGAGCTTTGATGCGTCCACGTACCCAGACCCGGCAGCTCTCTGATTTGCCGGGGCGCCGACGATAACCTTCACCTTTTTGTTCTTTGACACGGTCTTGGCCCACTCGTTCCATTCGCCTAGGTTAAAGGATTTTTGCTCTTCTTGTCCAGGCTCGAAGGTGTTCAAACCGCAAAAATTGTTATAAAACTGGACGAAAACAGCGTCAAAATCGACTTTACCTTCGAGCATCTCCTTGTTATACAGATCTGGGTAAGGGCATTGCGGTGCAACCGTTAAGAAATACTTCTTGGAAGCATCGGCCGCCATCAAGCTCCGCAGCCGATTCGCAAAGGGCACCATGTTACGGACGGTCGCCTCAAAGTCGAGATCGAAGCCATCCACGGTAGCATCTCCAAATGGGCGCGGCCTTGATGAATTCTTCTGAGGTCCAAATGTTTCCCAAATCAGGTTCGCGCCAGCAATGGCTTCCTCTTCCGTTCCAAACCCCCCTTCACTATACGTCGCCCCTCCAATGGATAGAATAATGGTTTTCCCTTTGCCTTGGCACTTGGTAATGTCCGCTCTGGGTCGAACCTATGTCAGCCCTGAAACAAGTCTGCTTGCGAATTTCAATTCACGATGGATTTTGGCTTACCCAATCTGGGGGCAATTTAGCAAGTCCGTGCCGGGGAAAGTTGTACAGTTGTCGCCCTGGTTGGCAAAATTGACTTGAGGTGCACCACCAATTCCATTGATCACTGTCACGAAGGCGAGCTGGAATACCTGAAAGTGGAATCTGTAAGTATGGGAATAGTACGCAGATCGAAACCTTTTCATTTCATACGTCAATGTTCGTGTCTATTTGATGCATTCCTTAGTTCTCTTGCTGACATGCTGATCATTTCTCACTAAATTACGGATATGATCACCCACTTTCACAATAGTAACCCAGGGGTTGTTGCGTTAGATTGCCAGAGCCTTGGTTATAGGAGTTCTGTCCTACACGGTACTGCCTTAGCAAATGTCCTTCGAAAGCTGATGTCCTGGTGGATGTCGGTGACTACACACCCCAGTAAACAGCGAGGTTGCTTGCTGAATCGGTGTCGAGGCGGGCATATGCAGCGTTGAAGAGCCCTATCACGGGTAGAAGGGCAGTTCGAAGACAATACATGTTCTATCAGAATTCATAAATTGTCCTTTTGATTAGCATCGCCCTAAGGGGGGAGGTATTGATTCCATGCATAACATCTTCCAAAGGTGAAGGAAGGAATAGGAGCCCCCTTTATATTCCTCTGGCCCCGGGCTTTTTGTATCTTGCGCATGGCGGATTCTCCAGTCCTCACGCCCAAAGATGCCTGGGAACATGCCAACTGTCGTAGTGGGACGGCATGCACGCGGCCATCGCGAGGATGGTCATCCTGAAACGGTATCTCAAACAGCCGGAGAGATTTTGACGAGGGAGGGTGGACTAATGGAATGTGACCGTACGGTATGTGGCCAGCTTCTCATCATGAGAAAACGATGAGTTCAATGGATAATCCATCTGAAATCCATGGAGGGTCATCGATGCAGCGTGGAGGGTTGCAGAGGCGAGTTTTATCGTGCTGTTTCCATCCAGCATGCATTCCCGGAGCTCCCACCTCAAGATCTGAGATCTCAGAATGGTGCAGAGCTGGAGCTGACCCTCCAAAATCTGGATAGCCCGCCGAAGATCAAAAGAGATCTTCATACTAAAAGGGCATGAGTGTAGATAAAAGGCGTCGTCACGTCCATGGTGGTGGGTGTGGTTGTTGAGAAAATAAACTGTGCAGGTTCCGACGGAGGTCAGGTTTCACGTTTCATGTTCATCCCACGAATCAAAACATGATTTTTTAGGTTTTTCATGGCCCGGCCATGAGGAGAAAATAGGTGTAATTGCATTTTGTAGGAATTTTAAGGCCCTGTGATGCTGTCAGAGCGGACGAGGATGATCTGCAGGATCATGCGTAACCAGCGATCACCCTCACTACAGCAGAGAAACTAGACTAGGTGGCAACCAGAATGCAGTCCTTATACAACCAGGGTGGGATAAAACTGCGGGTGAATGGATCGGAGCGCACATGGAATTTCCCTCGGATCTGGTGTCACCGGTTCGATATTACGTGGAGCCCCTTGGTCCAAGCAAAGGGAAGAAACGGTTCTACTGTAGAGCAAGATTTAAAGACGTGACAAACAAATCCTCGTAAGATCTTGCTTTATTTAGCGGTTCAACTATGTACACATATTTGAGAAATTCCTGTAACGAAAGGTCAGGAGTTCACTGTCTGTTCCCGATCTACTTGGGACCATATTTACAAATCGAAACAAAAGCCAAACCGTGCCAGCGTTTTAGCAGTTGACGTAGATAGCTGGGAGGAAATATTAGTATTAAAACTTTAAATTGAAATTGGACGTGGTCTGCGACTTAGGCTTACCGTTTGCAAAGAGGGAATACGTGTCTGCGTTGAGGAGGGCCTGCTCAGGACTAAGTTTTCTGATGCCGTCGTATCCGTACGCATGATCCCGACAGTAAGGATCATAGACACCAGGGTTGTGGGTGAACTCATGGAGGCAAGTAGTAGCCTGGTCTTGCGCGTGGCATTCATCGCTGATTACTGGCAGGTCGTAGTAAATTGGGCAGTTGACGACGACGTTAAGAGATGGGAGGGTGTACGCAATGGTGTTTGGTGTACACTGATTACCGCGATCGTTGCAGAAGTAGCGGGTCGCGCCGCTATCGGTTGAGGATGATTCCTGAGCAACAGCATTGAGTCGGGCAACAATAGTCTCAACAGTCTGTGCATCAGACTTCATGAAGTACTCCTCAACCTTCCGGGTATTATTCTGAGCGGCCTGCGCTGCAGCTCTTGAAAGCTGAGCAGAGTACTCGAGTGCCTTCAAAAGAGTCTCCCTTTGTTCCCCTCTGCAAGCACTCTCCACTCTGGTGCGTGCACTAATCGGATTGATTGCCTTGGAGACTGTGGCGGCAAGGGCACCGTCAATGTCAAGGTCAAGTTTGTTGGACTTGAAAGCGACAGCTCCAGCAATCGTGGTTCCATCGCCTTCCGCAAATGGGATGGCGCCCTGGGAGAAAACAGAATAGGCGCCACCACTGGCTAGATCAGCGGTAGAGGCGATATCAAATTCCCTTTCAACAGTCTGACCGGGACTGAGGGAAACAAAAAGGCTCGGCTCGAGGTTCTTCATGAGAACACGCCGCAGCATACCTTCAAATTTCACGGGTTGGCCTGGCAAGTACATCGGAGTCAGTTAGGTTTTGAAGGAAACATGATTGAGATTAGCAATACCGTCCTTGAAGACACCAGCCTTCTGGATTGGGCCGTCGTCGAAGAAATTGTTATATTTCAGCAACTTCAACTGACGGTCGGCCTTGTTGGTAATAACCGCCTTGATGCGGGTGTTACCAATAGCACTGAGTTGAACATCAAGCTCCGACCCAGTCGCCTGGGGAATGGTAAGAGAGAGGACGGGGTTTGCTAGGGCCGCCAGGGCCGCCACAATCGAGGGAAACAACATAACGAATTGAGGAGCAAAGTGTGAATAGGGGAAATTATCAGCCGGGGTACGCCAAGCAGAGTTTGATTCACCTAAAGGTCTGCTTGCTTTCTAGGGCAAACGACAGGAATGAAAAGTGATAAGCCTTCTTGGTGGTCGGAAGGGTTATATGTTCGTTCAGCATGATGCTTCGGCTCGTAATTCCTCCATCGGCCGAGGTGACCATCACCGTTAGCCGCCGAAAACAATGATTCTTCATGGATTTCCAGGGTTGCATCACCGTTGATTTTAGTTGCCAAGGGATACCGATCAACATAAACGCCGTGTTCTGCTCGAGACTTATTCCCGGGGGGTTGGGACGAGGATAATATTCCCTTGTGGTGGCGGGTAAAGGGTAAAAGGAATGGCCATCAGCCATGAGAGCATCGACGGCAGCTGCCAGTGCACCGGCCATAGCTGATGCATGCGAGGGTGCCAAGTCTAGACGGATATGCTCGATAATCATTGTAGAGAAAGGACGAAAGAAAATATCGCTGCGTAACGCCGGTAATTTGGTTGCTCACGTACTGTCTCGACCGACAAGCCTGCTAGAGTTTCTATCGGGTAGTTGTGCCGAAGCTGACGTGGGAGCAGCGTATCTTAATTCCAACCCGGCTTCGAGTAAGGACCCAAATGCGGAGCGAAGTATGTACATCCTATGGCTGAGCATACAGTGTATATGAATATATATGTATAGATTTTGTGTCTATACATCCAGCACATACGGATACCATGCAGTCCACGCACCTGGACAAATGGTCGAGCGGGAAAAAACCGAAGCCTTCTTTAAAGTGGTGGCTCCCCTTCAGCACCGAATCACCGACGACATTATCAGGCCGGCTGAGGCGGAAGGTTGCCACGAGAAGAATAAACAAAAGTCGGCGATCAAAATGGGGACGCTAAGGTTTCAAGGCGTCTAATCTTGCTGATCTGCTTCAGAGATCGACACACCAGAAACGCGTGGAGACGGCGCAAAGAGGGCTTTGAAGTTGTAAGGGAAAAGGTCGCCCCTGGATCCCTGCCGTGAGGAAGCGAATGACAGGGATCTCATCCTCATCTTGGCCCCCGGCTCTGGCGGGGGTTTCATTGATTGATCTCCGATGCAGGCTTGGACAGTTTTTAATGAGCACCAGTGATTCAATCGAAGCAGGCGGCTTTGTTCCGTATGCTTCTAGAAAACGATACCAACTCTGCATGCCAGGGCTTTAGACAGCCAGTTTATGAAGAGATCTTCGGAACTGCCCGCTCTTAGTAAAGCTTGTTTTCTTTCAGGAGTGGCCATCTGGAGAAATCTGCGCAGGCACAGAAGTCTTCGTTCTGCCGCAGATGGAACCGTCCGGCTCCCGATACCCTGGAATTTGCGTTTATATCTCCCCAAGGAGAGAAAGAATCTACCGACAATCGTGGGGAAATGGTCCATCGCGCGGGGGTCCAACCCTAGCCCTGGCCCCGACCTCCGTCCATCGAAAACATGCATCGTAGGTATCTTTCTTTGTCCAGCCCCGCACCCGGATAGCATGTAGCATTGATAGCCGCATTGTACGTCGAATCTACGGTCACGTACCCCTCTTTGAGCCCCCAGAGACCAAGATAAATATACTTGTTATGTAGACGAAGATCATCGGAATAGGCTAGCACTCCCAATCTGAAATCTGACGTGAACGACAACCTCAGCGTCGTGGTTGTTGCTCTTGGCTAGAATTCCAAGCGAATGCTGGGCTAATATTTGACCGAAGAAGTTCACCGAGTCTGTGTCGAGCCGAATTTCCATCAGGGAGCAACCCCGGGATTCATTGCTGACGGATTCTTCTCAAGGGGCCATGGTATGCACAGGACATCCGTACATCTCGGAATAGAGTCAACGGTCGTTGCAGCAGGAGACGAAGGTCCACAGTAAGCAGGGGTTATAACCGGGCTTGAAAGCTTGAGATATCAATCCGTGCCCCTGTTACTGACTTTGTCACCGTCACATGCCTGTCGTCAAAGTGGGAATGAAAATAGGATTTGGTCCTAAGCAAATGAAAATTGGGGTCACAGTTGGTTCAGGCCCAAACAGAGCAGTGAATGGGGGATTGACGAGTTAACTAACTAACTAGTTAGGGTTAAGTACGCTGCAGCAGCTAGTTACCAAGACAAAGACCAAAAACCTCAAACAACTGCAAACCTGAGCAACCAAAAAATCATCACTGAGCACAACAGATACCCAGATTTCTCTTCCTTTGAGCCAAAGTCAATATCATGTGCAAGGAGATATCACAATAATGGTGAATCTCATCGCAAAGATTCGTAGAGACCTTTTTGATGTGCTGCTGATTCATATGTGCTGCTCTCACGTCTTTTCCCCTCTTTGGAATACTTCACTTCAATTCTTTGTGATGATTTAGTACCTTGAGATAGTACTAGATACATTGCTGTACACTCTGTCTTATCCTGAGCAGACAATATGCCTATTCTGCCTCAAATACTCAGATGCGTGCAACTGCCGGGGATCCTGGGGAAAAGGGATTGCTGAAGCTTTCAAGGCAAAGGTGACTTGATTTCTACCTGCTGCTGTGCTTCTATCAGAGCGGATATCCAGTTTGCTTCCACATAAAATCTTGGACGGCATTCTTTTAAGCTGTTGAAGTTGAAGTGGGAGCATATATCAGAGATGACTCACTGGAGTCGCGATCATACCCCGTACCCTCAAGGCTCGAAATTCTATTCATTACTAGGAATAATGCACCAGTACCCGGCCGCATTCCGTCTCTTCCGCGCTCACTGTCGAAAATACCTCCCACTGCAAGCCCAAAACCAGAAACAACCAAGACACATCCGCACATACGAATGGGATATCAGACACGGTGGGCAGTGATAGTAGCGGCACTAGATACCCCGAGGGCACAGTCCTGATAACCCCGCCCCAGCCACAAGATTACAATCCCCAGTGCCCCAGACTCGACATGCGATGGAAGAGGGCGCGGAAGAGGGGCTACAGGGGCACGAGGACGAGGACGAGGAGCGCGAAGGAGAGCACGAGGAGTTGCAAACACAACTGCATATGCACCAGCTGCTCCATCTAAAAAGCACTGGATAGTCTGCCTCTTCATGTCCTGGCACTACGGCCCGCGAAACCGGGACCCATCAGAGGTACCTCTGCGGAATACAGTCAGTGTGATAGTGGAATTTGAAGACGCAGGTGGAGAGATTCCGTCGGGAAGGACAGGGTGCGGGGAAATTGTTTGCATGCAAGTTCAATTCAGGACTCTTTGCTGTGCCATGGGAGCAGACAAGAGAAGTCCCTCAGAGGTCAGGGTTGGAAGTGACTGTTGTGAGTCGCATGGAGGAGTGGTTTATTTGGGATTTGGCCTAAAGGAGTGGCTTGCAGTTCTAAAGTACCCTAGACTTACCCATTTTCTATCCCGTTATGCTTCTGATGTTCTGATACGACAAATGCATAGAATTCCAATCAATGGAATTATCATTCAAGCGTCGATCCTGGCTACCTCCTGGCTACGAAGGCTCAGTATCAACACAGTCTCCTGTAGCACAGGAAATATTTGCCTTCCTCCACTCGAGAATGCCGATTTACACAATGGTATGTGATCAGATTCTCCAGGCTGTTCAAGTACTATGCCAAGAAGCACTTGTTTCGTGCAGCGCTTGCGCGATGTTTGCCTCTTCCCCCCATCGACAGGGGGTCGACATGATGCAGTATCACCCATCTCTCCACATTATCCCAGCACCCAGCCAGCCATCACAGAACTCCGGGGCGGCCCGCGCGGGAGACAACCCTAATGACGCCCTTGATTCCTGATCCACAATATCTGGAGTACTCAGGCTGGCTGAATCTGGGATACTAACAGTCCATAATCCCTGCTGATATTGTGATTGAGGCGAGTGGGAGAGAAACATCACTACTCCTCCAATTATTCTTCCATGACACGCGAAAGACCAGTTGCAGCAGCATCTGATGGTCTCTGGATGAGGGGAAGTCGGATATTTAAGCCCATCTATTTCCTCTTGGGACTTGATTGCCTTGTCTGCTTATCTCCTCACTTCAGCTCCTATTCGCCTTTATTTGTTCATTTCTTTTAGGCAAAAGCTCACTCTTCGCATCATGGCTACAGCCCACCCTGAAGGAGAGGTCTTCTTTAGGAAAAGTTCTCTCAAGCTAGACACATTCAATGCTGATGATCCCAGGTCCTTTTACGGACATTTCCTAATTGAGTTCGCCAGCAACGAGTACTTTGCAAGACAACACCACGAGTTGCCCCCAGCGCGAACGCATCCGCGCTCAACGTATCGCCGCGAAAGGGCTTCTGGCGTTCCAGACCGCCAGTGGCGGTATGGATTTTGGGAGGAACTCCCTGTTAGTCTAGGGCAAGCCGACAGCATACGCAGGCGTTTTAACGTCCCTCTGGAGACTACTGTCAACCGTTTTAGGGACAGAGCCAATGGTGGCGCTCAGCATGTGAGTAAATAGTACATGCAATCTAGGTTTTCCATCTGTTGCTAACCATCCGTGTCTCTCCGCAGGTTTGGGTCCATCCTTGCCCGATGCCCACCGAGCAAGAAACGTGGGCCTGGTTTGATGTCAGTACCTTATCGGGATGCTCCTGTTCTTCGCTCGAAAGAGAGAAGTCTGACGCGCCAATAGATGCTTATCCCGATTCGTGCCATCTATCTTCCACTATCGCAGGCGGCAGAAGAATCCTTCCCCCATCTTTGCACATATGTCCAGATTGTCTTTTATCAACAAGGCGTGCGGGACGTATGGCGTCCAAACCAGGGCCGGTTTCTAAGCCATACATTTACCACTACCCATGGAGTTGGTTTTGCTCTCGGCTTTACATTGGGCATCAACATTCACGGTATGTTGGACTACCTACCTACCTAATTGGCTTTTTTTTATCACTAATTTTCCACGTGCAGAAAGCATGAAGCTCCTTGGTCTACCACCAAAACTCCGTAATACTAATATTTGGCGAGAGAAGCTGATCGTCATACGCGGTCGCGACGAAATTAGGACGCAAACCAGGACTGCGCTGCCCCCGCCCCGGTTTGATTTTGTCGACTTCATCAATGCCAATTTCGCCGTTGAGGTGATTTGGAAGCCCGTGCCGCCACGAAGCTCGTTCCTCCTTAACCTCATTGAAAATCTTATAACCGCCGCCCTGGACCTGGTCCCTGTCGTGGGACCCCTATTGTCGGCTAGTTTCACAGCTGCATGGCTTGCAATTACTGATCCAGAAGCCTTCGCAGAGTGGGCGGCAAACGGTGGCTGGTTACCTGATTACCTTGATGCCATGAGATCTAGTTGCCGTTCCATGGGGAAATACATCGATCCAGGGTTCTTGAGTGGTGTCCGCGCCATTTCACGGAGGGGCCTCCTACTTCCGCCTGCAACAGACGGCAATCACAGTAACGAGAGCCAAGTTGTCGTGCCTCCAGCCCAAACTTCCACCAGCACCATGGAGGATTCTGTCGAATCATCCAACCTAGCCGACGTGGGACCATCTGCGGTCCTACTCTCTGGGCTTCGCATCATTGCCTTCTCTGCCACCAGCGGCAAGACTGCACACCAAGATGGCGAGCTGCATAGCGACATTCTGCGCCGAGCAGTGCGCTGTGACGCTATGAGCCTTGAGGAGGCCTTCGCGGTTCAAAGAGGTCTCGAAGCGCTGCCTGATGGCGGCGACGATTCGGAGGACGGTGAAATATCAAAGCTGTAGGGGGTAGAACACCCACTAATCATTGGGAAGACTTGGGTATTAATCATCTGCTGCCGACAGTATCTTGTGACTCTGCCTTGTTTGACTTCATCCAATCATTCTGAATTTTCTGCTGTTGTGCTGCGAGATTCATAACATTCTGATTTCAGGGAAAAAAAAAGGAAATTAATATTATATTGCTAAGTAACAAGAACTATTAAAAGTATAGCACAGTGCTAACCAGTATGCTAATTATCAGATTGAGAAGTAGATAAATTAAACTGTAAATACTAGCTTTAGCAAGTTAATATCAAGTATTTTTTTATCTAATCATCTGTATTAACTAACTATCTTCTTTCTAGATTGAAAAAGCAAGAGAGATACCACTGTGCTGTTATCCGTATTAATAGAAAATGAAAAAAAGAATAAAATTCTCAATCTACTTCTTGACTTATCAGCAGATCTGTTGCATAAATAAAAGGATGTAAATTAAAGAAAATAATTCTGCCCAGTTATTAATACTCTTCCGGGGTCCAGCGCTAATCTAGTAAACCGGAATATGATAATGAGATAATTGTTGAAGATCTTGATAACAGCTGTTGAAAATAATTATAATGATGAGATGGTTGAAGATGATCTTGATGATAAGATAGCTGTTAGAAATATTGATGATGGTTGCTGGAGATGATTGTGATGATGAGCTGATTGTTGAAGCCATTGACAATGAGATGGGATTCTACTACAAACCATTGGTTGAAGTAGGGGAGTCGCTCCCAAGCGATCAGCAAGCTAATGATAGATCTAGTTACGTCTTGCAAATCAAATAGTTATGTAGTTAGCTATGCAGGGAATCCCATCAGTTGGAATATCAGATGAAGCGATAAAGAGCTGCTCGGCATCATGCAGAATGGGTGCTTGGCGGCTGGCCTGTTGACAGCTTCGCGCTAAGGGTCGACGATATAGGAGCGGTGACTTGGAGGCGAACCGAAGCTGGTTGATGCATCCCTGCTCGCCCTCCCCCGGTCGCGGCCAGAAAGCGACGATGATGACGAATGGTGACAATGATGGAGCCTATCAGGCATTGGCGTTTCACCAGGATCCATCTCCACTGGAGTTCATTCGCCTTTTAAGACGGCGATTTTTTTTACGCCCATTGTGAAAATACCAACCTGCTCTCATTGCTGACACCAACTCCCTTGCTAGCTGGAATATCGATGACCTGGACAGGAAGTCTGCTTACCCGCCTGCTTCCACTGAGCCTTGCAGTGCTCAGTATCATCTTCTATTTCTCGAACAATTTTCTCTCCGTCATGACTTCTCCTGTGTCCACCCCTTATTCTGTCCCGCGTGTCTCAATCGCCGCGACCCGCGACGTCCTGGGAACCGGTGAACCTTGCGAGCTCGAGGTCGCCGTCCATAACGATGACGCACAGTCGACCATGACGGTCCTGGGCTGGAATAGCCCGCTCGACAAGATGGCAGTCATTCTCGGAGTATACGAGATACGTGATCGCGAGACGGGTGAAGTGGTCGAAATGGACAGAATACAGGTCTCCAGACTACTTCCCCCACCTCCCGAGAGTTTGGTTGAAATTAAGCCGAAGGAGTCGGAGAAGCTGCATGTCGTCCTGAAGGGCGTTAACCTGCCTCCAGGCCGCACGTATACGATCCGTGCTGAGGGATGGTGGCAGTCAGTCTGGCATTTACCCAAGGAAGAGGTGATTTCAAGATACTTAGCAGATCAGTCCGGGGCCATTTCTGGGGATTTCCTGTCCAATACCGTCGAGGTTACACAAGTGAGCAAGCCGTAATTGACCTCTTTCCTCCGGTTTCATTTGTCTAACTGATTTGCTTCACCCAGTCCTAGGAATAGCACCAAGACATCCTTTTTACTGCTTATTTGCCGCCTTATGCGGCTGGTTATGCTTCTGACTTTGTGTGTAACTGCGATTAATTCGAACCTTTTATTTTAACACTGAAATTCTTGCTTAACTATCCCAGCACGCCCCTGTCAAGCAGGAGCCTATGGATAGGCAAATATTAATTGACATGGCATACTCTCTGGCCCAAGACTGCTACTGACTTGGTTCATCATCCTCGTCCATGTCAGCGCCGTCTTCTAGGTTCTAGATGCAAAAGGATCTCCAACTGGCGAACGGCATTAGCAACCAACAGATAATGTGAAGATCACCCCAACAGATGAAGAATTGGCATGTCCATTCAAGACGTTTCAATTGTTGTCCTCATGGAGGTGTAAAAGAAAACGGTCCAGCTGAGGCGAGGTCATAGCGAGTTCATGATGATGGAGATTGTCCAGGCACCCTGCTACTTCCAGCAGGAGCTCTGCTGTAAAGAGTTCCAAGCCCGACATCATCTTGAGGGACACTCCTGTTAAGAGGAAAAAGCAAGAAAAGGGCAAAAAAAGGGAAAGTCGCGTAAATTAACCAGATCAAGCAAAAGTTAAGGTTCAACAACAGTCACAATGAGAGAGCAAAAGTGATTTGGACGGTAACAGATGGAGGCAAGGATTGTAGGATGAAGATGTCAATTGTTGCCGCCAGAGATGATCCCAACTCACCTTGTTTTGAAACCGATTTCATAACTATGAGATTAGTTGGATGGGAGGGCATGTAGGTTATCAGTGAGCTATATTCTATTATATGTATGGTGTATGTATATACGTGTGTACATCATGCTTGTTTATTGTGCGGACGGTCACAGACAAAATGATATCAGTCACTCCAGGAGTAGTTAACCAATTTTCATTTCAAACATGCAAAAACTCAGTAAAGTATTCTTTTTATCAAAGTTTCTCAAAAGTTGGCTTGCGCTTCTGCAAGCCAGATAAGAGCGCGGTGGGTACATCGGCAGATTGGAGCGCGGCACTATTCCAGACGCCGGTATATCGAAGGCCTAATTGAGAGGGAGGAGTTAGCGTGACCAAGGGAGAGACTGAAAGCGATTCTGCATACCATCTTGGATGTTATGATCTCTCGACCAGTTCAATAGCTCCTTCGTCCCCTGTACTGCGATAGGGCTCTTACTCGCCATCAACTCTCCGAGTTCAATGGCAGCTTTCACCGAGTCATCTTTGCTTTCATACACCGAGTTTACAAACCCCACTCTCATCGCCTCTTCTGCACCGAAAACCCTCGCCGTCAAGCATACCTCTTTCACCCAGCCGAAGTGGCCCACGACCTTGGGGAGTCGGGTAAGAGTTCCAATGTCGGCGGCGATACCGATATCCACCTCCTTGACACAGAACTGCGAGTCCCTTGAGCAGATTCTCACGTCCGCTGTGCTCGAGATATCGATGGCGAGGCCGTAGTTGATGCCGTGCATCACGCAGATCACCGGCTTCTCGCACTTTTCGATCGCCGTAATGCAGTCCTGGAAGCTGGCAACATGTCGGCGCAGCTGAGCAGCGGCTCTTCCCGGATCTGGGATCTCAGCTTCGCCCTTGCCGCCAAGCACGCCCTTTGCTGCCGCTTTGACGTCTAGACCGGCGCTGAAAGCGCGTGGCCCGGCACCGGAGAAGACGACGGCACGGACGTTGGGGTCGACGGAAAGCTGATCGAAAACCTGGCGGAGCTCAATCCACATACTGTTTTAAGGAAAACAATGAGATTAGCAGAAAATCTAAAGGGAAGGGTAAACCGGCAAGCACGTAGCCTGCAGGACGTCGGCGAGGAAAACGCACTCCTCGAAGTAGGCATTGAGCTTATCCGCCCGGTTCGTTTCCACATGGGCAATATATTCCCTAGGGAAAGTGACGTTGAAATGCTTCGGGTTGTACGAAGCTGATCCGTGGCCTGTCATTTTTGTTCTGATACAAGGTCAAGGGACTGACGCAAGGTTAAAGTAGCTGCCGAAGTGGATTTGGGTTCCGCCTTGGGCAGTCGGGGCGTAAGACGATCAAGGTTAGGCCAAAGCGACACCAGACGGTGATATTGGGAGGATAAGAAAGGAAGTTTTAAAGATGGCCTTTTGCTTCTGAGGGCTCCAGATCTGCTTAGCCATTTTTCGGAACGCGGTTCAGGGTCTTTTGTCGTCTCGGATGTCCGTCGTCGCTGGAGGTGTGAGCGCTTGTGGAGGGGCGTTGGACCTCGGCTCATTGCGCAGGACGCAGCTCTGGGCAACAACCTGCGAATTGGTCCGTTTTGGAATGATAACCTTATTATAGCGCATGTTGGACGAACGACAGAGTACTCAAGGAATCATGGCCTTTGAGTTTCAAGCTTCTCTAAGCAACTACAGAAAGAATATAAACTACATACGGAGTATGCGTGGTATTGTGACTAGGGTCCTCTTGTTCGAGCAATAGAGCATCAACCGATGTAATTGAGGAAGGAAGTTGACCAAGGACAGAGGACAGCTCATGGGAAGAGAAAAAGGGCTAGGATCTCAACTTGGGCATCAGCTGGAATAAAGACTTAGTCTTTGTGCATGGGCAGTCTCGAATGAACCGCAACTCCTGGTGGAAGAAGAAGCACAAGTGTTATTTCTCAACCGAGGGAGCAACATCTCGCCTTCACTAGGATCTCAGGTCTAGATGGCCTTATCACCGACGTTGGCGTGGGCGGCACGCGGTACATCCAAGCTGGCGATTCACCTCGAACGTGTTTCGTTCCCGTTCGACTGTCCCGAGTAGGCGCGCTTCCATGCTTTTGCATAATCAATATTAGGCATAAGCAGATTTCGAAGCAAAAAGGCGGATTTCGGCGGCGGCGGACAGATCACTCGGACTCCGATTCCTCTGGTTGCATGACCTTCTCATCAAGCTCCTACGGCGCGAAACGTGTCAGGAGAGATCAATCGGGGGGGGGTTTCAACCATTAAACATACCCGACTCAGGCGCATCTTCAAGTTCTGGAGTTGACTTTCCTTGACGACCAGGTGCCTGTCATCGTCCAGGTCCTCAACAATGTAATCGTGTCTCTCCTCATCGTATTTGAGGATGATGGCCTTGACGGATGGATCGCATTCGATCAGTACTCCTGGATATGGGTCAGAATACTGTTACGTACGCAGCAGGGGAAGCGGAATGAGGACCTTTGACTGCACGCGGCATCCTGACCAGCAGGTTGTTGCGGATATAACTGGCGTGTTTCCACCTTGGAGCCCTTCCAAGAATCTCTCGTCCGGCCTGTAACTATAAACTCGAGAGATCAAATGCCAAGGCGGATTATTTATCTATCCGATATCCGAGAGCTAGACCCGGTTGGGAAGGACGTGGCGATAGTAGGGCTAACCGTAAGCAGATTAGCTCCGAGCGACAGTTTTTCAATACTAGGAGTTACGTAATCTCCAAGTTAGTTAAAACTCCACGATACTTTCCGTATGTATGCTGACAAGCTAACCACTAGTCAGAATTTGCCCTGAAGGCCGAAAATCCGCCACGAACATTCGAGAAAAAGCTTAATTGCGCCGCTCGATGCTTAACCTCAACGTCGGGTTTTTGGCCCCTTGAAATGCTGTCGTCGACGATTGCTAGTTACCTAGTTACCTATATACTTGTTACCTAAGCTATAATGGGTCAGAAGATCCCAGAAGACACAACGCTGGTGGTTAGGGCGCTGGGGAAACACAACGTTGAGCGGTCCCTGCCCGGATCTGGGAGGAGTTGTTGACCACAGATCGCCCAGTTGGTGAGTCAACTAACGCACGGACTAGCGGCCACCGATCAGCTGTACCGCAGATCTCGGCCCAGCATATCCGTGGAAAGTCTTACTAGCGTACGGAAATTATGTACTAGCTGGTCATCGAAGTCCGTACCGTACTCCGTGCATTTATAAAACATCGCCGGACATCTGACCCGTGGCTATCGTATGTAGCACCTCAGCCGCTCGTGCTCAGTCCGGTATCAATGATGGTTAGATGTCTCTGCACAGACTACGGCTGGGACGGGTATTGCATTGCTTCTGTGCGGGTGTTCATTCCATTCATCTCCGGAATTGATCCGTGCCTGCAGCCAGAGTGCTTCTTCCAGTCACTCCCTGCTGGCACCATAGAAATCGGTCGACCGAAGATCTCAGCCAGGGGCCCGTCCGTATTATGTGCGTCCGTACGTTGTGTGTGTGTGTGTATGTATGTATGTATGTTTGTATGTACAGTACATGCACCGATCAGCGGAGATCCTTCCAGAGATTCCACGGACCTACCAGCTTACGCATCCGTCATATGCCCAAAAAGTACGTGTTACACATCCCTTACCTGTTGTTTGCCAGGATGTCAAGGCTGAAGAGATCATAGTAACGAAGGATACGATGTTCTCTTACCATCTCTCAAAGACGTTAGTCCCGCAAATCTCGGGAATTATACACATACCTGGGTTAGACTCTCAGTCTCCGCACGATTCGAGGGATCGCCGGCTGGGCCTCCTCCCCATTAAACTATCTCTCCAGACTTTCTGCCTTTGAATTCGTGGGGAAAGTTGGTGATAAGGTCAAGAGGTAACAGACAAAGGTGAAAAGCAACTCTATCGAGACTATCGATCAAGCCTGATTGGCTCCTTCAAGGAAGAACGCTGCTGTTGGCGTTCGGATGTCATGGAGCTCGATTAGGCGAAACACCTGGTCACTTGCTGTAGACGTTACATCTTCGATGGAGAGTTTGGAGAGCGCCGGAAAGTCTCCTCGTAACTTTCCTCCAATGGCATCTCGCAAATCGCAACACCTGACGTCATGGAGGTGTGGATCAGAAAATTCAATGCAAACCTTGAAACGGATATTTTTGTGCCTTGTGCGGGCTTATGCCTCTTATGGAGAGACATGGGGAGTGGCGGCCAGCACTTTGTGCGCGCCACTCTCAGACGGAGTCTTGCCCTCCGATCCCGCATAGCTTAATTCTGTTTCGCCGGAAAACCCGTTGGGTTCACACCCGCTGCCGGTGCGAATTGGAAGGACCTGCAGCGGTATATATTCCACCTCTTCCCAGCCGCCGGTGCCCCGTTGTCTCAACATGGTGTCACACACACATATCCCACACATATTCTTTCTCCCTGTGGGCCAAGCACCTGTATAAAGGAAGATAAAGTTTTTGGGTTATCAGGACCAGCAGTAGGCCTTTCGAGAATGGCGATCACAGCAGGGACTGATACAAAACCAGTTGAGGGGCTCGGAGGAGATGGATTGGTCCATGAGAGAGGTGATATCGAGAAAGACACCCAGAGTGTGGAATATCTACCCGGCTACGATGTCAGACAGAACGATCAGAACGACCCGTTTGGCAATGAAGAGTTCGCGGACGTCAAGTACAAAGTGATGACTTGGTGGTAAGCATTGAAGATTTTCGACGTCACTTCGCAGCGGCAAAGCTAACCGGCGCTCCAGGCAATGCGGAATGAGTACGCACAGCCAACTTGTGTTTGACGAATTGAAAGAGCCATGATTAACATCTCACAACCTTTTTCTCATAGTCATGATTGCGGAGACCATTTCCCTCGGGATTTTATCATTGCCTTCGGCGGTGGCAGCTTTGGGCCTGGTTCCTGCTATCATAATCATTATTGGGTTGGGCATAATAGCGACCTACACTGGATACGTTATCGGCCAATTCAAGATGAGGTATCCGCATGTCCATAACATGGCGGATGCCGGAGAAATCCTCTTTGGGCGCATTGGACGTGAGATTCTTGGAGGAGCCCAGCTTCTCTTCCTGATATTCATCATGGGCAGCCATGTGCTCACGTTCATTGTGATGGCAAATACCATCAGTGATCATGGAACCTGCAGCATTGTATATGGCGTTGTGGGCATGATCGTCTCGCTCATCTGCACGTTGCCACGGACGTTGAAGAACGTATCCTGGCTATCGATTTCATGTATGATGACTCACATCAAGTTCCTGAGAGATGATCGCAGGCGGTGCTAACCACCTATTGTACAGCGTTCATCAGTATCTTCGCTGCGGTGATGATAACTATGATCGCGATCGGTATCCAGCGGCCGGGAAAACAGGTCGACGCCACGGTCGAAGCAAGCTTCTATCACGCTTTCCTCGCGGTGACGAACATCATCTTTGCATATGGTATGCCACTCTTTCTGGTAGTGGGAGACAGGGTTGAATCTCAGACCCTAACTTTTTGACAGCTGGTCACGTTGCCTTCTTCGGGTTCATCTCTGAGCTGAAAGAACCCGAAGGGTATCCCAAAGCCTTATACTTGCTCCAGACGACAAATACCATACTATATACCGTCACTGCGGTGGTGATCTATAGATATGGAGGAAGAGATGTCGCCTCTCCAGCACTGGGGTCCACGGGCCCTATCGTCCGAAAAGTAGCGTATGGGATTGCCATACCGACGGTGAGTCTGCTCCTACAGCCATCAATGGACGGCGACATACACACCTTGCACGCTGATAGGAACTAAACATTGCTTAGATTGTGATCGCTGGTGTGATCAACGGCCACGTTGCCGTGAAGTACATATATGTGCGGATTTTCCGCGGCACTGATCACATGTCCAAGAGAAACTTCCTATCGATTGGCACCTGGGTTGGTCTTGCAGTACTGTTGTGGGTGCTCGCTTGGATTATCGCAGAGGCGATCCCGGTGTTCAACAACCTCCTAAGCTTGATTGTAAGTTTTGATATCATTCTGCGCAGGATGGAACGACCTATGCTAACAACAGATGACGATAGACCGCGCTGTTTGCCAGTTGGTTCACTTGTAAGTTGAACCCACCCTCCCCACCCCCCCCCCGAGTCTTTAGTGAAAAGCCTGAGCAGGCTTTGTTGTCTGAAGCGTTGCTGATCGAATTGATCCCAGACGGACTTAGCGGCGTTTTCTGGCTCTATCTGAACTACGGCAAGTACACATCATCGCCGAGAAAGATATTCCTCACGGTGTTGAATGTGTTTGTGTTTTGCGCAGGTGCTGCAATTGTACGTGGCTGAATTTCCCCCCTAGACCCCCCAGGAGGGTCTGTCTTGCTTTAAGACGAGGCTCACCACAGCTAACGATGTGGCGATGTAGTGCGGATTGGGCCTGTATGTCTCCGGACGGGCGATACACGAGAGTTCCAGCGGCGCTTCATTTTCGTGTGCGAACAATGCTTGAGTCATGTTACCGTGAAGCGTTGCATTTTTTTTTCCTTTTTTTCCCTTAATGGACTGGTTTTGAATTTGTCCACATCCTCGCATCTGACGCTATCCGGTTTGGCGAACGGCGAACCAAATTATCCTAACACCGAAGCCGAATGATACCCCATGAGCAGTTGTAAGATAGAGCGACGTGTATATAGAGCTACCTAGAAAGCATGGGATTACTATCCTTTTTTTTTCTCTTCTCATCGTTCGATTCATCCCTGTACGTTTGCTTGAGAGAGTCCTTTCTGGTAATCGTGTTGGTTCGTCTCGCGCATGGGGGGCATGGCGGTTGTCAACGCTAAGAAGGACCACCCAGAGAGTCAGACCTCGACAGACGGGGGTTTAAGGCGAACGAGTAACGCACATACCTTTTCGAGAAGAGGCTGGTGGCAAACGGGAGCTGGCGGAACGTCGCAGGTAGCCGACACGCCGACGAGCTTGACTCGCTGGCCGCTGCTCGACGTTATCCGAGGCGAAACGTAACATCGCGCCGTTTTCGTGACTAAGCAGCAAAAATTCCCCTCCTCACGCCGTGCCGAAAAGAGAGAAGCGTTGTGTCACCAGGAGTTAGAAGCTGGCCGTACTCCGTGCAACGAGCGGCAAACGAGCCAACAAAGCACCTTGGGTCTGCGAGATCGGGGGGCTGTAGGGGCCCAGGTTTTGCCCTGATTGTGCTGGAATTTGCCGGCAGATGTGGAGTTTCTTTCCTTTCCATCGAGCCCACATCACAGAGTTGTTTTTTCCTTTTTTTTTTTTTTGCCTTTTCGATTGTGCGTATCCATCCCGCCCAGGCGCTCCACCGGTTGAGTCCCGCCCAAATTGCTGCTGAACTGGCTGGAGTCTTAGGGAGAGGAGCTTAGATAAGATAGGTATGTAAAGGCTATCTCGAAGTGTGGAAGTTTTGATCTTGGATGGGAGTTAAATGAGCATGTACTCCGTACATATGTGGGTATGATCTAGTTAAAGAATGCTACTGGTGGCGGACAATATCGGAGGAGAAACAGCAGCAAGATCGCTCTCGAACCAACAAGAAACTCCTGTAAAATGGCCGTCCCAACTTTTTCCAACATGATCGAGTCTCCCATAACCATCAGCCAGTCAGTGCACACGGAGTGAAATTGACTATCCTGACAGAGGAACCGAGGATTTTCGATTTTCTCTTTTATAAAAAAAAAAAAAAAATAATAAAAATAAAAATAAAAAGTTAAAAAAGAAGAAGAAATAAGAAATAAGAAAATACACATGGGAGAAAAAAGGCATGGGGGAGATACACAAGAAAATGGGGGGTATTAGAAATGAGTTATCCATGCTGATAGAACAAATGACTTGACAAAAGAAAGCGTCAACACAAGGCTAAAAGTGCGGCGTGTTCAAGGCCATCAACATCAGGATACCGGAGACCAGACCGGCGCATGGAAGAGTTAGAACCCAACCGCCGAAGATCCAGAGGAGCTGGCGCCAGTTGACGGCGCCGAGATCGTAGTTCATCAGGGCGGTTCCGACGGTGGCACCGGTCAAACACTGGGTGGTGCTGACGGGGAGACCAAGGCGGGATGCGAGTAGGACGGTGATGGCGGCTCCGAGTTCCATCGAGAAGCCACGGGTGGGTGACATCTGGGTGATGCGGTTGCCGAGAGCGCGGATGATGTGGAAGCCGAAGAACCAGAAACCGGCACCGAGGAGGAAACCGGCGATGACGAGGATCCAGATTGGGGTATCGGTCTTGGTCTGGACGATACCGGCGCGATAGGTCTCGTACGCGGCGACCCAGGGTCCTACTGCGTTGGCAACGTCGTTGGAGCCGTGAGCGATGGACATGACCATGGCGCTGGCGACCTGGGCGTAGGTCCACAGGTGCTCGACCCTGTTGTCGTAGCGGGCGGCGCGGGCGTGGGTTGCGGCGAGGCGGTCGGAGTCGTGGGTGACGCAGTCGCGGGTGACACCCTGGAGCAAGAAGTACTTGACAAAGGACCACAGGCGGAGCGGATGGAAGATGGGGAGATGGCGGTAGGGGGCGAGGAAACGCTCATCGGGCTCGAGATGCTGTTTTGCGGCCAGGGGGCTCTGGGCGGGGCCCACGGGACCCTTTTCGACGTTGGCGGCATCGGAGGAGTCACCGCCGTTCTCCTTCTTCAGGTCGTCGGGAGAGTCCGCGGTGCGGTTGTGGGAGCTCTCATAGTAATCGATGACGCAGTCGCCGTCGGCGGGAGCGGGCCAGTAGATCCAGGGGTCGTCCTTCCACAGGAGTGGGCCGAGCGGGATGTGTCTGGCGCGGAGACGGGCGTCCTCCTTGACGAGACGGCGGTGGAAGTAAGGGAGGAAGAAGGTGTAGGCGATGGCGAGGCAGCCGAAGAAGACACCGAAGATGATGCCGCACATCTTGCCGACGCCAAACTCCTCGAAGGACTGGCCATTGGGGATCTCGACGATGATGAAGAGGGCGAGGATGGCGGCAGTGAATGCGAGGTAGAAGGGGATCATGCGGAGTGCCCACTTGAGGGAGTCGGAGCGGTTGTGGACGGAGTACTTGATGGTCGCGAAGATGATGGCGGAGAAGCCTGCGGCGATGGCGGGAGCGATACCCCAGGAGGCAGCAACCTGGGAAACGGAGCCGCTGGTCCACTCCCATTTGATGGAGGCCTGAGAGGCGAAGCCGACGCCGATGAGGGCGCCGACGACGGTCTGGGTGGTGGAGACAGGGAAGCCCAGGGAGGTGGCAGTGATGAGCCAGAAGGCGCTGCCGACCTCAGCGCAGCCCATGCCGAGGATGAGGGTAGCTGGAGCGGGATTGAAGCGGTTGATGTCGATGATGCCGTTCTTGATGGTCTTGGTGACGCGAGAGCCGAGGGCGACGGCGCCGACGAACTCTGTGATCATGGAGAGGACACCGACCTGCGGCATGGTGAGGGTACGGGCGGCGACGGAGGTCGCGTACGAATTGGCGACATCGTTGGCACCGTTACCGAAGGAGCTCGCGCAGAAGGCGATGGAGATGATGGCTATGATCCAGTCATACTTCTCGAGGACAGCCATCGCGAGTGGATGGAATTGGAAATTGGAGTTGTCGTTGGAAGGTCAGCACGCGTTCTCGTTCTCTCTCTTTTCTTTTTTCCTCTTTCCCTCCTTTCCTGCTTTCGTGCTTTCTTTCTTATTCTCTTCCTCTCTCTCTCTCTCACACACACACACACTCTCTCTCTATGTATGTGTATGAGTTGGGTGATGGATATCTATATGTTGATATAACTCTCTGGGCACCAGGGATCAGGGAAGAGGAGTGAAGGGAGAGAAGATGAGGGAGGGAGAGATTCTTATAGAAGCTGAGAGGGTACCGGCGGGGTGTTTTGATGCAAGGTTCTTTCGCCCTCTCTCTGTCTCTGGGAGGGGGACCCTCGTGCTTCCCTTGGGATTCGCCTCGTGGGTGTGGGTAAGAGGAGCAAGTGGTGTGATAAAAAAAAAAAAAAGAAAATGGGAAAGACGGCAAAAGAAAAAGAAAAAGAGCACGAGGCAGAGTGCGTGAAGAGAGATTGGGAGGAGAGGGCATAATTAAAAAAAAAAAAAAAAGAAGAGAGACAGCGCGAGAGAGAGAGAGAGAGAGATAGCCAAACGGGCCAACGAGGAGGCAGGATCAGCGGACGTGGGCAGGCAGCTTGAACCACGGAGCGCCAAGGCCAGGCGGCGCGGACGCCGAGACCGGGTCTTGCCAAGCCCTCCACCGCGGTCAGAGGCGAAAGTCTGATGGGGGGCGGGCCGGGGGGTTTGTTAAGAGAGAGAAGAAGATTTTGGTCGTTGGTTGGTTTTAGGTTTTTTTTTCCTTTTTCTTCCCTTGTCTTAGGGGTGTCGCGGACCAATGGGAGGCCCGAGACAGGGCACGTTCCAGCGACGCGCTCCTCGAGACGAACAACTTTTCCAATCCCGCCGCCCCAAAAAAAACTGCGACCGTGGGACGAAAGAGAGAGAGAGAGAGAGGGAGAGCTGGTCGAGCTGCCTTGCCAAACCCGCAACGTGCTGCCCGTCGACGCCTGTCATTCGCCCGTCCACGCTCTCGGGTTCTTCGCTTCCCTGTTGAACTGGGCTGTTTGCCTTCATGTCGTGCGCAAGGCGAACTCGCGTGGGGAAGGGGAACGAACACACATCAGATAAGGAAACAATTTTAAAATCAGGGAATTAAAAAAAAAAAAAAAAAAAAAAAGAAATTCCCAGCCAGCTAGACAAACCAGACAATGCCGGGACAATGCTAGATCAGCCCACGACTTAGGCACAGAGTACTCCGTACGGAGTATGGGCTTGAGTATCGGCTTACTCCGTGCACAAGTTAAACACGGCAATATAACCGGTCTTCGAGTTACAGCTGACACAAGCTACCGTCTTGCCTAAACCTCACACTTCCTTCACTCCAGGTCTGAGGGGGTAAGAGAGACAGAGCGTGTCTGGATGGACTGAAGCAAGCACGCAAATCGGATCCTCCGTACTCCTCCATCCATCCTACGCACGCGATCAATCTCGAACTAACTAAGCCGACGAGCTCCAAGACTCACATGGGCTGCTTTTCTTTAATCTCTTCGTGTTCGGCGTTTCCGACCAGACTCTTTGCCGTCCTCCGCCTGCCGCCTGCTGTCAACCTGGTTTAATGCCGCAACAGCGCAAGGTTTCTTTTTTCTTTTTTCTTCTTCTTTCTTTTCTTTTTCGTCTGCACATCTTTTCCTTTTTTCCTTTTTTTTTTTTTTTTTTTTTTTGTTTCAACTATTATCTGCCTGCCCAGACTCGATCCAAGGGCCGTCCCGTAGCCTGCACTGCTGCTGATTTAAAATAGCTCTCTTGAAATAGGAATTTGGTCTCGAGACCACCTCACGTCCCAAAAAATAAAAATAAAAAAGGAGCTCTCTACCCTGACTCAAGGCTTGATTTTCTTTTTTTTTTCCTTTTTTTTTTTTTTTTTTTTTTTTTTGTTTGATACCTACGACCTGTGGATGTTGTATTCGAGCCCTGGCTTGGAATTCGAAGTGCTCTCTTGGCCTCAAGGTGTGTTTTAACACCTATTCATCCTCCTGCTCCTCCTCCTCCTCCTCCTCAACACATAACAATGTGTAGGGACGAATAAAGTTACTCCCCAATCTCCTCTGGTTAGGCTCCCGAGTTACACCCTTCTGTCGTGTAACCCGCCATTTCTTCCCCCAGTCACCACGCCCGTTTGCCGCGCACTGACAAATCCTGAATCAAAACTGTCTCTGGAAGCCTGTTCTGGCGGTTTGAAGGAGTGTGTCTTGTCTGTTTTTGTTGCCAACCCACGACAATCCTTTTTTTTTTTTTTTTTTTTTTTTTTTTTCTTTGGCAACGGAGGTCGCAGATGGCGCCTCCGGCTGCAGACAACGCGCGTTTCCCCCGCCTCCATCACTTGTCCATCCAATACGGAGTACAGAGTACATACATTACATTGCACCGTTTCTGTCAATCGGTCCATCCTGAGACTGCAGTCAGCGGTTCAAGGTTGCCGATCTGTCGAACTCTTTGTTCGGTGGTGCCCGTCGCTTTGAGATCCCTAAATTGGTGCTGGCATCAGCGATCTCCTGCAGGGTTGCGTGGTTAACGGATCTACTCCGTGCATCGTCATATTCAGCACTTATGCCAACAAAGAGGACAGGATCGAGTCGTTATCAGCCGGATCAACGGTCTCAAAACGTTCTTGAAACACTCAATAGCCGTGCCTAGACTCTTAACCGTCAAGGAGAAAATCTCGGTCGCTACGGAGTACGAATTACACCGAGCCGCTGACTGTGGTATGCAGTTACGCACTTTATTCCCGTTGGGACACTTCGCACTCCGTACTCCGCTTAGTTAGCAACTATCCAGTTTTGTATTTATTCTGAACGCCGGGAGTTCGAACCAGGCCGCTTTCAATAGCTGCAGATGCAATAATATTTTTTTTTTTTTTTTTTTTTCCATCACCTTTTTCCCCTTTCTCCATTTTATTATTTCTATCGAAGGAGGACATCATATCGACCCCCCACCGGCAACGATCGGTGATAAAACAGAGTTTCCTACCAGTATCAATCGATGCCAGTGATGCAGATGGGGCGGCGATAATGTATGGAGTATCTCCAACTCTGCAGGCAGACAGATTCCGGTACCCCTCGGCATTGTCTTTGTCGTTTTCATGCTGTTTTGGGCTCTGGCTTTATTCAGAGCACCAGGATCCGGTGCCTGCTCATCAAAGGGGGTTTTACTGTCTGAGATGGTGCTGGAGCTGACGCCGAAGCAATCGGTCCCTTTTCAACCGCGTCATGCGTGCGCTTTTTCGATGAGCGAGGGGCATCATTGGAAGACCCTGCCTTGATGCTCTTCTTTGGTTTCGCGGCCTTAGTCTCCTGGCGCCATTGGAGGGGTGAGCTGCTACGCATCACCCTGGGGGGGGGGGGGGGGGGAATGCAAAACTTGAAAATTCTTAACTAGTGCAGATAACCGCTGTGGAGGGCGTGTGTGTGGCCTGTTCCTGTGACGCTAACGAACTCGCAAGCTTATGACGGCCGTGGAGAGGATCCAGCATTTTCATCCTGCCAGCATAGCCTACGATTTTTACATCCCCAATTCTTCTTGATGGCGTGATCTGCCAGAAGAAAGTGATTATAGGTGTATTCGGTTGCGGGCATCAGGGCTGACTTTCTGTCACAGCCTAACGGTACTCTGTTGCTTTAAGAAATCCGCACCCATGGATCATGAAGCGACGAGCAACGATATCGCTGGTGTATCCCTGTCCACGACAGGCACGTCCCTGTGGCGGCAGACGATTGATAAGTACATAAATACTTACATATATGCCAGTCATGTTACCCGCTAGCTTCAGTTAATGCCCCCGTCTCTAACTGGCGGTGCGGTAAGCATGCGACTTAATGCGCATTTTTCCCCTCTCCCACCAAAGGTGGTTTTGGTTTCTCTTTATGTTGACGTCCGACGGCCGAGATGGTGCCTGAACCCATCTCAATATTCATGGATCATTTTCAAACCTAGCCTGGTACCCGAGGTCGCAACCGGGAAACTGCAACGCCCCAATGCTCACGAGTCCAGTGAACCGAAAGAAGGCTGATGCCTCTATCCACATATAACCGTGTAGAGAGCCGGTTGGCGTGGCTTTGGGATGTAGTCACGTAGCGGTCTCGCTGTCACTAAGCGTATTGTCTAAAGCCAAATAAAAATATCTCAGGCACAGTCTATAGCATGTTCATAGTGTTAACATATGGCTGAATTGCCAAAAGGACGGGGAATCGCAGAGGTTCTAAATATTACCACTCCAAGGAAGCTTGTACTCCAGAGATTTCCTGATGAGACAATAGCACTTTGTACCATTCAGGATGATTTCGCATCTGCACTGCGCGCCACTGAGTTGAGGGATTTTTTTAACCGGGCCAATCCTAGCTGCGAGAGTATTGAAAAGCCTGGCCTTTCTCGGTTTTGCGTCAGATTGTACAAGTCTATAGGTGCGCGAGTGGCCAAAGGGAATATTACTGGGAGAGATGAATTCACTCTTGGGGCTTGAGAGAGAGGCCAGCAAGATTCGGGATAGGTTAGGTGACTGATTGAGGCTTGGGGGGCGTATAACAGCAAAAAAGTCTCCCCCAATATTTCTATATCGGATGTTCGATGGGTGGATTTCAGATGACGTGCATGTAACGTGGCGCTGGTTTTGAACTTTTGTGTATCTAATTGAATGTGGCGATTAAGTACTGCAATGATATGAACAAGTCTTGTGCAGTCCAGATCCCCTAGCAAGGTAGAAATTCTAACATTGTGCCTATGGGAGTAAAACTGGTCGTCTTATTTGTATATGTAGGCACTATTGACCTACTATAGCCAAAGGGCTATGACCCTATTCCGAAGATGGCCATGGAAGGGATGCATGCAAATTGCATAATAGTCTGAAGCTTTTCTTTTATTTATTTTTATTTTTATTTTTATTTTTATTTTTTTTTGGGAATCCCTTACTCCGTAAACCGGAATGATTCGAGAAGAATAAAATCTGATATCGCTGCTGAAATCGCCCCCCATGCGTGGGTGTCCTAACGGCATACTTTTCATCCCCAGTCTCTTCGAGCAGACAGAGCATACCGCGCTTGCCGTATATGCAGCTGCCGTAGAAAGAATCAATCCTGGAAGTTATCTCAAGGTTCACTGATGGTCCCGCCCGCTAGTGGCACACCTGTCAGGAATCCTCAATGGCCCAGCGGGTCTTGGTGAACGCACTTGTAAGGGGTCACTAGACACATCAAAGCTGGCTAGTGAATATACTGATGCGTAATACGGAGTACTCAGATAGTAATCATAAGCCTTATGCTAGCCTCAACTGTGCAAACGCTGCCACGCAGAGCCAACAAGGTTCTAAACCCGCCTTTTGGGTTAGGGATCCACGCGATTTTCGTTTGATGTTCGGCTAGAGATTTCCAGTTTCGATAAAGTCTTGTGGTTGAAGTGGTCCATGGGCTAAAATCCAGGCATTCCATCAATATCAAAGCAATACATGGACATGCCGGAGGATTGAAACATCGGTTCACTTTGGTAATCGCCTGTAGTCCCTCAATGGGTATTATGACACAAATCCATCCAATGGTCTCTGACGTGGCATGGTATATCGATTTGCCAAGCGGGAGACTGAAGCCACGATGAACTGGGGAAGATAGCATCCTGTCCTGTTGCACCTTGGGGCAAAGCATGGAAATTCAGAGGATTGTGCACATTGCAAAGTTCCTTGTGAAAAGAGCCTTTCTCTCCAGGATACCAGCAGTGCTGGGTGCAGAGAGTAACGTCATTCGGGTTTCTCTTCCTAAAATTTTCATCTAGCACACATAAATCTTGCAGTCCTTTTTGCACTGGCGACGGCCCCATTTATCACTGACACATCTAGACGTGGTGGGGAAATTTGTTGACCCTTGTCAGATGCGAAGCAATAATGGACCTTCATTTCAACAACCCAGTCTCACAGGATGTAGCTCTGGCTTCCTAGCTGTTATTGTCATCACTTGCAAGATATCATATTGGGGTGCGAGATGCCAGAATAAGAAAGCGAAGACAGTACGCCGCATGGTGCTTTGGAAGCGCCCCAAGGCGTTCATCAGATAAAGCGAGGAATTGGTCTTCCTAATTATGACATTTTTGCAAGAGCCTCAGGAGCAACTGTGTGACTCAGACACCTATAGCCAGTGTCACAAGAAAAATTTAGCTAAATAGGTGATTTCTGGAAAACAAAGCAACTGGTTGGTGACATGGGGAATCAAGTCTCCTCCCATGTGCGTATTAAACTTTTGATCTCAATTGAATGTTTGCTCCCTTTAGTTACCATATCCGCCTCGAGTATTGTGCTTGTGGTCAAGCTGATGCATCTGCCAGCTTTCTCAGAGGCCCCCGGAGCGGATTAGGCTGCTTATTACATGAAATCCATCTGTGAAAGCACTTTATGTCCTGTGCGGTGTCTCCGAGGCAGGAGAGGATATCCAGATGAGAACCTGAAATCTAAACCCATGAACGAGACATTGCCACCCCGAACAAATCACTGATTTTGGCTCACTACTCATTTTTGAGTTCTTGATTGATGAACTACCACGCAGTTTGACAGGTTGTCGTGGCCAAGGTGGAAGAGACTTTTGTGCCTTAGGCCAACTGTGTCGCTGGTTTCATGAAGAAGCCCATCCTCTGTCCGCTCTGCTCGATGGTCTTGGGGATGGGTGTGGACGTGGATAATGATGGGCTCCTGTTGCCCAATACTATGGCACTGTTAGTTAGATCTCTATATTGTTCCATCAGAGAAAGCTGTGGTCTACTAATCAGCCCTTGAACCGGCAATGCTTGGTGCATTAACCATTTGCTCCAAGGAGACATCTATAATCACAGTCTTGTCACAAACATTGAGGGCTTTCTATGCAATCCCTGGGCGCATCAGATGATGTTTTGATCCTTGCGTATTGTAGATCATCGTTCGCGCCAGCTATGGCTAGTCCTGTCGCAAGCAACTTGTGGCGATAAGCTGGATGAACTGGTTATGGAATTTAGCGGTGCAATAGTGAACTTTGGTTTTCACTGGCATGGGGAGCCACTCAGAAAACATGGTTCATCAAAAATATGATTAAAATTGGTATTACTGGAATGATAAGATAATAGGTAACTATTGTGTAGTGATATGCGATATCCACAATTACACCACAGCACAGTCGGCGTCGTAGGTCGCCGGGTTGATGAAAGATGGAACAGGGTTATTATTGTAGCCCAGGCGGATCAAGGTATTGGCTAAAAGTTAAAGCGACTATTAGCCATTTTATTCAAGGGATAGCAACGTGGAACTTACCGTTCTTCCGGTACATAGGCCACCCTAGGTCCCTTAGTCCGGTCCAAGGATTCGCGGCGAAAGTGGCCCAAGCTTTTTGCATGGTCTTCTTCAGTTGAGTCTGTGCAGGGGACTCAGGGTCTCCAGTGACACCCTGCGAGTTGCCGAAAATCATATGGAGATCAACACCGTGATATGCAGCGCTGTTGGGAAAGAGTCGAGTATTATCCCAATCAGCGAAGTAGCGATATCTCCAGACAGGAACGTGATAGTTGTTTCTGTAATCCGCCTCCTCCATCGACGGGCAATTGAAGACGTCGGTAACGAACTGGGCCCATTCTGCGTCGGTGAGCACGCTGCCTCTGGCCCATGCAGAGATGTTGTAAAAGGACGATTCCTGGTCCGTGTGGCCAACAATCATGGGCTGGGACCATCGATTAGCTTCTCTCGGTGGGATGGCGTGAACGGTCCACTTACTACACGAGCAAATTTGCCCTGAGAGGCCAGGGAGTGGTAGTCATCAAAAACGATATCGCCGTCTGGAACAGGCTGGAACACTGGCTGAGACCGCGCGACGCTGGTATTTGGTGGCGGTTTAACCGAAGCAGCAGCAGCCTTGAGCTCGACTGCGCTCTTACTCATCATGCAAGGGAGCACATCTCCTTGCGATCCGCATCCAACAAGGGCAGAAGCGTTATACCAATGCTTCGTTGCAAGCTCCCTTGAGTTCAGATCAAAGCTGAAGATGGTCCCGGAATGTTCAATAAGACCCGCAACAATAGGGTCCTGCGTGTATGCGAAGGCATAAGCATCCACAGAGAGACTGCCAGAAGACTGACCGAAGATAGTGATTTTCTTAGGGTCTCCTCCAAAAGCCTTCACATTGTCTCGGAGCCACTCGACTGCAAGGCGCTGGTCTCTCAAACCCAAGTTCTGAGTTTGACCGGGGGCGCCGGGAAATCCAAAGATGCTAACACGGTAGTTCACGGTGACTACGATAACATCTTCAGCGGCTGAGAAGAACTGGCCGTTGTAGAATGGGGTGTTGGTGTCTCCAGTCGTGAATCCTGAGGCATACAAAATTAGCGATGGCCTTTAGCCGGTGGCTGACACAATTGAGGAGTTAAAATTTTTATCTCAACATACTTCCTCCGTAGAAGAAGACAAGTACGGGCCTCTTTGCGTTGTTGAGGCCTTTTGTCCATATGTTTAGTGTCAAGCAATCTTCGCTTTGGGGGTTGCCGCGTCCTCCGGTAAAGGAGGTAAAAATCTCAGCGAAATTCGGGGTTGCATCCGGGAAGGCGACCAATTTGGATGGCGTGAATACGCAGTCACTGGGGATACAGTTTGCATCATAGTGTCTGGAAGAGGAACCACGACGGTCCTTACGAATGCAATCAAAACTTACGCTCCCTGGGACGAGGACTACCGTTAGCTCGGTGGCTCACACATAGGTAACCAGGCAGCCATGGGTATTTATGTGCAACAACCACTTTCACGCTGTACTTACAAAGTTCGAGGCGACATATGGCTCGTTGCCCACGTACCTCTGGGGAGGCTTGAATCGCAGCTGGCCGACCGGGGCTTTTGCGTATGGGATTCCGAGGAATTCCTTGACGCCGGAAGCAAATGGGGCCGGGTGGCCAGTGATCAGGCCGTTTGTGGTGTTGACGGTGAGGCAATCGCCTAAAACTCCCCAAAAAAGGGAGACGGCAGCAAAGCAGAGCCGACCGGTGAGCTTCATGGCCACGGAGAGTCGATGAAACGAGGGCGGCAAGTGTTGTGGATTGTGCAGGGATGGCGATTTGGGGGGAGGGAGCTTGGGCGGTGTATATAAACGGCCTCAAACCCACCCCGGCAGCCAGGTCTCCGGGCTGGCTGGACGGGGCAAGAAAGCGACAGAGCCTTGCCTCCGCCTAGCCATGTGCGATCTCAGGACCTTCGCGCCATCGAGTCTTGGCCATTATACTCGGCTGAAAGAAACGTAGGCGAGAACACGGCGGGAAATGAACTGGAGGCTAGCCTGTGCTACACCGGCCTCAAAGACATGGCTCAATTTCCGGGCAGGACGTAAGTAACTAGCTCAAGTTAGATTCATCACTGGTCAGTTAACCAGTCATCACTCTATCCCTTAAGAAAGCCTGCAGAAATTCAAGCGCAGGGGGCCCGGAGTGGGCAAAGGAATGAAAAAGACAGCGAGGTGGAGAAGAGCAGCGACTCCCCGATCCCCGACGGCGGAGGCATCGTGAAGGCCAAACTGACTCCGGGGCGCCGGATCCCACACTGCCGGGACTTTGCCCGATCGCAGGCAGACTTCGACACCCATCGTGGATGTGGATAACTTGTATCCGAAGTAGTTTAGTTAATATGTCGCTATTTTAGTGTCAGCAAATTTGCTAACTAACTAATTACTCCGTAGTTAAGTCTCGCCCACCAGGGACGATGTTGCCGACCGCCAATCAAGATGCCCGCCGGTTTTCGTCACGCACGCCGGTTCTCTGCGATCGTGATCCTCCCGTACCCCCGTATAACGCACTACAAGTTGGCATCGCATGGCAGTTCAACGTCGTCGGGGGTTTTGCAGCCCAGAGTCAGACTGCCATCACTCGAAGAGCCTCCCCATCCGTGTAACTACGCAGCCCCCTGGAGCGGCGAGCTTGACTACCACAGACGCGGTTATGGCATCGATGGCCTGCCGTCAATTAAGCCTTTTTTGCTTCCGTAACCTACCGCCGAACCTCTCTTGCCTTCGCTTCTCGGCACCTTTTTTTTTTCTTGCAGTTTGAGTTCAAACTTTCCGGCAAAATGAAAGGATGGCTCCAAAAAAGCTTTTCCCTCGAGAAAATCTCTTCAACTACGGAGTAGTTATCCCACAACGAACTATCTACCCGCTCCTCAGGCTGAGACATGAGCAGGAGTTACGGAGTATCATGTAGCAGTTGGCTAACGGAATACACAGTCATGGATCATTGCTCGAGCTGCTTCACAACTACGCTCCTCCAAACCTGAGAACAAGGCACGCATGATCCGTGCGCAGGAGCTTTCGGCGGCCCTGCTTTAGCTTTCTATACCTCCCCCCCGCCCAGAAACACGACCTTCGCTTAGAACCCACGGTATCGGGGACACTAACTAATCATAATATGGAGTACCCTGTGCGAAATGGAGCACCTTGCATGCTCCGCTGCACACTCACTGGCTATGTGCTGCTTGACTCCCCCCGCTGTCATGCATACGCGGGATCGATGCTGCTCTTTGCTTCCGTAAGATCGTTCGAAAAATATGTATACCGGGGCTTGTGGGAGAGGCCCTCCCTCCTCCGCAGATGTTGTGATCCACATTCCCCCTGGGCCTAATCCTTTTCCACTTCTTCAAGTGTCTCTTGATGATAACCGCTGGGCCCGTCCGGGTATGACTTATTGGGACATTTGAAGCAAATGGACGCATTCCTTTTGACACGGTACCGTTCCGCCATGATACATATCATTCATCATCTTGGGGCTTGCCGTCTGTTCACTTCGATATTTATCTGGCAGCGCATCTCGGTCTCGCAACCGCCAACGGCACGTCAGATACGGCTGATCCTTAACCTTTTTTTTTTTTTTTTTTTTTTTTTTTTTCCCTTCCCTTTGATCTACTCCCCGCCTCTCTCCTTACTCTGCACCCTTGATCCTCTGGATCTTCCCTCCGCCCTTTTTCCCCATATGCGGGGATTATCAGCGCAATGACTATCAACTATGGACAGGGCACACCGTCGGCCCCCAGCAGAGGGTACCAATTGTATATAACTGCCTTGGTCATGGTCTTAGTTGCTGCTCTGTTTGTCTTTGCGCGCATTTTCTCGAGAATCGCCACAAAGCGGGTTGGGCTAGATGACTATCTGGTCATTGCTGCGCTGGTAAGGGGGACTGCCCGTCGACCAGCTTGTTGCGCCTGCGTGGCGCAATTTTTTTTTCTTAACCGCTACCTAACCTTAAGCTTTGTGTCAGGTATCTTCGGTATTCTTGACAGCGAGCATCAACCTAGGCAGGTTTTCCATCTCTCGGTCCACCGTCAGCCTGTCATGTTAACATGCAGTAATAGCCGTCGTTCACGGATATGGAACCAGATCTAGTGACTTGACGCCGGCGGATAAGAAGCTTGCTCTGAAGGTTCGCTAGCAACTGCCATGATATATCTACCTGTTTTTGGTCCCTTCACAGATCTAAGCTAAGATGTAAACTATGAACAGTGGTTTTTTATAGCCCAGCCTCTCTACAAGTTAGTCCTCGGATTCACAAAAGCCGCAATCGTATGTCTTTACATTCGAATTTTCGTCTCAAAGCTATTCCAGCGTGTATGCCGCGGCGTGCTGCTTGCGGTGACGATTTGGGCCGTGGCTGCTCTCTTGGCGACCATTTTCCAATGCCTTCCGATTGAAGCATCCTGGGACAAGTCAATCGCCCACAAATGTATAAACAAGAATGCGTTTTGGTATGGCTTTGCGGTGACAAATACATCCCTCGATTTCATACTATTGTTGTTACCAATTCAGCCTGTGTTGAAACTCCATCTCCACTGGAAGGAAAAGGTCGGCTTACTGGGAGTATTTGCCCTGGGAACTTTGTTCGTTGTGACCACCCCCCTAAATAGTAGTTGTTTACGCTACTGACCAGCGACCCGTAGCGTATGTATTACGAGCATCATTCGAACCACTGCCGTTGCGCAAACCACGACCGGCCGAAAAAAAGATATCACCTGTAAGTCACATCTCCAGGCTGCTGTAGCGACGGGGTATTACCCTAATTGTCTTCAGAATGCTAATGGCGTACGTAGGGGACTTCATCCCCCGTTCTGTATGGACGTTGGTTGAGGCAAATACGGGTATAATATGCGCTTGTCTGCCTATTCTGAAGGGGCCGCTTGGTCGCCTTTTCCCCCGTCTATTCCACCTATCCACTGGCAAAGGTACCAACAATCGATACGGTTCTGGACGTGTGAACTCCTATGTTCTTCAGCACCGAGCCGGCCACGAAGTGAGTGGGAACCAAGTTACGAACATCAGCACTGGGGCCGGAAGAAAGGGGGCGGAGAGCGGGGAACCTTATTCTAGGAGAAGCAGCGAAGAGTACATTATTGACTCGAAAGACAATCAGTCGCGAGATGGGATGGAGCCAGGAATAATGATGAAGAGAGAGATTGATGTCTCATATGAAACTGAGGCAGAATCATCGCGGTCCCTTAAGCAAACAGATGAAAGATTATGAGGCCAATTTAAAAGACAAAAAGCGTTGCATTTGTTACATGGTATGACAAGATAAGCAGATTGAGTTAGTGATCCAGAACTCACAAAACTTTGGCCATCTACTGTGTAGATTTGTAAAGACAATATGGTTAAAATGGGAACATATCCCATTTGTTGGCAAATAAAAGCTTGCCAATTTGGATGACGAAATAGTCATTTTCCCATAACCATCCCAGGAGTTACAGCACGTAGAACTCTATTCGAACAGAAAGACAAAACAGAGTTCGGCTGGAAAGAAATAATAATAATAATCATCAAATTCTTAGGATTGTTAGCTATGTACTTAGACGGGCCCGCCACCAATCCAAAGCTTTGTAGAAGTGTATATACAGTCAAATGAATGTGCTTTCAAGAGATTTCATTGCAAGGGGCCTTTCCCACGCAGCCGACTACCTCCTTCTATAGCCTAATCTCCATTGACATTCCCCCTGTCACACCGCTCCGATTTCCGTGAAGTGCGGCGGTAGCAGTGAGATGGCCTGTTTAGGAGGACTCCTTCGGAGGGGGAAGAGGGGGCTATAAGTCTACATTAGTATCACCCGAGTCAAGTAAAAAGGTGATTTCAGCTTCATCAGTGTATAGGTATGAATATTTACTCACAAGTATCGGGCAGTTCTCGGGTCTGACAGGACCCTTGCAGTAGTCTGGGTCACCAAGACTACAGCACAAGCCAACCTCATCGATGAGAAAGGCGCCATGGGGATTGAGACGAGGAATCTCGCCCACAAGGTCTTCGCAGTAACCGCAAAAAGTGAGACCGTCAGGAATACCACTGGCGTGCTTGAAATCTTCACGAAGTCGGCAGTGTTCGGGGGGAAGTGGAATGCACGCATCATCCCCTGGATTGGTGGGAATGGCCATGGCACCGACCATAAAGAGTGCAGCTGCAGTGAGGACAGGGAGGAACTTCATGGCTGTGTTGCCTTTTGCAAAAATGTTTCCAAGAGGGTCTGAATGTAGATGTGTTGTGTGGTTATTTGAGTGTAGAAGAGTCAACTGAGGTGTGGGTGGATGAGCATCCTTATATAACTTTTTGGTGAACCAATCACTTTGAATTCAATTCAGGGAACGCTGACGTTTACATGTAGGGTATTGCCTGCCATGGATGGAAGTTGGAACATCCTTTTGGCGGTACCTGGCCTTGGTCGGATAAGGTCGGTAAAGCATTTTGCAAAGTGGTATCACATTCAGGATGTCCAAACTTGAGCTAAGCAGAGGTGCTTTTCCGCCGGAAAATGGGTGGAAGCAAGGAGAATCCTGGAATACTGGTCTCCTGTTTCCCCGCCGACGGGAAAGGCATTCAACTCACTCACCATATCTGGCCGCAGTATGCGCCACAGGAATCTTGGGTTGCGTGGTATATGGCATGCCTGTATAACTTATTCTGCTGCCCGAGATTATGCGGATGTCACCTCTCCCAGAGGAAGCTCAATGGAACAATGCTAGGACTGAAGAGTGCAGCAGGTTAAGTTGCAGAAATATGGGCAACCATCTTCCAGTCTATCCCTTGTGAAGTGAAATCAATATCCCTGTGCTGGCTGAGCCATGCTCGGAAGAGGCACAGGTGTGGTGATATGAGATATGAAGGCTTCATTTGCCCAGCATTATGAGTGGTCTGAGCAATAGTGACTTCGGAAATGCATGATAGAGAGCAAGCAGAGCCATGGCATGAATGTGTAAGATGTCACCTGGAATAAAAAATTCCATGGACCATCCTGGATGCATGCATGCGTCTCTCAGCTTGGGCTTGTTCAAATTGACGACACCAGGAACAAGGGGTATATGGGGTTTAGTCCAAGAAAATGATACCGGCAGCTCCAGTGAGTGGATGGGCTGAGCTTTCTCCATGATCTGGCTTTGAGATCTTTGTTTCCCTAACTCCGTTCTGACTCGTCAAAACAATACAAATGTAAAAGCTTGTAGGCCTCTATGGCTAAGCAAAAAACCATTGGGAGTTAAGAATGATGATAATGGTGATGACCAGATAAAATGAAAGAGTATTGACAACTTGAGATAAGAAAGTTGAATAGTTATTGAACCAATCAAACTGGACAGACTTGTTATGTTAAAGCTGAAGAAGCAAATCTTGACACAAGGCAATATCGTCTCATCTGTATCCTGGTGAGGATGGAACAAGTGAGACTAGTGACTGACTTGACTGCCATGAGTATCTGCGAACTGACAAGTTTGATGCAAGAATCATGACAGGAAACTCACAGGATGAAGCCAAAACCTGGGGTAGCTTGGGTTAAGACATGGCTACCCTTGCCATTGTATTCTATGCCTACCTTGATGGACTCTGGGCCCTGATAAACAAACCAACTTCTTCTCTCTGTGAGATTCACGAGTCCCTGGTTTTCCTGTTTTTGTTTCCTCCCTTTTGTGCCGTTTCTTTTTCCTGCATGCTGTCATCTCTAGAGCACATTAGCGTCCTTCCAAATGTCAGAAATTTAGAGAGTGCTTTGCTGTCTATATGCTGTGTGCTCAGTATGGTTCTAGCTGGCTGTTTGTGCTGAGTACTACAGAGTACTTCCTACAGAGTATGGATATAAATGATTCCAAGAGCACGGAAGGGGTGCTTTTTCTGGTGCATCCTGAAACAAATACTTTTTCTTGGCTCTGCTAGTGACCGGCAATCACGCACTCCTATTGGTTAGCAGGGATGGTCAACTCCGAAAGAGGCTCAGTGTCAAGCCACCCGCCTTGATGATGCTTCAGTACGTGTGATTGTCAGACAAGGCCAGGGACTCTTATCATAGTTCTTGGATTCATCTCGCCTTCCGCAACCAGAACTGGTAAGTCGGAGCCGCAGCACCGGATGTCAGGAAATTAAAAAAAAGAGAGAAAAACTAAAAAATAATAAAAAAGGACAGTGAACTTAACCACTTGATTAACATATCCATCTCCAGGGTTTGCTATTTCTATTCTGTACAAGACTGTTCACTAGGCACTCAATGTACCATGGGGGCGGGGGGAGAGCCAATTGCTCAACCTCGAAGGTTCCAATTGGCTGGGGTAATTAGCTACATTGGCAAAACCCTATGAGGCCTGGCTCGAGCGCTTGAACTAACACCTGCCCCCCAGTTTACGTTTGTCCTCCGACAGACGCCGGACATGGAGATATGGAAACGCGTCCTCAAGTCTCATCGCGGCCGACCCTCTGGAAAAAAAAACACAACAAAAGCAAATTCATCCAGAACTTTAGACTGAGAGAACTGTGAGAGCATGGTCACAATTGTGATCCCTTTCTCGAGAGAATCCTGACAGCATCCGTTGAGAAGATGTACAGAGTACTGTCTCCAAGCCGCTAGTTAAACTCCTCTGGGGTTAACTAGCTCACGGAATCCTGTTGCCGACCAACCCCCCTATACCCCGCGTCGGGGCCAGGCGGAGCGAGAATGTTTGAACGGACGCTGGCCGCTACCTTGTCGTCTGGCGCGCTTTTGGCGGACAGTCAAGGCTAGACACGGGGAGCATAACGCTTGAATGACTCGAAATGGAAGCAAATTCAACGTCAAGGATGATCCTGCCAAACAGGAAGTCTCGTACGCTGACAGCATCGCAGCGAAAGAGAGTAGCGCATCGCAAGCCCCATACGCAGTCTCGAGCAAAGACAAGGAATTATGTTGCTCAGCTGGAGCAGCTGCTGGAAGACACATCTTGCCTGGGAGCGCAGACCCGATCTTGAAGCTATTGCGTCGTCTCAATCAAAACTTCACTCAGATTAATCGACTAAAAGACAGCCTCACCGCCATACTTGAATCTGCCCAATTGGCCTTGGAGGATGTCAACACAGAGTTTCAAAAGGATTCGTCATCCGCAGCATTATTTGACTTAACCCCTAACAATGCAGACGACGGTCGACCTGCTACCTAGTGCAGTTCAGTGGCCGGAGTTGAGGAGACGAGCCTATCAGCTGACTGGCCTTCTCCGGATATAGCTGAGCTTGCTTCTTTTGGTCTGGCAGAGAATCTTGCCTCCGACCTCCTTGTAAGGACTCTCAAGCCCAAATACTGTGGATTTCAATGAATGATTCTCTCTTTCCGGCGTGTTGGCGTTTCTGATACCCACGACACTCAAAACACCTGCCTCCCGATCGCGTCTTCAACGTTCCAAAATACGCAAGCTATTTGGAATTCACTTGGAGGTACCATTTGCCGTGCCTTGCAGTCCGCAGTGGCATCTGCATGGGCCCCAGATCCGGTCTGAGATGCGGACATCTTGGTTTTGGCTGTTATGCAAGGGTGGAATGTTGTTCTAACGGAGCATCGGCTGGATACTACTTGGCAGGTTCTGCAGCACACCGACCAACAGCTCCTCCCCACATATGGAACAGCCCAAAGGCTCGCGGTTTTATATGTAATGAAGCTACAATTGCACGTAAGTTGCATGAAGTGTGAATTTCTTTGACGGTGCTAATATAAAGCTTATGCTTTTGCGCTCCAGTACCTACTGACTGACGAATACATACCGGGAACTCCAAGCTTCCTGCATGCAAGGTACTACTCATGATCCGTGAACCCTGAATCTTTCAAATCTCCGGATGCTAACACCTCCAGCCAGGCCATCACAAAAGGCTCATCCGCCACCCTCCCCACGTCGAATATAACGTATGGTCAGCGCATCCCTTCTAAGAATTCTGGAAGGAAACTTCGGCTGATGCGCTTTTTAGGCCAGAATTCCGTGAATATCTACTAGTTTGGCCTGACAGGTATTCAAATGACATCACTCTCAGACATCTCCTCACCAACTTTCAGTTTCTCTGGCCTCATGATCTGCATGACCTGTACATCTGGACAGTTCCAGTGGTACATAGGCATTTTCAACGGAGTTTCTTCGACATGTTGAAGATATAAGATATTGGACTGTACAGAAGGATTTTTTCACGCTGTACCCGGAGCTCCAAGGGGAATGCTGGTGTTTAACAGCGTACCACGGTTAGTTACGACAAATTTGTCTATGCCGGTTCCAGCAGAGCTCTGGTTCGCGGAGAACTACAAGCAGCAAGCTAGTAATACGCACGATCGGAATCGACTCGTTTAGGAAATTTCATCACATCTCTTTTTTAAAGAGGGGGGGTGTGGGCATTCTCCTGAGGAAGAAAAGCAGTAATGAGTTGTGAGAGAAAGAGAGAGAAGAGAGTGAACCAACAATGACTAGCATGCATCAGTATCTCTGTAAACCAAACCCCACACAAAGACAAAATCTTATAATTATGCAAAGCAAAGACACAACTAGAGATGAACTCACCACCTTGTAGTCTCACAGCCAGATGAGTGGAGTGTTGAGATGTAGCTATTTTTCTTCCAGAACATCAGAGATCTTCTGTGAGTCTGTCTCCCATGTGAAGCAGTGCTTAAAGGGTTCACTTACCTTTGGTAAAGATAATATAGACTAGAGAAGAAAGAGAAGAAAAGAAGAGAAAGAGAAAGCAAGAGAAAGCTCTCTCTTAAGCTAGTATTCATTATCTAATAGTGACACAGAGCTAGTGAGAACAATAGAGACTCTTTACATATTGTTGTGTTATTGGGTTCTATTGTGTTATTAGAGTTGTGTTGATATCACATCTCTAGTAAGACTGTACTCTTTTTCTTATGAGGAAATTTTTATTTTTCCCAAGAGGTTTTTTGTTTTCTACTCATGAAGATTTTTAATGAGACAGCTGCCTTGAGAATTGAATTACCGTTGCGGCGACCTTCATCAGTAGGGTAAAACTAACCTGTCTCACGACGGTCCAAACCCAGCTCACGTTCCCTATTAGTGGGTGAACAATCCAACGCTTACCGAATTCTGCTTCGGTATGATAGGAAGAGCCGACACCTTGGAGCAGGCAAAGCAGACCTCTATTTCTACAGCGCATAAGAACTTTGTGACTACATCCGTCTCGAGGTAACACTGCCATTGATAAGATTTGAGCTAACAAAACTCGAACCGCGATCTCCGTTTTAATATCCAAATTCTAAACAGTTGATGCTGGGTGAAGAAGTTCTAAGTCAAATGGAACTAGAATTAGGCACGAAAAGAAGCACTCCTAATGAAAAGGAGATGAATGATCCAAAGGATCGCCGGTAAAAAAAATATTTATTCTAAAGATACCTGCGGTAGTAGCCTCCAACGTACGTACCTCTCGGCGCTAGCGGCGTACATGGCTCGAACATACGCTTCGCTGTGGGACGAGCCGATAATTCCTGGCCCCATTTTATTCATCGTGTATGCAATAGTCATACGACGTTCCAGGTCCATGATGATGGGGTGGCTGGGAAGCAAAATACGCTGCGCATCCAAAGGCAGAAACGGCGCCGTTTCTTGGTGCGGCAGGGCAAATCTAATCCCAAAACGCAAAGGAATGCCAAGTACAAGGTCCACCCCATTCGACTGCTCTTTAAAAATCAGGTCGATAGTCTTTTGGGACAGAAGACGTACGCCATCAAGTTCTCTGCCAAGAGATTATGGAGAGAATGCGAGCAACAGACCGTGCATTTCCGTGACCGTTTAGTGCCCCAAGATCTGCTTTTTTCCACTCCGACGTGTTGGCGGCTGCAGGATTGGGAGGTGGCGAGAGAAATGTTTTGAAGGCTGGACTGTTAGCGGGAAGCTTGGTCAAGTCTATATTGAGCGGCGGAGGAGGTATAATGTCAGATACCCGTCACCAATCTTTTTCTTTGGCACCGATTTGGAAATCTGCTCCCAGTGGACCGGCAATCTCTTCTGCAACAAATTGCATGAGCGACTTCCCGCTCACGCGGCGAACCAGTTCGCCCACAAGGTGGCCTTGGTTTTGAGAATGGTAGCCGGATGCCGTTCCTCACGAAGGTGCTTGGGCTGCCAGCTTGACTGTGGCGGTGCGCGGATCGAGCGTCTCTTCCGCTGTGAAAGGCGGTTCCCAGCCGGCCACGCCTGATGTGTGGGAGAGTAGGTGTCGGACCTCGATATCTTGTTTGCCGTTCGCTGCAAATTCGGGCTAGTATGTGGCCACTTGGCGAAGGCATCGAGTTGACCGCGGTCGATGAGCATAAGGGCTGCAAGGTTCGTCACCGCCTTGGTCCTTGACCAGACATTCGTAATGGTGTCTTTTTCCCACGGCGCCGTGCATGATTCTTCGCTGTACCCTCCCCACAGATCCATGACATTGCGCCCATCGATGTTAACGGTAATGGAAGCTCCAAGTTCTTCGCCATCATCTATAGACTTCTGGAATACCTCCTTCACCTGAACGAAGGTGTCGTCACAATGTCCTTGTACTTGAGCCATTATTTTTTGTCTCACGCGACGTTGGATATCCGTGACCGGGGGAAGGTGTTTAACTAAGGATCGAGGAAACATATCTCGGATAGATAGGAGCACGGATGGGAGCGTTGTTATGCTGAAAATCGTGAGAGTGGTTTTCTCAAGAATTTACCAGGCGGGCTTTGGTAGGGGAGAGCCTATATAGTTAAATAACTAATGGTTTCTCCCAGCTTGCGGGCCCCTCCAAAGGGTAACTAGCCACCTCCAGGATCAAATCTTGCTCACCCCGCAATTGTAACCGGAAAAGCCGCGCTGCACGAGGCCTTCTCATGTCAGTTAGTCACCCGCAAAGTGGCTTTAGGGGGTTTGGCTTTGCAGATTCGGCTTGGCGCGTTCTCAGTGTGCTCGACTTAGTGAGTTTGACTCGCACATCATGGTTCGTCGCCTGCTATCCAGTGCTGAGTGTAGAACGGTGACAAGCCAAACTTATTGGCTTATCCGAGATGCCGCTGATTCTCAGATACCAGAGCCTTAGACGGTCGATGTCGCCCTTGGGTGAAGACAGGTTTATAAAATAGGAGCAGCTCGCTGGCCTCAAGTTTTCTCTCAAGTGACTGAACGAATTGATCCTCCTACCTCCATAGGCAAACATAAATTCTTCTTCCTATTATATCCTTAAGATTTGAAAAGAATTCGATTTTCTGTTTTATTTCCATAACCCAAAATGGCGGAAGTGAGCGGCACAAGGCCATACTTCGACCCCTATGGGCTGTCTGCCAAATACCGCGCAGAACGTGATAAGCCCCTGCGAGAAGATGGCATCGCTTAGTATCTGGAAATGGATAATGATTTGGGAGATCCGTATGCTGACCCCAATTTCTCCCGCGAGCCAGTCGTTAAGGACGTTGAATTCCTCACTGTTGAGGGTGGTTGGGGCGGTCAGCTCATTGCCGCAAGCTTGATTAAGACGGGTGTTTTCGACCTTCTCATCGTCGAGAAAGTTGGCGACTTTGGCGGCATATGGTACTGGAATCGTTACCCAGGTGCAGTTTGTGATATAGAGGCATACATTTATATGCCGCTGCTGGAGGAATTGGGTTATATTCCAACAAAAAAGTACGCAAGGAGCCACGAGTTACTGCAACATGCAAAAGCGATCGGGCGACATTTTTAGCCTCTATGACAAGTCTCTTTTCCAGACTGAAGTCCTCGCGCTGGATTGGGATCAAAGCAGTCAGCAATGGTCTGCAACAACACACCGCAACGACCGGATCTGTGCTAAATTTGTCGCAACTGCCAGCGGCCTGCTACATAATCCAAAATTGTCGGGTATTCCAGGGATCGGCGCGTTCAAAGGACACAGTTTTCATACAACTCGGTGGGATTACAGCTATACTGGCGGCGACACGGCTGGTGGACTTGATAGAATCAGCGATAAAGGCATCGGGATCATCGGAACAGGAGTGACATCGATCCAAGCAATCCCGCACCTTGCAGAAGGGGCAAAGCATCCCTATGTATTTCAACGGACACCATCTTCAATTGATATTCGGAAAGATGGGCCAATAGACTGGGTGGGGTTTCTACGTTGACTCCCGGATGACAAAAGAAAAGGATGGAGAATTTCAATATTATTGTGACTGGTGGCCACCAGGATGAGGACCTGATCAACGACAACTTGACTGACATCCTTCACAACCTTGCCATCTTTGGTGGCCCAAGCCAAGGGACCGCAGCCGCTCAAAATCAGAACAAGCTGCACCTAGCAGATTTCCACAAAATTAACCCGATTCGCGCTCGCGTCGACGGTCCCAATTTCAAGTTTCCATCAAGTCCTACTTATAATGAGTCAGATTTTCTCAGATATTAGGGTTCACATTCATGGGATAACTTCCTTTTTGCTTCATGTGCAAGGTTGCTTGGGCGCAATGATAAGAGCTTATGCTGTACTGTATGTTTTCTAGCTTGTCCCATCAAACCTCACTACTAGGCGCTGGCCGGAGGCGAAGGCCGGACTCACAAAGAGTGCATTTAGGCTGGAGCTCAATATGACAACCATTTCAGCCAGTTCAAAGGGGATGCGGGCGGGCATATCGACAGTAGCAGCGTAAAGAATGGTCATAATCAAAAACAACCTCAAGAATGGCGGAAATCTCCCAAGCCTGAGTATCTTCCCATTGTTCATGGCGGCGTGAATCAGATGCTATTTGTTTTGTACATTGTTGTATCTGGGAACGGCGGGGGCTGCACATGTACTCGCGATCTAGACTACGGTATTCTAGTCAATTTCCTATTGGGAGTTCCTCCCACAATTCCCCTAGATGCCAGTATCTGGCTTGATGCTGATCATACATAACTAGCTACACATAGGATTGTAGCCAAGGGGCTCATTTTGCAAGAACTAGACCTTGTTGAACAGTACAAACAGGACCAACATGAGCTTGACCAGAACTCAGCTTGAATGATCTTTCATTTGTGCAGGTCAAAACCTGCTGGGTATTCACAATTGCTAAATATGAAATGTAAAGTAAAATGTTTAAATTTAAAATTTAATTTTTTTTTTACTCTGTACGGAGTACTCCATAGCTAGTTGGTTATGCCAAAGGATTGTGAAGTGGTCAGAAACACTAAATCTCAACTAGTCTGGTGATAAGAATGATTAATTAGTCTAATTCTACCCTGTATTCAGCATCTAATTACATTCTGTGCATTTGTAAATTCCTGATGCATAATGTCTCCTGCTTGTTGACATAAAGACATAAACTGTTCAACCCATTTCTGGTCATACATGTCAAGTTCTGCAAGACCCTGGCAGTATGCATCTTGATAACCGCACAGGCCTTGCATGAGGACATTCCGCCGCGGGCAGGGCTGTATGATCCCATCCATCCAGCTCATCTGTGGGTTGCATTTGAACACCTGGATTGCACCCATCATCGCCACCCGCCCGCTGAATACAAACGTCCGTGGCTCCACTTTGATGCGGTTCTTCTTCAACCACCGCTTGGCAAGGCCACTGTGGCTGCAACAGACCATCTCTTCAAAGAACCATGAGACAAAGATGAAAACAAGAAGTCCGACCCCATCCCATCCCTTCTGAGCAGCGACAAACGTCATGCAGGCAAGTTGCAGAAATGAGAGGAACTGCAGAAGGAATGCAAGTGTCATGACGCCACCGTCACCAAAGATAGTGGTGATAGATTGTATCATGGATTTGTTCAAGAGATTATCAACAATGCCTCTATCTCCGACGTACAGGTACCACGTAGACGCATTCTGGTGGATCGCGCTGAGCATGCACGCATCCATCCTTTGGCCCTCGTTGTCTTGAAGATAGTGTGGTGCGCGTTTGATTATGACAAGCCGGCGGCAGATGCGTAGCAGGAAGGCGACGATGATGGAACCTGCAGTCCCATACATCCCAAACAAAGAGCAAAACGCTGTGGCGCCGGCAAGCATGCCCAACAGGATGACTTCGACAACAACGTCTTGTAGGACGGTGATGGTCTTTGCTCGATGCGGATGACCCGGGCCCTCCTCTCGAGAGAAGCGTAGGACATGCAGAGTCTGATACCGCCGAAAGGGGGATGTGCTGGAAGGTGTTATAGCAATATTTCCCACACCGCGCTTGGTAGTATTAGGGGTTTTGGCGACCACCGTCTCGGGCATGGCGATAGTCTTGGCCTGACGGACGCTATACGCTGCGATCATACTGCTTGCCGCACCGTTCGCACAGGGAAACACAGAGCCCCAGTTTGCGTCCCATACTTCACGACGCAACTCTCCAATCGAACATGCTTCGTCCAGAAAATTCGGTCCTTCTTTAAGGAGCCGAGCAACGGTCGCGAGGACATGCAATTTTGGAAAGAGGCCGATTTGGAGACGGCCGGACAATGACGCCATTCCAACAAATCGGTGGCCTTCTTGCGGCCTCGCAAGATAGGTGACTAGAGGGATCAGGGCCGCCAATTCGAAAAGTATGGCGAAGCCGCTATCGCTACCTGTGCCAAAGCTGAATGGAGGGTTAACCCCCAGTGTCCCTGAACCATCGGAATCATCGAGTGACTTCGCCATATTGTTGCAAACTCTCTGTCCATTTCTTCCCCCCCTTTTCGATGGAGGAGCGTTGGGCTTTTATCGGAGAGAAAATTGGCGAACCCAACAAAATGCAGCCTAACTTAGCTAACTTGTTAAGTAGGCGAGAGATCAAACCAGTTAGCCAGCCTTGCAAAAAATATAGCTGGTTTAACAATGCAATAGGTTACTCCATATGGAGCAGGTAACTAATGCATATAGTAACCGGGATACTTACGCAGTTAGCCTTGCGTGTCTGGCCCTCACTTGTTGCACCACACCGACCCAACAGGGCTGTGCTGCTCACCCACCCAAGACCTTCATCGTCATCATCATCATCATCATCAGGAGCAGCAGCAGCATGGATCCATCTGTCCTCGCCTTCCACCGAAGAAGAAATACGCTCTCACACTCACTATGGCCCAGCACTTAACGTACAACCGTGTCCTCCAGATCTTGAGGGACAGCTGCTCCGGGAGAGAAACATTCTTGTCCAAAAGTACAAGAATACCTTCGGAACTTAAGGCGTTTGATCCCGAGCCGGGCACCCTGTTCAATCAAACCTTCCAGCATCTTGACGAATTTGTGAATCTTCCTACCGGGGGTGCATTATTCGGCCTTACTTCCAAGACGAGCCGACAAGGGCTGACAAAGAAAATCTGCCAAGTCCTCTGTCAGCAACTCCACGACCCAGTGGACCATATCGAGCGCCTGGATAGGGCTTTTTCTGAGTTCCTGTATTTCGAGATATTTGATGGCCGAGTGGCTGATCCAGAATCGCTTGCGAGGGAGACATACCGGCTGTTGACGCGCCTTGTGCCCGATGAGCAGCCCTACTGGGAACTCAATGCCGAAGCAACCTGCAATACTCTCACTGGCCACTTCTTCCATCCAGGGAGCCCCGAGAAAGTACCACATCGACTCAAAGCGTCCACCTTTTTTGATCGCAATATAGTATGCACGGCAATTCACACGGTCTTAGAACCGCTCCGCGAAACGGGTTCGTCGTTACGTCTAACCGGTTATATCGACCTTCTCGCACAACTACTCCAAGCCGCATTAGACATCGTACCGGCCGGCCGTGTATTCACTCCAGGAAACTTGCTAGTGCTGAGGACATTTCTCTGGAAATCCTTGCAGAGGTCTGTTACCTTATACTGTTGGTCGTTGGTTAAACACGGCAACCGGGAAGTTTGGATGGATGTCACCCACCGCCAAACTTTCCATGTCCAGCGCTTTCGGCGTGTGATCGCAGCAAAACGAGATCAAGAGCTGCTGTCGGAACTTCCGGCATATCTATGTCCATGGGCTTTTGAGTTGATGCGGACACATCCAGCTGCAGCTGGTGTAGATCCCGCGTACTTTATTCATTTATTCTCTAAGCATTTTGGGAGCCTATCTGCCAGGTGCATCATGAATCCAGATGGCTCTTTTCGGCAGTGCGATGGAACTGGGCCCTTTGGATGCGCCCGATTTACGGGGGCGGTGATCCATGACCAGTCTGCGCACCAGGAATCTTGTGATAGAAAATGTGCAAAGTTATACTGGGATGAGGACTCCTACCGTCAAGTTCATGGCGCTAGGGCGGTGAGATTGGAAGAACCAAGAAAAGGTCTTCTACAATACTGCGCTGCTTCCAGCTCAACCATGGCAATATCTCATGTTTGGAGTCATGGTCAAGGTGGTCGCCCCGAGCGTCCGAGAGATGGGGTGCCCTCAACCGGATTCAATTCTTGTCTTCACCAACGATACTCCACCATTGCACGCCAGATGGGCTGCAATTCATACTGGATAGACACTGCCTGCATTCCTCAAGACCACCAACTGCGAAGAGAAGCAATTAGCCAAATCAATGACATCTTTACCAATAGTCGATCTACGCTGGTATGTGACCGAGACATAATGATGATCAGTATCAAGAAGAAGACATTTGCCGTGTTGGAGTCCTTAATGGCCGCCTTACTGGTCTGTGACTGGAACAGTAGGGCTTGGACCCTTTTAGAAGGGACTAGAGGCGCCAAGGTCGTTAACCTTCTCTGCAAAGATAACCAGACTATTGAGCTGAGCGAGGTCATTCAAGCTATGTATAGCAGGGGGCGTCTCTCCCTGGCAATTCTCTGCCTGACTCTCGACCACTTAATGGGAGCCGCGGTTGTAGGGGGAGAAACCTTCCGACTGACCGAGCGTCAGCACAAGTATACCGAGACAACAGCAGCGACCCTTTTAAGCCATCGCCATGCCAGTCGTGAGGGAGATGAGGTTGTAATCTGGAGCCTACTGTGTGGGAGACTAGTATATACTGCCGAAGAGTTCTGGCGGGACGCAAAGCATATCAAGACTGGATTTTTGATCTCCGATATCCCAAGGCTCGAAGGGGTTCCAGGGTTCAGCTGGGCCCCAAGACGGCCAGGCCTGGCGTCGGGTGGTAAGATTGTTGCCCGGCGCGAATACCACCAACGGCGCATTCTGGAGGTCATGGATAGTCAAGCTGGTAGCATATGCGCGGACGGGCTCCAAGCCACGTGGAGTGTCTGTGATATGGCGGATGTGAACTTTTTCTCCAGCCTCTATCAGTGTTTTATGCATTGTATTGGCGCCCTTCACTCCTTCGGGAGAATATTTTGGAAAATGGTACTCTGGGAACAGCTGGAAACCGCCCTATATTATTGGCATATGGCTTGCGCATCTTTGGATATGCGCCGCCGTTTCCAGCTTATTTCCCATGATGTGCAGGCTCCTATGCATCGCCTTGCTCTCATACGACCGTCTTCTTCATCAGACATTTACGATGGAGACGCAAAGGAGGCTTCTATGGCAGTGATAGAGATCACAGGCAGAGGTACATGGGCCTGGAGAAAGGTAATTTATTGGGATAACTCTGTGACGTTGCCTCCCTTTAGGCTCAAGAAAATTACAATTGAATAATGACCCAAAAAGATGGCTACCTAGCACACAAGCTGTTAGTTTCCCAGTTACCAAGAAGAGCAGCTACCAGCAAGTGAAACAATGTTTTCATTGCTATGATATCGGTAGAAGCTTTCCGACTCATAACATGTAAGGCTAAGAGGGCCTAATGTTGCATGTTTAATTCAGATTGTGTCCAGGTCCAATATTCAGAACAACTCACTTCACATATTCTAGCCCATCCTTCTGACTTTCTCAGGGTCTAACATAAAGCCTTGGTGACTAATAGGAAGAAGCATTATGAGTTTGGCAAAGATTTCCCCCAAAATGGTGTCTGAGGAACCTAGCTCTATCAGACAATATCTCAGAGAGCCCATGAGGCTACCAACGATATGCGAAAGCTATAGGAACCATAGAATATGCATCTTGTGCTCTCTGCTTGCCAACCTAGCAGGAGGTTTGGATGAGAACTGGGATAAAAACTCTGCATCCAGATCAAAGAAGATCCGAGCTGCTAAGTTGGAGGCTAGTTAACTACACAGAGACTACGGAGTAGTGTCTTGATGAAAATGTCATGGTACTGTAGTTTAACTAGTTTGCAGTATCTCTAGAGGTCAGGCTCAATTCCGATCCCTGGAGGCCTATTGAGTTCAGGAGTGAGAGACAGGCTTTGTGCCTCATTTAACCAATTTTTTGGGGATTCAACAATGGGTAAACACTTTGTTTCATTGACACATTCTATCTGTGGGCAAATTAACTCGCGATCAATACTCCGTAGCGACCCTTGAGATCCAGACAAGCTGGGGGATAATGGTGGAGTGAACCTATCATGTGCTGGTTACAGCCCGAAATTCCACATCTGGCGCAACTGCGAAGCAGAAATTTTGCGAGATGCTGAGGATCAATATTGGAGGCTTATATCACAGAGACTATGAATGTGACATTAAGAATTGCCAGCATTGCAGAAGCAACACTGAGGAAGATGATGAATGGGAAATATCAGGACCCACAGAAACATGTTGGCGGATCAGGGATTTGCTTCCCAGTCTGTCCCTTTACTCCGTCCGTACTGGGGGCAGTCATGCGCAGAGAGACGTGGTTCAGCCCCGCAGGGGTTGCCCCGAGAACTCAAACTATAAAAGGGCGCCAATCAGGGAACGCCAGGAGCCGCCGATGATATTCTACTCACAGAGGTTGGATTTGGCTCAACTGCAAGCGAGGAAGAATGCCCTAGAAGATAAAATAAGCCATGTCCACCAAACAAAAGGATTTCTGTAACAGGTTCATTGGGAAATCAACTCTCTCTGATATTCTTTGGTCAACTTTCTTCAACTAATCTTTGTCGCTGCCCTTTACCGAATCCCACTGCTGGCCCCCCATGGACAAAGAGGAGAGAATTTCACAGCCCAATTCTGCTCAAAGTGACGATGCGGCAATCTTTTCTCCCGTTCTGACTATTCTGAATCTTAGGTCTCTTCCGACCTTATGTGCTCTTACTCGAAAAGCATCAGCAGATTTCGTGGAAGACCCAGAAGCCCCCATTGAGCCAATAGTTGTTGAATCTCCACTTTTTGGTTCCTACCATGCATTATTCCCAATTCGATTTCAAGATGGGTTGCGTTGGATCCTTAAGATTCCAGCCTGTGGGACACCCGAGCAATTCACCGCGTCTGCCGCATCAGCACTTCAATCTGAAGCTTTGACTATGAAACTGATTCAACGCGAAACCTCAGTCCCAATTCCTGACGTGTTTGCATTTAGCTCAACATTGGATAATGAACTTGGAGTTCCTTATATCCTCATGAAGTTCATGCCAGGGAAATCTCTTTATGACTGTTGGTTTGACATGAAGGTCTCGAAGGAAGAACGAAGATTACGCCGCAAGAATACCCTAGAGGATATTGCTCAAGCAATGGCTGAACTGAGCAAGTTCTCGTTTTCTACTGGTGGTGCCCTAATGTATGATGCAGAAGGAAACTTAGCTCACCCTGGTCCACTGAGATTTATTGACCATCAGGCAATGCTTGAGCGGCTTGGGCAAAGTGATGATGATGACATTGAACCAACATTATATTTTGAAGCTGGCCCCTTTACAGATCCACAAGATTTCTACCTTCTCTCACTTAACCAAGCAAAGGAGCCAGAGCAACCTTTTCATAAAGGAATGTGGAAGCTTCTTTATCTTCTTTTACAATGGATTCCAACACCACAAAGCCCAACATTTGTGCTCACACATCCAGACTTGAATTTCCAGAATGTCCTTGTCTCTGAGGATGGGAGGGTGCAGGCCTTAATTGACTGGGATGGTGTGGCGGCAGTTCCCCGTCTAGTGGGAAATGAAAAATTTCCTTCTTGGCTCACTCGAGATTGGGATCCGGCGATGTACGCATGGAATGAGGAAATGGAAAAAGGCATTGAACAAGATACGTTGTGGGAAGACTCTCCAGAGACCCTTGTCTTGCATCGCAGAGAGTATAGCAACTTTATGGAGCGGTATCAATCTCTGCGAGGACAATCTCTCCCATCATCTCCTGCTGTTAAAGAATCGTCCATAACGCAGAAGTCACTTTTTGTCGAGAACCTGGTTATTGCAGCTGAGAACCCCCTTTGCAGATTCGAGATTCTTAACAAATTTGTTGAAAAGATTGTTGAACTGGCGCGAGCGAACTCTTTGGATTGTATCAGCAACAAATATCAGGATTTGGAGATATTTGATATAACAGATAATCTGGTAACAGGTGAAATGGAACAGGAAATGCTGAACTTTCTGAGGAAGGGCTTTGATAGTTTGCTGAGTCAAAATGTAATGTGAGACAGCTATCTCAAAGCTTTTGCTTGTGTAGTTATATCAAGCCTGGGCATCAGAGAAAATATCAACCTGTTTTCAGATAATTTTTGTTCTAGAAAGAACAGACTGGCATAATCTGCAGAAGGCTGGTCTTTTATGCCAGCCATCCACTGAGCAGGACATCAGCTTGGCACCTGTAAACCTCTCCTAAAGCAGCTCCTCAGTTTTAAAGAAACTGAAAAGAAATAACCAGCACCTTTAAAGAAAATATGTTTTATTGAAGAGCCGACCCCCTGTGTCAGTTGTCCCTGTTCTGGGAGCTTGTTGGAGAAATGCAGCCAAGTCTGATTTTCCTTTTGCATAAGAGGATTGCAGATTCTGGTTGTCAAGGTCATTCACTTTCTTCATGTGCTCAACTGGACTGTGAGTCACACACCCCATTGGTAATAAAGGCTTCTTAGCATTATCTGGAACATGACAAGGAAGGAAAGTCATTACATGAAGCAAGAGACAGCAGAGTTACAAATGTTGCTTGATACTATCATCATGCAGGGAGGAGGAAATTCACAGGACCTTATTGCTACACATTTAGTACTGTGGTATGCAGGATTGTCTCAAGTGCCTTATGGTATGTTGCGCTCTCACTTTGCAAGGACCATCTGAGGTGACTCAGGCAAGCTGCTGTGCTGCCCAAGTTCCTACCCTGGCTAGGTTCTGATTGTTGGAGACATTTTTAGGAATCTGAATCAAATGTAGATTGCCAGGTGAAATTGGACACCCACTAACAGACAGCAGCGAACCATTTCAGGCTCATGTTCCAGAAACAGACTTAAAGGAAACAAGTCAGCCATGCAACATTCTGTGGAATATGATAATTGACTTCCACAATGCCCTTTGCAAAGTCTTCCAAAGCATAGACTATTCCGACATTCCAAAAGATGATTATGTGGAGACAGGGAACAAAAGTCTAAACATATATAACTTGTCTGAGTTATATCCACAGGCCTAGAGCCTTCTCTAGAAGATGCTTGACTACCATTCTAAGTGGATTTCGATCATAGCCTGTGAAAGAGATTTGACTTGAGATTTCAAAATTTGAAATTCTTTTTGCTAATTTGTATCAAAACACTAGTTTCTATGTAGTTAGCCTCTAGCTTAGCAGCTCCGATCTTCTTTGATCCAACACAGAGTTTTTATTCTGGTTCTCATCTCAATCTCTTACAAGGTAGGAGAGCAAGAGCATGAATATATGAAGTTCATGTTCTGTAGTTTCTATAGTTTCTGGCATATAATTAGTAGTCTTGTAGACTTTTTAAGAGATTTTGAGCCCTTTTTTAAAAATCTAGTCTTTAAAGTTACTAAAACAGAAAAAATTCTTGATAAAATAATAAACAATAATTTGAGGAGCTCTTCAGGTTCAACACTCAATTTAATCTTCAGAAATACAAGTCTAGCAGAATATATAAAGAATGCTAGCATCAGTATAGATATATATTTACAGCCAGTGAGTATTACAGTAAGTTGCATTCTATAAAGTATCATTGCAGATTAAGGTAGTTCACTACTAAACAAGCTAAATTTCGCCAAACACTTCATGCAACAAATTTATTAAATATCTCAACAACCAGATCTTTATTATTAAATAGCTATTAAATATTAAATGAATGTGTTCTTTGAAGCATTGAAATTAGTGTAGTTAGGAAAATAAACAGGTGGACAGCTTAATATTGCAGCCAGAGCAAGAGATCTAGGGAGTAGATAGAAAAGAATTCAAAGAAATATCAACAGTAGATTTCTCAGCTAGAGAGTTTAATATCTTGCTAGAGAAACATGTAGAGCTTTTACTTTCTCTTTTAAAAGATTGTATAAACTTTCTGTAATAAGAATCTTTAGTAGAGAAGTTCTTCCAACAGCACTTGAAAGCTAGTACTTGAAGCCCTGACTGCCAGTATTTAGTAGTATGTTCAGTTATTTATTTTTTCTTCTCTGCTAGTTATAAAGTCTTCTTCTTCTCACAAGTAACATGTTGTATCTTTTTTTGTCTAGTATATTTAATTTTTTAATCTCTTATTGCTTACAGATCTTTTTACAGATATTTTTTTATTTAATCTATATTTTTTCAATATTTCTAGCAGTCTGCTTCTTTTAAAGCTTCTGTTGAAGCTTTATTTCTTGTGTTTAAGTAATTTTATCAGTTTTTTTAGTTTTTATTTCATTCAGACACTTGCATGTCTTAAGAACTTTTATTAAAGATCAGAAGTGTACTTGGCTAGAATTACCTCTATTGAGTAGATCTAGAAGCTTGTCTTACTTATGATGTTGCTTTTCTGTCACTAGAGTTAATCTTAAACACTAATTCTTATGTTTCAGTAGTTTGTTATAAAGAGTAAACTGCTTACTAACTTAAATAATCTGTTCAATACTTTGCAAATTTAGACTATGCTAAAGATGTATACTCTTGATCTTTTGTTGAAGCTGATGCATATTACTAGAAATAGAAGATTTAACTAACAGTATAGAGACTTAAGCAGTTTCAAATTAATATAGTTGATGTTAAGAATCCAGAGAATTAATTTTAGTTTTTGCAAAGTCAGCAAGTATATCATCAGCAAATCCCTACCAGGCCTAGGGCTAGCCCCAGGTGTCTTGGCAGCCAGAGTGTCTGTACTTATCTTACTTTCCTGGGCTGACTCTGAGCAGGAACAGAACTCACTCTGGTAAGTATTTTTCTCTGTCATGATTCCAGGCAACTTCTAATATAATAAGTGCCTTTACTGCATCTGCTGTTAATTTAGCATGTTCTGTAAATGCTATTATTTTCAATAATTCTGTTGTATCTACTAGATCTGTTATTTTCTATTGATCTGTGCAAGCTGCTTTCTTTTACATTGATGTCAATAACAGTAATAAAGATATTATTGATATTTTTGTTCACTTTACTGACAATGTTACTTATATAATTACTGTTATAATTAATATAAATAACACTATCATCAAATACATTAATGTTCTATTTCATGCTGCTGCTGCTAACACCAGAGATGACAATGAATATGCTGCTCTTAACTTTGCTGTAGAAAATAAATCTAGTGATGCAGTCAGATAATTCACTACTACTGATATGAAAAACATAATTATACAAGATCTCATATACACTCTTCAATGCTATTAATCTTATTATACAGTCTGACTATTTCATGCCATATAACTAGATTAGTAAGCTTTACTCATCAATTATTATTTTCTGGTCTTCTCATACTCTGTATTTTCAAGAACATAAGAACTGCTCTTTTCATTATCTTCATCATCTTTATTATCTCTGTTATTTTTATTGTCTCTATCAGTCTCATTATTCCTGTTGTTCCTATTATCTCCATCAACATCAGATATCTTGTTTGTAAGATCATGAATATGCTTCAAGTTAATATTCTTGATATCAACAAGCCTTTATGTTTTTGATCTACATCTATTAGTACAATTTAATAAACTGGAGTTAACTTTATATCAGATCAATCAAAGTACTATCATTCAGGGTCTCAATATTACTATACTGTGATGCACACTCATTATTATTGCCAGTATCTTTCATAAAGTCTAGCTTCACCAAATCATTCAAACTATTCTTATACTTATTGATAATATCAGCAGCAGTAGACTCTCTCTTCTTCTGAATATCTTATTTTATATAAGTTCTTGCTTTGTCAAGAATAATTTTGTAAATATGTAATTATTATTCTTCTGTCTGTTGATTTCAAACAGCTTGTAGATGTTCAAAAACATCTATTAAAGTACTGTACTAGTTAGCTTTCAAATCAATCAACTTAGTATTTGTAAAGCAGCTTACCCTGCACAGCTTGACCCTCAAATCTGATACATTTATAACTACTAGTCTCATACTTCTTGATAGTGTGGCACAAATATGTTAACACCCAAATGATGCAATCAGCAGACAGAGAATCAAAGAGATATATAGTATGTTCATTCATGACAGAGCTGTACATACCTTTACTATAGAGAAACTAACTGACAGCAATATATATTATTGGGTTCAGAAAGTGCTTCTTGCCATTCTGCCATTCCAGACTTCTTAGTAGCAGATTTTATCAGATGAGTATCTTAGAAAAGCATTGTGTATCTTTTTCTCTGGATTAAAATATGTAAAGTTATCTTTAAAAAGAAGATTCACAGTAGTCTTTTTCTGCTCTTCAGCTATTAATTTAGAAAGTTTCTTCATTATAATATTATAAGTCTTTTTCATAAAGTGTCTCTGTGCAAAACTTGCAATGTTGCAAAGCTAACATGTAATATTAGAAACTTGTTGTATCTTGTAAAGATAATAAAACTTACTCTTTTTACTTTTATCTTATTTAGTTTATTAGATGGGGTACTTGATATATCACTAATATTATATCTACCATCATATCATATCTGCACTACTCTTGTTCAGATGCTCTCAATTATTTCACTAAGTTAATCTGTGTTAGTAAGGTATTCAGATTATAATATTAGTTAATCATCTGATATTCTGTTGAGATTCAAACCAGAAAACAGCTGTACTCTCCAGAGCTACTCTGTAATAAAAAGTACTGCTTTATTGACTGTATTCAGTAATCTGATCAGATAATGCTGCTTGGCACCATGCCATATCACATGCTTTGAAGCAGATGGCTAAGTACTGAGAGATATATTTACTGTGTTTTCTGAAGTTGCAGTACTTCTAACTCTAGTGTTAGAATTCTGTCAAAGTTCTTTAGCCATCTGCAATGACTTCTATTATATTGAATATTGTTAGTGTTAGCAAATGCATTGTAATTGCAACTTACTTTCTCAAATAATATATTAATATTACTATCTTTGTCAAGTTTATTGCTTCTTGCATTATACTATTCTGTGATATTGATGATGCATCTCTGTCTATTAATTACATTTGAATTAGCAATTATCTCTGTGGTGCATTACTAAAATCTGATTAACTCTGTCTGCTGTTCAGAGAACCTGCTAACTGTTTAATTAATATATTGTAT